CAGCCCGCGCGCTGTGTAATCAGCTGTGTAATTACTAAGCTCTCTAATTACTAAGCTACCAGCCTGCCTGCGCGTGTACTGTTTTGGCATAGTAATTCTACAGCCTGCCAATCACCGTACGGGGGCCCCATATAACACGAACTCTAACTCATGCCACCAAGCTGGCTGATAACCGAGTTATACTGAATGGGTTTGTTAGGGGAGACGCCGTGATAACCGGGTTATCAGGGCTTGGCAAGTTATAACTTCGTAACGCGGGTCGGTTATAACTAAACCTTTTATGGTTAACTAACTCGTTGGCTGACTACGTACTTGGATGCTGTTGCTCTAATAAGGCGAATCATACTTCTGCTCCTTGCTTCTTTAATTCATATTGGTTCCCCGTTGAGGGCAACACATTCACCTTTAGTCATCCCTTTACATTACATTATGGGTTGCTGAGGTTTCTTTCTCACAACAAGGGTTTGCGCATTGCAATAGCTCTTCAAGCCACCAATGCCGCCTTCATATCCAATGCCGCTTTCTTTATGCCCACCAAACGGCGCCAGGAAGGAAGATTCCTCATGTGTGTTAATCCAAACAAGGCCAGATTCTAGCTGGTCAGCAATTCGCCGTGCTTGTTTCGGATCATTTGACCATACGGACGCTCCAAGGCCCATTTTGGTGTCATTCGCTGATTTGATGACAGCGGCTTCGTTTTTCCAGCTTACCATAGGAACAATGGGCCCTACAGTGCATTAGTGGTTGTTGACCTAACTTTCGGCAAATATAACTTGAATTGAAACTTACCAAATGGCTCCTCGGTAACAATCCGGGAATCCATTGGTGGATTGTCAATGATAGTGGGCTCAACGAAATACCCTGGCTTGCTGGTATCAACTTTTCCGCCCAGAGCTACGTTCCACTTCTCCTGCTCTATGTCTGCAATAAACCCTTTCACTCTCTCAAATTGCATTGAGTTCTGGATCGGGCCTAAAACCACGCCGGGCTCATTTCCATCGCCAACTTTGAAGGCTTGAGTGGCACGAACAATCGCATCTCGAAAATTCTCATATATAGATTCGTGGACAAAGAGACGCTTAACAGCAACGCACACCTGGCATGATTTAGCAACCATCTGTTTGAACAGTCAGGCAAACATACCTGCCCTGAATTGAAAAATGCTTTCATGGCCACCTAACTCAAAACTTATTAGCAATATTTTTCATGAAATTGAATAATGCCTTACTTGAGGGGCTACTGTTTCGATATCCACATCTGCGCAGATAATTGCCGGATCGTTTCCGCCACTGAATGTAATTAGAGCCCATTTTTAACATGAATATTGCAGATTAACCCACAGTTCGAGCGTAACTCGCTTCAGTGTCTTACTCGCGCTTTCCATGATCTTTTTCCCAGTTGCGGATGATCCTGTGAAACTAATTTTTGCTGGACCAGGATGGGCCGTTAGCCAGGGACCAAGACTTTCATCGCCGCTCAGGACCTGAACCACGCCTGGCGGAAGAACTTGCTGAGCAATTTCCCCAATTTTCAAGTTACAGTAAGGAGTGAATGGTGATGGCTTTAGGATAATGGTATTTCCGGTTAGAACCGCTGGAGCAAGCTTCATCAACGATAAATGAAAGGGAAAGTTCCAGGGGACAATCCCAATTGCTACACCGAGAGCTGTGTAGCGAACAAGCATCTTTCTCTCTTCATTATCTTCAACAATCTCCTCTTTGAGCTCGAGATCAGCAGTTGTTCGCAAAAATCTGATACCATATTCAACTTCAATTTTAGCTAACCACATCTACATAAACGGTTTATGTTATTCGTCTCTTCTTGGTTTGCAGATGTTCTATTTGTTCACTTACAGGTTTTCCTTGCTCCTGTACCAGAAGCTTCCGAAATTGTTCTTGGTAAGATTCCAAGGCATCAGCAAAAGCAAGCAACGCTTTCTTGCGCTCTACCCAGGGCGTTTTGGACCAAGATTTGAAAGCAATTTGCCCTGCTTCAACAGCAGAATCGACATCTGTGGGGGTGGAAAGTGGCACCTCTGGGTTTGGCTCTCTTGTGGCCGGATTGATGCCGCGACGTTTGTGATCCGTGGTTGTCAGCTTGCCATTAATGACATTGTGAAAAGTAGCGAAATCAACGGCACCCATTTTGAATATAATATTCCTATATTCTTCAACAACTTATGGTACCTGGCCGAAAGACTGCAATAGGAGGCGCATTTTGAGGAGTTGATTGCAGTATTAATATGGGCCTGGATCTCGGCGCCTCGGACCGAAGGAGGGGAACTTCGGGGCTGAGCTAACCAGTAGGGCCAACTTGAGCGTCGAGGGCAATATTATAAATGCCATATGCACTTGGTATGCAGGTTGACAGACGCGTGTAGTTGGCAGGGTGGGACAGCCGTAAAGACGGACGATCATGGCCTTAGTTGACAAGGGTGGCTACTTAGAACCGCCGAAGAGTTGGCATGCGCGGCCGCTGAATAGATAGATAACAATGCCATGGCACTCATGCACGGCCCTTCTCCAGGTTAAATTATCAAGCCTACCTAGTAGTAACTGGGTACATACATACAAACTACACAATACCTCTAGTTTCCATAAATCTTGCTTGCTTTGTTCTTTCTTTTCGACACGTTTCATAGCTATGCCTCATAGATTGGCCTCGGACTCGAAGGGGATTGTATATTCTTAATAGCAGCATAATTTGTGTGCCCTCTCCTGCTTAGAGATCCTATCTGTACAGTACCAAGTGCTGAGCTGGGGCTTCCCATAACTGTATGAGTTAAGCAGAGGTGGCGTCTTGCGGCAATATTCTGGTCAAGGCACCGCATCATGAGCTTTCCATGAAACTAAAGTCAATTACTGTGTCGTTATTCCGGCTACTTGATGATTTTTGACAGGAAAAACAGAAGAGGGGCTGTATTCGGCCGTGGACATTCATTTTCCATCCGGAGTATCTAATATTCTGACAAATAACTAGTTACCCGTCGCCTTCAGAATTCGACAATGGATGCTCTCTGCGCATTAGAAATTTCCAGGGTATCTACTCTAGGTGTGGAGAAATAAGAAACATTTAATCCGAAATTTTTTAAGGTCTAGTCCTCGAAGGTGTACTTTGTATAGGGTAGTTTGAACTACGAAGCTATTTGTTTAGGTCAGTTCAGGTGCAGCTCCGGCAAATCTTATCTCCGGCTCACGAGCTGCCAGTGCATCAAGTAACGTAACGGAGAGGTGGCCAAATCAACTCCGGCGTATTACGAGCTGAAGCTCGCCAGAGAATCAAAGAAGGCACTCTGGAGCGATATTGATATTAAAGATGTCGATTTGAGCAACGTCGCAATGATCTATACAACAGGAAATTCGACATCAGTCCTGCAGTTATGAAGATGCGACAATGGAGGTGGAATTTCTTGCCTTGGGCTTTCGGTATGCTCTTACGCCTCTCTCTTGCCTCAGAAGCCTTTTTTTTGGGATGGTACTAAAAGTCAGCATGTATTTATAGTGCTTCTCCTTCAGCTTGTTAGTGCTGGAGCGCTTACCTCCCCAAACGATGATGTTGCCCGGTACACAAGTACTCATCCAGTTGAGAGCGGCGCATCGACGCCACAGAATGGTTTAGGGTTGAAATCGAGCCAAAAAAGATACGATGATTCTTCCAGTATGTCATATATCTACAGCGCAATGGCTAATGCCTATGAACGTGCGCTCATGTCTTTGAACTTTCGGTTTAGGCCAACCCGCCGTGGACGCTGCTTTAAATATCTTACGCCACTTCAAACCCGAAACAAAGAAATACGAACGACCTTCCGGCTTCTTTTCGCATGCTCGTCATTATGCCCGCGAAGCTTTCTATCTACTTTTCATGAATGGGCCGCCCTTGGATTCCCCGGGCCAGGAAGGCCCGCGAAAAACAAACTCACGCTTTAAGGAGGCACTTGCTCTGCTGGACAGTGCTGCGAACGATGGAAACTCTGATGCCATATACATTCTGGCAGATATGAACTTTTATGGCAATTATTCTCACCCGCGAAATTACCCCAAGGCGTTTCAGCACTATGAACGGCTAGCGAAATTGACAGGGAACTCCACTGCTCAGTATATGCTTGGCTTTATGTATGCTACCGGCATTGGTGATGCGGTTGAAAGACATCAAGGAATGGCACTATTATATCACACATTCGCGGCAATGGGAGGCAATACCAGATCTCAAATGACATTAGCGTTTCGACGGTACCTGGGAATCGGCGCCCCTAAGAATTGCAACGAGGCAGTCCATTATTATAAAAAAGTGGCGGACAAAGCAATGGCATATCAACGATCGGGCCCGCCTGGTGGTCTCACTCTGTCGAAAAACTCGTACCGTTGGGCAGATGCCGAGGGAGGCGTGTACGGTGAAGGCGCTAGCGTGTCGAGTTCTGGGGCAAATGCAAATAGGGAAAGCGTGCACTCCAGCTCTGACGCAAGTTTAGACGATATACTTGAATACTTGGATCTTCTTGCGAAGAAGGGAGACTTGGACGCGACCTTCAATCTGGGAAAGCTGTACTACGATGGCTCACGACACATGACCAGAAATTTCAGAAAGGCCATGTTGTATTTCGGAATAGTTGCTAAGAGGTATTGGTTGAAAGATGGTAGAATCAACCCCAATCATCCTGTTAATGTCGAGAAAATTGCATCGAAAGCCGCCGCTTACATAGGCCTTATGTTCCTTCGGGGCGAGGGCACCCAGCAAAACTTCGACAAAGCCTTTACATGGTTTAAGCGTGGAGTAGCAAACGGCAATTCAATGTGCCAACACTATGTGGGTTTGATGTACTTACATGGACATGGTGTTCCGCAAGACGCATTGAAAGCGGCGACATATTTCAAAGCTGCTTCGGAGTTAGATCACCCCCTTGCGGAAATTCGACTGGGAGCCCTCTTCCTCGATCAAGGTGATGTTCCAACGGCAACTAGGTATTTTGAGCTTGCAGCAAGGTATGGGGTGACAGAGTCGTTCTATTATCTTGCAGAAATTGCCGATCGCGGGATTGGTAAAGAACGTCACTGCGGCATGGCCACAGGCTATTACAAAATAGTCGCTGAGAGAGCTGAGGAGGTGCATTCTTATTTTGCGGAGGCGAATGACGCATACGAAAGGGGGGACAAAGAGACAGCTCTAGTCTTGTCGATGATGGCTGCGGAGCAAGGCTATGAGAATGCACAGGCGAATGTTGCCTGGCTCCTAGATGATCGACGATCTGTACTTTCTTTGGACCCAATTCTTCCCTGGCACAAAAGCCGCCGATCGTCCATTCTTCGCAATGCAGCTCTGGCTTTGGTTTACTGGACACGTTCAGCAAGACAAGCCAACGTAGACTCTTTGGTTAAAATGGGTGATTACTACTTTTACGGCTACGGTGCCCGGAAAGACCTTAAAAAAGCTTTAAGCTGCTATAGCAGTGCAGCGGATGGCCACTATAGTGCCCAGGCGTTCTGGAATCTCGGGTGGATGCACGAATATGGAATCTCAGTCGAGCAGGACTTTCATATGGCAAAGAGATATTACGATATGGCCTTGGAAACAAATGATGAAGCATACCTTCCCGTTAAACTTAGTTTAATTCGCCTGCGTCTCCGCAGCTACTGGAACAAAATTACAAATGGAAAGGTGAATTCCATTCAAGAAGGTAAGCATGGTATCTTTTTCTGTATCGTTCTATCGGCTGCACTATCTAACATTACATAGAGCAAGACTCGCCTAGGTCGGTTAAGGAATGGATTAGGGAGTTTGTTTCAAATGATGAAAAAATGGGGGCTACTCAAAAGGATAAATTGAAACAAGCTGCTACCAGTGAAGAAGATGAAGATCCACTCGAGCAAAATAGGGATACTCGAAGTAGACAGCATAGCGATTACTTTGATGACCTGGATCTCGATATTGATGATGGCATGCTGGAAAGTTTAGTGATCATTGGGCTGGCAGCGACTTTGATTGTTTTATTGCATTTCCGCCAGCAAAGAGCAATGCGCCGGGCGAACAATACCGGGAGAAACAACAATCAGGGTGCTACTGGTGATCCCGGCCCTGGAGCACAAGCCCCAGAACCGCGTGATGGGGAGGAAGATAGAGGTCTTTTCCCAGCCCCAGATGATCCTGACTATCCTGCTTGGATTGCTGGTGCAATCGGGCATTGATATCTACCTGCGCTCTCATGTTCCACTTTCCTGAATTGCATCGTTCTGGAGTTTTCAGTTTGAGATATTGATAGATCCTACATGTCAGTGAAATAATATCTATGTATAGTGGTCAGCCTAGGAGGCTTCCTGTGATCTAGATGTGTAAAAACAAGGTCTTTCCCCATTTTGATATTCTTCTGCGCTACGAGTACGTGATGATGTCACATGGCAGCTGTTATCTTATCGATCGGCGACCGTTTTCTTCCAACTAATTAACCTCACCATCTCCAGTGGGGTGAAACGGCTTTTCCGAGACTTACACAGCAGGTGGGTGATCCATCAACCATAGCCATGTCGTCCCACCTTACGCCCTCTGCAAAACGGCGGCGGTTAGATGCTGCTCAGTCAACGCTTTCAAAGCCATTCAAGTCGCCGCTTCGCCGTGCAGTGGCTACAAATGAGCCAGCGGCTACCTGCGATACGGAGAGTACATGCAGCAATGAGGCGAGCGCCGCACAAGCTACGCAGAGTGCCAAAAAGGAACGGAGCTCAATTTTAGTATGCGATCTCAGCGCTAAGACTTCCCTTCAGTCGGCCACGGTACCCCTAGGATATCTCAAAGATCCACAACAGGATACCATCAAGAAGGCGTCGTTGCATGGTGTCGATATCTCCAGCTCCTCAGATGCTCAGGACCGCATAAGACAGCTCCAGAAGCAACTTTCTTCTCTACACTATCAGCTTTCCAATTTGCGTACTGCGCTGGACACCACGACGCAGGCCGTACAGATCGAGCAACTGAAGCAAGACCCTGAGCTTGAAGCCTTGATCGTAAAGTGGAGACTTGTAGCGCGCGAAGCAACGGAAGAGCTATTTGCGAGCGCCAGAGAACGAGTAAACAGGATGGGTGGGGTTGGAGCGTGGAAGGAGAAGATAAAACAGAGCCACTTGAGGAGAGCGGAGTGGGATGCCTGTAGGGCGGAAGATCCCCCAGCTGCGGATGAGGAGGAAGGGAGCGATGTTGAAAGAGAAAGAGAAGCAAGAAGGAGGGAGATCATTGAAGTAGAGAACGACAATTACCAAGAGGTGGGGGTGACGGAGGATGATCGAGAAGAAGAACAGGATGAGGTGGGTGGCATAGAATTATTGGCTCCCGTTTTGGGTTGCGGAAAGGATTTACCCCATTGTTCTCTTGTTACTTGTTGACTGCTAATCATGATTCTTTTGCCGCTAGACTTTTACTGTTGACATGCTACTCAGCAACTTAAACATTGATTTGAAAGTGGTGGGCTTTGACAAGGTTAACCAACAATGGATTGACTGATACCCGCAGGGGAGAGATATGGATGGCGCCGCGAAGCAGACAGGATTCTTCGTATTGAGCCATGTCCCTTTTGGCGAATACGCTCAACGTGCTTCAATGGTTGCTCGGCGATGGTACATCATATCAGACTCAAAAACCAACTGACATTTACGAATTATGTATGTCTATGGCGTATATGCGCGTACCCCTATTCCTGCAGATATGCTATAATTTGAATTTGAGGACAAGTTAGAGAGGTTATCAAAATACATGTTCATCGTGGCCAAGATAGGCGCGGCACAGAAGCCTTCTGCTAGGTCCACTAGCCATTATTAGGAGTATCCTTTTCTGTTGTACAGCCTATAGAAGTACCCATCTGCTGTCAGAATAAAAAAACTGTCAGGTTATTATGAAGTTCTATAGTAACGTGAACTAAAAAACGCTCTGATTTGTGGAGTGAATACCACAGCAAGTCCAATTAAACACGCTGGGTGAACGACAACTCCTGTAGGAGCAATCCCCTAAGAGAATAAGAGAAATGACGTGCTAAACTTAATCTACCTGTATTATACCCTGTTATCCGCCTTGCATCGGTTTCCGAGCCGTGAAAGAGACCAGCAAGTAGCCGGTCAGTTTACTGGTGGATCTCCTTTCATTTACTCAAAAGAGTCTCAATCTCACAGGAGCGGTTGGCTGGTCTTTGTTCTGGGGGATGACACCGACCCTTAGTTAGTTACACGTTGGCTGGTTGGCCAAGAGTAGTTACTCATTAAGAACCAGTCCATGGGTTTTGCCCAGAACATCCCGAAAGCGTCCCTGGCTGCTCTGAGAAGCCCGGTAGCAATTGCTTCTGGTCTCAGTGATCAATAATCGATGGGAGCGGCGTAGCTTTCGAGAGGATTTAATTATGCATTAATAACCACCGGCTTTATCCAGCGGATGTTCTTGTGCACGATTCATCCAGATTCCTTCTACGTGTGCTCCCCTGCGATATGACTTGTCTATTATATAATAATTATTCCGCCTGTCCTTTGAGGATGGCTTCTGTGGTGACGGTTGTTCGCATGGCTTGCCCAGAACCGCCTGAGCCGGTATTGAGTTTAGGTCTCCACAGGCGGCAGTGCTTGTTAGGCTCTGTCTTTGCCATCGAAATCCGTCTGAGCCGACATTCGTCGCGGCCATTGGGTACCAGCTTTTCCGCGGAGCGGGTATCAGGCGTCGCAAGCAGCGGCGGAGAGGAGACTATTTTAGTTGTGATCATTGGCGTTGTTGCTGGCGATGATGCTGATGATGAGAGCGATAAATGATGGGGTGGAGTTTTGGGAGTCGAGACACGGAACAAAGGGGCGGCTGACTACTTGTACGGAGCAAACACCAGACCTCAACGCGGCCCGCGTGGCCGACTCAGGCAACGCAGAGATCCTGAACCTTCGACCGGGGGGCAGAAAGTGATGAATCCACGCCAAGCGGCAACGCGCGTGGCGAGGAGATCCGGGGGTCTCGATCCGCCAGCGGCCAGCCGGGGAAGCATGTCTGTCTATCCGCCTGTCAGTATGGTCTGTCTGTAGGGTCGAACTAGCTGACTAGCTGGGCGACTGAATCTCTGGATGACTGGATGTGTGGTGACGCCGTGGCCAACGGGCGGAAGAGGGTCGCAATAGTCGAGAACGGGCGGTGGGCAAACCATGGATAGGGCAAACTCAACCGGACACCAGGATGGATTAGTAACCACATTGTGGGCAGCCGGGCGAAGAGCTGATCTTCCCACGGGCACGGCAACAAAGGGCGTCCGGATCGGCCGGCGAGGCTGGCAGCGCGCAGGCAGCGCCGACGAGACGCAGCGGGCGGCTGGAGGATGCGGAAGGACGCGACGGCTGACTCAGCGGGCGGCGACGGCGGGCAAATCCCTCCAGCCAGCGGCCCAACTGGGTTTAGCCAAAGTCTGTGGCTGCAACGTCGGCCGCCGTGACTGCACGACTGCGACCTGAGCAACCGACGGCCTCTCGACTGTCTGCTTGTCTATTTGTCTGCCTGTCGTTGCCTGGCATCTCCTCTTGTTGCTCTGTCTATCTGTCTTTGCCTGTCTGCGGTGGCTGCTGCTGCTACTGCTGCTGCTGCTGCTCCTCCGCTCTCCCCTGCTCTTGTTGCTCCCGCTCCCCATACTCGAGTCCTGTCCACTTTGCTCTGCATCCACTCACGGCTTCGCCCGCCCTGCGAGTCTTGATGCGTGCTCCCTCCGACACGCCGCCTCCGCTGCACTTCTCGCCCCCATCCAGCGATCTTGATCGTGCCTCCACCCCTGAGTCGACCCCGGTTGGCACCCCCGTGGGCTTTGGTATCGCATCCGCCCGCAGACTCGACCGGGACAGACCCTCGTATTTCCCCTGGCAGCGTAAACTCGGAGAGGAGCGACGGTCGCCTCTGCGCGACAGCCCGGCTGTTTTCGAGTCCGACCTGGACGACGACGACTCCACCTTTCCGCTGTTCCCGTCGTCACCGCCGCCGTCGCAGCCTCCCGCCAGCAGGGCCATGGAGAACTTTACGCCCCCCATCAACATCTCCGCCTCTCGCCAGCCCTCCCTGTCGCCGCCCGGCCAGCAGGCCTCCAACCTGACATCAGCCCTCCAGCGAGCCTCCAATGCTGACCGCCCTGACCTGATTTCTGCCTGGAACGGCGCCAGCCCCACCGCCCTCAAAACAAACGGCGCCCGAAAAGACTCGTTTAGCGCGACGATGGCCCAGTATTCGAATGGCTCCAAGCCCATCACGGTCGTGGGCTCGAATCGGGAGAAGCCCCGGCGAGAGAGTCTGGCTGGTAGCTTGGTTGGAGGAATGAGTTGGGGTGGTGTCTCTGTTGGAAGCTGGATTAGAGATGAGTATGCGATACCCCGTTTTCCTCCTGTATCCTCCCTGCTTTGCGCTTGATGGCTGATCGGCAATGCAGCATCATCATGACAGGAACTTCGCCATTTACCCTCCAGTCGCCTTCGTATCATTCATCGTCCTACCTCCCCAAGCTCGAGGCCAACTACATGCGCGATTTCTCGTGTTGTGGCTTTACACTTCCAACATTACATGACCTCCTCCAACACTACGAAGAAGCCCACGCTCAGCGATCGCCACCACCGCCACAGAAAGCGCCTTCTGGCCAAACAATACCTGATGCTAGGCCTAGTGGGATCGGAAATCAAATCCACCAAAACCAGCAGTCAGTCACAGGAAAGGGGTTCAGTTCTCCCCAGCCCGCTGGTAATCAACGCCGAGCAAATGAGATACTGACCACAACGCCACAGCGAGTCCAACCGCAGACTGGATTTACTGCGTCTCGCGTAATGGATTTACCCGATATCGACACCGTTGATGATATGGAGATGGACGACCCATTGTCGGATTCTAATTTCCAGCAGCCTCAGCAGCAACCCTATCTGCAAACCCGATTTGGGCAAGAAAACAGAGCAACTAGAACGTCCCCATTAAATCTTGGGATGCTCCAAAACCAAGGATTCAGGAGTTCTCAACCTGGGACACCGTCGTCGCCCGGAAGGCCACTTCAAAACAACCCCACCGTTTCGTCTGTAAATACCCCAACTCTCCTACCACATTCGCTGCAACAGCAGCAGCAAAATGCTCAGTATCGCAATACCCCAGAATCCTCTGCGCCTGGAACTCCTGCCGAGCTCGATGAATCCATCGTTGGGGGGCTGAGCGAAATGTCTATGCAAGGTAACCTCATGGCGGGAAATCAAGCCCAATTTCCTGGCTACGGCGGACAGAACGATATGCTCGACTTGTGTATTGACGAACCTGCTAAGAGACTATTCCGCCAAGGCGGTGGCTTCAAGAACACCCAGCCGAATGCCCAATTTCGATTAGGAGGAGCACAATATGGCCCGAACAGTGAAATCGCCCAGCGTATCAGAGAACAACAAAGACTAGCTGGCGTGCCTGATCCGACATTCCTTCGACCTGATGAAGAGCCGAAACCATATCGGTGTCCAGTTATTGGGTGCGAAAAAGCCTACAAAAACCAAAACGGCCTCAAGTACCATAAATCCGTATGCCCTCACCGCTCATTCCCGCTACTATTTGTTTTTTGATTTTCGCCTAGACTAACCATTACTAACCTCATATAGCATGGTCACAATAACCAGCAACTTCACGACAACGCCGATGGAACATTCTCCATCGTTAATCCTGAAACCTCAACTCCGTACCCAGGTACTCTTGGCATGGAGAAGGAGAAACCGTACCGTTGCGAAGTGTGCGGGAAACGGTACAAGAATCTCAACGGTCTCAAGTACCACAAAGCCCACTCACCGCCTTGTAACCCGGAACTCTCTTTTATGACTAACCGAGCTTTGAATGCTGGCGGAGTAATGCAGGGCGAAAATGTCAACGTTGCTGGAGCTGGTCTTCCAGGCATTGGAGAGTAAAAAAAAAAACAAAACGGAAAAAAAGAACGTCGATTTTATTTTCGTCTTACATTCTCGACTCATCAATTTGCATTAAGTGAAAAGTTTAAGGCGAAACTTGGGAATTAAGTTGCGACGCATCCGCAGGGTCCGGGTAAATAGACTCGAAGACTGGTGAGGCGGGGGGGTTGCATATGGTTTTTTGGGGTTTGTGGCTCTTCCAATATTGTTTCCGCACTTTCTCTCGATGTCCCTATTTATGTTCTTGTTCATTTCATTTCCCTTTTTCCTGTCCCCTTCGCATAAACATGGCCTTTCGTTTACATCATATTAAACCTCCGCTTCTAACCGCTTTCCATTTGGCTTCTCGTTTTGCATATTATTCTTTCTCAACCCGCTCGTTTATTATCTTCCCTTTCTTCTCCTACACCCGCCTGGCTTAGGATCTGCAGCCTTTTTCCGATCTTCATGCACGGAAGGTGCGCCTAGACGCATGCGCGGGCCACTTACGGTACGGCGGCACATATGTATATGCGACTTGATTCACCTCCAAATTTATTCAGCAACCCGTATCTTCAAGCTGTCATGAGCATTTCTATCCCCTTCATTTGTTGTCCTTCTCTTGCACATATCATAATTATCTTTGCTCATCACGCTGTTTTTGTCTTTTTATGTTCTGATGTTTTCCTTTTTTGCTTTTGTTCGTGCTATTTTTTTTTTTTCTTTTTTGAATGATGAATGACGTTATCTGTCTTCATTTCATCATCACGTACATTGAATTACTCTTCTCTCACCTTCACTTTTTTTGGCTGTGGATTTTTAATGATTTTGATTTGAGTATTCTTCTGGAGATAGACGTATGTCGCATTTAATACCTTCTGTTTTACTTTTCTGTAACGGCTGTGACCACAGCTGTTTCCTCTTTACTTGGCTTAATTGCTGCTTGTTTGCTTAGCTACTAGCCCCGTGTCTGATTTTACTTGTCATCTTCTCTTGAGTGTTTATCTTATTCTTGAATCTTGTTTACTTGGGAGGTAACAAAAAGTGGCTTTGTGTTGGTTGCTGATTTTTGATAATTTAGCTGTCTATTTATGACGATGGATAGCTCTAAAATGACGCCGGTGGTACATAAATTTGATTTAACATTTATTTTTTATTCTTTTCACTTTTTTCGAAGCATTCTTTTGCCTTGTGGAAGGGACCATGTGCCTCGGGATAGTTCAGAGAGTCATGACTACTATTCATCTACCAAAACTCCCCTCCTCCAGAAGCCAAAGATAAAAGACAAAGTCCTCGTTGAGTAAAAGGGATTTGGACCCTCAGATCTCCAGGTAAATAGCAAAGTACAGTAGCAGCATTGTTAAAAATTCTGCGCGTAAAACTCTAATTAACTCATGTGTTGCGCGCTTCTGCTGTAAAGGGAGCAAGAGAAACCCAAGACGCCCGTATCGTCGTGTTCATTAATACCATTCGAATTCTCCAGTAGCTTTATGAAATACATACCTATGTCACGTTAGCATTTGAGAGTGAACACACTGGTGAGAGCTGCACGTACTCCCTGCCTTCTGTGGTCAAAATTCCATCTTTCAAGGTGCACTTCCACTTGCTTTTCACCCGCTGCACTTTATCATATGTGCAAAGCATAACTTGACCAACAGCATCGTCACCTTCGGGGTCATCGTCAATAAGATCTTCAGGGTCGTCGAGGTCGGAATTTATTGCATCCTCATCTTCGTCTCTCTTAATGCCGAAGTCGTCGACGCCATCATATCCAACTGGTTGCGTCGGGGCCCTCGCTTCGGGGATGGCGGTAAGTCCAGGGATATTTCGGCCTGCTTTTGGGGCTGCTCTGCGCTTGGTGCCACTAGCTCTAGGATAACGGTCCTTAAGGGGCGCCAGCAGACCATTACCCTCCATCTGGAGACCTCTAAGCTTCACAAAATCTCTCATAAGTCTATCTGCCTCAGTCCCATTCTCCTTGGCCGCCTCTCTTCTTCTAGAAACTTCGCGTTTCCATTCCGCCAGCGCATCGTTTCCAGAATCACTCGAACCATCGGTTTGGCTGTTTCCAATAGGCTGCTGTTGATGCTGAGGAAGTGGACCAGGTCGTTGTTGGCCAGGAAGGGAAAGTGCAGCCTGAGACTGAGCCTGTAATTGATGAATCTGGTTCGCAGCGGCGGCGCCGTAGCGTTGTTGCAGGGCGCTGGCGGCACGTTGCTGGGCAATATTCGCAGCAGTCTGGGGGCCCGGAATATATCCAGGTTCAGATTTCACGCGAATATCAGAAATCATCTGTCCAGAACCAACTCCAGGGCTGGGAGTCGGCTGGGGTGGTACTTGTTCTTGATACTGCGGAGCAGTAGGGGAAGGTGATGGCCGCGGAGCGTTAGACGGAACTGTGACAGGGGGTGGAGGGATTGAGGTTTGCTGCGGCGCAGAGGGAGGGGGCTGCGGATGGGGATCCCATGGAAAATGGGCGACCCCAAGAGAAGATAGTTTCTTCTGCCATCCCTGATTTAAAGCATAGCAGTCAGTAAGTAAGTATAAGAGGAGCCTGGGGGCATTGAGATGGGGCTTAGTCAGAGGGGTAAAAGCGGCAAGGGCGGGGCTGCATAAAAGAGGGTATCAAGGGCGACCAATTCTCTTAAACAGGCGGTTCCCCCCCAACCCGACTTGTCGCGCCACCCAAACCACACACAGCCCACCCAACATCCGCACAAAACCGACAAAATCATCGACGAAATCAACCAGTGCATCTTCAACAGCAAGGACGCTTGCAACTCATAGTCAACGGAATTTGTATATTTGGAAACTCGACTCACCTGTCTCAAGTCCTCCAGAGTCTGCTGGTCAACGCCACCCTCTTCAAAGTCGATCTGGGAGGAATCGCACACATCCTGGATGACGCGGTCGAAGACAACTCCCTAATGCGAGAAAATAGCAGAGAATGTGAGCCTACACTCACTCACTCTGCGAACCCAAAACGGGGGCTAAACATCATGAGGCCACAGCCTATGAGTTTAGCATCTGGGTCAACAGCCACTCACCACCAACTGGTTTGACATTCTGCGACTGTACCCTAGAGCGTGCTGCTTGGATTCCAGAGAGAAGCGAAGCAAGGAGACCACGCGCGGTGGATAATTTTCGGGGACTGCTGTTGCGCTTCAAGAGGACCGCGGCATCTGGTTTGCTCAGCCGAAATGTCTGAGGGTTTTGTCGCGGCTCAGTGATGCCCGAGCTTGCCGCCCCTGACCTCTCAGTAAGCTGTAGATATTGTAGCTCGTTCTCGCGTACACTATATTGCCATTCGGAGCGCCTAATTTAAATTGGAAACCGGATGATGCAGCCGCCTCTGCTGTTGCGGCCGTGATGGTTGATGAGGAGAAAATGGTTTTATACTGAGAAGCCATCACTTGGCTGCTTGCTTAGTCAGCGTACACTCAACCATGGTTTCTTAAAGCCTCCAACTCGCCCAGGTTCACAAAGAGCTTGTCGTTGGAGATATATTTATTTTCGCTTGGAGACCAGGGATGTGCATGCCTGAGGCCGATGGTCTATGCGCCTACGAACTAGTAGCACTGTTGCCAATGATCTAATGGTAGTGCGGTTGAGCACTTACCCATCAAAGGCTAAAGGCGAGAGGAACGAGGCAATAGCAGCAACATCGCCAGGTCCCCAGATCGATCCGTAAGGATATTTACTTCATTTCATTATATTGAATCGAGTGAAGTATCTATTAAAGGAAACGCTTAAAGCAACCCGAGACCCAGACCATGCCCCAAAACGCGCTAAACTCCCCAATTCACGCCGATAAACCCTGAAACTAGAGCAATGTTAATGTAGTTATATGAATGTGTAGGTTTTATCGAATAGTCATCTGTTTGGCAATTTGGCTTCCCTTGCTGCCAGCGACACCATCGCGAGAGCCCGAGGCAGGGGTTCCGGGCTTGCGCTCGAATATTTTCCAGAATTTGAGACTTTCATCCGCAGCTATATTCTTACATTAGCGATCATACAAGGTCAAATGAACTAGATTGATGTGCTTACCGGCAGTGGCCAACATCTGTCCGTCGGGGCTTAAGCAGCTGTGAAGAACCCGGGTTTCATGGGCGGGGATCTCAACATTGCGCACGAGAGTAGGATAGCTCCAAATGCTCAACGAATTGTCGGGGAATCCACTAGAGCTCACAAGTTCGCGGTAGTGGTTACTCCATCGGAGGCTGGTTACTTGAGAACCAGTGTCGATGCTGTTGGTTCTAGCCCCAGTTGTTGTGTTCCAGAAATGGATGTGCTTGTCATATGAACCTCCACCGGTTGCCAAAAGGTTGGTTTGCCATGGACACCAGCTGAGAGCTTTCACAGCAGCCCGGTGGTTGGATTTAGTAAATTTAGGTGCGCTAAGGGAGCGGGAGTCCCAGATAGAAACCAAATTGTCGTTTCCGCCAGTTGCCAGTTGTGCGCCATCCGACCTCCACTCGAGGCCGCAGACTTCTGAAGTGTGAGAAATGAGCTCTGCTGTCTTGTGTTGGGCGATGCGAACGTCGTGGTTGAATACAAGGCCACTACGTGCTCCAGTGGACAGCGTGTGTTTTGACCATCCCATCACACCGACACGCGTTTCATGCCCAAACATACTTCGAAGTTTGGTGCCCTCTTCCACATCCCAGATTTGAACCTCACCAGTTCCTAGGCCGACGCCAACATAGGCACCATCGTTGCTCCATTTCACACTGCTAATATAGGTGTCTGGAGAAGTTTCGAGCAAGCAGTTCACGGAACCACTATCAGCAGACCAGACATATACATTACGTTCAAGTCCAATGGCCACCTGGTTACCCGAACTCCAATCCAACAAGTTCAAATAATAGTCGTCAACAAGCCCTGGCGCATCCAAAACACGTTCAGGGGCTGTCTGCACCCTGCGTCTAAACTGAGCGGATTGTGAGTGCGCAGGCTTCAGCGGACGGTTGTACTGAGAGCGAAGGTCAATGGGTTTGGATGACTCTGGAGCTGGAGGTTTGAACGCGAGGATTCGGGTATTGAGCGGAATATTGCATGCGGAGGCCAAGGAAGACTTATAAGCTACAGCATCCGGGGCCGGCCTTGAGTAGCTGCTGCTGTCATCATCATTGATATTTAAGCTCTGCAATGCATCTGAAATATCATCTTCGTGGCCGCTGAAAGCACCAGCAGCATTTGCAAGCACGGAAGAGCCATCTCCCCCGTTGGGTTTTGGTTGTTTGTCCGATTTAGCAGTACCTGCTGTGACAAGCCCTTCGCTAGCCGTACGATTAGGGATAAATCGATCTGCTGCATTGTGCGGTAGGTTAATGGTAGTTTTGGCTGGTCTGGAGCGAAGACTTGTCCCCTTCTTCACACGTTTCTTCTGTGGTGTTTGGCCAGATGGGCCAGTTCCTGTCAAGGTCCACTGTGAAACTCCGAGTTCGAGAGGGCGCGGCGAGCCTTTTCCTTTGGCGATGTTTGATTTTGGGGAATCTCGATATGTTTTTGAGATTGATCTGAGATTTCCGCTAAACAGCCTTTTCGATGGCCCTTGGGGAGTTAGTGGTGAAGAGTCTGGTGAAACATGGCTGGCACTTGGTGCTCTTTGCTTAGGAGAAGGCGTCAAAGGTATACGACCGCCAGCTGTCTTGGAAGAAAAAATGCCATGTTGGCGCTTAACAGGGGTGGACACGACCGCCGTTGCCATTAGATCTAAGAGTATTGCATTAGCCACCGTGCCTTAATATATATTATATGAGAGACAGGGCGTACGTTGTGTATTTTGATTAAAGCTGAAAGCAAAGATAATGACCCAATACTGCTAAACAGAAACGACCAGCTAAATACGGAGTAGACCTGCTTCTATTAAGGTATAAGGATTTAATGCGGGCGGGATACTATCAAAAAAACTAAGGTACCAGAGGAAATAGAGTGAAAGGGCGAGGGGAAATAAAACAGGTGGACATAGAGGGCCATGGACGGTTTTAAAGTAAATATTTACATTGTTGTTGTTTCCCAGGCAACATGAGTGCCGTTATGCGCCAGTCCAGATATGGTTAGACCTCTTATATTAAAGTTTTCAGGTGTTGGAACCATTTCCGGAAAGTTCGACTGGTTGCCTCATGCTCTCGCCTTTCAGCGCCAGGCTTCTTCCTTACCAACCTCCCACCAAAAGCCTCGCAACGGCCTGCACATCAAAGCAGACCATCCACTTTGCCCCAGCTCCGGGCATTTGTTTTCAGCGTTGCTGCGCTTGCCTTCTCATAAAGTTGCCGCGCTTCAGCAACGGTCCAATCATTTGTCGCCATTTTGAGCCGTTCGCCTTCGATGTCTACTCATGTCTCTGTCAACTTCGACCACGCAGCCCAGTGACGGAAACAGTAATGCGATCGCTGGTTTAACAGATTCCAATAGACCCCTGGATATATTGCCATCCTCCACTCCCAGTGCCGCGCTTAACACGTACCTTATGCCCACTAGCCCTTCCAAGAATCGCCATGGCAGTGATAGCTACCGTCCAACGGTGAAGCGATCCACAGGGCAGATCCCCGCATGCCTCGTCAACGCATCTGTAACATATTGCGGGAATAATCAAATCTACGCTTTTGGCGGGTTTGATCAGTATACCGATGAAGGTGCGTACCTGTAAAAGCTCCTTATCTACTTTCCTATCTCCGAGGCTAAGCAAACATTCGACCGTATAGTTTACAACCATGTCCGTCGACTAGACCTCAAAACGCTGAAATGGACCGTTGTCGATAATTATGGAGATATTCCGGGCGTTCGGATGGGTATATTTCTCTCATGCCATATTGACATACAACGGAACTAATGCTCCATAGGCCACACAGCAACCCTATACGAAAATGACAAATTAATCGTTTTTGGAGGCGAGAACGAACGCCAAGAATACCTTTCTGATGTTGTCATCCTTGACTTGAATTCCTCGACATGGACATCACCTGAAATTCGTGGGCCTGTTCCTAGAGGAAGGGCACGCCACGCTGCCGTGATTTATGAGGACAAGTTATTCGTGATTGGCGGCGTTACCGGCGAAACTAACTATATACTCGACGAAATATGTTATCTTGACTTAAGAACCTGGACTTGGTCCCGTACGTGGAGCTTTGTTGCTCGATTTGATCACACCGCCTGGGTTTGGGGGGATAGACTCTGGGTTTTTGGTGGTCTTGGTATTGATATGGAACGTGGAACGGATCTGTGGTGGCTAGATTTGAAAGGAAGCCCATCGTTTATGGGTCCTTTGGCATCGTCTCAAGGTACCGTGGGATCTCCAGCAATCCCGGACAGGATGGCTTACAGCCCAGACATGCAATTTAGTTCCTCATCTCAGATTTCGGGACGGCCAAATGGATATGCACCCAATTCTAGCAGTGTTCAGGTCCGGTCACTAGGTCGACGGCGAGCCAATGCTCCCGGGGCTATCGCTTCCGTCAAATTCCATTCCGGTCCATTTACTCCCGTCCTGCTATCCGGAACGCATTTTCATGTTTTCACCTCCGGTGTCCTCCTTGATCTTGTCACGCCATCTGATACCGTTCGTTCTTGGGAATGCAACTTATCTTCCTTGGAGCTAGACACCTTGCGCTGGCAAAGACTTGCGGATGGCCCCGAGATATTCAATTCTGGACACCGATGGCATTATTGTACCGTCAATGAAAACGGTACCAAAGCTTGGCTTCTCGGATGCAATATAAATCCCAATAATGCACCAGGTATGGGTGACGAAAACCATTTGAGCGAAGTTCTCCCCATCGATTTAGAGCAATACGGTATTCTGGGAAACGAATCCTCAAATCAAATTAGGGCATCATCTGATGGTCTGCCGTCTTCCCAATTGTCTGGTTTAGGAGCCGAGCTAGCTACCGTGTTTGATCAACCTCCACAGTCTGGAAGTGGGACAGACTTTGCGATTACTGCTGATTGTGATGATCCCGACTATAACAGCGAGGAAGAACACTCATTGATATCCAATCCTTCCCACCCAACCCCTACCTTCTTGTCTTCTGATGCTAATACCTCTGCGCCAATTCACGTCCACCGTATCATTCTCCAGGCCCGCTGGCCACATTTCAAGCGTCTCTATGCGGCACAAATGGCAGAATTTCATACAAATAGGATGCATATTCCTGAGCCGTATAAAGTTGTGCGAGCTTTTCTTTATTTCCTATATACTGACAGCATTGCGTGTCATCCTGATTTCTGCCCGGATATCAGTGAAGTTGCAGGTATGCTCGTGATGGCAAATCTTTATGATATGCCCCGATTGCGCCTGCTTTGTGTTTACCGACTTAGTCGTGAGCTAGCAGTGGAAAATGCAGCCATAGTATGGGAGCGAGCTGGCCGAACAAATGAAGAATGGCTTAAGCGTCGTGCTGCAGCATTCTGCATGGCCAACTGGGGCCGTATTGTCCGAACAGAAGGATTCCGAAATCTTAATAGGCAAAGCCTTATGGAATTATGCGAGGTGGTCGATATGGAAGGACGGGTTGTGGGCGGTCACGAGCTGGAGTTTGCAGCCGGGTGGGGCAATGAACGATATGACTTGAACGGCGATGTCAAGCGATCCCGTGCCCCTCCTGCAGGTGAAAGCGACGAGATCGAAGGGGAAGAAGACGACGGAATGGAACTTTCATAAATCTTTCCAGTCAAGCAAAGATTGAAAATGTGGCAAATATACCAGATGACGTTTTTTCATTTAATGATGTGATGAATTTATTATGGCGGCGGCGTTGGCATGGGGAATTTGGCGATCAACTGAAGACGATACGTTTTACGATATTATATACACAACATAGAAGCTATCAACTACTACCTCAAAAGTAATTTTACAAAGCAGTGTTGAACCTTCAAGCTGGTGGCTCGTTTGACACGGCATTCGGATTAACCAATTCCGATCAAACTTTACTGAGGTCAAAATTCCCAGCAACTCTGTGAACCTTGCATCTCCGAAAACGGTTTTAATATAACCAATACGCCAGTGCCAGTGAAAATGAGGGACGGCATCTCAACCGGTACAGTTTCACCGCGAGTGGCACCGTACGACGATAACACGCAACATTCGAAAAATGGCGGTACCCAGGGCTTCGAAGAGTCCCCTGCGAAAAGGATAAAACTGGATGGGCCTGAAACGAATACACAGAGTAGTGATAATTCGCGGAGAAAGGGTACTGCGCCAATAAAAGAAGAGTAGGTATCTTCTGATACCGTACATATGCCCTCTGCTGAAGGTCGCTATGCTGATCACGGGATAATAGGTACTTGATTCGCTTAAATCGTGAATCTGCCGCCCTACCGGGTACTGACGTACGGGATGACGAGGAGGCAGAGGCTGCTCATCATAAGGAACGAACCAACGAGAAAAATGGGAATCAGAGGAAAAAGCAGAAGGGGCAAAATACGGGGCGCAGATTTGGAAAATCGCAAGACATCAAAGGTCTCTGCCAGAGTGTGACCCATAGCCCTGAATTCTCGCCAAATCCTTGTCAGTTTGCAAGCAATTGCCGTTACGAGCATGACTTGCGCAAATATTTAAAGGACTATAAGCGGGAGAATCTAGAAACGTTCAATGGCATCTGCCCCGTCTGGGAGGCTTATGGGGTATGCTTTTCAGGATGGAAGTGCAGATTTGTTGGATCACATATGGTAGAGCGAAACTTGGGAGATGGAAAAACAGAACTGGTTTTACTAGAGGACCAAGAGCGGAAAAAAGCAGCTACCCCGCTGGTAGACGGCGCTATCGAGGCTGGAGTCTTGAATTCTATATCGACGGAGTCAAAAGTTGATCTTATGAAGAAGAGATATCAAACTCCAAAGGCTAATGCCTATATTTCCTGGCTTGATGAAACTTCTAAGCAATTGGAAAAACATATCCATGGCAGGAAGTTCGACGGTGATGACGAATGTGCGGAAACAAGTGGCGAAGCAAATGGTCCCACGGAAGACAACAGAGCGCAATACAAAGAGCCTCCATTTCTTCCTTCTGAAAAGAGAAGATTATATTTTGGTGCAGAGACGCCAGTCTTGGCTCCGCTTACAACACAAGGCAACCTTCCTTTTCGGAGGCTCTGTGTAGAACTGGGCGCACAGTTTACTTATTCCGAAATGGCTATGAGTCTACCTCTGATCCAGGGCCACAAAGGCGAGTGGGCTCTGATGAAGGCCCATCAGTCTGAGGCAATATCGCCCACCGTCGCCTCAAAGCAGACTATAGTCAAAGAATACGATAATTCCAAAGATCTGAAATTCGGAGCCCAAATCTCTGCTAACAAGCCATGGCAAGCATTAAAGGCCACAGAAATAATGACCGCTCTTTGTCCGCATCTCCGTGTTGTTGATCTTAACTGTGGTTGCCCTATTGACCTTGTTTACAGAGACGGCGCTGGCTCGGCACTTCTTGAACACCCGTCCAGGTTAGAAAAAATCCTGCGAGGAATGAATGCCGTCTCTGGTGAAGTCCCAGTTAGTGCAAAGATTCGAATGGGCACAAAGGATAACAGCCCTACGGCGCTCAAGCTTGCAGAACGCCTTGTTCTTGGAGGCCCTGAATTTGGCGGTATTGGCTTTGGACCACCGGGAGTGGGTGCAATTACACTTCACGGTCGAAGCAGACAGCAGCGATATACGCGAGAGGCTGACTGGAGCTACATAGCCGAATGTGCAACTCTTATCAACAGGCTCAATCAGAAATCTGATGATGTGACGGATACAGTACGAGAGCCAGAAGAGCGACTTCAGCCTTCTGGAAAAAAGGTGTTTTTTCTTGGGAACGGTGACTGTTATTCCCACGAAGATTATTTCAAATCCATTCAAGAGTCCTCCGTGGATACTGTGATGATAGCTCGGGGGGCACTCATGAAACCCTGGATTTTCGAAGAGATTCAAGCAGGGCAGTATTTGGACAAATCCTCCTCGGAGCGCCTAGGTCTGATTGAAAAATTTGCTAAGTATGGCCTTGACGCATGGGGCTCCGACGAACACGGAGTTGGAACAACACGACGGTTTCTTCTTGAAATGCTGAGCTTCACCCATCGATACATTCCAATTGGGCTCCTGGAATATCTTCCCCCGAGAATCCAGGATAGACCGCCTGCATATTCTGGGAGAAATGAATTAGAGACATTACTTGCGAGTGATAACTATAAGGATTGGATTAAAATAAGGTATGCTACCTTGAATTTGCTTCCCCTACACATATTACTTTTGAATACGTTCTAATGCTTTTCTTGTAGTGAAATGTTTCTTGGCCCAGCACACAAGGATTTCAAATTTGAACCAAAACACAAGTCGAATAGCTATGAGATCGAAGGCTAATCTAGTAAAGTAAAAATATTGGTTATGGCTGGATTGATGAAGCCCAATGGCAACTGAATGTTAAATTCCATCTCCATTTGCGATTCCTCAAAGCTTCATAGTATATGTGGCCTCCACCGTCCTTCGTAGAGCTTTATCCACGGAACATTATATCTTCCATTTCCGAGAATCCCCTAGCCACATATTGAATGTATGCGCCACAACTTTCAGCCAATGATAATGAAAGAAAGTCTCCACTATGATGACGTCTATGTGGCTTTCCACCACCAAACTTGGCTGGCTTTGTTATTTAGGTAGAGCTACGCAACCACTTCATTCCTTGAAGTTTCCCACACATCTCGCCTACCCACGCACTGTCAAGGTTCCAATTTACCTGGTACCAAAATTTCCACTCTACACGTAAGACTGTTCTGATTTTATCTACACGTTGAAGTCAGTAACCAATTCAGGATCAGATTTGCAAGCCAGGAGGCACCAGCAAAGCTTGACATACTACGTGGGAAAATACTCCGTCAAAATGACGCTCTATTACACTCTTGTACGTATCACCATATTGCCTTTGGCCTGTTCATACTGTGGTCGAAGCTAATGGAATCCTTCTGTGATAGGTATTCCTCCTTTTGGTGCTCGAAATGGTCATCTTTGTCGGCCTGATTGTTCCTCTGCCTTTCACTTGGAAGCGAGCGCTGTTTACATTTATATCGGAAAGCCCCATTGTCGCGAAGTTGCAATATGGAATGAAGGTAATGAACGACTTGGTTATTTCGATAGCTCGAGCTGACAACGGTTGAAGATTACTTTTATTTTCATTCTCATCCTCTTTATCGATAGTGTCAACCGGGTCTACCGCGTTCAGATCGAACTATCTGCGTACTCCAAGGATGGGACTGCGGCTGGGTATGTTTGATTTTCTCAATATACGTTTGTACTGACGACAGAGGATCATTGCTAATCGTTTTTTCCTGTAAGCATCAGAGCTAGCGCCATTGGCTCTGAACGAATGGAAGTTCAAGCTCGAAAATTCTATTCCCAGCGTAACATGTATCTTTGCGGCTTTACCTTGTTCCTCTCTCTCATTCTGAACCGTACATACACCATGATCCTTGAGATTCTTCGACTTGAGGATAAAGTCAAGCAGCTCCAAGGTGACAAGACCGCTGGTGGAAAAGATTCCGCTCGCCTTGCCGCTGCAGGTGATATGGGTGAGATTGGTCGTTTGAAGAAGGAGCTTGCCTCCCGGGAGAAAGATCTTGAAGCTATGAAGAAGCAGAGCGAGGGTCTTTCAAAGGAATACGCGGAGCTGAGCGATAAATTCTCCAAGGAGAACCCTAACCCTACCCCAAAAAAAGAGCGGTAAACTCGTTCAATATGATTCTAGGACTTCCGGCTGCTTTTTCGGCTTGGCTTCCTATCTATTCTACGAGGTCAAATATCTGAAATATCACCTTTCCTCAATGAACGCCAGCCAAGAAGGTGGGACCCTTTGTTTTAGGTCAACTTACGGTATCAAGGGCTTGCTTGAAAGAAATAAGCAACTTATATGTAAAATGGTGTGTTTCTTCTACATGGCATGTATGGAGCGACTTACTCGAGTTTTTCATTTTGCACGACAAAATATGTAAACCAGCTACATGTCAATTATCACTGGTGTATATTCCACTCTATCATTCGCATTAGCAAAATAACATCACTTTTCTAAATGAGAAACGTCCAAAAACTAGGATAGACGAATTCCTCCTCGAATATGCGACGAACTTGCTCAAGGACAAATCTTTCAACCTTGCCTACATTCTTTAATACTTGTTTTCCATCCTCTTTCCGACCAATTTCGCTTTCAACCCGAATGTCACGAAGCAGGCTGTCATCTCGTCGTCTAGAAGAGGGAACAGCACCATCAGATTCCCCCGAAAAGGAGTTTCTGGTTTGCATACTTCCAGCTCCTGTGTTATCGTCCGTGCCAATGAGCGTATCTGCATCCTCTTGAGACAGAAAACAGAAATGTACACGCTTTCTTATGTATGCTACAACGGCGACCCCATCAAACGTGAGGCCAGTTATGTTTAGCTTTAACGGCAGACCCAGGAAATTGGGCATAGGATAATCAAGTAGGACCTGAGCAGTCAGGGATATTTGTATATTCCCATTGTATTTCATTCGGCAAAGAACTTGAAGATCTTCGGGATTTTTCTCCTGCATCCGTCGTGGAGGGGGGCTGCTTTCCCTATCAGGGGGAGTCGCTGGCCGTGATTCGTTGGATGACTGGGGACGGGGACTGCGACGCAAAGGGGTATCCGAGATATTATGGGACTGATGTGAGTCCAACGTGGCAGACGTCGAGGGTCTAGAATTTTTGGAATCAATATCATCGGATTCACGACGCGTAAATCGAGACATATCACGTCCTTGCAAGCTCGAGATGTCTCCAAACACAGAAGAGTCGCGTAGACCGGGAGAGAAGGGCCCACGAGGAAGAGGCGTTTGCGTGCCAGATATCCCGCCTAGCGGCATGTAATAGCCCAGATTGGATGTGCCACCTGGAATTCCCGGTGTACCGGCTCGAGGGAAGAAGTAAGAATTCAATGGCTCCCCAAAGGGCATGGGAGGCCGCAATGACCCTGAGGTCACAGTATCCCCTCTTGAAGAAGCTGGAGCATCATGAGACCCTACCTTTCCTGGCGATTGCTGGCCAAATAATCGTGGATGTTCCGCCTGCCATGGCGCCTCTCCGCTCCTAGCGTCCTGGGGGTTTGATACTGGATTCGTGGGGGATCCGTCCGAGTCACTCGAGACATATCCATCTTCCTCGTCTTCCTCGTAAAAATCTTCAAACGGGTCGCATAGTTCCTTTATCTGGAGCTCAGGGCTGATCGTGCCGAAATCGAAAGAGTTTACCTCCACAGAGCGGATGAACCGAGGGAGGGCAATTTGCTGGAACTTGTCGTGGACGAAGGATCGGATACGCTCTGCGAGGGCTTCGCCATCTGGGCCCGAGGTAGCGGCCTCCCAGTTAATATCTATGGACATTACATGAGTGAGCCGGGTCGTTGTTGGAGCGTCGGTCGCGTCTTACAACTTAGATCTAATGTCATTCCTACAGCGGGGGGTCCACAACAAGAGGGTCACGTGAAGGAGATGACTTCCGAAATGGGTTTTGACCAGCTTCTGCGGGAAAAACAGCGAGACGACAAGCCTAGCGCTGGACACGGGCTCAGCCATGGAGCCGCTGCAGCTATTGATTATTTTCTATTTTCTTCTCTCACATGTTTTGATCCAAGCGCCCCTCTGCTTGCCAAATATCTCGTTGTGATACTATTGCAAACTGTCTCGTGCCAGGGCGCAGGAGTGGAGCATGGGCCATCTATTTTATGCAGCATCTCACTGATGGAGAACTATAATTGCATCCTACCCTCTGGTAGGCATGGAGACGCGGAGTGCACACGCCACACAACCTCGGCCTTTTATCCCTTTACAGTCGTGATCCTAGTCCAAGGTCCCATCTACGCTCGTAAAGGCTAATGAATTTTGTTATCAAACAGGACAGCAGCCCTTTTTTTCCCCTTCATGGTATGATCCTGAAGTACTCCGTACCTACTTACTGGCTTCCAAATCCACCCAGAAGCGCAAAATTCTGTATGTTCGGGTATTTTTGTAAAAGACCTGTGAACCGTATTTCCAATGAGAAATACAACACATGGACAAAATACTAGTCAAGCCACTTGATTAGTTACTGAAGCCATTCATTGATTGTGAAACCACCTACATATCATCTAATCCGGGCGATCCTGGGGCCGAATTTTCTCCATGACCGCCCTGGCCGCAAAGTGCCCGAAATAGTTGATTATTGGAACGGGGCGACTGATGGCCTTGCCTCTCTTGCATACTCTTATTTTATGAGAACCTCGGACTCAGAGGTGATTCGTTGACTATTACCACCCTGTCCCCGTTTTAGCCATGGTTTTCACGCGCGAACTAGCATGATTTCTATCAAATCGACCTATTGAAGCAGCAGTCCCTTCGCGCAACGTGCGAAAGATGTTCGCCTGATGCTACCATATTGCGATGCAGGTTGCTGATCAAGGTTTCAGGTATCGTTTAGCCGAGACGCACCTTGCTTTTGCATAGACTCGGGCTTACATAGTACTGTGATTCAAGAGGTTGAAAAAGACTGTATTTTCCAAAAAATGAGGCACGGCACAAGTCCTCTGATAAGACCCATCAGCGGCCCTATCCACAACACATTCCATGCACCACGCCATTTCTGGTGTCTCTGTGGATGCTCCCAGAGATCCACCTCTGCTCTTGTGCAGGAAACTCTCGGCCCCTGCCGCATGAGTGAAGTATCACCTGATTTATAGTGTATGTTGGTGATCATGCATTTGTCCAGGGATATACATACGAGTTCGGGGGGCGCCGCTTGGGTACCAGGGATTTGCGCGTGCACAAGAATCAAACCAACTGGTCGCATGGGATTCCCATTGTCTGCCAACATTTTGTTTTCCGATGGGATTGCGGCACCGACCCAAAGGTAGCCAGTGATATTTAATCGCCAAGCCGTGGTCAACCCAACGAGCGCACCGCTCTTCGGTCTTTCAAGAAGTCCGCATAGCGGCTATACGCCTAACTGCTTGTGCCACATTGCGATAACTCTTCACAAGTGAGTTGTATAATATTCGTGGGTCAAATCATCTGGGCCGACCCCAATATCTATCATTACCAACAGCGGCAGAGAAGTTTTCTCGGCAATTTTTACACTCGTGCCGCAGTTAGGGTGCACAATCACCTTCGATACTTGGACATGTGGCCTCGCTATTGGAGGCAATTGTAGTGGGTCTTCGTGGTGAAATGGGCTGTAGACCAGAAGATCAATGTGGAATTATTCCGATACCTTGCAAGTCAGTCAGGTAGCGAACTCCGGCCTTGCGAGCTAGGTATCACGCACCACGACTCAAGTCGTTTACATGGCAGCCACACCCAGCTAGCATCGATGTACCGTTGTCCGAGATTAGCCTCGCGGCACTGCAGACCAGCACAAAATCCCAAGACTCAATTGTGAGCGGAGAAGCTTCTGTCTATCCTGGAGCGGGAAAGCTGCCGTAACCCATGCGTACTCCGTACACGGCACAGCTTACTATTCTAGGATTGTGATAGTTCATATCTTTCATGAATAGTGAGACTCGTAGTATTCGAACTTCGGCTGCCGTGTCTAGCAGATCTTATCACAGACCACAGCAGCCTCGGAAGGCCGACACTGCTTACACGTCACTCTCGACCCGAAAAACGGTGAGCCTGCATATTTCATACAGCATTTTCAACGTAAAGGCCGAAGTACCCCACAGGTATTCAACGGCATTCCTGCTCCCGTATCCCGACGGCGATGATACCAAGGACTAGCATTCTCTTTGCTTTGATAGTCTCTATCAGCCTTGGTTTCTCGTGCGGGAAAGGACCCCAACCGGCTCGCACAAGTAGAGGGCGAATTTTTCCCTGCCAGTGTGACATACAGACAACAAGGCAACTTGTAACCAAGGGAGGGGGGGGACGCGAGGCCCAAAAGCCATCGGTTCGCTCGCATCTGAGGTTGGCAAATGCGCTGTGCCGCAGACTTCGGGAACAACCTGCAGCTGCGTTTGAGTTCTCCTCGTGAATGGGGGGAGGGGTGTGACCCCCTGAGAGCCCACCGGGCGGCCCAGCAAAGAGATGCGCCGCCGCCCCCAGTGTTCCATACAACCCGCGAGGTCTCAGCAGGCAGAGAGTTGTATTCTAGGGATGCGTCTAGGTCCATGGCTCACCAGGCAGGGGATTCAATAAGGATTGTGAAATTAAGGCGATCAGCCGCTGCGGCCAATAGGCGCCTCCCTCCCCCAAGCTAGGTAAACAACCCCTCCGGACAGCATTCTCATCCCGCCGCCTTATCAATATCACGGCTGAGAGAATGGCTACGCCTCTCAAGTTCCAGCAGGAAAATGAAGAATCTACTTGACAAAATTCCCGCAAAATCGCTCACTGTGAGGCTCAATGATAGCGAATGTTTGTGAGACTTTTTCATGGGCCACGATGGCGCAATTCAGGCGCCCAAAGGTGACAAAGACAGACCGTGATACAAGCTGGCCTAGAAGACATTGGACTCTGATTATGGTGATAAAATTAGAATTATGTATTACACAGGAAGCTGTGACAGCATCTAGTGAAAGGCTGGAATCATCATAGTAGTTATTACCGCAATATTTCTAATATCGCACTTCAAGAATGCTCCGGAACAGTAGTGAGAAAACCGAACATTTTGAATGAAACAGGACAACATATAGAAAGTAATGTTTAGTGGCGTTTTGTAGCTTTAAATAATAGTAGTAGAGACGATATGTAAAAGAGTAAAAACGCAAAATAATAGTTAGATTAGACACGAGACGACTAGCATCATCGTCGAGGCTCCCGATCTTTCGTTGCCGTCCGATGAGGAGCCGGAAAGCAGTATTTTCTTCAAACAAGGAGATTGCCCATTTCCACCTCGAAATCTAACGGCAGCACGCCTGCGGGCTTTGATGAAAAAATAACGCTTTGACGGTGTCGCGTCTAGAAGAGAGATATATTAGCAATGTGGAAGACATCCACGCGAATAATGGGTTCGAAGATGTACAGATCAAGTTATCCACTGCCACCATGCTTTGCGCAGTTTCCAGGTCGGATAGTGTACTTCTTCCTGACTTCACCTTGGTTTCCGGAAGCTTGGGTGCCAGAGCCCTGAGTTGAGCCCTGATTCCCTGTGCTCTGATTCCTGGAGCCTGAAGACTGGGTTGGGTCTTGACATGTCGCAACGTTGCCGACAAAGCTCGTGCAGCCGCATTGAAACCTTTCCCACCACTGGACAGACATACTGGCAGAACACGGGTGAATCGACGATTGTGTAAATAAGTGTAGGGGCACCAGGTGGTGGGCGGTGCAATTGGCTGGTTGGTAGAGGCGTAAGTATCGATGGTTGAGTGTAGGCCAAAAGGGTGAGAGAAGACTGAATAGATAATAGTAGTCTATAGACTGGCTTTGTTGTCTGAGTCAACAGAAGCGATCTGGGTCTGCAAAGCCCTTTTATACACAACTTGCGGTTTTTGCGGCGAGCTTGGCAACAAGAAATTTCAAGAGGCACAGTCACATATCAGCCCCAGAAGCCAGAGCGCGCCGTATGGCTTGGATATCTGGAAATGGGCAGGCACCGGTGGTCAGGGGAGAAAGAGTAAAGGAGCACAGTATCGCAAAGATTAAACTCAGAAATTTTTGAGATCCAACAAATGAGCGTAAAAACAAAACAGTACAAGGCCCGGTGCTGTTGGCGTTGATCCCTGAAAAAGACGACAGTATCCTGGAGGCTCCCTATCAGTGGCACGGCGAGAGAATGCGGTTTCATCGCCGCCAAGCACCCTGCGTTAGCTCGCGGGATGGGCTCTGCATCCGCTTTTAACGGAAGTATAGCAGACTAGGCCATAGACTTGGGTCAGATTGGCTGATACAGTGATCATCAGTGTGATGCGGAAGAGCAATCCCGGTAATTGCGCCAGACAGCCAACGGAGAACGAGTAGCTCCTCGCATACACCGTTTGCTATGACTACAAATGTGCGCCGAAGACAAGTCTTCTTGGGGCGCATGCAGTACTCTAGAAATTGTTCTGAGGTAGAAGTTCAGACACTGCCCCAAAATCTCCAGGTTTCTCCACCTGTGGGTATTCTGCAAAGCGTTACCTCAAGCAAGAAATCCTAAGAGGCGAAATTCGGAAAAGAAAAACCCGAAAAAGAGGACAACCACACGTTTCCTGCAGTGTACGTAGGGCATCGCCCAACGAGAGGCCTTGCTATTGCAAAACAGGTGACCATAAGCATATGCCGGTTTTTCGGAAAGTATCTGCAGTGTATCGAACAAATAACGGTCTGCCGCTGCGGCCATCTGTTAGACCCCGGTTTCTGTCGCAGTGCGCATTTGCAGAACAATGGCATTGTTGCAGGTCAGAAATACGACGCATGTGCCCTTGTGGGGAAGCTGCCTTGACAGCATAAGGACGGTGAGAACCCACCGCTGGGAAGGTCCGGCAATGGAAAACTCAATAAGGTTGCGCAACGATGCATCATTGGATGGGTAGTATTGAAAAGAGCAATGTCATAGGCTGTGCCGCTAACTTCGGAAGTTAACAATAGTGGGAAAACATCCTGAACAAAAGAAACATAACCCCGAGGGGGGGATCACGGAGGGGGCAAAAACTGCAGCCGGAACAGAAATCTGTTGCATATAGATAGGCCCATTATTCCAAGCCTGATATTTTGCGCCAGAGGAATCGACTGTGCCGTTTGCCTAAACGTGACGCCTCTTTTTTCTACCAGACATGTCTGACGGTATCCACACCAATAGGACAACGGTTAAACTGTGAGTTTGCTGTCTAGAGGGCCACAGCAGGCTTGGACTAATGGGAAACAAGAGCAGCTGCCGTCCAGAGCCCGGAACATTGGTCAGAATACGGCCTGGATGCCAAAGGTGTCCCACCAAGATGGAGACGAGGCGGAGGCGCCCATGGGGGTGGAGGGACAATGGTATTGTTCTGCGCATGAGGATCACACACCAGTCCAATTGTTCGGGGCCAGAGGCTACCTATTCGAGCCTGGTGGCAGCGACAGAGTTCGGGGATGTCGGCGACTGGCCATGGGAGGACTGAGGCGTTGTCAGATGGGGGCAATAACCATGGCGAGGCAGCCGCTCCTGCGAGGCCAGCTGGGCCAATGGGCCCCGGGGTCAGGCCTCTCGCCTCGACGGGGTCTGGCGATGAGTGCAGGGCGCGCCAGCCATACGGAGGACCGAAGCTGGGGGGTTTGGCCTGAACAGGAGGTGGGAAAGGAGGTGTTTGTGCAAGATGGCTAACCGCGCGCTAACAGAGCGGAGCAGCCGGACCAAACAGAAGCCGCGAAAGGGAATGCCCGGCATGGGATGGGGCTGAAGCAAGCCAGGGGGGGCGGCGGGCTCAGCAGAAGTGCGCTGCGGCGCAACAGGGCCACGCAGGGCAGAAAAGGCGTCCATCAAGGCAACGAGCAGAGGGGAGGGAGGAAGAGAGTGGGAGGAGAGGGAGGAGGAGAAGAGAGAGACGAGAGCGCGCGATGTCTAAATAAAGCGTATCAGGTGATTCGCCCCGCCCGCTGAGCCTCCCCCCGTTGCATCGCCAGCTCGACGAGCGGCATCACGGAGTCATGGTTGCCTCTGCGATGGGCGATCAGCCGTCGTGCTGGCCCTCTCTTCCAGGTCGTGCAAAGCGCTTGGCTGGTCCCTTTGCGGCGCCAATGGCACCAGGCATCACTCTTGGTGCGGGCGGACGGGCAGCCCCCGTTGTGGTCGGCATCTTGGTCGTGATCTGATCAGCAGCTCAGCGAGAGAAGAGCAGCCTACACTATTCAATAACGCCCGCAGACTGTCCAGCGTCCTGTGCGGGCTTGATACCCCATCGTTGGTTCTTCCATCCTCCCACAGCCCCCCTTTTCCCCTCATCTTCCCCTCAACACGCGTTGCGGTCGGCTCGCAGATCTTCCGGAACGCGGCGACTGTTCTGTTCCTGAAAGCGCCCGAAGCTTCTTTGTGACGTCCTTCCCTTGGCGCTTCGGTGCTCATGATCTCCCGGAAGTTTTACAGGCCGGAGAGTTAAGTTAGTTAGGCTGCCCTTGGCGAGGTGTTGACGCCAGAAAGCCGGCTGTTTTCGGCGGGCGCCGCCAGCGCGCCGTGATGTTGCTGCTGCTGCTGCGGCTGCTGCTAACGAGTGAATTGTCCGGCTCGACTGCAGGCTTCCAAGGTATCTGTACAACAGAGAGGGGTGCCCGCAGCCAGAGGGGATGGATCTGGGCCAATGCCTGCGCCATGAGCCTTGGTCGTCTTTGCCTGCGGGCATCTCTGCTCCTAGCGTGGAGCTGGCGTTTGACCGGGGGGGGGGCAATAAATTTTAATGTTTGCGTATTACCGTCCGCTAACTCGTCGAACCCCAGTTTTTTACTTTAATTTTTTTTTTTTCTCCAAAAATTCCCGTCTGGTCCTGTGACGGCTGTTGGCGAGACAAGTGGTTCACCCGTCGTCATGGTTGGAGGTCGTGCTTCGACGCTGCGAGAACGAAGTGTATATAAAGTCCCTCCATCCCGTCAGTGAAAGCAGCTCCCTTTCTTCTTTCAACCGCACAGGCAGTGAGACTCCCCAGTTGTCCCCCAAGTCCAATAATAAGCACCCCTCCCCCCTCTCCCCTCTACAATCTAAACACAAGAGACCCAACACTCTACGCCGCAATACGCCGCTCTTTGCATACGACATCTTCCAACAAACCCCCATTCCTTCCTGCGCCACCACCACCACCAACCATGTATACCTACACTGAGACCAACAAATTCCTCGTGCTCCTCCCCCAAGCCCACGCTGTTGCGCCGCTGGAGCTGGGCATGCCCTCCAAAGCCGCCGACCCCAGTGCTGAATCCTCCATCGACGAGAGCCAGGCCGTCGAGGCGATCCCTGTTACGTCCAAGTCGCACCGCTCGCCCAGCACTGGTGCCAGCATTGCGTCAGACGACAGCGCCCTGAGCTGCGGCTTTCTCAAGCTCGGTCTATAACCGAGTATCGAAGATCTACCTTGCAAGCCGTCCGATGCCCAAGGAACAAAGGCAAAAAAGAAAAGAAAACCACCAAAAAGTAATTTCTCGCTTCCAATCACCAGCTTACAAAATGTTTAACTTTGGCCAATCACCCTGATCAACCGCGTTCTGGCTGCCATCCCCTGCCTGCCGGCTACGCCCGGATGCTGGACAGTCGGCCCCCTATGATGATATCGGCGGCTATGTACTGCTATCCAATGGTGCCAGCGACCAAGGGTGTCTTCACTTCACTGCTGCGAGCTACCACATGCAAAAAACCCTGAGCGTCATTTCCTCGTTGTTCTTTGAGCGTTTCTCCATAGTTCCATGCTTTCCGCCCTTTTTTTGTTTTTTTATATAGGGTCTCAGGTCGAGTCACACCAAATTGGTTTCCTTTCTTTTTTTTTTTTCGCGCACGGGTTGGTTGGAATCCCTATCAAAACAGGCAGATTCGCCACATTGAGAGAATAAACTTTTAGCAGAGCAAAAAGAATACAAACCCCTAGCTATGATCCTCGAGAGGAATCAATAGTTAGTAATAATGAATAACATCCTCTGCAAGTCTCACAATCAAGAGCGCGTGACCATCAAAAAAGCGCCGAGGGCAATCTTAAAGCACGGCCCATAGTAGTAAAATAGCCCACGGAAGGAGTAAAAATAGAGACTTACCGGCGACATGTGCGCGCGCCTTGGACGGTCTGGCGGCGGAACGGAGGCTTCGTTGGGTTCGGGTCTTCTGGCCTGCCGGCAACAACCAAACTCGCGCCGCAGCAACCAAGGCAGGCAGGCTGGCTGGCGCAGCGGGTGCTCCGCGAGCCGTGCTGCCCCCGTTTGCTGCGGTGGTGCGGCGGGCGGGCGGGCGGTGGACGGAGCGAGACTCTCCGCCTGGGCAGCTGCACGCACTGATGGCCATGCCCGCACCAGCTCATCATCGTCATCATCAATGGGCCTGCGCGCGGGTGCGTGCGGCGTGCCCCCTCCCCTCCACTCCATCCCGGTCGCGTCCACGGCGAGAAAAGCAAAGAAAAGAAAGTCTCTTTTTGTCCTTGCTCACGATCGCAAGCGAGAGAGGCGGACGAAAAGGAAAATCACCACCGGCCTGGCCCGTCTAGCGTGCTGTTTTCCCCGCGCGAAGTCAGGCCATCGCCCGTGGAACAAGCATCGCGCCGTGCCACGCCCGCCCGGCCCCCGCCGAACTGCACGACAACGACAACAACCACAACAGCGCAACAAGCAGAGCAAGGCGACGGACCCTGAAATCTCTTAGGTAACAAGCCACGTCTTGCGGAAAGTCTCCGCGCATTATTATTCCTGCGTTCTGCGTTTCACATCGCCGAACCCTTGTTCTCGCCGGCACTCAACCTGATACGCCGCCGGCCCAGCCCTTTTGTAGCCGCCGGGCTGTCTGCATCGCGAGCATCGCGTCCCCCCCCGCCCATCCCGGGTAGTCCGTCAATTAATTATTCAGATGGGGCAGAGGAGATGGGCGAGACGGCCATGGAGCACTCGGCGTGGCCCGCCGGAGTTCTTGCACATTCTGGATATTGCATTAATTTACTATTGTACTGCAGGCGAACTGGAGATTGCTCCACTGCTGGCGACAGACAATCAGGAGGACGAACACACCGCTGCGCATACCGTTTCCAACCCCTAGAGGTTGGCCCTGTGTAATATGACAACCCGGGCTGTCCATCCGGGGCCCACTGCATTAGCTTAGTTACGACTGTGCGTTGGCGTTGGATGTTACTACCATCGACCTCAAACGACGACAGCATCACCGACTTGAAAGCAGAAGAACAAGCCCAGAGTGGCTGAAAAAATGGGCTGTCTATTTCCCCTTGCTTCTATCCAACCTCAAAATGAAATTGCCGTACAAACAGTGATCCCCTCGTCCCCAGTGTGCCTCTCAAAAACAGGTATACCCAGTAGGCAGTAGTATACAATCAATCGCCACGACAACTTCCAATTAAATGTATTCCGCGAGCCCGGGCCCCCCGGGCCATCCAATAGGTTCGATCCGGAGAAGCGCAAGGCCGCTGGATGCTAGAGTACAGAGGCAGGCTCACAACGGGAATCCAATGGGCTGGCAGCAAAACTTCCACGGCGAAAATGTGCATAATATCGGCTTGCACACGCCACCAAGAAGACACAAGGGCTGCTGCGTTGAATAAATGGTAGAATTTGGGGGGCTGATTAAGGCGATCAATGTGAAAAATAGAGCCTGAAGAAAGCAAATTGGAGGCCGCAACCTATTATGACATAGCAGTTTTCTGGACAGACGCAAACGCGCATTTTGGTGAAGGGAACCAGGTCTAATCCATTCTGAAAAACGAAGCAGAGATATGAAATAAGAACACCCTCCGCGAACTTGATTATCAAAATATTCGCACAATTACAAAAGTAGAGACAAGGGCAAGGGTGGGATGTGAATAACTCAAGGAAAAGGAAGAAACGGGGAAAAAAGGGGTGCGGGAAGTATGGTGGACAAAGGAAATTTCGGCTTTTTCTTTCGGAGAACCTTTCCGCAAAACAACTGTATAGACAGTGAAAGTGAAAGGAGACCAAAGCCGCAGGATCTTAAATGTAGCTCTAGTCAGGCAGGAGATGCATGGAGTGTAGGGTATTGCATCAGTTGAACGGAATTAATGAGACATCACTGCTGTGCGTTTCTCGCCCTCTGTTGATTCGTGTTCTGGTAGCCAACGGCGGCGAATTATTCGACCCCAGGATGTATAAATCTCTCAAAAAAAAGCTACCACGCTGAGGGCACAGGTAATGTTGATGTGAACGGGGTATTAAGAATGGGAACGCGGCGAAGGGAAGCAAACAATCGCTTTAGTCATGGAACTTGAAAATGTGGAAGAAATGCGAGTCGGCGACGAAAAGCAGGCGTGAGCTAGCGATCTTCACCAATCCTGGCTTTTCCTCTGCGGCGGAAAAAGTCCATGACTTTTCTAGCGGCGCCCGAGCTGCCTGCATGGTGTGGCTTATCATACTCATATGCATCCCCAAACTTGCGATTATTCTTTTGAAGAACATTGCTTCTTGCCATTCGTCCGCCCTGGGCGGTTGGATAAGGCACATATTCTGGATTTTGATGATACCCACCGTCATACACAGTCGAGAATGTTTGGTTGGGGTCAACTCGTCCTTGACTCGGAAACTGCTCTCCGGAGCGAATATTTGGAGCGCTTTGGTATTGGCTCTGGCGCTTGGTATCATAATCTTTTCGATTGTAATACTGATCGGGAGTCCCATGGAGGCTCGCAAACTGTCGATCAATTTGAGCTGAATAATCGGCTAAATCAGGATTATCTGCATAAATTCCAACATTGCCTTGTTGCTGGTACTGAGAAGATTCTGGGCGAGCCTGACTCGCAGTTTGATTTTGATAATGTGACGATCCTGGGCGGACATGAATGGGCTCCTGATTCTGGTAGTATAACGCATCATCAGATGCAATTGCAGGCGCCTTAGATGGCCTTGGTTGCTCCTGGGTTGTATCGCGTTGCATGTTACCTGGGTCGGTGGGCTGTGTTTGTAAGGATTCAATCGTCTCAACGTGCTCTTTTGTAGAGTTTCTTGAAAATAGGGTGGTTGGGAGGAGTGAAAATCTCCGTTGCCTATGCCCTGAGTTTGTATCACTCTGTTTACGAAAAACATTGGATAGTGAGCGACGGGAATCCATGGAAGCTCGAGAGCTATCCAACGCGAAGGGCTCTTTCATGCTAGTAGGCGGATATCGTTTTCCAGGTTTTACCCTTGGAGATCCAGGCTGAGAAGTCTTTCCGCCAAAGAATGAACCCGGGCGTCCAAACAGTTTCTCCGAAATACTGCTTACAGTACTTGACCGTTTGTGTCCTTTCGGGAAATCCTGTTGTGGTACATGTACGGGGCCTGGTAGAGTGCTCGGTTGGCCAATAGATGTTGCTGGGATTTCGCTAGGTTCTATCGGAATAGGAGCTGAGATGTATGGCTTCCCACCAAGATTCGGTTGCGCGAGGCGTCCTTGGGCGCTAGCAGTTGCAACAGCTGGAGCAACTGGCAGACTATAGGAGCCCCTAGAAGGCAAACGGTTATCCAGCCTGGAAGCAGACGAGATAGATCCACTGGTTGGAGGCCGCGTAGACTGTGCGGGCGGACCTTGAGTTCCAGAAAAGGCACCAGTTAATTCCGAAATAGACTTGGCAAGATCTTTTGATTTTGGTCTTGGCATACCTTGAGTGCGAATAGGCACAGAGGAATAACGACCAGGCAAATATGACTCCTGGAGGTTAGGCGGGTTGCTTGGTAAAGGTTTTGACCGTGATGCTGCGAGGCTCGCCATCTGGTTTGCTGCAGGTTGCGCGATGCGACTGCCACTATTGGGCTCGCCTCGTGTAGTTTGCGACTGGGGTGCAACGTATTCGACCTGCACTGTCCGTCTCTTCGCATCCCGCTGCTGCTTCGAGTGTTCACTGACACGGTCTAGGTCGCTCTGTAATGGTAGACCGCCAACATGTGCAGCAGAGGCCTGTTGGTGCGTCTTAGGAGGTTCCCTGACCGATGCACTACGGGCAAGAGAAGGGGTGTCATATTGATCCTCTGTATAAAAAGCTTGTTGGTTAGTAGCAAATAGGGTCAGATGAAGAGAGTTATGACTAACCAGAGGGCACTGTTGTGTTTGCAATGTCGGAGACATTCGTAGTGTTGCTGGTGATATGAGATACGACAGAGGCATATTCAGCCAGCCAGCTGTGTCTCGCGACTTCAAACAGATCTGCTCGCTTTCGTGGATCGGGAACAAGAATACGGCGAAGGAGGTCACGGGCGTGAGGGGTGACATATTCTGGGAAGGTAAGGGGGGTTGTCACGATGTATTTGTATAAGAGATTTATATTATCGCCGTCGGGGTTTGCAGGATCGTCATCGAAAGGCAGGTAGCCGGCAAGCATAGCATACTTGTAGAATCTTGGTTAGTTAGATTTCAACTAGATCTATCAGGCAGCATACCAATATAACTCCACAACTCCAAACGTCCACCTTGCGCCCTGTGTATAGAGAGTCGCTAACAACAAGTTCAGGAGCGGCGTAGCATGGGCTACCACAGCTGGTTTGCATAAGATCTCCTCGTCTCATGCCATGGGCGTCAGGACGATCAAGCCTCATTCGTTTCACAAACTCTCTATTGGTTAGATTGTATTCAATTTCTTCGCTCAGATCATCTGCCGGGTTAAAGGTGTTGGCAAAGCCGAAGTCAGTAATGATTATGTTGCGGTTTCGATCCAGTAGCAGGTTCTCAAGTTTTAGATCACGATGGACAATCCCTTTCTTGTGGAGATAGCCGACACCGGATACCAATTGAGCAAAGAGTCGACGAGCCGCGTTGTCTTTAAGATATCTGTGATTTAAAATATAATCAAACAATTCTCCACCCGAGGCATATTCTAAAATTATCCCAATATTACGTTCTGTCTCAACCATCTCGTGCAAACGGACGATATTGGGATGAGACAACTCCCGGAGAATGGCGATCTCGCGATGAATTTTCGGAAGCCGGCTTGGATTGTTTCCCAGGGTGTCGCGCCTAATCAGCTTGATAGCAACCTGAACGCTGCCATCCCGCTTCCAGCCAAGTCTCACTTTCCCGAATTCTCCTTCACCAAGGGTCTGACCGAGAATGTATTCACCAAAAGTCGTTTCTTTGTGCTTCGCTGTCGAATAGTCCTGTCTGCTCCTAGTTCCAGCACCTGTATCCGAGCTCTCAGGACGATCGAAATTCGCAGCGCCACAGGCTTGAGCTTCAGCCTGGCGCTGTCTCTCGCGCGCAATATCGACCTCCGGGTCAGTGACAACGATTCGATTGGTGATTGTGCTATCTTCCTTCGTCAGTCCCGTGGCGAAGGAGCTAGGCCCCATTGCGGCTTCTGATCGACTCTCCATCGCCGAGGGCCCGTGATCTCGTCGTTCTCTGGTGCTTGCAGCTCTTCGTGGGCCTTCCGGGGAGGGTGGGGCTTTTCGGCGAGGCTTAGATGACGAGGTATCGTCTTTGGGTCTATCTCTATGACTGGGGACATGAGACCTTTCTCTATCTCCCTGGTCTCTTCTATCTTCTCTTCGTTTGGTTTTTGAGGAACCATTTCTATCAGCAGGCGAGGTAGTGGATGGGGACGCATGGCTTCGATTATTCGACGAGGTACGTGGAGGAGGGACCGGAGGCGTTCCTAGGATGTCAGATAGTCCTGGTCGATTGGGCTGCGCGTTGGCGGGGCTATATCCTGAAGTAGAGCTTATTGGAACAGTGCCCAGAACTGGGGCCCTTTGTTGTTGTTCGTGCAGTGAAGCCATTGTTGCAGGGCTGTAAGGCGTGCGTGGCTGTGAGTTCACGGTGTCACTGGAAGTCACAGCATTGTTGGGCAGCTCATGGGGCGTCCAATGGGGTGTCTGAGGGGCTGTGGGCGGCTGGAAGAGCTGCTTAGGCGACGCGGAAGTTGGTGCATACTGGCCAGACACTTGAACAGGGCTTGGCTGGGGCGGCGCCTGCATCGCAGACGACATGCCTTCCCAGGGGCAGAGAGGGCAGCTCGGAGGTAGCTGCGGCCCTTGTATCTCAGCCACAGACAAGGGGAGAGGCAGAAAGAGGCTCTACCAGAACAATTTGCCGTGTTTGACGCGTCAAAGCCGGGGAGTGAGGGAGAGGAACAGGATGGGCGGCGTTCAGGTGGTTCCTGTGAGAAGTCACCTGAACGAGGATGTGTTGCTCACCAGAAGAAAAAGCAAGTGAGCCCAGGGATGTGCCGGCGTGGTGCAGGTCATAAGGGAAGAGACGGTCAGAAACACATCAGAAAATAAGTCACTAGGGAAGTTCCGAAAGATTGGAGGCCCACAGATCTAATGCGCAATAGTGCCAGACACACCGCTACCAGGCTTGATGCAGCAGCCAGCACAGCTCTGATGGCTCATGTACAGCCACCTATTATACTACTCCCTGATTTCCTAGCTAGACAATGTGGACTCTCTCCCGACAAGACAACCACACAGTGAAGCTGTTGTCAACAGAATAAATTATTGGGCAACAAAGAGGCCAGAGGTAGGAGAGTCCCAACACCCAGGCTAGAATTGAAAAACGATTCGCAATGGGGCTATCAACCACGGAGAAACGAATGAGCCGGGTTTTTAGCAAGCCTTCTATCAGATCGGTGCGAACGACGGCTTCGGTCGAAGCCAGCGACACAAGCAGGCACCTTCTTCTCACGGTGAAAGCGCACAAGGACGGACGGCTTGGGCGGAGCAGCGAAGCATGATCGAGCGAACGCAGGCCACGGAGAGACAAGGCGCCGCTGGGAAGAAGGGGACTGTCCGGGACGTGGAGAGCGAGAGAGAGAGCGAATATTGCCGGCCGGGCGGCGGTCAGCGTCAGTCTACTAGTTAGACGGGGCGGCAGACGGGGGCGAAAAGGGGCGACGCGACGGGGGAGAGGGACGCCACGAGCGACAGACACACAGCTGTCACCAAGCGACCAGGCAGAGCAGACGGAGCGGCGGAGGAGAAGGAGGAGGGAGAGGGAGAGAAAGAGAGAGAGGCACGGACGGGAGAAACGAGAGTCGCGGGCTGGGGGAGGAGATGTTGTCGTGGGAGACGCATGTCGCATTGGCGCTCTAAGCTAGCGTTCCGCGTCCGTAAGCAGTTAAAGCGGATCTGCTTCGCTGGCCGGCCGCTTGGCGCTGTTTGGGCCGCCCAGCCCGTCGCGCGCCATGTGAAGCTGCTGGCCGGCGTTGTTTCTCCTCTGTTTCGGCCGGCCTGCGCGCTGCTCGTCCTTCGGGTCTGCAGCGCAGCAGTAGTTAGTGTAGCTACGCGACTGCTCTGGGCCTGCGCCGTGATGCCGTGCCCGCCCGCTGGCCCTGTCCCCAAGCCCGTCGCGGAGCAGCGGATCCCTCGCAACCACCGCGATATCTCCCCTGGCTATACCTACACCGCGCTGCGCGCATCTCGCTGCCCCCGCCGAGTCCGCGAGGCAAATTGGGCGGACTGCGCAGGAGAGCTCGTCGTGTCTGCTGCCGCCTGCCAGCGTGGCCACTTGTTTCAAGAAAAAGCACAGAGAAACAAAAAAGTCGATAGTCGCGCAGCCAATATTCATGCGGCCCGTGAAGAAGGCGAAAAAACAAATCCTTTGATTTAATTTCATTCTTTTCCGATTTGCCGGCCCTTCCACGGACAGGTGCCAATCCTACGCAGCGAAATAATTAAACAGCGATGGAGCCTTAAGGCGCGAACGCGGCCCAATTCCAGACTTCCACTGGTACTATACACTACTAGCTAGGGGGCAGCCTTCGGGTGGAGAGCGCCATTCGATCCAACATCACGGTAAACGGCGAAAATCTCAATCATGTGCAGGTCATAACTCGTCATTTAGTGTCCCAAATCCATATCCTAGTCCCTTTATAGTCCAATTAAGCCGTCGTCCTCCACAGTGCACAAAAATAAGCTCTCATAAGGCGAAACTCAAAAAATCCAGATGGCGTAAGATAATAAGCACCGCGACCATACTAAAAAGAAAAATAGATTGTCCACTTCATCGCTTCGATCCTTGCATCGCAGTCCCACCGAGCGACACGTCGTTTCGCGTGCCGTAGGCCGGCGGTGGCGTGGGAGACGGCGAGGATGCACGAGGGTGTGAAAGCGCGCCGGACGACTGGCCGGAATCGCCCACGGCTACTTTGCCAGAGTCCAAACCCAGGGGAACTTGGCCCCCATCGCCGCCGCCCACAATCACCTCTTGTCCATCGCGCATACGCCCGACAACCATCCCCTTGGCCACGGATTTGAGAATCGCCTTGCGAGACACGCCAGCCGCATCGATATACACCAGCCCCACGTTCTTGACGCCGCCAGTGAGATTCGACGTTGCCGTTCGCGCCTCATTGCCGTACTTGTGGCCAATTACGGTCGTGGCCGCGAGTGATCCAGATTCCATGAGATTGCGTGCGCCCTGTTCGAGCCCGTCTCCAATCGTGCTGAAGGCAATCAACGACTTGTTGAGAATTCCGGGCTTGTTGTATGGTTTCCCATCCTTATCAAATCCCTTTGACCGGGAGTCCTTGTCTCCCTTGCGCGCCATGGCTGCTCCAAAGTTTTGCGCATATTTGCCAATCTGCCCAACGGTCTTCGAAGACAATGTGGCTGCCGAGCTAGATATAGTATTGATGCGTCGAATATGCGCCTGCGTTGTGGGTGTGAAAGTCATCGGTTTAGCGTTAGGTTTGGTCTTCTTCGTGAATGTGTCCGCGCCTGAGTGAAGGGCATTGGAAATGTGAACAGAAGTGGTAACTATCAGTCTTGAAGCCATTGCTGCGCTTTGTACTAACGATGACTTTGCGTATGCCGGGTGGTTTGCTAAGCGAAGATATTCGGGAGGCGCATTGCTGACATTGATTTGATTTCCTTCCCCTTGGGCAGGTAGTTGGATTTGAACAGGGTCTATTGCTGACGTTAGTAGACCCACAGCGAACTTGACAATCGCATCACTTACTTTTTGAACCTGGCTTCACATCGGCAGCCTCTGTAACATGGAAGCCTTCAGACAATTGTCCCACGACGCTCCCATTTTCCTCATCAACGAGAACAATCTGACCCTGGCCGGGCTTTTGTTTCTCCTTCCCACTACCACCATAGCCTTGCCCAGCTTCATAGGTTGCAGGGTTATAGGGCTCGTGGTAATTGGGCGGCTGTGCACGCTCAAGGAATGCAGTGCACTGTGCTAAAATAGTCTCAAAGGTATCGACGTCCTCCTGGCTTACTTTCCCAGCACCTGTACCAACAGGTGGAAACTGAATTCTTGTGAATGCTCCAGCCTCGAGGCTTAAATCCCAGCGGGGGATTAGGTAACTATTCGGTGGCTGGTGGTATATCTGGGTGGTAGCAGGGAGGGGAAGTTCCAGCTCTGGAGGCAGATGTAAGTGGAGGTAAAAATCCTCTTCGGTCGTCTCAGGGTTTGTGGGGTCGGAGCAAGGAGCAGTTGTGGGCACCATCAGAAGGGAGAGGGTTTGGGGCCCCGAGACGGTCAGTTCATCCTCCTGCCCATTCTGGAGGTGAAAAGCACGGATGTTGTCGATGCTGAAGCACAGGCGGGGATCGTTGACCGTTTGCGACATTTTGAGGTGGTGCTATCAACAACGAGGGGCACTTGAACTCTGCACAAAACAGTTGAACGGGCTATCTATAAACAAATTTTAAATGGATAGAGATAGAGTGCTATAAATATTATCGGCAGCTTACCCTCTTTCTTGTAAAGAACCGAAGCGGGCTGCAAAATGGGAAATGTTGAATGAGGTTGCCTTGATTGACCCCTCGCAGGCGCTTAAGGACGTGACCGCCAAGCGGCTCAGCCACCGAGTTACCATGCTGGGAGGGCATCTTGATTGGCCTACAGTGCGGAAATCCCCATAATTTTATGTTTGCCGTGCAGGGGAAGTGTGACATCATTTCCGCTGTCGTCAAGGGGCTGCACCGCCACATATTGTGGCTGAAACGTATCGCCATCCGGATCAGGCAGCAAAGTACACGATGGAACAGGACTCCAGGCGAGGGGGTGTAATTAACCAACTATGTGGCTGAGAAACTGATTTGCCTTTCCTGGAGTGCAACTACATTTCACCCGCGCCCCCCATTACGATGCATCTTTTAGCATTCAGCTATGAGATTCTTCCGAGGCTCACACAGATGGATGTAGATTTCAAGGCATGCAAAGCAGTTATACTACCCACGCCACGCGCCCTTGTATGGTACCTAATACCGTCTAAAAAAAATTGCCCGCAAGTCACCCGATCTCGCAAATTCTCCGAGATTTCGACTCTGGAAAGGTCCGCTTATAACCGAGGCTCTTATCGATCACGTGTAGAGCCTATGGCCGCCCGGCCGACCTTGGCGTTTTCGGCACTGTTCATCTGCTGGAATCCCAATCTAGGGAGTAATTTTTTTAGATCTCTTTTTATCACCCCTGATCTGTTAGTTTTTCCTTAAGCTAGATCTTCACACTTTTCTCTTTGCAATATGGCATCCGTTGCTCGAGCTCTGCGGCCTCTGTCCGCCAGGGCATCCCTCCTTTCCGGCGCTCGCAGACCTACAGCCTCTAAAGCGTTGCAATGGTGAATTGCGGATGTGCCTACCATATACGTGAGCTAACAGATCAATTTCTAGCTCCCGTCTTTTCTCTACAACTTCTCCCCGTCGCGAAGTTGATCTCACAAGCTTAACACCGACACCCATCACCCTCCTTTCGGAGACGGAGGCCATGATGGCCGAGTCCGTTTCGAAGTTCGCCCAAGAGCAGATTGGTCCAAAAGTGAGAGATATGGACGAGGCAGAGACTATGGACCCTACAGTTGTCGAGCAGCTCTTTGAACAGGGGCTGATGGGTGTCGAAATCCCTGAGGAGTATGGTGGCGCCGGAATGAATTTCACCTCAGCAATTGTAGGAATTGAGGAGCTGGCTCGTGTTGACCCAAGTGTCTCTGTTATGGTCGACGTACATAATACACTCGTCAACACTGCCATTTTGAAGTACGGCAGTGCGGAGATTAAGAAAACGTGGCTGCCACGACTTGCGACCAACACTGTTGGTTCTTTTTGCTTGTCTGAACCCGTATCAGGCTCGGATGCATTTGCGCTTCAGACTAAAGCTACGAAAACCAACTCCGGGTATAAGATCAACGGCTCAAAAATGTGGATCACCAACTCGATGGAGGCCGGATGCTTTATTGTGTTCGCCAATATTGACCCTAGCAAAGGATATAAGGGCATCACTGCTTTCATTGTAGAAAAGGGTACCAAGGGTTTCAGCATTGCGAAGAAGGAGAAGAAACTTGGCATACGCGCCAGCAGTACTTGTGTCCTTAACTTCGACGATGTAGAAATTCCGAAAGGCAACATTCTTGGCGAAGAAGGCCAGGGTTATAAGTACGCAATTAGCCTCTTAAATGAAGGCCGAATTGGTATCGCCGCCCAGATGACAGGGTTAGCTCTTGGTGCCTGGGAGAACGCTGCCGGGTATGTATTAAAAATCGCAAATCCCTTTTCACTCTTGACTCTTGTATTGCGTTTTCTTCCAAAAGCTCCGCTTTACTAACGCTGCCTTCAAGTTACGTATGGAACGATCGGAAGCAATTCGGCCAACTCATCGGAACCTTTCAAGGAATGCAACACCAGATTGCGCAAGCATATACCGATATTTCCGCAGCCCGCGCCTTGGTCTACAATGCCGCTCGCAAGAAGGAAGCTGGCCAAGATTTTGTAATGGATGCTGCTATGGCTAAACTTTATGCCTCTCAGGTTGCTGGGCGTGTTTCTAGCTCTGCAGTTGAGTGGATGGGTGGAATGGGCTTTGTGAGGGAGGGCATCGCAGAAAAGATGTTTAGAGATAGCAAGATCGGAGCTATCTACGAGGGTACCAGCAATATCCAACTCCAAACTATTGCAAAGTCCTTGCAGAAGGTTTACACCAAATAAATGACTACGCAAATGTAAAAACAAAAATCCAGTGGAAGTGTCTTTCTAAGCGAAGTAGCGGTGTTTACGCGTCGACTTTTTGAGCAAAATATGATGTATATATGGGTACCAGGTCATTTACCCTTGGAACTTGTCAGTGATGAAATGCATGATCTCGATACGAAACACTCTACCAGGAGATAGAAAACCAAAGCACCAAATAAATTTCCAAAATTCTCAAGTAATTCCCTAAAGTATTCGACATGCCAGAAAGAAGTATCCTAATACGAAGCAATGGGATACTTCGTTGAAGAAGAAAATCGTAACCTCATGAACCGTCTATCACAATGCGTCCATGGAGAATGCCGGCTATTTTTTACCACCCATTATTCCAAAATCGAAGAAGATAATACAGACAAAAACTCCAGCTGGCGCTTTTCTCGGGCTCGCGACGTGAAAGACCGTGTCTTACTAGTGATACCGCAAAGCGAAGTATTTAGCTGGGAAGACCCATTGGCTGGTAACCTGGTTATGCATGACCGCAACATTAATCACCTCCAACTTTTCCCAGGGCATTTTCAATCAAACCAAAGGGTCAACGTCCGACTCACCTGGTGACCAAAGTGAATACCCAAGCCGCTCAAAAATCATCTTCAGGTCTTCGTGCACAGCAGCCAATGTCCATACCCAGAGAATACCTCTTGCGACCTGCACTACGCGGTCTTGGGCGCCCCAGCCTTCGCGTCAAGCATCGAGCCATTGCCCCCGTTGCCATGGCCGTTTGGGAGTGATTCCAGTGCGTCTCTTTGTCGATTCATCGATACCGCGGTACTGCCGCTGCGTGTGGACTTCTGACGGCACATTCCAAGCACCAGGAAGCAGACAAGGCACGCCCACGCCCCGCCGATAATTAACAGGGTTTGAAGGAGGAGGTCCATGGTTTTCCAGAGTCAACGTAACGTCCAGAAGAAATTTTTTGGATGTAGGGAGACAAGCAGGTACAAAATGAAGGGGTTTCGGATTAAATATAAGCACGGACAATGCTCGTGTTTTCTTCTCTTTGCGCAAACGATGATATAAAGAAGTTACATGCAAAGAAAGTAAGGGAAAATTTCCACTGCTCGCCTGATGGCGGTCAAGCTTTGTTTCCGCTGCACGAGCACAAGAATGGTAATCTTCAAGGTTCGCTGTTTGTTCGAGCCTTCGGCCCGATTGACGACTCTCGCGAGCAAATTCTAATGGGTGGAAAAATAATAATACATACTCAAAAACCAAGCAAAGACAAGAGAATTGGCCTCTTACATTGATCCTCCCCGCGACTGTTTCGCGAACGGCTGATAAAGAAAATGCAAAAACGTCGATTTCAGTCACTAATTGACCAAAAAGTATGCGTACGCTTCGGGCTCAGGCTGTGTTTGATGAAACGCTGCCCTGTATAACATGAAGCCGTGTATTCACTTTTCTCCAATCATTGAGCATGCCGGCGCACAGAATGGTAGGGATACCTAGTTAATGCACGATGGGCACACTGATCCTTCCTTTTCCCGGTTTGCTTGTCGAATCCGTCGTGTTGTGGACCAGTTGCATTGATGTAGAGAACGCGACTGATCTGGAAGAAGACGAAAGTACACGATTACCTCAAGCAAAATTTGGCTAATTTTGAAGCCTATATCAGTTGCTTCGTAAATAGTTACTTGGGACTAACCCTCAATTGCCTAGCCATTTGCTCAACACTGCTGGCGATCGTCGTTTTTCGCACTATCACCTGCGGCTCTTACGCACCAAAGCATAAAAATTAGTTAACGATCCCTGCAGCCACGTTTAGTTATGTATATTGTTTGACAAATTTGCGAACAGGGTTACTCTGAAGAAATTTGAGTGGTATTCGAGTCATATTTCAAACAGTCCGATAAAAGCAAGATAAAAATTTCCGACGAGCATTCATCAAAGAAATTTTGGTAGGCGGTCCACAATGTATAAGTTACTCGCTCGCTTATGAATGGTACTCCAGCGTGGCTGAAAAGGAGGGCGGGAACAATCTATATTAACTGGAATAACAATGGACTACTCTACATGTCCCTTGATTTATTTTAAGATTGAATATCCCCAAGAACAGATGGCTACCAGGCGGCGTTTTGATATGTGGTTGGGAAATAACGAGCGCAATCATCTGAGCGTCTGGTTTCAGAGAGCGGTAGCCCTGCAGTGCGATTTAAGATCAGCATTTAAATTCTGATGGATTGCCGTCAAGCAAAAGAAAAAAGCATACTGGAGCTTCTGTCAAGCATTGATTAATACGCCAACCGCTGTGGGCTGGGTGCCAAGAAGAGAAAGATGGAAGCAAACCAGGTCAGCGTATTCCGCATCTAACAACCTTGTCAAAAAGTGTCCTTGCCCCCTTTGAATTGGATCCGTGTTGACTGCCCGAGGCTGAAGCCGATGGCGGTGCATACCCGAAACATCGTAAGCGATGGAGGGAGAGAATGCGAGTGTTTGCGGCGAGCATAGGCGCTGGGAGATCAGCACCGCAGCCAATATCTACCGTTAAATTGCACAGGCAGGGTGATCGAATGCACCTCATAGGTTTGAGTGGATCAGGAGGGCCCTCATAACCTGTAGCTGGATATCCAGCAGGAGTGGAGAAACCGGTGCCAGTAAGCGCTCACTTCCATTTGGCAAACACCCAGCAACCATGTCGTTCCCCGGGCGATTGCGAGAAAAGTTAGTGGGCTTCTTCCACAGGTCGGCGGCTATTCCATGTTTGAGGTTAATCCAAGTTGACGTGCAACGCTCAGCGCTGTTTGGCTACAAGTTGGGCGGCTGCAAGCCACCCGCTATTTATAACCAGCGCTGTTCCTATCTTGGCCTAGCCTTCATAACTACCATCCCCCGTACCGACTAGGAAATTCGAAACCTCATCCATCAGTCGCGCGCTCTCGACCTTCCATTTTTCACCGGCAACCGCTCGAGTGAAACAATACTCGACCACGATGCCGGGTCACATATGGCGGCAGCATTGCTAAAAACGACATTTCTGAAACAACGGGCTCCCCCCGCATGTTGAAATCGTGCAATGCTTCCCAACCATCTGTGCCTCAGGGCCTCGCGCGTTTATATTCTGCTCCGTGTATGGACGTAACCCGGGCCATTGGAGAATGCAGAGAGACTGATTCGGAAACCTAGAGGCTCTATCGTGCGCAATGGTCTCTCCGTCTGTTTCACCTTCGGCCAAAGTCCGGGCGGCTCTCCCCCCTCGATGGCGATGTCATCAGCTGTGGGCCCAGGAATCTATACTCCTGAGCTTGTTGGGTACGCGTGAGGACTGGAAATGATGCATCTGGCCTGAATTTTACTGCACGGCTGACCCTAAGCCAGGGTTCACACCTCGCGCTTAGGCTTACCCAGTGGTTTGTTGTGTCAGGAGTCGCCGTGGAATTCAAAATCCGCTTTGAAACTAGATTCTATAGGCTCCGAGTAAAGCTCCATTTTCTTTCGGAAATGGGCGATGTTGTTGTCTCTGTCCTTTGGCGATTCCAGAGATTACTGGAAGAGCCGCATACTTTTCTCTATAAATCAAGCTATTCCTCCCACAAGAAAGATAAAATAACACACACTTGAATCCGACAAAAACTTCCATTCTTCTCTACTTTATATCTCTCACACGCTCCATATGTCCTTGGCACTTCTCTCGCTATTCATTTTCAATAGACAAACCCCTTACATCTTCAAACCTTGCTATGCCTTGCAATCGAAGCTTCCAGTACGGTCTATCTTCCAGAGATTACCGGGGAGGCGGAAAGGAACCGCCTCGTTCCTTTGGACCCGAGTACTTCAGGGAACATGGCTGTTTTCCCTCTTTGGATTGGAGCAATTTTGACCCTCCATACCGTGGCAAAGGATTTTTTGAAGTCGTGACGCGCGATCTGCCACACCATCCATCACTGGGAGATAGGTACTACTGTGGAGACTCATGTTCACCACTATTCAGGGCCAGCTATTCCGGCGACATACCCGAAATCCGACCACGAACCGAAGAACTTAGCTTTTCGGATTACAGCACCCCTACAGCGGGCGGCCGGCAGTTTTATCTCCTTAAAATGATGCTCAAAGGTACCGGAGTGCATCCGGTTTTGCCAAAGGGACGTGTGCCCGGTGGGATATCCGAACTCTATGAAAAATACCTAGACGACTCTCCAGTAGTCCCTGAAATTCGCCCTTCTAACCACAGAGGAAAACGGCCTCTATCACCGCCCTCTCGTGATTCTTCTGCTTTCCAAGGGTCATATAGAAAGAAACTATTTGCGCCTTCGAATTCTCGACCATTTACGTACTCGATTGACTCTAGTTCCACCCGCCTCGGTCGCTCGTCTCCTCCGAGGACACCCCCAGAGTCTTATCGAAGATACCCACCTAACTCCCCTAGTTTCTCTATATCTGGTGGCTCTTCAAAGTCTCCATCAAGGTCACCTTGTGGCTCTGGGTGCCGATGTACACCTCCACCAGCTCCCCCTCCTATTGCTTCCGCTAGGTCTCCCTCAAGGAGCCCTTCTACATCTGCTTCGAACCGTTCTCCTCCATTGATCCAGAGTGATCCAATTTTGAGGCCGCCTCGTAAGACTCGATCCGGTGCTAAAGCACCGGCGCGCCAGTCCCCCATGCCAACGGTTGGTTCTCCACCGAAAGCAACACGTGGCACATCAACCCAAACCTCCCCCATCCTCATGGAGCCCAGGAAGCACGTTCGCTTCGCAGAGCCAGCTCCTAGTACTGAATCATCCAAGCCTAAGCGCAAACATGGTTCGCGCCGAAAGCCATGGCACTTCTGGATGGATTGACAATAACTCCACCCTCAGCGTTGATTTGCAGCCCCCATTTCTTTACTTTATCGATGCCTGTTATGCTTTATGGTTCTGAAATGCTGTCACTCTTTTTTCAACCTTTCCTTGAGTCACTCTTTGCCCTATACCCATTTTTCTGGTTTCCTTTGTTTATTATACTAGTCCCAGGGTTTCTGGGCTCCTTGATATGAATAGCTATGTAGTTACGCGCTTATGACAATATAACGACGGTTTATTATATTTGCATTCTGATGCGATGAGGATCAAAATCAGAGAATAATGGAGCTGAAGTAAATAAAGTAGCTTTTTATAGAGCATAGTTGAGACACTTAAATGATTATTGCCCGTGCACTTCGTTGCGTGTAGTAAAGCATATGCACTCACTAGTTAACTACCTAGGTACCTAACTACTCCGCAGGTAACCAGCCAAGCACTAGTCTTATGTAGTTGCATTGTAGTTGCGGTTTCCGGGCACATCGAATTTCCTCAGAAACATCAACGCGATCAGAAATCAAAAATCTAAACAAAACACCGTTGAATGCTTGCATTCTTGCCCACAGCTATATTACTGGTTAATAATGCTATTTCATCTCTGCTTCACCTCTGCGGCCTGCTGAGAGTTGACAAGTCTTCAATTCAATGCCAATGGCTGAGACTTACAAAGCCCGCAAGGAACAATTCGTCTCCAACCTCGCCGGTGGAGATATCTGGGAAATCAATGCCGTGACTCTTGCGGCACAGGTAAGACTTCATCTTTGAAGCTCAAAGCAGATTCTAATCGTGCGGCTTCTAGTCCGCCGTGCTCCTTTGGTCCGCACTTCAGTCCAGGCGCTCCTTCTTCTCCCCTTATACCATACCATCGCTCGTGGCCGATTTTCTACTCAACGTGCTGGCTATCCTCTTTGCAATCACTCTGTATTCCGATAAACCTACACTCCTAAATCTCCTTCTCATCGCTCCCGCCGTGTTCATACTTTTGGGACCAAAACCAACACAACCGCCCCAGAAAGCGAAACCACCGCAAGCGGCGCATAAATTATCAGATGGCGAATCCGATCTTAGTCTCGATTTACTTCCGGTTCGGCCTTTTCTCACTTTTTACCGGGGTGGGATGATGGTCATAACGTGCCTTGCAATTCTTGCTGTGGATTTCCGCGTCTTTCCCCGAAGATTTGCTAAAGTTGAAAACTGGGGGACATCTCTGATGGACCTAGGCGTTGGGTCGTTTGTATTCTCTGGGGGAGTGGTCTCTGCGCGTTCTATCCTCAAGTCACGCGTTTCAACAAAGGCTTCAGAATTACCGCGACGCTTCCTGGCCGCCATTCTGCGTTCAGTTCCTTTACTCGTGCTGGGCTTTATTCGGCTTTTCAGCGTGAAGGGGTTAGATTATGCAGAGCATGTTACCGAGTACGGAGTGCACTGGAACTTTTTCTTTACGTTGGCACTCTTATCCCCATTTGTGGAGATTTTCCATGCCCTAACCTCAGTCATTCCTTCCTACGAAGTGCTTTCTCTTCTCATCAGCGTCTTCTATCAGGTTCTCCTGGAATCTACGACGCTGAAGGAATATATCTTGATTTCCCCCAGAGGTCCGTCTCTCCTCTCAAAGAATCGAGAAGGAGTTTTCTCGTTCTTCGGATACCTGGCCATTTTTCTTTCTGGCAGGGGAACTGGCCTTCGCGTAATTCCTCGGGAGACGGGACTATCTAAAAGACCTTTCGAAGCACGCAAGAAGTTGCTGATACGTATGGCACTCTGGGCACTTCTCTGGACAGCTTTGTTTATATTCAATTCCTATCTCGTATTTGGGTTTGGGGCCGGCATCCCAGTGTCTCGTCGGCTCGCCAATATGCCATACGTTCTTTGGGTGATATCTTTCAACAATTTCCAACTGTTTTTCTTCTGCTTGCTCGAAACAATTTTCTTCCCTTCGGTGTACAGAGCTACCAGCCGAAAGGCTGAAACTGACAGTAGCAACCTCGCGACCAGCATGGTTATGAACGCATTTAACAAGAACGGCCTGGCCGTTTTCTTAGTTGCAAACCTTCTTACTGGGGCGGTCAACCTGGGGGTAAATACCCTAGACGCAAGCAGAGGAATGGCCATGGCTATCCTGATAGGGTATGCTGCGACATTAACTGGAATCTCGTTGGCGCTGCATAGATGGGGAATTGCGTTGAAAATTTGAATTTAATTTGTACTTTGTGATATCCGCGAAAAAGTATAACTACATAACGGGCGTATAGGACTAGTTAGCTATATAATCAATGGTTAGAGAGCGTATGTAGGATATGAAATGGGATTCTTTTTGAAATTATAGGGATGAGCACAATTGCATGAAGCTTTCAAGCATCGTCTTATATTTCTCTATCGCCCTCGCTTTGATCGCGTAGTTTTGCAGCAATAAAAAGCTCGGATCACATGCCGAGAGTGAGTGACGAGGCTTTGACTTGTGCAGTCGTCAGCTCCTTTTCGATCTCACCTTAAACTACGATCGCGCGACGGTCGCTGCCCATCGTTTATCCATTAACGTGTACTCCTTTGTTGGCATATTTGAACAAGATTCTTATTCTCGGCGTCTATTAGCAAAATGGTCGACAAAGCCAAGCAGCCTGAGTTCTACCTATATCCAACGCCAGTGGAAGGCCCCAAAACTCCATACAAGGACGATGCTAGCTACAACCCAGCTCTTCGGGGCAAATTGCTCGATATAGCAGCATCGATGTGTGTTTTTTCTCTCGTGGTTTCAATCAAAAGCTGACATTGCGGTCGTTAGAGTTCAGTTTTCTGGCCTTATACAGACAATTCTCTGGAAGAACGCTGGATTCGATATTCTACATTCCATTACAGAATTAGACGACTACGAACCACGATACGATCCCACCGTTATTCCCGCGACGAATTATGCCGGGCGGGCTCCCGCCACAGCTCCTGTCGGTTCTAAACGCCAGGGCGGATACTATGCCGCAGCTGACTACCGTGCGCTTTACCTCTCTGGCGAACTTACCCCCTTACAAGTTGTCGATGCTCTCCTACCGTTAGTTCGTCGAGATTCTTCGCCACCGGGCGAGCATTCTCTCGCGTTCCTGGAGTCGAAGGTGGATCTTATCCGCGCGGCTGCCGAAGCCTCGACAGCGAGGTATAAAAATGGTAGTTCTCTCGGACCATTAGATGGAGTCCCTGTCGCAGTTAAAGATGAGGTAGATCTGGAAGGCTACAAGAGGACATTGGGAAGTAAGCTGGATTTCACTCCTAAACACGGAGGGACGTCTTGGTGCGTGAAAAAATGGGAAAACGCTGGTGCCATTGTAATCGGGAAAACCAACATGCACGAGTTGGGCCTCGGTAAGTCATTACTATATACTATATGCTGTGTACAGCTACTTACGGGCCATCTGACAGATACGTCCAATAATAATCCTATCTACGGCACCCCTAGAAACCCTCACAACCCTAATTACTATACTGGTGGCTCTTCTGGCGGCTCTGCTTATGCTGTTGGTGCTGGAATCGTGCCAATCGCTCTTGGTGCAGATGGTGGTGGCTCAATTCGTATTCCAGCAAGCTTCTGTGGAATATATGGCTTAAAAACGACACATGGCCGTATCTCTGGGTCCCCAACATGTGGTCTTGCTTCTACTACCGGTGTTTTTGGCCCGATGGCTAGCAGCCTCGACGATCTTGAACTCTCATATAATCTAATGTCGATGCCAGACCCCGACAATTGGGCATCTTCTTGTTTCCCCGACACAACCGTCGCCACAGTTGTGGATTCTCGTCCGAAGGTTATAGGTGTTTATCAGGACTGGGTCAAGCGATCTGATGGCCCGGTTCTATCCCTTTTCAATAGAATGATTGAGTACTATCGTACACAACAGGGCTACGAAATCGTAGACATTCACATTCCTTATATTCCCGAAGGTCAAAAGGCTCACGCCCTTACTATCCTTTCTGAAATTGCTGCCGCCTTTTCAAAAGAGCAGACATCTAAGCTCTCTGCTCCAAACAAAGTGTTGGTCTCTAGTGGGAGCTCCCAGGTCTCAGCGCGAGATTTTTTTGCGGCACAGAGACTCCGCAGCCTACTAATGTCCCATTTGGCATTCTTGTTCAAAAAATACCCAGGCATGATTATCGCTACCCCTACTTTACCCGTAGAGGGATGGCGGATTTCTGGGGAGGCTGATTTAACACATGGTGTTAGCGACACCAACATGTCCGTACGTACCATGGAATTTGTCTATCTTGCCAACTTCTGCGGCTGTCCGTCCATTTCCTGTCCTATGGGCTATACCGATGATTCTGAAATTCCAGTTGGAATTATGGGCATGTCCGACTGGGGCAGCGAGTGGGCACTGATTGAATGGGCCCGTGATGGGAAGGGGGTCTTGGATGGTGAAGAGGACATTTCTAGCAATGGGAATGGCGCAATCGATGCTGGTGATCCAGCCATTGTGGTTGGAAAAGGTTTGAGAATACCTTCTACGAAGAATGGAGGCAAGTGGGTTGATGCGATCGGTCGAGTACTGCAGAGCACTGAAACTGTGCCATCTGCTGAGTGATAATGCGTCGCCACTTCACTGTTCTGTCGCCTTTAATGCAGAGGTGATGGTTAGAGGCTGTTTTCATATTGTTTGTATAGCAATATGAGATTAATGTTCTGATTCGGCTGTATATAGTTATATTCACCACTTCATCTTTTAGCAGTTCTCCCCTATCAATGAAAATATACCACTCAAGATGGCTACAGTTGCATTTAATGTTGGTTGGATCTTCAAATCATACACAGTCCGCTAGTGACTGTTATATGCTGGACCGTCTTTGGAAATTGCGAAAACAATTGTATATTAACTCTTTCAACATTAAAATTTATGAATACAGCATAGAATAATTTGTTATAATGTGGACATAAAGCAGCGGAGGCAATCGAAGCAAGAATGGATATCAAAATAGTTCACGAGGGTTGGATACTAATATCTAGCAAGATTCAGAGCCTAACGCTGACAAAGACCGATAAATAAGCTAATGACTCCGTGCGCTAAAGTAAAGAAAAGTCGTGATGCCGAGGGAGAACAACGTTATGTAGTGTAATCATATGGGAAATAATATCGTCGTATAAAGCATGTAAATTATGCTTTTCTTATCTTTTAAATATATGTCGATTCTCCAGCAACAGGGCCATAAAACTCGCAGCCTAACGCGGCCTTTTCTGCGGCTTCTTTCAGCTCTGATAGTATTTCATCTCTCGGGAATTCAGAATCCGCAAGAGATTCTTTGACATGAATGATATAGACCCGAAGCCCTCGTAGTGGTGGAGCTTCGGGCTCTGAAGGAGTGGGCTGGTCAACATCCATTTCATTAGGAGCAGAAGAATCCGGCGGTGCCTTTGTATCATCGATGTTAGCATCACTATCTTCTTGTTTGGACTTAGCAGTTCCTAGTAATTTATCTTCTCTAGACATTGGGGGCTCAAGTTTGGGTCGTAATGATTTAGGACTTAAAGCTTGTTCAAGTGGCTGGGCAGGAAAGCCCGGAACAGATGCTCGACGTTTACGTTTTCGGGACTCAGATGTTCTGTGTTGCATCCTGCGGTAACTTCGCACTTTACTTGCTAGCACACGTAGTTCTTGTATCAAATGTCGAGGGCAAAGATGTCCGTATAGAGTACTATCCTCGACCGAATTTGGATACGAACACTCAATAAAGATTGCCCGAAGTATACCGTTGACAATTTTAGGAGCGGCAGCTTCCCAAATACCCGCATTCCGGGGCTCTAATGAAATCAAATCTGGTTCAACGTCTCCAAAGATGATAATTTCGGATCCCGTACTTTCATCTCGAATAAAAAAAACCGAACTCTCTACTGTGGCTAGGGTTGGGTCTTTCCCACTGTTTCCAGATAGATGAGCTGTAGGGAATGAAGTTCTTATAGATTATCAGTATCCGGGATAAAGATAGGATGAAATTCGACGACGCTCACCTAAGGTCCGAAGTATCCATGGAGACTCGCCGAGATGGAAGTAAAATTGAATCTGCAGCAAAAACCGCACTTTCTGCTCGATGGTGTTTCCCAGTATCAGGGTTATATCGTTGTTTACATGAACCATGGCTGACAGCCATGCATTTGGTTGCTAAGCCATCACAGACCTTAACATACCCTTTGCCTTCTCCACGACCCAATCGCATATTCCCACCATCTACGAGACGTTGGTAAGTTACCAGACCTGCTCCCCCATCTTCATCTGAAAGATTTGGCCACGTAATATCATTGAATATATTGTGTTTCAGTGCTGCAATAACCGAAGGGAGGGCGGCAACCGTTTTCGGCCCAGATTGGAACTCGACAGCGGGAGTATTCATAGCCAGTCCAGCGACATGGTCAAGATGAGGGTGAGTAATGAGGACGGAGGAAATTATTTCGCGGAATATATACGCAGCGTTCGCGCGACTTGTTTTATTGGGAAGTTCCAAGCCGACAAAAGGCGCTTCTGAGGAAAAGGGTTCTTTAGTCTGCGATTCTTTACACTCTTTATCAGTCGTCTGGTTCTCGAGTATCCGGCAAATGCCGGACATCAATATCCCGGCATCGACAGCGACGGCGGAGTTCTTGGTCCAGTTCGTGTTTATGGACCGGACGAGTAGGCCTGTAACATTGTCTTCGCATGGCCCACCTGACGAACCCTAGGGACGCAGTATGACCATTAGCATCATTCAACAATATCCAGTACTACTTGACATGGACATATTTGAGTGCCCGTAAAACAATGGGTCCTGTTGGGGTCCAGCCTCTGAATAGCCAAAGGTGGAGATATTGGGGTGCGCCTGGGGGCGAAACATCGACCCTGGGCTTCGAATCCTAGTTAGTAGACATGGGCTTACCAGTATGATGACTTGAAACGCGTTTTCGCGTGGGCTAATACTGGGCTGCTCCACAGCGACACCACTCCCAGAGAGACGAGGCATCAGGCACCGCTGCACTTCTTGCCCACTGTTTCAGTAGAGGATTGGAAAGGGAGTTAGAAAGGCCGATAGGAGACAAGTACCCGGTCGATTTGAACGTTTGAAAAAGAGCTGACCATCAGGCAGGTACGGAACAGACCAGTCCAAGTACACAGGTGTATAGGATTGTCGACATTGTAAATGGGCGTGGAGGAGGCGGACGTAGCCTGGAGGCACACTAGGCTACCCGATTTGGGCGGGAGTCACAGACACCCCTTGGAAGGACCACGACAGCCGCATCGAAGCAAGACGGGGTCTGTAGCCCGGCTTTGTCTCGGATTGATATTATCGAGGGAGTTCTACGATGCTGGATTCGTTGCCACGATGACAGGAGAAGGGGCACATACGTATGGAGACTACAGGGTACTCCTTCGGCCGATCAGTTGCGGGAGAATATTGCTCCAGACAAAGAGACCATATAACTAACTGGAGGTAGGTTGCACGTCTAGGTTTTCCATATGGCTTGGAGACAGCGTCCCCAACTACAAGACCAACGTATTTATCTGACTCTTGCTTCCAACTCCTTGAATTCTGAGGAGAACGAGCGCTGCCGATGGCGCTCATGCCGGAGTAAAGTCGGCCCGGGCAGACACAAATTAAGGTTTCCCTGTCGGGTGACATGCAGAGACCGAGCGAGAGGCGTTTATGCGGCATACTAAGAGAAGTGTTGGCTGCTGGAATGCCTGAGCCGTCACGGAATAGTCCGTACGCACCTTTCAACCAAGGGTTTACGATGTTGTGATACCTGGAGTACCCTTGTTTCCGCCCCTCTTACCCACATCATTATCAAAGTGCGATCAGGGCCATCGGGGTCGTTGTTGTTGGAAGAGTACTGGGGCGGAAAAGAGTTTGAGAATGTCCGGATATATGTATGTAGTTGGGTATGTACGGTGGAGATACATATCAATAGGAATATAGTGTAAAATCTGTGCAAAATGACCGTAGGTATGCACTCCATAAAAGAGTATAGGCATGAAACTGGGGAATCAAAAACCTTCCAACATCAACCAAGACAGATTGTTTCCCCCATAACTACTGAATCAGGGAACAGTAGCTGAACCCGGCGTATTGAGGTATAATGGTACGATAATATCACCAAACGCCAAAGCAAAACGCAAAAACAATAGGATGGATATGAAAACGATCGTTACCGCCTCGTATTCCCAACCACCCTGTCAACGCCACGACACAGCATGACCGCTAAACCTTGAAACTCGAGAAAAGAAAAGAAAAAAGAGACCGATGCACTCATATGTACTCAGTAGGGAGACTGCAGCTGTGCGTAATCGCTGTCTAGGCGCCGGGGCGTTGTCTAAAAATAACACATAGGGGATGTCGCTACTGGCGTTGGCCAGAGGCACTGGAGGACACGGCAACATCGTAGGATGGGATTGGTGGATCATTAGTATTAGGTTCGATATCGATTCGAGTGTCGCCATCGTGGCTATCTGGAGGGCTTGTGCCAGGGCTAGAGTATTTGGGAGGCGGTTGATCAGGGTTCACGGGAGGGCGTATCGTTTGGTTGTCGTCATCTATGGGAGCGTTAACAGATCCAGATGTCCCATTATCGGCGTCCGGTTGCGGAGACATGTGTGGAAGGTGCGCCAGAGAAATATCTGTAGGAGAGCGAACAGGGCCGCCTTGGTTGAGCCGAACGGTGCCACTTCTGGTCCGCGAGTGTGCTGAATCCCACCATTGCGGTGTATGTGTGCTTTCACGGCCGGTCTCCAAAAGGATGCTACCTTGCTCGCTGCCGTATGGAGGTGGAGGAGCTAGACTTCCGGTCATAGGTGCGAGGCCCCATTTTTTCACGTTTGCTTCAATGAAAACAAAGCCAAGTTGGCCAAAATTAACGTGAACCGTACACGGGCCGTTCGCCCCAACAGTTGGAAAAAAATTTTGAGATTTGAGTCCATGAGCCACATCCTCCAGCTTCTTTCCATTTCGGGTAAAGAAAACGGTTCCGCTGCGTGGCCGATAACCAACACCGATAACGTCACCCTGCACAAATTCAGGGCCGTATGGAGTAGGGGTGAAAGGCTGGTTAAATCGGCGGTGGCCCGTGGACTGATAAGCTAGAGAGCATTTATGGAAGCCTGGGTTTCATCGACCAAAAAATCAGTGTGTTTCTCATGAAGTAGGAGTATCGCCACACATACCGGGTAATCTGAACAAAGGATACGGTTTTGTGGTCATGCCAATACTGATAAGACTCGACTCAGGTTTATCATATATCTTAGCTTCCCAGTAGTATACCTCATTTTGTTTTGGGACGGGTAGATTGCTCTGGACACTGCATTCAGAGTCGAAGAACTCGATCTCCGTCCGCGCTTCGACAAAGCAATTCGCGATCTCTAATTCAGGTTCAAACTCCCATGCAGATACACCTTTTTCTTGGATTGCCAGGAACTGTGATAAGGATATATCGGTCTGCGTTGATTCAGGGCGATTTGCCTGGACAAAGGCTGCAGATCGGAAGAGTGGGTTAGCCAAATATTTCCAGAGTGTATACCTTGGGCAAAATATTAATTAGGATAGGGAAAGAAATGGTACCTTTGGCTCTGAGGTATTCTGCCTGCTGCAGCTCATCCATCGACTCTAGGGCCTCAGCCTCTTCCCTAGCAAACGCTTGTTCATCGTCAAATTCCCCTGGCCGTCCCAGGCGGTCGAGAATAATACGACCACTTTGAGTATATCTGAGTAGGAAGAAAATAGCGAGAACGATAACTGCAACTCCAGCGGATCCCAAGGCAGAGAGTATCCCGATCAGGATGCCCTTTCCCGTTGACCCGACATTGCCACTCACGGACAACATGGCGGTTCTGTCGCCCGGGCTCACTCGTGATGGCGGATATCCATATCGAGCGGGACCTGGCGCTTGTAGGTATGGGTGGTATCGAGGAGTAATAGGACTATACGGTGGTGGTGTTGGCCGCGTGTCGAGGATGGAGGTTGTGAGAGTGGGTCGGGCGGTGATAAAGCCGTCTCGATCAATCATTGTTCATTCTCGAATCGCTCATGGGTGCAGTGGGACAAAAGATGTCTTGAGGTAGGGAGTAGTTGATACGTGCACTTCGCAGGTGGAATACCGCTAAAAATGAGAGACGCTGGTGGTGTTGCGGTGATGGATGATACAAGGACTCAGTCTGGGGCGTCAAACGCTGGGACAGGCGTCATTCTCGGCGGTGGCTCGGTGGGGGGCGGCCTAGCGAAACTCAACCGTCGGCCAAACCCTTCCACTGCCAGCTATGAACCAAGGCCGCCGTCGGATTTGGCGGATGTGTTTTTACTACTGTTGTGCTTCCGTCCTTCCAACTACATAGTAAGGACTGTTGCGCATCTTCTCATCGGCCACATCTTCTTGCTGGGGATTTGTCCTTCTCGCTTTTTCATCTCGGCTCTGGAGGTCTGAAACGGTTGTTATCTAACTAGCCCCCAGTACAATTTACGTCGGAGCGCTGTCGAAGAACGGCAGTTGACACAAGCCCGACACATAACAACAGGATCGAGACCTTTCCGGCTTTCCGGTGGCGAGCTTAAGCAACACGCAGGCCGCTTCACTCCCCAAACTCCTGCATAAGTATAATATAGCCGAGCTATCAATCGTGTACCATGCGTACTGAACAGTGGGAGGAGCGACATCCGTTAAGGATCATTAATAGCCCCGGCATTTACAGCAGGCTGGAAGTACGGGATTTCTTCTACCTATTATTTATAAAGGGTGTAGAAGCCGAAGGTTGACAAATCGACTTGTAACCTGTACATTGAATGGTGTACATACTCGATATAGAGAGTGGATAACTGCTTCACCGCGCCTTACTTTCAAAATAGTGAATGATTCTCTTTTCAAATTCGCACTTGATCCAAAGATGCCTGGTTTCAAAAAAAAGTCCAAAAATCTCCAGATCATACGCAACTCAATTCTACGCATAACACTATGTATGCAGATTAGGATTAACGAGTGGCTCCTAGTTGTAGTGAGGTGGGATTAGAGTGTGACAATCCTATCAGTTCCCAAGGAGGCAGTACACCGTCGTTACCAACTTAACAAACTACTGAATTCGACCTTTTGGCGAAGCTATGGGCCCAGCTGCCTGCGAGACCAGTCTCCCCATATGAAATCCACCACTCGGTACACGACATCTTTCTCTAAAGAATACTTAACCGCTACCTGTTAGTTAGTTAACTAGCTAGTTACATATTCGGACTATTGGTATTCCGATCCGAATAACTTAACTACGCGGAAGTTAAACAGGTAACCAGGTAGATTTTAGCGGTGCCATTTGCTGGCCCGGACTATTTTATTCCACTTACCATTCATCCCTCTACGTCATATTCATAGAGAAGCGTTGCCACAAAGTGAATGAGCAAAATGGTGAACACCAACTTATCATTCATGGAGTCTGGTGGATATTCAATGTGTATCCGCTCAGGCGGAACGACGCTGGATAAATATCCTGGTCAGCTATATATATCAGCAACGCTACTTGCTTTCTTTACAAGAGTACTAACGGAACTGTTCTGAGTAGCAAAACAGCATGCTCGTAGGGTGGCAGCCCGGCTTCGAGCCACAAAGGGTCTCGTATATCTGATGGGCCAGCAAACTCGATTGCTAGAAGATTCTGATCAGGCATTACCCTTTAGGCAAAGACGTTACTTTTTCTACTTGTCAGGTGTGGATGAACCAGACTGCCATTTGACCTATGATATCGGGTCGGATATTTTGACTCTTTATGTGCCCGATTTCAGGCTTCGACGCGCCATCTGGACAGGCCCAACACTTGGGCGCAAGCAAGCCCTTTCAAGGTAGGCTTTCTGATTTCTTATAACGTATTCTCCATCACGTTTCCGTATCCGAAGCCAACACCATAGTATCAGATACGATATTAGTGATGTCAGATATGCCAGCCAACTTGGCGACGATGTTCTTAACTGGGCAGATGGCCACGTCGCTGAGGCAGTAATCTACGTGATCCATAGCAATCAAACTCCGGGAGCACGGCCAGCGAATGTGCGTTTCGATGACGACTCTCTTGTACCAGCTATGGACATGTGTCGAGAAATCAAAGACGAGCATGAGATAGGACTAATCCGGCGTGCCAACGATATATCGACATCGGCACACACAGAAATTCTTCTCAACGTACACAGCATGCAAAACGAAGCTGAAATTGAAGGAAAATTTTTAAATTCATGCGTGTCACAACATGCCAAATACCAGGCATATGAGATCATAGCTGCTTCAGGGGAAAACGCGGCTATTCTCCACTATACTAAGAATAATCAGCCTCTGAAGGGCCGTCAACTAGTCTGCCTGGATGCAGGTGCGGAGTGGAATTGTTACGCAAGTGATATCACCCGAACATTCCCAACACGTCCTCGCTGGCCGAGTTCTGAGGCTCTGGACATATACACCTTGGTGGAATGCATGCAGGAGAGCTGCATTAGTAGCATCAAGGAAGGCGTGAGGTACCTTGATCTCCATGTTCTAGCACATAGAATTGCCATTGAGGGTTTGGTCAACCTGGGTATCTTGAAAGGTGGCTCGCCAGAGGAAATTTTGAATTCGGGGGTATCGCGGGTATTTTTTCCTCACGGACTAGGCCACCATGTCGGACTGGAAGTTCACGATGTATCATCAAAGCCACTTATGGCACTTGAAGGAGAGTATTATCAGGGCGTATCGTTGGCTGGTTGTCGCTCGCCTTGTACGTTATCGGCACCCTATCTGAAGCCGGGGATGGTTGTAACGGTGGAGCCCGGAATATACTTCTCGGAGCTGGCGATCGAGGATGCTAAAGGGAAACCACTATCAAAATACATTGATATGGAAGTGCTAGAAAAGTATATGCCTGTAGGCGGAGTTCGGATAGAAGACGACATCCTGGTGACAAAACATGGATTTGAAAACTTGACGAAAGCGCCGAAAGGCAAGGCGATGATGGAAACCATCCGGAAAGGCATAGAGCAGTCTCTTGAATAGAAAATTCTACGCAATATGCAGTTCGTCTTACGAGAATTCCTTGGTCTTGCCTGTAAGGAGTATCACAGTTGTTATCGTTCTCTGCGCTTCTGGGCAGACCCCCTGCATGCCATGACGCCATTTATTAGAGCTCTCGAAGAGCCAAGGCACACCACGAATTCTAAAACGATCGAGCGGCTATCGTCGCCGAAGAGAATTTCCCGGATGCATTTGTGGCATGACCCTCCACCCTCCACAAAAACAATGCTTTTTTCCAGGAGATAGCGGGAACGATAGCGACCATTATCAGTAGTCCGATGGACGCTTCATGCGCCCGTCTGGTGTGAGTCACGCTCTTGCTCGGCCCACGGGTGGTTGCACCGTGATCCGGATAAACGCAGCGATGTCGCTCACAAGCGACAAGTGAGCTGTGGACGCGCCTTGCCACAGGCTCGATAGCGCCGGAGCCTAAAGGGCTCGGATCGGCCCACCTGGTTTCGTCAGGCTTGGAGCCTCCGACATCGAATGTTTGGCGCTGAATCGTCATTATTTTAGCTTCATTGGGTCATCAGGCGCAAATCAGGGCTGTGACTCACGCGTCATAGGCCAAAAATTTTTTCGCTTTCTCATTATTTATTCGCCCGTCCGTCAACAGCTATGACTCTTTTTCCTTCTTCCTCCCGCCCAGCATCTCCCCATTTAAAAGGGCCTTCGCGCTCTTGGGGTTGTGCTCGGTGGAAGGTTGTGTTGGCTCTCATCTACATTCTGCCCCTTGAGATTTGATTTGACCCTGTCATCCACCCACCTTGTGCCGGCTTTTCTTTGAGCTATAGCCCGATAATATCGTTGACTGGCAGAGCTCACCATGGGCCAGAAGCACAATCGCCGCCGAACCCGACAACGCCCCCAGCACCGGGCCAATGCTGTCGCAAAACGATGTACCCAGCTCCAGGCTGATCCGACCCTCTTCCCAAGCTTCTATCAATACGCCGGCCCTAGGGGGCTCTTGTTGTACCCTCGAATACCTCAAGCTGGAGACGGTAAAACTTCCCATGCCTGGCAAAACCGATGCACTACATCACAGACCCGTGAGCGTGGGCAATATCAACCCACTACCCGATTCGAAACGGAGCAGTGTCGTCTTTTTGGAGGCGAACCTGGAGACGATGTCGAGCTGTGCTACCGTATGTTGGAGTTCTTCGGTGGTTTAGACTACATCGATACATGAAAGATATCTCGATAACCATTCTCCAGCCAAACCCTTATCGCCCTCGGCAGCCACGTTAACGGAGCGATTACGCCCCAGAAACCTCGATTCAGTATCCTTCAGCATTTCTCGCTATCGAATGGTTGTCCACGGCTTATGATACTAGACATCGAGCGGGATACGCCGACGAAACCATGTTTGTTCTTTGGACAAAACACCACTTTCTTACCAAAAAACGCACCCTTCCACCAACTATCGGCCGCAGAGTCGTGTGGATCAGTATGAGGCGACTGACTCGTAACAATGAAGGTGCCATTTTATACGTGGTTACTGGATTGGTCTCTTATAGCCTCTTCCCACCGATTTGCGGAGTCCCTGCTGTGAGGAATGTGCGTTACATACACACGTACGGAGCACATTCCACTTATATATGTCAAGAGAAATGAGTTAAGGTGTCGGGGATATACCTGCTTGATCAGGCGTTCTGATCCCTGGTAGTATTTATGCCAGCGCATGGGTGGTGCTCGCGACCGACGTGTGCTGATGGCACATCTTTTGGCGCTTGAGCTCTCTTTGCGGTTGCCATACAACACACACCTCGATATGACGATTATAAAAAGACAAGAAAACACAGGCACCTGATATTTTTTCATGCTGGGAAGGATAAAAGTTCGGTGATACCCAAATCCTTATAGAATTTTGAATGTGTTTTTCTGTACATATATACCTCAATCTTCAGTTTGGAACAGGCAAAACGAAGCTAGTCAATTCTAGTAAAGCATATCATTGTTCTATTCCTAAATAGGCTAAGTGGGGTAGTTTTACTCATAATTTCCATCCACCTGTCACGCTAGTCCCGATCAGGCGCCTTGAAAAGGCCACGGAGTGCTTGTGATGGCGAGACCTGCAACTGGCTGCACTTCTTCGTCGCTTTCGCCCTTTTTTATTCGCTTTCCTGGCGCTTCTGGGACTTGCTCTGTAACATCCAATTTCCTTGAGATTGTGTTTTTTCAGCTATAGGAACGTCCTTTTTCGGTGTATTCACTCCATGTCCGCCTCTTTTTTACTCAACGAGCTGTGATATCTTCAGACGGAGGCGATATTTTCGCCGTGCCAGCACAGCCAAGATGTCATCGAAAGACTATAATTATGATGAGCAAGTAGGCTACATTCCTCATAAACCTTTCTGTGGTCATTTTGCTAATACTCTCACATTTTAGGGCCAATTCTTTCCCTTCTTCATTCTGACTCTCACTGGCCTTGTCACTCTACCGCTGACTTACTCCCTCCTCAAACCTACCAAAGGTGTGCATTACCGAATAAGCGGCTTCCGTTCAAAATTACCACCCCATGGTTTTGGACTTACTGACCTGCTCCAGGCCTTGAAATCTCCGCCCCCCGCATACAATCCGATTTTAAACCTCACCATGCCAATCTCATTCAAGGACAGAAGCAGAAGCTCCTGCGCAAGGAGCGTCGGATAAAGCGTTTCATCACAGTTGCTATGGGCTATGCCGTTATGGCGTACATGGTGTATTTGATCATCGTTACCCAGCGAACGGTACCGAAGATCTGGGATCCTTATGATATCCTAGGAGTTTCTCGCGTATGAAAATTTCTCCACCTACACTCCCCATTTTTATGGCCTCGGACTGATTTTTCTACCGCATATGTTTCTGTAGGGCGCAGATGAAAAAGCCATTAGCCGCCATTATAAACGACTTTCGATGAAATTTCATCCTGACAAAATTAGACCTGATCCGGCCAAAAACGAGACATTAGAAATGCTGAATGATCGTTTCGTTGAAATGACTAAAGCGTACAAGGCATTGACCGACGAAGAAATCAGAAATAATTATCTCCAATACGGCCACCCTGATGGGAAGCAAAGTTTCAGCATCGGTATTGCTTTACCCCAATTTATCGTTACTGATGGAAATGGGAAATATGTACTTCTTGTGTACGGTTTACTGCTTGGTGTTTTGTTACCATATATTGTTGGTAAATGGTGGTATGGATCCCAGCGATATACCAAAGATAAGGTCCTTATTGCCAGTGCTGGCAATATATTTCGAGAATACAAGCCCGACTTGGTTGGTGGTGGTATAGTGAACGCGCTTAGCTCCGGAGAGGAATTCAATCACATGCTTACAGACGACAAAGCCCATAAAGGATTAGCTACAGTGGAAAGCAAAATCTTGGCCGAAAATGAGAACGGAGATCTTGCCGCTGGACTCTCTTTGAAAGATCGACAGATTCTACGTGAACTTGATAGTGAACAAAGAAGAAAGGCTTTGGCCCTGCTTTGGGCGTACCTTGGAAGAGTGGACCTTGAGAACTTGATGCTTGATGAAGGTTTGAATATTTCTCATTTAATTGTTTAGACAATACTAATTTTCATTTAGAGAAATATGAAGTTGCTCCTATCGCACTCTCTCTTAACAACGCTTTAATATCAATATCCCTGTCATTCGGAAACCTACAGCCAATACTGGGCTCGTTTTACATCTCGCAACATATTATACAAGCTACACCTCCATCATCCTCACCGCTTCTTCAGTTACCCTACTTTAACAACAAGATTGTGCAGAATGTTGAGGGTGAATTCTCCAAACGCCATTTATCAGTCCAGGGGTACATGGGATGGTCGGAAGAAATGCGAAGGAAGTCCACAATTGGCCCAGGCTTACTTACAGAGGAGCAATACCGGGTAGCAATATCTGTGGCAAAACAAATTCCCGCTTTCCAGATATCAAAAGCTTTCTTCAAGGTTACTGGAGAGAAAACGATAACGCCTAGCAGCCTTGTCCAACTTGTTGTTAAGGGACGTTTTGTTCCGCCCGGCTATACCAAATTGCCCGAAGTCAATGAACGTGACCTTGAAGATATTGATTCAGAGGTAGACGACGTTGAGTCGGGCGCGAAGGAACCAAAGAAGGAGGAAGAGGAAATCCAACCACCCTTGGCTCACGCCCCTTATTTTGCACGTGATCACTCTCCTCGATGGCACATCTTCCTCGCGGACGTCAAATCAGACAGGATGGCTGTACCGCCATTTACATTCACGACTTTTGATAAACCTATATTCGACCAAGACGGAAAGCCTACTTTCAACATGCAGACCCTGAAAATGCAATTTCAAGCACCCCCACAGATTGGAAGCTTCCCATTCACTCTTTTTGTTGTATGCGATAGCTATATTGGCTTTGACACAGCAACAGACATTGTTCTACAAGTGGAAGATCTCATAAAAGCTGAGGAGCTAGCAGAGGAGGATGAGATCAGTGAGCCTGATCAAGGTATGAAATCCCCCTTTTAACGCTTTCCCCCCCTATTCCCTAGACTAAGAGCCAATCAACAGATTCACTTGCCGGCCAAATGCAAGCACTCAAAACTGGACAAGCTCCGGCTTCTAAGAAGAAACGTCCCGCTAAAAACCAAGAGTCCAGTGATGATGAGAGCAACACGGATGGTGACGTTGACGACGATACCAGTGAGACCGATACAGAAACAGATACGGATGGAGAATAATCAATTATTAAAAGCAATATGTATATGTAATAGAACCAACATGGTCTAGGGTGCCGTTTCTCCTCCTTTTACTTTTCTTCTGGTTTACTTAATGGCGGGCCTTACTTATTCTCAATTTTTCACTTCTTTTTATTTTTTGGGGGGTGGTGTCGCTCGAGTTACGAGACGACTCCTGGGTCCAGCGCTTCCTATTCTTGCCATACATCGCCATACCCATCCATGCACTCCTGGGCTCCTTTGGTTTAACTACTTCTTCAAATTACCCTAGTGCTGTTATCTCTCCAAACGAATGCCGTCTTCATTTCAAATATGTTCTATGTATTGCTGCTCAGGTGTTGGGAATGGGCCTCAAATTTATCAGAGCATGTTATAGAAACAAACTATTTCCTAAATCCCTCGATCTCTTTATATGTTATAAAAATATACCCAAGCCAACGAAATTAGTAGACATGTAGATAATAGAAGGAGATTCGTGCCACATTAGGATTTTTTTTTCAAATAATGCCGTAAATAGATCAGCAAGAGCCATATGTTGCATCTGTTAAATGTAGGTGCTAATTATAAGTCGCATTGTAAACTAAAACAATTATGCTCATCTACCAAATTAAAACCGAAACCAGCCGCATCGCAAAGCTAGGCCGTTGATCCACGGCCGCCTTCAGTACGAAAATGCAAATAAAGTCAAGCAGGGGGCCAATTGGTGCCTCATGAAAAGCTGGGGTCCCGGGCATGGAAAGCGGGCACTATAGAGGGCGTAGTTTGGGGGTCTGAAGTGTTCGAAGTGAGCCCTAAAACACTGTTGGGATTCTTTCTAGCCTTTTCCAAAGCGAGCTCTAAGAGTCGATTCAAGCTCATATACGCCCGGTGAATAGAGTCATTTGTATGAGATAGAGTCTGCAGCCATCGAATAATGAGTGCTGACTCGGCAATGATGTTATCAGCCTCTGTGGGAAGATGCTGTACATCAAATGATATTTCCATAACTAATACCACACCGGCTTGTATCAGGTAATGGACAACCGACCACCAAGGGGATGTACGGTAGAACTCGGCAGCGTCAAAGTGATGTGGGAATAATCGGGCCAGACTCCTGGCCGCAGATATACATCTTATTGCGGCATCCATCTCCAGCGACCGCCGAGAGGGTTCGTACTGAGGTGAAATTGCGGTATTTAATTCGCAAGTATCAGAAAGTCCAGGCCTATTGATAAGTATTCTTGTAGCCAAGAACCGTAAAGACAAGTACATGCGTTCTACTAAGGGCGCACTGTCATCACTACCGTGTTCTACCCATATCATGGCGCCTGGTGCCAAGTCGGCTTGCCAATGAGTAAGCTTTTCGTCAAGCTCAATGACAATTTGTTGCACTCGTGTTGATGCCCATCTTGTCGTGTTTGAACCGTATAACGCAACAAGTGTTTCTTGCACAATGGCATCTAAGCGGAGACCATTGGCAAAAGTATTGAGACAATACGGTGATGCATGACAAGTAGAAACAGAGTTGATAGTAACTGATTCGAACCTGCTGGTAGGATGGGCGGCATTTGGTAGCTGTGTGGGAACGAATCGATCTTGAATGGAAGAAGGAAGTCCGGTTAGGAGGGAAACCAATCGTTCAGCGGAGCAAAGTGAATGCCAAACCTTCACTTGAAGCTCTGTTTCTTCGTCAGAATAACTCGAAGTGGCGTTTAAGAGGTGCAACGCTCGGTTGTAGGCGTATCGAACTCCTAAAGAAAGCAAGTAGCAAGCTCTATACCCAAATTTTAGCAATATACGAGCATTATAGGGTCAAAAGTCTTACCTGTTGATCTGGTAGCTTGCAATACAATACAGAGCACTGATTGTCAGGAGTTGAATGTGCTCGATTGTAGGCAAACCAATCATTTGAATTGGCTCCTGCCCCAAAACATGGGATCGAATCCAATAAATGGTATGGTTTTCCAGACATTCGTATTGGATCTGGACACGTTCAGCATATAATGCCCCAATAGCAAATACTACATTCAGAATTGCCACCCAAAGGCAGCTGCCATTCGGTGGTTGTGTCGTCTGACAATATGAGCGCCACTGCAATATAAACTCTCTTTCCACAAGAATGGGAAAATGCATGTGAATAGTCGAAAAATATGAGTTTAGTAGTGCTTCTCCTGTTGATTCAGGGGGCAATTGAAACGCAGTGGTAATTGATTGGGGCTCAGGGATATCGTTTGAAAAGTAGGAAAAACCCAGAAGTAGAGGCGAATTAATTTCATTTAGGGACTCGGTTGTCATGGCTGATAAGCCGTCAAGGCCACTGGCCGCTGGACGACGAGCTATAAATGTGTTAGTGGTACATACATTTTGAAAGGGAATTGCCAAATTCAACATTTTTCACCAAATCCATATGTAGCCAGCTTGACCATCACATCCTTCATCCAATGGACAACAGAGGCGCTTCCAAAATACCCCGTAGACCCAAGCAGCTCCATAAGGGCGTGTCGAGGCCGATCTTGAAAGCGAGGGGAAGACCCCGCAACAGATACAGATTGCTCCTCTTCATTTGCCTCGTCGCCTGAGGCAGAGTCATCATCTGCGTAACGACTCTGTCAAGAGCATCAGTAAAGCGTGTGGTGCTGAGTCGCGAGAGACTAGTATATCTGCCATTTCCTTTCATCACCATGACTTCACTTGCCTCTGTTAACACATTTCGTATTATTTGCTGTTTACTAGCGTCTTGACTCATTAAAAGTTCTATGAGAAGATTTTCATATCGTTCCACTTTGGCGGCCATGGTCCGCGCATTCCTAATGTTGAGGCATTTCAGCAAACGCTAAAGGGTATAGATGAGTGTCGACGCGTTTAAATTATGGTATCTGTCTGATAAGGGAGAGAGGAGACAGTAGCACGGCTAAGTCTGTGCCGTAGTCATGAAGAAGTGCATGATGAACGGGAAACCTGCCGTTTCAGCTTCTCTCTTTTTCCATCTGCATAGAAGCAGTGTATCTTCAATTCTCGACACCTGCCACATGGTGGCTGATTGCCATCACATTTGGACTTCCGTCGGCGACAGGGCTCGCAGGCATGGCTCACACGCTGTCTATCGGGAGCAGGTGTCGATTGCTTGGGAACTGAGCGTTGAAGTCGGGGAATGGCCACCTTCAGCTCTATTTGCCCGGCTGCAGATATGGTAGCGAGCCCCAGTTCAGACAAAGGTGTGTTGGAAATCGAATGGCCTGCGGTGTTTGGCAAGGAGGATGGGTTGTGGGAGTGCTGAGGCCGCGATGATGGCCGCGGAGCTTGGCGCGATTTGTCCATTATCAAAGACTCAAAGTTAATTCGCACCTCCAGCAATGAATCCCGACATCTCCTTCGTCAAACTGAAAGCTGGGGATATATATATATCGCCACCGATGGTAAGCATGCAAGCGAATGCCTGCAGAATTTGATTGACTTTGAGAAAAAGCCCCATGGCAAGGTCCAAGCTCACTTGCCAGTTATCCCGCTCAAGGCTTGCGATCGTCATAGCTAATTATACGCATAGGTACCATCACCCTACTTCTTACAGCAATTGCTGTGGCCTAAGAGATGGTGGTGATGGAAATTTCTCGGGATCATGGCGACTGCCGGCAGCATCTTCCCAGGAATTCCATGATACGTGTCGTCGATATCTTTTAGACTAGAACAATATCATTGGCGCAAAAGGCGGCTTAATAAAAGACATGCATTTTTTCGAACAATGCTTAAACGAAGTGGGAGAAGGATCTCTGCTGTTGAACATCCCCGACATAAATCCCGGGCAGGACAAGCGTCAGACTCATTGCTTTTTGCGCCATGGAAGGCCATCTTGGGCATTAATCTTACGATGGCTCTTTATACTGCGGGGGAATGAGGCTCTAGCCCTTGTTCTAGACCCGACAATTTCCTGGCGAGCTGGTCTGACCATGCAGCAGCTATTTTGTGGATGGGAATGGACCAACTTGTCCTGATAGCAGTCCTGATTAAAATGCTAGATCCTACTGCTCACCCAATCGACTTCTTTCACATTCTCATTTTGTGCATTGACCCTTCGAACAGCCTCCCTTTCAAAAACAAGCCCCCGGAAACAGTCCATGGCTCAACCCTCCCGGTTCCAAGCTGAAAAAAACACTACCACCCTGGTGCTGTTCCTTTATTTACGCGTAATGTGTCAGCTTTGCGAGATATCTTTACTACTAGTTAGGTTTACTGATAATAACAGTCTCATCGCAATACGAGAAATTCTGACCTTGCGACGGTTCCAACCAGTTCAACCAACAAACAGCGCTTTGTCAAGTGGAGCAACTAAAACCAACTAAAACAGACTTCTTGGGGGCTGCTATATAATAAATGTTTGTAAGGGAAGCGCACTACTGCAGAATGTCATATCAGCAGTTCGACGTGTGTCTAGAACCGCTCATTGTTGAGACCACACGCCCGGCGAGATTGGAAACCAAGGCAGATCCCTTGTTCCCAAATACGAGCAAATGTTCAATCCCCCGTACATTGCGGCTCCAGATCATCAAACTGTGCCCCAAGCTCTCTGGAGCGTCATTGTGGTCTTCAGTTCTTCCTCACAGTTCTAAGTGAAGAGAGCATTTCTCTATATATTCGCTTCCTTGAAATAATATCTCAGGTTGCCTGGTAGAATATCATGCATATCTGCACCATGCAGCATGAACTCAACCTTTACAAGGTTATGGGCTTCTTTCATTTCGGCGCATGCACCAAGGATTACACATATTTACAACCATACCGGGTTGCTAGACTCAATTAACTGTCATTTGCAGTTGGAATTATTCGCCTTTCTAAACATAAGTTTTCACAACAGGGAATTACAATCCACCTACGATTATTCTATGTTACCCTATCAAAAGAAAATTGCACACTGTCAATACTAAGACTAGGAGTTTACATGGCTCGTTCGGCTTGGGTCTGCAGCCATGGCGCTTTCACTGCTGAGTCTCCGACCTTGCATCAATTCTCTCGTATTCCTGGCTTCTTGCCGAACGGCCAGCTAACTAATGCATGTGATACTAATTTCCATCGCGGCCCGAGATTGACTTTGAAGATCGCCAAATCGATGGCTCTTCGTTGCCGAACCGGCTTAAGACCGGAAATGCAAGACTTAAGCAGTCTCTTCCCCGTTTCCAGTGCTCTCCCGTTGCTTCTAGCCATTTCTCATTGCCTACCGGTTCACTGGAGCCAATCGAAAGACCTTTTGACGATAAGGATCTTACCTGCGATTTGTTGATTCAATCCTTTGGAAAATTGTAAGATGTGTCACTTAAGGATTTATGATGGCTCCACGATGACTCGGTCTAATGATTGCTTCGGCCTCGTTTTGAGAAGCATAAAGCTTTGCTTCACTTTGAGCCTGACATACCCTTACTTATAACCCCAGCCAGTAGATTAAATCCATTCTCTATTCTAACTGCTAACAAATGTCTTCCAACCACAGGCATGGTCGAAAGGCGCAACCTCTCCCTTTTTTTCAGCTGCTGTAGGCGATGTGCCAAGTTCCAGAGCAAAGCCATATAGATGAAATATCAGAAGTATCTTCCTTATGAGCCAACAGACTGAGTTTAACATATTGACAATCCTAGCTTGAAATAAATACATAATTGATGTCTAAGAGACCCCAAACGAACCACCTCATACAAGGGCGCATGGCGCGGGTAGCTGGTGATAACCGATTGCCCTGAACACCAGCTTGAAAGAATCAGGAATTACCTCGGCTCCTTAATACAAATCATTGTTTCCCTAGAGGGAAGCTGATGCATTAGTTCGTTGATAATTTCTTTCCAGGCTTTTCGTTGTAGCTCCTTTCCTTGCACTGTAGAAACTAGATACTGCGACATACTGGGCCAGGGGTCAGTCTTACACGGAAAAAAGGGACAAATGCTCAAGAAATACTAACTCAGGATATGTATCGTGCATCCAGCATCTCCCGTGAGATTCCTCTCCAAGCAGGGTCGCGCTCACAAGTGTTCGACTACCTTGTTCCGCAGACCTGCCAAAGATCGTGTAAAAGATTCTGTTGAAAAAACGCTCTATAAAGCTATCATACTCTCTGTTGAGACTGGTGGAGCAAAACCCAGGGCTAGCTGAGTTCACAATAACATCTAAAGTTCCATTTTCTCGTCTTGTAGTTTGTGCGATGCTTTTGACCGCAAATTCGAGGAGAATCTTGGAGACGTTGTATTGCCGCCTACCAGCGAAAGTTGATTCTTGGTTTATATGCTCAAGGATCTTTTCACATTCCGAGCCGACAAGTTGCCCTTCTTGCACAAATTTATGGGTGCTGCTTGATGTAAATGTGAGGTGAGCTGGCCCCGAATCACTGTGACTTTGTCGTAGTTTTGGGAGAAGTAGTAACGCAAGAAGCACCGTTGATAGTGTATTGGTCTGGATAGTATTTTCCCATCCTTCCGGAGATAAATTGTATTGGCGATGTAGTGCTCCTGCGTTTAGCAGCACGACGTCTAACCGCGAAAATTCACGATTGATGCGATCTGAAAAGGCTACCACGCTCTCATATCTGTTCAAGTCCAACGGCCATACCTGGACTACAGCCAGTCGATGTGTGTGCGCCTCGATAGTTGATTTAGCTTGTATTCCACGGTCAATATCGCGACACCCAATTATCACTGTCGCCGCACCCAGATTGACATATTTAACAGCGGCTTCAAGGCCCAGGCCGGTGTTGCCGCCAGTAATGAGAACAGTCTTATTTTCGAGAGATGTTTTTGGGTCAGCGGGAAGGAAAATTCTCCCTTTCAGGAGGCGACATAAGCCAGCAATCATTGTCGCCAGGTCTGACAGGGATAGATGAAGGGGAAAAGTTGGGTTTTCCATACTCCGTACACTCCCATTATGTATCAAGACTTTCCAGCTCTAGAAGACTAGAACCCGAAGCTGGAAAACAACTCTGTTATTATAAACCTACGCTGAAAGACTACGTCGATCTAGTAGATGGTATGAGTAGAAGCTAGTTATATATGAAAAATGAAACTCTTATTCGTTCTGAACTATGTGAGCTACATTCATACTTTATACATAGGATCCATCATATTCACATTCTACTGGAGGTACTACACCACTCCGTAAGGAGCATCACTACCCAACACTGGGGCCAATCTTATTATAAAATAGCTGAACATGTATGGAGTATTTGACTCATAATTCACAGCAGACGTGAGGGGCCCAGCGGTTTTTACCGTTGCGAACCATATGTACTTACGAATTAATTGTTAAGTAAGACCTGGTGTAGCAACGAAGGTTATAATCTGCTGGGACATGGATCAGTGGGGGATATCAATGAATGCATATTTTTTCCGGATATCTTCATCCAGATCTCTGATAATAGCCAAATTATCTAGATTCAGCAATTCCCCAGAGAAAGGGCAGAAACGGGGCTCAGATTATAAGAGCCAAGAAGAAACCGTTAAGCTTTCAATCCCGGCTTCCCTGAATCCCCAATCCGAGTGGCAAGGGAGCGTAAATGTATGTTTTCTCTCTCCTTTTATGTACTGAGTAGCATCTACTCTAGAATAATTGTACTAGAGATTTGTCTCTTCACTGGAGAATCCAAGGTATTCAGTTAACATCTGTATGTTCAACTGTTAAAAACTCTAGTTCCAGGCAACGAAAGTTGTGGGTCGATATTCCAAAATGTTATGTTAACCACACCTGTTCCTGGTTGATATATGTGGGGGTAATTCGTGTTTTTTAATAAAAGAAAATGAAATATGCCATCCAATACGGAGTACTTAGAAAGGCGATATCAAGGAAACCACAACAGCTCAACTCTCTGGCAAATCATTTACCAACGGCAAACGGTATTACCGTTCAAATCGAGATACGGGGTCTCATAACCTTCCAATACCAAGTATTTTGGAGTATAACCAGAAAAGCATAATACCTGGAGATATCAGAGTAAAAGACCGTCCAACGGAACGTACTGGTCTTGCACTGCAAGTAAAGTAGGCCCAAGTCTCTCATAACATTCCAAGTCAAAGAACGAAAGACTAAGTAGAAAGAAACGAAGGTCCCTCGCGCTACACACCATCCCTTTAGCGTGTGTCAAGGAACTTTTGACCCAGTTCTCATTTTCTGCATACAATGGAATGTGCTTATTTACCAACGAAAAGATAATAAACGACAGAGAATATTTGTCTGCTAAAGACAGGGGTAAGAATGAAAAACGAAAGTGGGTATCTATGTGGAGTCCTCTTGTTAATACCAGTTTCAATGCAAATGCCTAGGGTATAAAATTGCTTTTGTGTTTGTGAGTCCCATTCTGGCCGGGTTGGGAGTAGTAAAATAAGAAGGATACAACCAAGAAGGAAAATAATAAAAGAAATAGAGACTAAAGAGTATTTTTGGAAGTAGTACAGCAAATGTTGAAGTTAGAGATGGTTGATAGTAGATGCACAAGAGAAGGCAAATGGATAAAGGTGATTTCTGAGAGAACTTGCGATCTTTTCTCATCCCTATTGTTGTAGAGGAGACCATCAAACGGTGATGGGTTTAGATGGCATATTGTTGAACCGTACATACCCGATATCCCCTGAAGGCCAGAGACAAGAAGAAAAAAGCCAATTTCATCTGTCGGAACATGGCTTGGATCTCTAAAACAGAGCGAGAGTGGGTTCCTGAGAGCGTTGGGCTTGCCCTCGATAACAGGAAAGAGGCGATGTGCTACCGAAAAGAGCACCATAAGGGATAACTATCTTGAAGCAGTTTGCCGTAATATACCAATGGTGTAAAATCAGGAGGGGAACAACACAGGTCTTTATTGTCCAGAGCTCGTCAATAGCATATGTATGTATGTATGTACATACGTACGTACATACTGTGCATATAACTAGAGCTCTGGTAAGAGGCATTCATGATCATTCGACATTCGGAGGCTGGCCACTCTTTGACCTGTCCCATAGATTGGGCGCCCATTCGTACTGCTGATCTGCTCCTTGAGTACCGTCACCGGAATGTTGGTAAGCGAAACTGGATATACTGGGAAATGGTCCCGTATAGCCCGTATGCCCGCAAGCAGGCGAAGTGGGTCCAGTAGTGTTGCCAATTGCTAAGTGACTGGTAGAATTTTCATGGCAAATGGTGCTTGTCGGCCCTACAGCTGAAGTTGGAGCTGGTAAATATTGGGTTTCGACTTGAATTCCAGTTGTGGCAGTTGGATGGGTGAAATCCATAACTTGGGTGGTTGCATCCATGGGCCAAGCCTGCTCATCAGGACAGTGGTAAGGTCCATATGAGGAGTAAATTCCTTGGAGGCTAGTAAGTGGCGGGCCGCGATGGGATTCTGAAGTTGGGGACTCTGAGGTGGAGTCACTAATGGGAGATCGCTCAACTGGGCTGGTTTGCATAGACGAAGCATACTCTGTATCAATAGAACTGGAAGACCGACGTTGGGGCCTCCAGTACTGTGATGTTTCGATGGTGTCCGTGTCCAGTCCCTCTGAGGTGCTCTCTTCGGCCTCTTTAATCAAGCCGAGCCTATCCAAGATAGCGTGGGTCAAAGGATAGCCATCCACGACATCAATTGGCTCCCCTGGAAAACATTTGTTATTGATGCAATGAGCATACAGTTGCTGTAATGCTTTCACGACCAATGCGTGATGAGATTCAAGCATTTCGACGAATCTGTAAGATAGGCAAGATTCATTAGCGTTACAAAGGAAAGTATCCGACGATAGAGACAATGCGGCCTCACCCTCGAGAGTATGCTTTGGTCTGGGTAACCTTTCTTTCGCGAAAGAGGCAAGGGTGATTATATGCTGCGCAGCGATAGCATGGTTGGTTTCCATCGCACTGTAAAACGAAAGGTATAAGCAATAGCCTAAGGGTTGCCAATGAAAGATAGTTAGATAGAGTCTGGGATAACTGGACCTTTGTCTTTTTCACCCTGCAGCGATCACAGGCTTTAAGGACGTGTTTCCGTTTAGTTCGAAATAGCTGTTGATGCGAGAGTGAATCGCCTGCATGCTGCGACGGCCTCAAACTTGGAAATGTCACCAGTGTACTGGTCGCGGACAGAGCATCCGGCAACTTGACCGAAACATGAGGTTTCGGAAAGATAGTGGGTGGTTGCGGCATTGGCTGAGATTGCTCAGGGTGTTCAAATGTGGCTGGGTAGAAATTGGATGGTAGAAAAGTGGCGAGATATGATAGAGAAGGAAGTAAAATCCGTGTCCAGCAAAGCGTCACTATTGAAAAAAAAGTCCAAGAAGGCCGACAGGGAGAAGGGAAAACACAAGATATAGAAATCAAGTGCTGGGGGGGATGAAAGGCCGGTACGAGATCAACGTCTACTGTAACAGGATTGCCAGCCCACCATCCAACCCCCCTAATTGTTGTATTTCTCCTAACTTCGTTTCCTCGCCGATTTGATAACCATGGAGTAAGCCCGAATGACGTGGAAAATTCAATTTCTCGTCACGAAATGTACCGGAAATGGTCATTTACACAGTTGTCTGCCCCTCCTTTAAAAATTCGCGCTCAGCTATAGTTAGGCTTTGGGTGATTCCAGGGGAGACGTGCCGCTAGCAGGTACTTTCATTGGAAAAATTTGGAAAAAACTCTCGGCATTCCAACGATACTGTGCGTCTAAGCAGCGTGACCCGGAAAAGCTACGTTAGTTGCGCGGGGTTTAGAGACGAAAAAACTCACAAAACGCGGCCCGACCCGGTAACTGGCAGCGAAAGAGAGGAAAGGAATCAAGGGTGTGAAACGAGGCGGGGTGGCGTGATAGGGACCAGAGTATTGAAATGGCAAGCTGACTCTTTGGGCATCAATCTCGAAAATCAACGACTCACGTCTCTCATCCTGAGCCATGGTTGCCGGTAAAGAGGATGGTTTAGCGTAAGTAATATTCTGCGCAGGGTACGGAGGAGAGACGTGGAAAACCATGCCCAGCAAGCCCGGTAGAATGCTATTTTACCTGCTCGAGGACCAAAAAGGAAAGAGACTGAGGAGACGGTCCATCGAATGAACTGTTGCTAAACGCGATTCCATACCCATTACGGGCGCAGTCCTGGCAAAACGAAAAGCAATGGATTGTGACAGGCAACGAACACAGAGAGTTGGAATTTTGTGACAGCCGGATCTTGTATCCGGGCCAATCCTTTTAGTCAGATTAATGCCTTGCTGTGCTCGCCAACGTGTGACCAAACTCGGTCCTTTCCCACGCATTTCTTATCTATGAATTGTTTCTTTTTAACATCGAAGACATTTAGTAGTCCGGGTGCTTCATATTGATCGATCATGCGCCCGGTTTGATAAGTTGAATCATGGTTTCGTTGAGATACCATAAAGGCCAGCGAGAACAAAGTGCGAGGTACCGACAGGGGGCTAAATATGTATTCATTGATTTCCAGCCCCGATAAGAAGGTACAGTTGTTCTCAAGCAATCCGAAATGCGATGCCCCAGCCTCTTCAAGAAGCAGAATTTAGGAGGTAGAAACGACCTAGACGCGGAGTAGCGCTAGCTTGCAAGTTACTCATATCCCACAGCTTGAAAAATAGCAGATAATTATTTGTTCAGGGCCGTACATCGCCGTTGAGCCGTGATGGTACGAAGTTCTGATACATGGCGTTCCGTCGATAGCAGGCTATGGGCTAGACTGCTTCTGGTTTAGATCGGCCTTGCTTCAATTAGTTAGGTTTCACTAGCGTATTGTCATTGCAATTGCTTAGTCATGAAATTCAATTTGACTTCCAAGTCGTGGCGAAATTCCTCTCACGCAGTTCATATAGTCTGAGGAACTGTGAGATAGAGTCAGATCTTTCACCATGTGGTGTAGTACGGTTCAGACAGCTGTGCGCCTGTCGTATTTAGGATCAATCTCGGCATTGTCGTTGAACCAGCCTGGTCAAATGACGAGCTGGGGAAGACCCTGTCCAAGCGCACCACGACGGAAATATTTCAAAATACTCCCGTATTGTCGCTGTGACCTACAAAACAGTTCCTTTTCAGCATCACCAAGTGATACCCTGTCCCTCCAAGCCCCTCCCTATCTACAGCACTCCAGTTCAACCTGTCCGTAGTCTTGATTAAGCACGACTGTGCGCAGTTTATAGCTTATTGGCTTCTCATCCCTCCCTCGCGTCGAGTTGTCAAGTACTTCAATGTGATAGGCAATTTCCACCCATCTTCGCTAAATATATATGTCTTTCAGTCAGGATCACGTAACGGTTGGCAAAATACGTATGTCTGTGTGTGATGCCCAGCATCTTTTGCAGCAGCAATGCCAGCAAACGATACCGTATGTAGCTTATTGGTATGATGGAAGAACTGGGTCCGGGTGACGTGAACTCTTAGCTAACAGCCATCGGCACTTGATTTGGAGCACTAGGATTATCTCGTGTACTCGGATCCGTTGAGAATAATCTGTGTATATCCGACAACCAAACTTTCATCACGTACAGGTCTGTCATCTTGTGGATGACTTTGAAAACATAAATAATGCACAACAGGGCGTAGAAATGTCGTGCTCAAAACTGTCTTCTTTTGTACCCGACAGGAAATGAAGACCACCGATCTGCAACTTTACATGTGCATAATTAATTCGTTGCATACGAGGATACCCAAGAAGCCATGCAAGGTGGGGCCAAAATTATCCATGACAGAGTGCATGAACCCAAAGAAACAAGGCCGAATTTTTGAGAACGGGAGCTGACACGAAGTTCAGCCAAACAGGAGTGACAGAGGTGGATAAAGTTTGGTCGGTCTTTGCATCTGCACAACATCGGCAATTGAACAAGGGTGTTCAACGGTCGGCACTGAGCTGATATGGAAAACTCCAGTCATGCATGTCGCTTTATCTGAAGGTATTCATGTTATAGACAAGTTGTATAGAAATAACAGAGATGGGATGGAGTGTAAGGGTCCCTGAACCTCATCACATCACCGCTTAACCACGGAATATCGAATAGCCTTTTGGCTGGAAAGTAGCATGGTGCGGCCCAAATCCCAAGCCGCGTTCACATGCAGCTTGGGCGCCAGGAGGATAATAACAGGGGTGGTATTGGCAATTAAATGATGTCAAGCTTGCATGAGCGTCCAGTGGTAACAACCGCTGCAGGAAGAATGCAAACTAGAGCCATACCAAATACCAAAGACGCGGGATGGGCCGATAGAACGGTGAAATAGCCCGGAAGGTGTGACATTCCAAAGCCTGCAAACATAATATCATGGCGCAGATGAAAACTGCCAGGTGACGCATGAACAGCGGAGGAATACAAGAGCCTGTGGATAACAGACGTTCCCTGCCTGGGCAACAGGTTGGCCTGTCGAGGCCATCCACGTCACGAAGATGTGCGTATTTTAAACCAAAGCTCTAACAGTACACAGTTGGCACCAAAATTATTCACAAATCAAAGACACTGGAAGGCAACAAAAGGAGAGCCATGTCATCCGACAAAGTTAGACGACCATGATACTTGCTTCACCACGGGCCAAGTAGTCAAAACTCTCCTCACTGGTAGTCGTTGCCGGTGGACTAGGAGTGGAAGGGGTGCCGTTCTTTTCACCTTCTTCAGTTTGATCTGTTATGCGGGTCCACGCTTTCTTTCCAATCCACTCAAGACCATCGCCTGCGCCGAATTTACCGAATCTTCGGCGCTCTTGCTCTCGCTCTGCCAGTGGGAAAGGGTCATCCGATTCTATTTTCTGAGCGGGGAGCAGTGTTCTTCGATGCCATTCACCCAAAAACATTCCTTCAGGGTCTGCTTCGTTTCTAGCTTGAAGCCATTCGTCTAGGTCATTCCCGTACATGTTATGAAACTCAGTCGGACCGAGGGTTTCGGTAAAATTCTTGGCCCAGTGAGGGCGCCCCCCAAGTTCGCGCATCAGCCATTCAAATGCTTCATAGTACCTCTCAGTACAAGGGGGGTTGCGAAGGTGGGGGCGGTAGAGAGTGGCATTGAGATACAAGGTCGGGCCCTGCCTGTTTGAAGGATCCAAATAAGGGCGGGGAGTGGCTGACTTCGACGTATCGGAAACACGAACTTCGATGGGAGAATGCACGTAAACGTCTTTAGGGCTAAACGGTATATTCGCAGTTTTAGTATCGCCATTGAGCCATGCTGACATTCTAGTTATTGCTTCCGGTCCTTTTTCTAACGGAATGGCCCATTCGTTGACAAATTGAGAGTATAGACAGTTCATCAACAAGCCAGTCCGACCTGGCTGAACAGCCTCCGTCACGCACTTTTCAGGCTTAAAGCCATATTGCATGCCAAAGATAAACCATTCAATCCATGGCAACAGCCTTGGAAAATAGGTTGATAGGTATAATAAATGTTGATAAATTGCGTTCCCCAGTCGGCCCCCATAGAAATTTGAAGGCGGATTCCGTAACTCTAGCTCAGTTTTGTCGGCACGCCAAACGACAGCACGTTTAAGGTACGGTAGCCACCATACCCTGACGTATTCGGAGCTTGTCCACAGTCCGGTGTCCCAGTCCTCTAGCACCTGGGGAAGAGATTTCAAAACTTGTTTCCAAGCGATATTGAACGTAGGAACAGCCTGTATTGTCATTTCAGTAATGATTCCAATTGCGCCCAGAGATATAAGAGCCGCGCGGAATAACGTGGAGTTATTTGCATTACTGCATCGCACAACCTGGCCGTTCGCAAGCACTATGGACAGAGAGAGTACGGAATCAGATAATAGGCCAAATCGCAGAGAGCTTCCATGGGTGCCTGTCGATATCACACCCGAAATGGATTGGCTATCAATACTGCCTAGATTCGGTAGCATCAAGCCTCGTTTTTCTAATTCGTCGCCTAGCTGCCAGAGTCTTATCCCTGATTCCACGGTTACGATTCCAGTTTCGGTAGAGAACGATAGAATACGGCGAAAATTGTCGAGGTTGATGATCCATGAGGAGCTGCAAGTCAAGTCTGAAGGCGAATGGCCACTGCCGACTGTCACAAGCCGACGTCGACATCTCCGCGCTAGATTCACAACTTTTTGAATCTCAGCAACGGATTCGGGCTGGATGTAAAGTTCCGGCCGGGAATAAAAGGTCTTGGCCCAGGTATGGTGTAAATGCGCTTTGATCGCTCGGAAGGGCACGTTTGGGTCTAGCTTGGACAGCTCGTATGCTACCTGGGGATCGAATGAGTCCATGCTGTCGGCAAACAAAGCTTCAGGTTGTGTTCTCGTTTCTTTTCTTGGCTCGCCGGACAGGAAGCGCCCGATTTTGCTCTCTCTTTTTGATCAGGTGGCAAAGTCGATAGAGGTAAGGTAACCCCGCACAACTCTGACCTGTTGCGGGAAAACTTGACAGATTGACACTTATTTATATTGTATTCTTTTTTGGGCTTGAAGTATGTCAAGTGGACATGACCTGCCCAGACCAAGGCCGAGGAGAGGTGAGTATGTGGTGCTAAGGGTGGTGAAGGAAGAAGCTGTGGGTGGATGGAGAGACGGGCGTAGAGAAGGAAGTTTGTTGTTGACCCTGGCCGGTCAAATAAACTTTGCCACACAAATATAGAGACAGCAATGCAAAAACTTCTATATTATCTTGAGCATGTCTGGATAGCCCAAAGAGGCGGATTTGGGAGTTCACGCTACCGGGGTCAATTACTCCCCAGCTTCAAGAACGTATGTATGTAACTATGCATAGGTATGCATAGACGGGTAGGGACCGCACGTTGGGTGAGTGCACGCGTACTCCGTAGTGATGCGAAAATCGGCATGATAGCAATCCAATTTGCTCCCAAAACAACCCCAGATAGCTCCGTATATGTAAGGTTGGAACCGACGAAGCTCTGGTCTTTCCAACCCGCCCAGCCCCTGCGTATCGCCGTTTGATTCGCAATGGTTATTGCCAAAGAAGTAGGGAATGACCCGTATTACAGTACTTTCTGCTATGAGAGCTCACTATCTAGAGTAGCCTGGCTGTGTACTCCGTACTCCGTACTTCGCACTATTACTGCGTACATATTCTCGCTGCTGTGTCAAAGGTCAATTGTTCAGAGCAAAACGGACAGTGTTTGTAATTGATAGCGGGATCTTCCGCCGGTCTGTTCCGGGTTTAGCCGGATGGCTACCTAAACTAACTAGGTAGGTAACTTAATTGGTTTAGCTAGTTAACTAGTTGATTAAGTAGTTAGAATGTGAAAGTTTTCCACAATGATAAGATAGCATCAATGGTCTAGTGGTATGACGCTTGCCTTCCAAGCAAGCTGCCCGCGTTCGATTCGCGGTTGATGCAATTGCATTTTTTTGCCCTTTGTTTACTGCTTTTTGTTCCGTCTTAATGTGTTCTTGAGATTTGGTACCTTCGCTTATCCTCCAAATTCTGACTCAATCATTCTACTCCGTAGATGGTGAGGGTTTACTCTGGTACCATCCCTGACATCAGGGCGACTACTAGTAAACAGTATCTACATACATACCAGTGCTTTAAAGAAAAACGAAAAGAGATGATGTTGTTTGGCGGTAGGTGTTGATGGAAGGAAAACAGGCGATCGGAAACGATCAAACGAAAACCAAGACAGCACCCAAATCCCAATATGCTAAATGCACCGACAGAACAACACGGCGACCTCTACGTGTAACTATGTGTGTGCGTTGTCACCGAATGGCTTCAATGGCCGCACTTAATGGAAAGACTCGAGGCGGCTTCCCATTCTCAAAGCCCCCAATACGATCATCCCATTTTCTAAAAGCCCTCTTGCATTCATCCGTCAGTCCATTGAAGCAGACGTGGCTCTTGGGAAGAAAGGGCCGATCTTGCTCAGAGACAGCAAGAAATCCATACTCCTGGGCGAACACAAGCGCTGAGGCAAATTCTGCAGAACGGGAACGAGCAAGCTCGCCAACAATTCTAATCACGATCTCTAATTAGCATGGCGATTAGAAAACAGACGACGGTGAACACTTACACATAAATCTCGAAAAAAGTGTCCAGAACGTATATATGCTCGGGATCTAGATCTCGCTGACAGAACGGCTTAATTGCTTGTACTGTATCATTAGGCCGCGCAACGGGCGAATGAGCGCCGCGTCGGTTCCAAAAGGCTGCTCCAAACCCTTGACCAAGTTCATGATCAATACGAAATAACCGGCAGCAATACTTCTCATTGCTTGCCTTGAATCGCCAATAAGTAGCAGAAGAGTATGCTCGCACGCCAGGGGGAGTTGGAAAAGAATCGAAAAAGCCACTTGGCTCTTGGCCTTCTGTCACTTCCTCGATTTCGCCTGCAAGGTCCATGCCAATAAGCCTTGCACATCCAAGCTCATCCGCAGTGCTCCCTTTTCCTTTCCATAGATACAGTTTTCCCGATTTTGTGGATATTATGTACGGATACCCAGAACAAAGGCATTCCGGGCTCAGGTCTACTTCGTCGAAAGTTATCTGGCCCAAGTGTCTGCGGCCACAGAGCATGTATTCTGAATTATCAGCACGGCTACTTGATCCACGTCGTGTCAAAATAATGCCCCCAAGTGCCTGAATAAAACTTGCTGTTTCCTTTCCTTGCCGCAGGATCACAAGTTTAGAATTATTCTCTCTGGCCAGTTTGCGCGCAAAGAGCTGCACATCTTCAATAGTGGCTTCACTAACGCCGTCTCCGCACCAAAGGTTCGTCTGCGTGGTTCTTGTACCATTAGCTGTTTCAAAAGTACGAATACACAAATACATGTTCTCCTCAAAAAGAATGTATTCCTGATTGGCTGGCAGGCTGGTTCTTCTCCCATCGCCACCGAATTCCCAAGTTTGCTGCTTTATTGTGGTCGATTTCGGACACTGTTCTTGGCTGGAGGGTAGAAATGCTAGGGGATCAATATCTACTTTGCTCTTTGCGGTGGGAGGCACATTGAAAAAATCGGAGAAAATTCTCGTCGCCTCTGGCGTTTGTGGAAATGGTGTAGCAATACTTTCGCGCCCGGGTTGTATGTCGCTGATTGACATTGGCTTGGGTGGCACTGGTGGGCTTACAACACGTTTCCCTACTGGTGACAAAACAGGCTCTTCGGATGATTTTTTGTTTAAGCCCCTGGTACATGATTGAGAGATTTTGACTGGCGAAGAGAAGGCGGAAGCACCGGATTGCTCGATGCCAATATCGGGCAAATTAGCGGTGAGCAAAACGGGAGATGATGCCTCTCTCTGGATGACGGGGCGATCGTCCGGTTTGAAGGGTGTGGTTGAAGCTTTTGGCGTAGAAAACGATCTGTTGGACGGTTCAGTGCTAATGCTTAGCTTCGTTGGCTTCGACAGCGGCTTAACAATGTTCAGCTCGGGATGTGAAGTAGAAGAGAAGGCAGGTTTATTAACAGTACCACCCTCTACAGACAGCCCGTTTCGCTGAACGCTACTTGCTCTAGCTGCATGGCTGATTGGGGTTTCCTCGCCATTTACCTTTGCTAGTTGTTGTACTTTAACAGCGTTCACGGATTCGGGTCTACCTACAGGACTCATATTGGCCCTCTCTGCTTCCACTGCCTTCTGATTAGCTCCCGGTTTCTGGGGTAAACGTCGCTTTGGACCTTTGGCTCGAGCTTTTGTCATGTGCGTTAATGGGGCCGGAGGTGAATCTTTGGGGGTCATTCGAGGAGCTGAAGCAGCGGCTGCAGGGTTTCGAGATGGTCTTTCAGAGCGGGGTCCTCTAGCAATAATCCCAGCCAAGGCCGGGTTTAATCGTTCGTTGAGTTTCGTCTTTGGGCGTTCGCAGCTGAGATTCGTTTCAGCAGGTATAGGTGGCATTGAACTAGTTGAAAGGGGCTCTTCTGTGATTTTTGGAGGATTTTCGGGCGTTCGTAGTGCTTTAGACAACGTGAGGTCCATAGTATCACTAGGTTGCTTCGTAGGCGAATTTGGTCTTGATTTGAGCGAAGTCCCGGCGCTCTCCAGTCGGGTATAAGGATGGGGGTTGTTAGATTGCGAATAGTCATGAGTTGTAGGACTGCTAGCTTGATTCAATGCGATACTCCTTGCACTTTCGGATCTGCTGAGTGCCATTCGCTTAGCAATAGCCTCTGGTACCGAAGAGTCTGAGTCGCCTGGTAACCGTTTTGGATCATTCGTAGTACGCCTAATGGACCCCCCACCAGCTTTCATAGCCTTTTTCTGTTTCAAAATACTCTCCTTAAATTCGTCAACTCTCGGAGTCCGCTTTGGCCCTCCTGTAATATTCAAAGCAGCCTTCCCCCTAAGAATATTGTCCTTAAACTCATCGGGTGCAACATAGTTTTTCGTTTCAGTCCTCCTTAACTTCCCAAAGACACTTTTAAATTCGGGTTCTTGAGCATTTGATTTATCGGTAGGAAGCCCGCGAGGCCTAAGATTTGCACGAAAATCACCGCTGCTTAGAGGTTTCTCCAGTGGTGGCATGGCAGCGTCTGGGTGTGGTGTTTGTTTGTCGCCAATACTACTTTGCGAGTCTGGATCTGGTGGGCTAGATGATTGCTCGTTTTTTAACGAGAGCGTATGGATTTTGGATTCTAAACCTTGGCTTTTGGGGGGTATATCAGGAAATTGGCATCTCAACTTTTCTTCGTCATCAGGCTGCTCGATCATTCGAGGCGTGCGCGTCTCTTCGACAAGGTCTGGATCAACATTTTCAAGAGGTTCTTGAGAATATTTAGATGACGTTTTTGTGTTGGAGGCTGTAGGAAGTCTGTGATATTCTTCACTTGGCATTGATGTGGAAATGGAATCAAGGGCTTTATTCCCCTGGCCAATATCTCTGGAGGTTCGAAGCTTATGCGTCAGGCCTCGCTTCCAGTCAGGCTCTTGGGAAGGTACCGTCGCTTTGGGCCTAGGAGATTCTGGCCTATTAATTGCACTTTCTAGCCATGATGATTTTGTGGGGCTCCATCGTTTGGGATCCATAGTTTTGGACGGAGTCACTGGGAGGCCTTCGAAGGGAGAAATTTGGTCTGAAATGAGACCTGAGTTTGATAAAGGGGATGCCTTTGTAAAACGCTGCCCTGATGCCGTAGAGTCTTGAGGGACGTCAAGGTCCACGGCGGAAGAAACATCTTCAACGGAGTGCCGTACTACTGTAGCTTCGCTGTGGCTGGATGCAGGGCGTGACGTTGATTCTGCTGTAGCCGGACCAAGCTGCGCTTTTGGGGAGTTTAAAACAGATGCTTCGCCGCGACTGGAAATAAAACTGTTTCGAAAGCTGTTAGGTCCGGATTGAGTACTCCACCTTTTTGAGACACTATCAGAGCGCTTCATCATTGCACTCTGAACAAACCCTCCTAGCCCTTTAGTGGGGGATGACGGTCGATCAGAAGCCAGGCGGCTTTGTGATGGTGACATAGCGACACGGTCAGCCGGCAGGGACTCAGGCCCACGGCTTTCAAGCCTATGCGGATTTGACAGCGGAACTGGAGACCCTAAGCCACCCAGAGTAGTCACTGACGATATGCTAGAATAACGATTCCCAAAATTGCTTGAGCCATAGACGGAATTTGCCCTAGATGGTGACCGTGACCTTTCACTGCCATCATAGCTCGACCCCTTGTCAGGTTCAAGGGTGGGCTCTTTGGTGAGCCCAGGAAGTTTTACACTTGCCGCGGGCAGATGAACGTCGGCTAGGGGAGTACTTGAGGCTTTTCGGCAGGCAGGTGAGCCAATTCCTCGGTCGCTCGTCTGCTTAAACCAGGAGGGGTCTTTAGATCCCAGGGATTGTGATATCTGTGCGCGCGACATTGTCGATTCAGAATCATTCGCGGAGACTGTCAAATCATCCCGTCCCCTAGAGTTTGGCGGGTCGCTCGGGAACCTCAACGTCGAGGCTAGGGTATCAACCTCGCTCGATTGTGGGCGTTGCTTCCAGGACATAGCGCGAGTGCGATCAGGGGGGCGCGTGGTATTGCCTCCTATGCTCTCTGCTGCGCGAGAGTCGGTATCTTCATTCGAAGCTGTACTACTGTATGCTAAGTCGCGTGACGCTGTATCTAAATCCAGAGTCTTTGTAGTGGGAAGAAGATCAATTGGAGGGATTATGGATTTCGAAGGTGTAGATGTATTCATGGGCAAGTCCTTCAGAGTTGGACTGCCTAGAAGTAAAGGAGAGTCTTTCGTCGGCGAGATTGATCGAGCGCGCTCTGTAACACGAGTATTATTAGAGGCATTCCACATTTGGTATTTGTTTATATTTTTGTTGTGTTGACATCATATATTCCAAGAAGCTGAGAAAAGCACCGGGCGCATACCTGCTCGTCTCGCTTGTCTCTCTCTCCGACCTTGTAAAATCTCCGCTTCTAGTCGTCTGGCTCGCTCTTCGTCCTCCTTGTCGCGCTTCTCGCCCAACTCCCGGATTCGGACCAGGAAATCGTTGACATCCTCCGAACCAGCGGTGCGCTGCTCGAGCGCCATTCTTGAGCGCAAATTGTAGTGTCACCAAATGCTCCAGCAGGCTCAAAAACAACCCAGTGGCACCAGAGCTCTCTCCACTCAGCATCAACCTCACAAGTGTTCAGATGCCTGCATGGATTAGGCCTTTGCGGGTTTAGTCGCTTGGAGCAGGCCGGGCGGGCTGAAACCGCGCATCACAGGCCTGCCGAGCCGGCCTGCCTTACATAATGATGGGCTTGGTTAGCAGCAAGCCACGCTGCAGAGAGCGTGGAGTGCAATCCGGAGCACAAGAGAGTGTTGTGGGTAGTCAATATAGCTGGCTCTCCAAGTCTCCAAAACTGGTTAATACACTGGGAATTTGACTCAAGCGCAACTACAGAGGTGGCTTCCCGGGAACAACTTGTTCCTTGTTGTGGTTCACGAGTTAGTTAACTATAAAAAGCTTTTTGTCACCCCGTGGTTCTTCCTAATCCTTTGTGCCCAATCCAACGCCAATATGCGGAGTAGTTAACTGAAGCTGAATACAAAAATAGTTGTATATACAGACACCCAGTGCTGCTGTTTGTGTCAGGCCTCCACCTCTATGCATTGTTGCATCGTTAGGTACTTATTGAGGCCAAAAATGGAGACGGCCAGTCTCTTGGCGGATGTCAAAAAAGAAACAATCGCTCTTTGGCGTCTTGCACCACCCACGAAAGGCCTTGTGTCAAATTTTGGCCAGTCATTGCGCTGCACTGAATAATTGTCCATTTATGAGTTTTAATACCATCGAGTTGTAGGCCCTACAGGCAGTTAGGAGTGAACAAAATCAAATAATACCCTGACAATCAGTTAATCTCACCGTTCGAATCTCCTCCTCATTCATGCATCCATCCACATCTATTTTGTTCAAGAAAACTAGAAGACTCGCTCCCATGAGCCTCTTTTTATGCAGTCAGCCAGGGGAGTTATGCGTAATGGAAGTCGGGAATCAGGACACGCAAGGAGGTATCAGCCATACCTCTTCTAACAGTAAAGCTGCCAGCTCCTGCCGACAGTCCTCGATTCTCAATCGATCCGTAGCGTCGACAACCCAGATCAGTGCATCTGTCTTCTCAAAATAGTTTCTCCAGTAGGATCGGAGGGTCTTTTGACCGCCAACGTCCCCTTTGCTGCGTGAGCTTCAAGATATCGTGAAGTGGGGCTCCGCAACCTACATATATTTAACTTATAGCTGTTGGATTCTCAGCACATTGTTCTTCAAATCGACACAGCAGCTGCTTACCCTTCAAAATCGATCGTTTTGATAATAAACCCAAGCGTAGGGCTTACACTGGCAACATCCTCGTTCATAATCCTTTTTACAATAGTTGTTTTCCCCGCATTGTCAAGCCCACTGATCAATGTCAGTCAGTGATGGAAGCTTCTAAGTACGTAACAAATTATGCACACCCACAGCATCAGTATCCTCATCTCTTTATCCTTGAGCCGTGCTTTTCTCAAAACTGAAAGCATGTTTCTCTATTTCAAGTGTTCTCAACAAAAGCCTAAGTTATTGCTTAAGGCTGACAACTTGTGTGGATGTCAGTTTGTGTTGGAATCTGCCAAATGAACAACACATAGTTAACTATGGAAATGAAAAGCAGAGCCATGTGCATCACAACACAACCAGAAAATTTTATCCAAATTTTATTACTTAACACCAATACAACAGGATTTCTTGCATAGGTGCATCCAGAACTATTAAATAGTTTTACTCTTTCTTTACTTATGCCTAACTCGCAGAGTTCCACCAACACAAGCGCAAAAGCACATTTTCAGTCCTCCATATTCTCTCTGTACTATTTTAATTCCAAGTAACATTGACTACATAATACACTGTTTTAACTAAACTAACTTTTTATTGTTACCCTTGATTTCTATCTCTTCTTTTTGGTTTCTGAACCAGTTGTTATCAGGCTGTGTGTGATAAAACAGACTCCTAACCCTAACTCAGCAAGAGTATTTGTTCGCATAGGCATATTTATTGACAATCAAGGTTTGTCTAGGTGCTGCCTCTTGGTGCATAAGTTCTGAGAGGTGCAATGGACGAACCAATGAGCCCAGGAAAGTGGCAGGTGTATCTTGCTGCTTTTCAGGAATTCCAGAAACAATCTGCGTTTAAATATAGAGCCATGAAGCAACAGGGTGATGATAAACAAGAAATCATCCATACAGGGAGCCAGAACATGACAGCAGATCCTTTAAGCACATCAAGTGTTCAGAACTCCAGTATCAATGCCAGCATGGGGACTGCAAGCACAGTCTTGACTTCCTCTAAGCTCCCGCATTTTGCAACAGTTAATGCTAACACTCCTCCCAGCACACTTTCATCTAGAGCATCTGGGAGTGGGTCTCCAGCAGTGAATAAAATGAATCGAACAGATGAAATTCAATTCACCACAACTAATAAAAGTTAGTCGTCTTTATATCACTTATCTGTTTCCTTCAGCACTTGCTTAATTTTTTGCAACCAGAATGTATACCTAATTAATTAATAGGTTCCCCTGAAAAGGTTTCTGCTACAGAATCTTCTTCTACTGCTTCTTCATTTATGCTCAAAATTGTCAACTCGAAGGGGTTAACCTTCGGCTCGACTCCTGAACCCTCTATGTCGGTTAATTTCTCAAACCCAACAATGACTCCAAAAACTCCTGACCCGCTTGAAACGGAGACTGTTGAAAGTGAGCCTGGCACGCTGTTTCAAGGGCGCGCACATCCCCCTAATGGCGCTTCCAAAGAAATCGCTGAGAATGGTGCGACTTTATTCCGGTGTTCAATGGAATTACTCCACTAACTGTATTTGACTGTTTAGATGATTCAAGTGGATCAGACGAGGTTGTTTTCCGCCAAGATGAGCATAACAGAGTCGGTCCTCCTTTGCACCATCTCAAGCAATTGGTTACTCCAAATAAAATACTTGGGTATGTGGGGCAATATCCAAAAAATAAACATGAAAATACGACACCAGGCCATTCTCCGGAGAATAAGGACAGTAAAAGTTGGCATGCAAAGAATAATCCGGAGCCAAAGTTCCGTACCCAGGAGGACAAACAGGCCGCGCTTCGACGGGCTCAGGATGAAGCATTAAATCAAATTCACCGGAAACGAATGGGAGTGGACGAAGATGAGCCGGGTACAAGACCGTTACATCTGGCACGCGAAGGACCGGGTACTGATCCGACATCTGAAATTGTTCGACAAATTAAAAAAAATGTCGACGAAGCACGGGATATTGTGATTCCTTGTCTTCCCCCGGTGCCAAACGAAAAAACCAGCGTAGAACTCACTACTACTGGTTACGATGCGGTTTCACCTGCAGCGAGGCCCAGCACCGATGGCCATGAGAACGAAAAGTTTCAACCTGTGCTTGTTGACTGGCAATATCGACCTTGGTATAATCGTGACGACAAATGGACCAAAGAGTTTGGCGGTTGGCTTGAATATACCATGCGACTTGGTTGTTATGTCGATATGGACTCAGAGCCTTTCACAAATCCGGATCTCCATCCGGACGGTATCACTGGGTTCATCGACCCTCATTTAGAGGAACCAATCACTTACCTTGATGACTCTCAAGGAGGTAATGCACATGCTCATGAAACTGCGGCTGGTTACGTCTACAACTGGAATCTGAGACTCGATCACGAAAGGGTTAAAGAAATTGAGGATAAAGAAAGAGAAATTGCGCATAGGAAGGCGGTAGTGAAAGTCAAACCAGAGCCACACCCGTATGCTCCGAAGACAAACGTTTACATTCGTCCGGTCGAAGTGAAAGATATTCCAGGACTTACTAAGTTATACAACTGGTATGTCAGAGCAGCGGCCCAATGCATTGACTTGGATGATATTTCCCAAGAAGAGATGAAATTGCGTGTGGAAGAGAGTGAGAATGACAAACTTCCGTGCCTCGTTGCAGCAGAGCGAAAACCGGGATGTGGAAATGCGATGAACAGCGAAGACGAGATGGTGTATGGCTTCATCCTTGCAAGTGATTTTTCAGGGCCACGGACTTCCAACAGATATGCAGCACAGTTGGAGTTGTTTGTCAACCCCAAGCAATATAATCGCCGCATCGGTCGAAGCTTATTGGATAAGATGCTCGAACTTTGTGACCCAAAATACGCCGCAAAGCATGGTTATGATTTCGACTGTGCAGCAAATAAACGTGATCTTTACTGTGGTGCAGATGTTCGGCCGTTATCAAGACTCATTTTCATGGTGAACCACCCAGCAGACGATCCAGCTGAATACCAATGGCTGAAGGGTTGGCTCGAAACCGAATTTGAATTTCATGAGCAAGGTCTGCTCAAGGGCACTGCAATCAAAAATAAACAAGTGTAAGTAAACGCAATCTTATGGCTTAAATTATTGTTAACGTGCTGGATAGGTTAAACTGCGGGTTCCTCGTTAGGGACACACCTCTACAGCCCCAGACTAAGGAAGACGATCAAGTTGTTCGCTGGAGCTTCGGCTAAAGGGGAAAAAAGAAAAAAAAACTCGAAGATACGGAATTTGGAAGACGAATAACTGCCAAACATAGACACTTTCTCCTACATTCCTGTGCCATCTTTCTGGTGTCTAGCGCTTAATGTTGATGGGATCGAATTTGGGTCATTTTCAAGTTCCCTCAAAAATCAAGTAACTCACAAATCCAAAATATTCAGATGAATCTTCAACATATAGTCCATACTCTGTAATTGAATGCAAGAAGAAGCCCAGTCACAGACACTGGCAGGGTTGAAGACAATCCAAGTTGCCAATGATTTGCTCTGGCGGGGCCGCAGGGGCCGAAGCTAAGTTAGTTAACTAGTTAACTAACTAGTGAACTAAATTCTGCCACCGCTCTCGAACAAAGCTGTTCAAAAAATTTTGAGGTGACGAGCTGCGCGAAACATTCCAGGTGGCTCAAGGGAAGCATTCCCGGGGCACTTGACAGAATTTCAGGAGGCAGGAAGAAAAATTTGACCTTTCGGTGAGGCCCGAGCCCGCTCGCTCCCAATGGCAGGCAAAACTGCACGCGACGATGATTTTATCCTTACTCTATCGGACGAAGAAACACCGTACCCTAATGGTGAAGAAGAGGAAACCGATGACGATTTTATATTTACAAACACGAAAAAGTCAGATACGACATCAAAAAAGCGAAGGCGAGAAGACACCGATGCGGATGTGAAAAATAAGAAACTTAAGAAACAAAGCCAAAATGCAGATAAAAAGGGTGGAAAGCCCAATAAACACATCGCAGAGAAGATCCATAACGTAAATGATGAAGGTGGGGAGGATGAGGGTGTTCTTGACCCTGATTTCGAATTTGACATAGGCAACGCCGTAAATCGTGAACTCACTGAGGACTTTGATGGATGGGGTGTGGACGATCGTGATAAACAGAAGGGTCTAGAGGGAACCAAGAAAGCCATTGATTTAGACGAAATCCTATCTAGAAGAAGGCAAAAAAACCTTGGAAATGCGAATACCAAACCACGCCAAGCGGGAGATTTGAATTCAGATGCTTCTTCGGAGGGGCTTAGTGATGGGGGCAGTGATGGGGACGAGGGCGGAACCGACGAGCCTCTTGATCTTGAAAACGATGAACTCTTAGCGCCCGATGGTTTTGGAATGGGTGCTACAGGGGAAGCAAGCGACGAGGAGCAATCTGAAAATGAGTCAGTGGGCGATATGAATATGGAGTCAGACGATGAGTCTGAGGCTTCGCCAGTCGCGCATCCGGATGACTTGCAATCCGATGTGAGTTCTGAGAGCGAAGAGGAGGATCCTGACGAAATTGCCAAACGAAAAGCTTTCTTCGCACCCGAGGACAAATCCACCGCTATCGCTGACTCTTCCACCACGACTACATTCCAGAACTTCAACCTTTCCCGGCCAATTCTTCGTGGACTAGCGGCCGTCGGCTTCTCAGCCCCTACGCCTATTCAGCGCAAGGCTATTCCAGTGGGATTACTTGGTAAAGATCTTGTCGGTGGCGCAGTGACTGGTTCTGGAAAAACTGCTGCATTTATCATCCCTATCTTAGAACGGTTACTTTATCGGCCTAGAAAAGTACCAACAAGCCGTGTCGCTATCTTGATGCCGACAAGAGAGCTTGCTGTCCAATGCTACAATGTCGCGACAAAACTAGCAACTTTTACAGACATAACGTTCTGTCAACTTGTGGGTGGCTTCAGCGTGCGTGAACAAGAGAACATACTGAAGCAACGACCTGATGTCATTATTGCTACGCCTGGTCGATTTATCGACCACATGAGAAATTCGGCTAGCTTTACCGTCGATACGCTTGAGATTTTGGTTCTCGATGAGGCAGATCGAATGCTTGAGGATGGATTTGCAGACGAATTGAATGAAATTCTTGGAACTATTCCAAAATCTCGACAGACGATGCTGTTCTCTGCGACTATGACGGATACAGTTGATAAACTGATTCGCGTGGGCCTCAACAAACCAGTCCGGCTCATGGTTGATTCAAAAAAGCAAACAGTCGGCACCTTGGTTCAAGAGTTCGTAAGACTGCGACCAGGAAGGGAGGGGAAGAGAATGGGGTACTTGGCCTTGCTTTGCAGCACTGTCTTCACTAACCGCGTTATTATTTTTTTTCGGCAGAAAAAAGAAGCGCATCGCGCCCGAATTATTTTTGGGCTACTGGGGCTAAAGGCAGCAGAGCTACATGGCAGCATGAGCCAAGAACAGGTAAGACGGAGGCACCTGAGCGCCCTGGTACTGTATTAACGACACTGACTCTATTTTTAGCGAATCAAAGGGGTCGAAGCTTTTCGGGACGGCAAAGTTTCGTTCCTGCTCGCGACTGACCTTGCATCCAGAGGTCTTGATATCAAGGGCGTCGAAACGGTTATAAATTACGAGGCACCTCAGTCCCACGAAATTTACCTTCACAGAGTTGGCCGTACTGCCCGTGCTGGACGCAGTGGTCGCGCATGCACTATTGCAGCGGAGCCGGATCGAAAGATAGTCAAAGCTGCGGTCAAGGCCGGCCGGGCCCAGGGAGCAAAAATTGTAAGCCGGGTAGTAGACCCTGCAGTGGCGGACGAATGGGCTGCGAGAGTAGACGAGATGAAATCCGAGATCGAAGAGATTCTGCAGGAAGAAAAGGAGGAGAAGCAATTGGCCCAAGCTGAAATTCAGGTTACTCGAGGGGAAAATCTGATCAAACACGAGAGTGAAATCATGTCGCGGCCGAAGCGAACCTGGTTCGAGACAGAACGGGAGAAGAAGGAAGCCAAAAAACGAGCGCTGAACGAGTTGAATGGACCAGGCACAGGCCTAAAAAGGGAAAAGCGGAAGCTGAGCGGCAAAGAGAAGAAGAAACTTGATGATACGCGGTTACGAGAAGGGGGCAAGGTGTGGAAGAAAGGCAAAAAGGAGCGAGAGAGCAAGGGAGGGTCGGGCCAGGGGTCATCGAAGAACAAAGCCAAAGCCAAAGGCAAAGGCAAAGGCAAAAGCAGGGCGAGGACGCCGGGCAAAGGGCAGTAGTAGTCGTAGAGAGACAAGTAGCACTTAAATAGCACATCCTTGCGGCCTCGAATACGGCGTGTATAGTCATTTGTAGAAGCCCACAGGCTGATCGAACGTCAGCAGCAGATCCTCACGCCTTGTAACATCTACAGAGCCAATCACGCCCGCAGCAATTCGCATTTCGCCATCCCTGGAGCTCGCGCCGCCGATGTCGGTTTAGCCTCGGAGAATTCACTGGCGGGGATCAAACACTAAGCCGCTCGCCACTGAGTCACAGGCGGCCTCTGGGGTGGTGGTCCTCTATAAAAAATACTGTTTCCCGGCATCCCTCGCGCTCCAACTCCCCCCAGCAGCCTGTGGACTGGCCTCAATTGACTGCACGCTGCTTCTCTTCCCTCTGTGGAGCTTGTTCTCCCCTGCTGCCGGTATCGGTATAGCTCTCAGAAACGTTCTGAGAGAGCTCTGTTGTTCCTCACCAGTCTCGCTGTCACGCACACGGATCGCCAATTGCAAACAACATGCCGATGTATGCGATTTCTAAGCGCCAAATACCTGGATTTATGCTTACACGTGTTAATCTGCAGGCTCAAAGATCCCTCGCAAAAATACAAGAAGTTCCAGCCCATTCCGCTTCCCAACCGCACATGGCCCAACAAAACCCTGGACAAGCCTCCAAGATGGCTTGCCACGGATCTCAGGGACGGAAATCAAAGTCTAGTGGACCCCATGGTATGCGATCTTCCAATTGCACTGAGCACCACACCTATTGATTTCAATAGATGACTCACTCTGATTAGGATGGCGACCAAAAACGCAAATTTTTCAAAATGCTCGTCGATATCGGCTATAAAGAAATCGAAATTTCGTTTCCCTCTGCATCTGAGACCGATTTCGAATTTACCAGAAGCTTGGTTAAGACCCCTGGCGAAGTTCCAGATGATGTGTGGCTCCAAGTTCTCAGTCCATGTCGTGAAGATTTTATCCGTCGGACTGTGGATTCTCTGAAGGGAGCAAAGAAGGCTATTCTTCATTTATATCTTGCTACAAGTGAATGTTTCAGGAGAATAATTTTTGGCATGACCCAAGAGCAGAGTTTGGAGCTAGCTGTGAAGTGTACAAAATATGCCCGCTCAATCACAAAGGACGATCCATCAATGGCAGGAACAGACTGGCGGTTTGAATTTTCTCCAGAGACCTTTTCTGATACAGATCCTGCTTTTGTGATCAAGATCTGTGAAGCTGTCAAGGCTGCTTGGGAGCCAACTGTGGAAGAACCAATCATCTTCAATCTCCCTGCCACTGTTGAGATGTCAACACCAAATGTCTATGCAGACCAGATTGAATATTTCTGCACGAATATATCTGAAAGAGAAAAGATTTGTGTTTCCCTTCACCCTCACAACGACCGTGGTTGTGCCGTGGCCGCTGCAGAATTGGCTCAAATGGCTGGTGCTGATCGTGTTGAAGGAACCCTTTTTGGCAATGGAGAGAGGACCGGCAATGTTGACTTGGTAACTCTAGCTCTAAATCTCTACACACAGGGAATCAATCCAAACGTTGACTTCTCTGATATCAATTCCGTCATAAAAGTTGTGGAAGAAAGCAATAAGATCCCAGTCAATGAGCGATGGCCCTACGGTGGTCAGCTTGTTGTCTGCGCCTTTAGCGGAAGCCATCAAGATGCCATCAAAAAAGGATTCAAAGAAAGAGAAGCCGCTGGCCTCAAGGACCAAGATAAATGGCAAATGCCTTATCTTCCTCTTGATCCACGTGATATTGGAAGGAACTACGAGGCTATTATTCGCGTCAATTCCCAGAGTGGCAAGGGCGGAGTTGCCTGGATTATTTTACGCATGCTCGAGTTGGATCTTCCTAGGGGCCTCCAGGTCGTGTTCAGCAAAATTGTTCAAAAGGAGGCAGATAGACTGGGTCGCGAGCTGAAACCAAGTGAAGTCGTCTCTCTGTTTGAAGAAGCCTATCACCTCAAGAAGAACCCACGGTTTTCTCTAATAGACTACAATATCACTGCCGACCGGTCTCAAACACCTGCTCCCCCAGCGCCAGGAAAAGCCCTTAGTACAGAGAAACTCCAGAGACGGTTTACTGGTATTATCGAAATTGACAGTATCCAACACGGTATCGTTGGTGTTGGAAATGGTGCCATCTCATCCCTCGCAAATGCTCTTAAATCTCTTGGCATTGATCTTGACGTCGTAGACTACAAAGAACATGCTATGGGAAGTGATCGTGATACCAAGGCCGCTACCTTCATTGAATGCGTTGCAGCTGGATCTAATCTAAAGGTTTGGGGTGTTGGCATCCATCATGATGTTGTCCAAGCAAGTTTGACGGCTTTGCTCAGTGCTGCTAGTTCGGTAAGCTAATCACTCACACACAACTGATAGTTTATACAGTCTAGCATTTACTAATTTGCATCTAATACAGTTTCTATCGTCTCGTGCGCCGTCACCATTCCGCCCAATTCGATCAAAAACCCTGACTCAAGCGGAGATCAAGGCTTTAGAGGATCTTAATGGCAGCTTGCTTGACCCAAATGACCTGGCACAAGGGATTGTCAGTGCAATTAAACAACAAAAAGTGGATGTGAATGTATTGGAAGCAGCAGCCAAAAAACTTTAATCTCTAAGTGCCATGGATGTACTGTGTTTTCTTGCTTTTTCGTATACGCCTCGGTTTCCTTTCTTATTAGTTCACCCCATGAAGCAGATGATTTCGAAGATTTTATGAGGGGCCATGAAAATGAAGGATAGTGCTTAAAAATGGACGGTGTTGTCTGCACAAATGCATAGACTGGAGCTTTATGGATTATTAGCTTTGGGACACCAATATATATGTTGATTCGTTTCTCAGTTTGATCGACTGGCCAGGTCACCTAGTCCTTGTACTGGGGCTATCAGAAAAATCCACAATCTATTACGAGTTCTCTATACTGCGGAATCACAAACTTGAAACACCCATCTGCTGTATCCCGACGAAACAATATTGATAGAAAAAAGCTAATAACAACCTATGACCTATTTTGGCACAGCTAAAAGAGCAATAAAGAATTTTATATAGTGGCAAATAGAAGAGGGTATTGTAAGCACAAACCAACAACGCCAAATATCAGATTCCCTTATTAATACCATTCTTTCTTTGATACAGAATTGCTTCCCGTGGCCAACCTGGATCTTCCTCTTCAGTTCCATAGTAGACCTGTGGGGATGGGTGTTGCGTTTGATTCCGTTGGGAACCAGAACCATCAACTACGTTATATCTCACCTTCTGACCGGGCATAGAGTCTCTTCTGTGAGGCAAGGAATCGGATTGTACTCGGGAAGAACTGTTCTGGCCGGATCCGTATCCAGATGTTGGGGCCGTACTGGAGCGACGAGAAGATGGGGTATTATGCCGCGACAGGGATTTCATTGGAACGAGGCCTGTAGGGCCATTGGGATTAGGTTGATCGTAATTAGGCGGAAGGGGTTGAAGCCCAAAAGAACTGATCCTTTGAGGTAGAGCTGTGCTCTCAGCGTCAATCGCTGGGGGCGATTCAGTCATCAACTTCCGCTGGCCGTCTTGGTCCAGGCCATAATAGTCGGTGGGAGTAGCCACACCAAACTGGTTAGAAGACTGATAGTACTTCTCAGTTTCATTTGCATTATAAAAAGACGGATCTCCAAGGGTATGATCCGCGGATATACCTTCAGGGGAAAGGGGAAAATGCTCAACAAATTCGTTCGTCTGTCCCTTGCTGCCTTTTGGTGGGGCCAATGGCTGGCGGCCTTCAAATTCCTCGGACTCCATTAGAGCGGAAGGTAGGCGGCTGCTTCCTTCGACCAGACTCCCAGTTTTGGACATCCTGGCACGGTCCGCCTCTGGGAGTTGTGTAATGGTTCCGCTGGCGTCCCGAATACTAAACTGCGCGATTGTACGAATTTTGCGAGTCACCCATAGTCCAAGAATTTTTCCACGTTGTTTCTCTCCTAACCGTGAGCGAGGGAAATCTCCCCGGGGGACAAAGGCAACAATGTCGGTAACGACCTGGTGCTCAGTAAGCACGGCATTCACAATAACAGGTACAATAGAAGCAAGGTAAGCTTTCCGAGTAACTTCAACAAGCCCAACAACAAGCCCACCGGCCTGGAATACAGCACTATATAAGAATACTGTCAGACAATCCGAACTCAAGAAAATAGGGTGGGAATTCGTAGCTAACCTTCCTCCCTTAACAATATTTCGATGGGATTTTTCAATTGTTTGTTCAATATCCATAGGGAAGTGATTAAGACCATTGACTTCAAAGGTCTCTCCAATGCTGCCCAAGACGAACAAAACCTGCATTTCAACAGGCTGTCCACCAGGGCCAATAGGCCTAGTCACTGTATGAAGAAAGCCCAAGTCCCCTGTTCGGACATATACAGCATCAGGATCTCCATCAACAGTGCGTCCTCTAAATCGTTCTGAATCGAATTCTTGCTTTGAGCCATAAAACGACTTGGCGCAAGCATCTGATTGCACCCATATTTCACCATATTCGCCAACATAAGCAAGACAACAAGTCTCTGGGTTCACAATGGCTATCTGGGTACTCACGGGAACCATACCTGAATCCTGGACTAATAGAGTATGTCCAGGAGTATCCGGGTCGACAGGGACAACATAGCCTTGTCTTAGATATTTTGTATCAAGCCAGAGCTCAATGGGCTCAATGCACATATACGATCTGGAAGCAATCATGGGATTGAGAACGTGAGAATAAATTGTGTTAATCGCCGTGCGGTCAAGTCCAGCAGCAGCAAAATGTAAACGCACTCGTTGATCTAAAGAAAGAATCAGTTGGGCCGACAAACGCTTTGGAAGAATTTCAACATACAAATATCAGCACGAGGCCTTCCTTCAGCTGAGATCATGAGATTCTTTAATTCATGCAGTTGGAAGCCTTTTGCGACCATACTTCCCATGGCATAGTCTAGCATTTGACTAGTGGCATAAGTATCTTTAATTTTGTATCTCGCTAAAGTGAGAAATAAGGACGTGGGATTCGCTGCAAAGTCAATAGGAGAAACAAGATATGTAGGGGCACCTAAATAATGTCAATGATTAATCCAGATAATTATTGAGGGAGTGGAGATAGCATACCAAGATATGGTCCCATCAAACAAGTGTGAAGAAACCCGAGGCCTATGGTGCTACGCACGCTGCCTAAAACTGGACGCGAACTTGACATCTGACAAGTCTCCTTTTGAACCTTGCACATACCCATGATGGTATCATGACCAATTTGTACCGACAATCTTCGCTGATCTGGAGTCCAATACGTCCAAATAATTGCTGGCTGATTTGAGTTTAGCCATTGAGGATTCATCGTAAACCCCATATGGCGGCACCCATGCGATTGCTTTGGAGGCTTCGATGTATTATAGATATTAGGAACACTAGTGTGAACGACATGAGCAGATTGTTTGATATGTTGAGAAACTAGTTTCTGTTTCAGCAGGTCGTTGACTTCGCCGTTAACCAATATGGCCTTCACGCGGAAATCAAAAATAACATGGAGCAAAGCCGGAGCGTCTTCAGAAAGTCGATTTTGATCGACAGGGGATATAGGGATCGCTATGAGACCCAAACAGAAGCAAGCATGCACGGCGAATACGTAGTCTTCTGAGTGAGTATACATGAGGATGACATGGTCACCTGGGCGAAGTTTGACCTTATTTTTCAGGTAAGCAGCAACGGCAGCAACCTTCGCGTCGAATTTTTTCCATGTTATGCCTTTCCCTTCTCTACCCCGGCCATCGATAGAGCAATAACAGAGTTCTTCACCTTGGCGAGAAACCCGCCATTGCAGTAAATCAACAATACTGCTAAAGCTGTTGAGTGGCGTTGAAGTGCGATCATCCATTATAACATCGCGCAAGTCGACACCAGAATATTGCTTCTCTTGCATCGCCAGAGCATCTTGCCTTGAGGCTGAGGAAGGGACAGACCAAATGCCGCCAGCAGGATCAACACCAATTGGAAGATTCAAAACAGAGCGCTCAACGCCAAATTTAAGGTGCTCACAAGGAAGGGACCCGTTGTCAAACTCCTTACGGCATAACATATTGCCAATCTCCAGTCTTCCGTTTTTGATTATTCGAGGTAGTGTGTTTGGAGCCGTAAGCATTACACAGTAGACGCGAAGATGGTGCTCCTGGTATAGAACATCCATGCATTTTTCGGCCAGAGAATCCAGAAGTGCTGCATCTAGTTGTCGAGGAGAGCCACCTGAGGTTGTAGGTGCCGTTGAAGCCGAATATGACTCTAGGACCACGACAGGTAGATGCTCGTCATTGACAAAAACGTCAAAGGCAGAGCAGTCATGAATTTTGGGTACATTCTTCATGATGCTGATTATCAGATGCTGGACGAAGAAGTACCGGTGTTCTGTAAGTTCTACGCCATGTTCGACCCACTCTACCTTTTGGCGTAGACGATCCTCGTAGAGTCCGAGCACGAATACTTGTCCTTCGATAACACACCCAAGAAGCCCGGTTCGGAGGAACTCTGGCTCAACTAATATTGGGGTGGGGCTTCCTTCCTGAAACCGGTAAGGTCGAGCATGAAATATAGTCTCTGTATGCTTCGGTAGGGCCCAAAATCCTCCAGATAATGAGGGTGAATCAACCCATATCTCACCGATTACATAAGGTGTACACAGTAGTCCAGTCTCGGGATCGACAATTGCCAGCGTTGCATCCGGAATTGGGTAGCCAAATGCGCCCACCCGAACAGCGTTGGGGGTGATATCACTCAGCCGCCTGGCCTCTTCGCCAATTGCCAAGATAACGAGTTCATTAATTTTCAGAGCCTCTTTGTCCAAAAGCACGTCACGAAGGTCATTTCGCGAGCCCTCTTTCCTTGTAGGCGCGGCTGTGCCGCCGATTAAACTGCTTCCAAAGGTTTCCTTTGGTTCTTCAGTTTTATCCCCTTCCTCCTTTTTACCGTCTTCGCCCTCTGCCGTTTGTGGTTCCGTTGGTTGCACTTCGTGTTTCAGTGGACAGCCCATACGTTCCTCACCGCCAAGCCAATCTCGAAGACTGATAACCATACCTCCATGTTCTGGAAGACACAGCATAGGTGCGACTAACTGACGGGCCCGCGGGTTTCGCAGAGGCCTTAGCCACCGGTCGGCTAAAACTTCGTGGAATTCGGAGTCTACTGTCAATGTGTCGATCAGACAAAGCCTTAAGCTCACAAAATTCGGCTCGGTATTTTTCTTGAAATTCCTGGTTGCCATTGGATCTTGCTGGTAGTTGTACACAGCTCGTTTGAGGCCTGGATAGTCCGCGGCTAATAGTGTTGCTCTATATTTGGTAATTAAGCTAGCATATAGCCCTGGAGTTTCAACCGCCAATGATTCTAGCCAGACGGTTGTATTTCCAGTATAAACTGTAAATAGGACACCAAGAATCATGCCTATACCCTGTCTAGGGTCAAGATAGCTCATAAGAATATCGCTGTGCGGTTTTGAAGGTGGCGTGCCGGTCTCATTGCCGTCAGTAGGTATCGTGGATACTATAGCGGAAAGGCAGGACATTTGGTGCATTATGGTGCGATGGCTCATTACTACACCGCGAAGGTCGCCAGTAGGTGCCCTGGCAAATTCAATATATGCTAAATCCGGTACGGCCAAAGGAGGGACTTCGTCTTTTCGTTTTGGGTGAAAGCTCCCAAACTCGTTTGTTTTCCACCATTCCACGCCTCTGGGCCAAGTCAGCTTCTGAGTGGCAATGTCCCGCTGAAAAGTTTTCAAATTATTCTCTGTAGTCAGGGCGAGGTGCGCTTGGGTGGAGGTCAGGATAACGTTAAGGCTGGCGTAATCCTCAAGGTTGTTGACAGGGACCGCGACAACTCCAGCAATAAAGCAGCCCAGCAATGCAACGGCAAATTCTATCACTTCAGTATCCCGATACACGAGCGCGACGCGATCCCCTCGATACAGACTGCTCTTGTCACGTATCACCTGCGCAACTTTCTCTGCACGACTGCCAAGCTTTTCCCACGTTATGGAAGCTATTTCCTTTCCGCGTTGATCAAGCACCCAGTACGCCGGTTGTTTGGGGTGTGCACGGGCTCGGTGTCGTAGAACTGTGGGTAAGTTGTCGAACCTGGCCATTGGACATTTGGGGTCGTGAGGGTCGCAGACTTCAAAGCTAAGGTCTCGCGGCTCCAGAGGCAGAAGATGCTCTGCTATTAGCCCATGCGCAATTCCGGTTGTGGGCATAGGAGGAGGTGCCATTGCGGCAGTGGGAGAAAAGGGTTCCGTTTGCGAATAGCGGTGAAAGTGTCGACCATAACTATCTCTCTGATCGTCTCGTTGCTGGCCCGCAAAGTCTGAAAAGTAGGCTTGCTGCGAATCGAGCATGGTAGAGTTTCTGGTTTGGACATTGTGCTCGGGCTGATCGTTCGGGTTAAATGCGTAGTTCTGGCTCATGATCGTAGGCGATCGGGACGGAGTATATTGCGTATTAGCCGGATTTACCCTGAGAGACTGTAAAGAATCGTAGTCCGACGTTGATGGGAAGGTTGGTTCCAGCGAGAATCCCAACTCATTTTCTTGAATCCTAGACAACGGATTCCCATGCGGATCGGCATAGTGTACGCTATTCGTGGGGGAGATGAGGTTTGCGGGGAGATAGTCCGACCGTCGCCGGTTATCTGCGTATGTTGATGACCGGTTTGCTTGCCCGCCTTCAATAGGAATGGGAACGGTGGATTGGGAATCCGTTCCGGGATTGTGGCTCAGACGATTTGTCTGGTCGCTCGGGGGCGCATTTGTGGGCATGAATTGGGAAAAGAGCAGAGTACGGCGTTTCTGATATCTGATATGCAGTTAGCTGTTGGCTATAGCAGGGCATGTGAGGGTTTCAGGGCCGGGCACGCTGCCGAGAATCGACATACCCTTTCTGGGTGATATCACCATCCTATAGATGTCAGCATTGGCGGTGCCCTGAACGCAACTTTCGGGCCATCGTCGACGTACCTCCAATTCCTGGTCCAGCAGCTGCAGAGCGGCATGGAGCTGTGGGTTGTCTTCGGCCATCTTCAACCTCGTCGCTTAGGCGTGGCGCCACATGCCACGGTGGGTTCAGCGACAGACGGTGAGAGTTTCTAGTAGAATAGAAGCTGGCTGGAGTTTATTGTGGGAACAGATGACGACCTGCGATCAGCCGCCGCTTGCGATCAGCGGCCATTTGGCAGCGGGGCGCCAGTCAGCTGCAAGTAAGTTAACTAGTTAACTAGTTAGTTAGTTAACTTAGTTAGTTAGCCCGCTCCCACAGACTATCGCAACTAGTGTGTCCGGACAAACAATTTCGCGTGTTTACTTGCTGGAGAGATATTGAGTGGGATCCTGTGAATTCACTAGCTAACGGCAGTGTTGCGTGTTGGTGTGCTGTGGGCCGCGTGCACAAACCCTTCACGTGGAGGGTGGCGGACCCCAGGCCGCCTGGGCAGTTCAGACTGACTGACTGACTTGACGCCCTCTAAGCCGACCAATCCCGCGATCACCACCCTGGGCTGCCAGATTATTGGCTTGAAACGTGGAAGCCCGTTGGAATGTCCCAGAACTGGCTGTGGCCAAAGTCTAACAGCAACCCCCAGCTCATGTTTATCAGCATCCCAGGGCTTGCAGAGGACATGCCGCAAGGCAGCCTGTGAAGTCACCACAGTTCGCAACACCGACATTCCTCGGCTCGCAACCTGCACTGCAGGACCTGATCTCATCTCGCAGCCCCTCACAGCAACTTCGGCAGCATACTTGACATGCACTCACGCGTCCTTCGACCCAGACGCCCCTCTACACATGTGGTGGGCGGCTCCGAATTCATTGGCCCGACCGGGCCTGGCGTTGGACAGGCATGCGCCGATGCTACCTCTCGCTAGCCTCCGAGTGCCCCCAGCTCATCTCCGACCACCAAAAATATGCCTCGATCGGCACGGCTAACTGGCTGGTTCCAAGGCCGAGCTAGGGATGAAGGCGGAGGACGAGGTATGCACATGGCTTGGTTTTGTTTATATACAGGCCATGATCGCGCTTCTGGCCGGCCCAACCTCCCTAGGCACGGCGGAGAGCTTTTGTTTGGCTTCGAAGACGCTGTCAAACACATCCCTTCTTGACCTCTGGCCGTTGGATGCCACGGTTGCTTGCCTACAACAATGCTCCTCTTTGGTGTCGCCCTCTTGCTGGCCCGCATCTCCGCAGTTCTTGCTTGCTCTAGTTGCTATGGGCCCTCAGACCTATCGCAGCATCCGAGGTTGGTTCGTCGCATGCAGCCTGGTGCGCTGAATGCTACCACAAAGCCTAAAGGTCCTCTCGAATGGGGTCAGATCAACTTTCTGCAAACAACCGATACACATGGATGGCTTGCCGGCCACTTGAAGGAGAGGAACTATGGCGCGGATTGGGGTGACTTTGTCTCCTACGTGAAACATATGCGCCAGAAGGCCAACGATCTGAATGTCGACCTTCTTGTTGTCGACACTGGTAAGATTCAGTCCCACCGTCTCTTCTCTTGTTGGGTACTGATCATGGAGCAGGAGACTTGCACGATGGTAATGGACTCTCCGACACCACAACGCCGAATGGTGCCGTTAGTGATAACATATTCGCCGAGATCGACTACGATCTGTTGGCCATTGGCAATCATGAGCTCTACGTCACCGAAATTGCCTACCAAAGCTACTATAATCTTTCAAAAATATTCAATGAAAGGTACCTGACCAGTAACGTCCAACTAATCAACCGTGACACGAAGAAGTTTGAGGATTTTGGCAGCAAATACCGCTACTTCACCACAAAAAATGGCCTTCGAATCATGGCCTTCGGAGTGCTGTTTGACTTCACTGGAAACTCCAATGTATCCAAAGTCACAAAGGCTGCCGACATGGTAAAGGAATCCTGGTTCAAGAATGCCGTCAACTTTTCCAAGCCAATTGACCTTTTTATTGTACTTGGACACAACACTGTCAGGCCAAATTCTGGCGGCAGTACCTTCAGCACAGTGCATAGTGCAATCCGGCAGATGCGACCTGATGTTCCTATCCAGATCTTTGGAGGTCACAGGCATATTCGTGATTTTGTTGTTTATGATGAGATGACCACTGGAATTGGATCTGGCCGTTACTGTGAGACGTTGGGCTGGCTTTCTCTCACTGGAATTAAGTCGTCAACGTTCACTGGAAGCATGCGCCCGCGTGGTGTTCCAAATCCCACCCGGGCTGCCGTAAAACAGGGGGAAAAGCCCGGAAACAAAACCTCTCCATTACGGTATGCGCGCCGCTACATGGATTGGAACCGCCTGACCTTCGCCTACCACGCACGAAAGTCGCAAGACCGCCACTTTGATACTGCGCATGGGTCGGATGTGACAGGCCATATAACACATCAGTACAAAAAATTGAACTTGTCATATGTCTATGGATGTGCGCCCAAGACCTACTGCGAATCTTGTGTGCCATTTGGCGCGGAAGGCAGCATCTACCCCCTACTTGAGACGGCGCTTGCAGCAACAGTTGTCAACAAACCTCGAGAAAACACCCCGCGAATCCTCCTGACTAACACCGGTAGCATACGCTTTGACTTATTCAAGGGCCCGTTCACTCTTAGTGACTCGTATATTGTGAGCCCTTTCAAGAACACGTTTAATTACATCCCAGATGTGCCCTATTCCATTGCAAAACAAGTCCTTGGCGTTATGAATGGTGGAACTCGCCCGCTGAAGCGATATGCAGAGCAATATGCAATTCCGGACTTGTCCGACGATAATGCCTGCGTAAACCCTCCATTGCCCAAGTATAATGCCATGCAAAAGAAGAGCGAGCTGGAACAGACCCCACGGCACCCAAAATCAATGACGCCGAAAATTTATCCGGGTTATATCACAACTGATGACTTCGGCACGGACGGTGATGATACCCCTCATTCCAAGATCCCTTATTTTGAAGCTCCATACAATCTGCAGGGAAATGCATCCTTCCCGGCCAACGGCTCCATGCCAGAAAAGGTAGACGTAGTATTTACGGATTACATTGCTTCTAGAGCTGTGTTGCCAGCATTGAGGCAGCTAGGGGCCAATTACACCACCGCCGACGTCAAACCCTATCTTCCACCGAGCTTCACGTCGAACGACGTTCTGCCTCAGTATGCTCGAAAGGCTTGGCAGGCTAGTATTGAGAACTGCCCGGTCATGAGTGAAGATGATTTGTTGTAGAGCATGTATTTCCTGAAGATAGAGTATGCTTTTTTAGGGGTCGAGATCAGCGAGGGGTCGAATGAGATACTCAAAAGTCCGATTTCCCGTTGCCGTAAATGCTTCCTTGAGATAAAACGCGCGTCTGTTGTGCGGAGTACCTGGACAAAGTACGGAGTACGGAGGACTCCGTGGTGAGGCCAAGGAGCATATACACGTGATCATTGCTTAGTCAGTACCTTAGAGTTTCTAATTGGCTGTAGCGCCAAGCTGCCCTAATCCACCCACACAGAATTCCAATGAAAGTCGCTAAGCGAGCCCGCACCGCCAACTTTGCGTTGACAGCATCCTGAACGACAACCACCGGCTGACGCTCCTCCTTCACACCCTAACGCCCAGTTCCGTCCTCGACCAGGTGTAATTAGCGTCATCATGTCCGACAGCGGGGAAGTCGAGGTCGATAGCCCGTCCGGGTTCCAAGTGTTGCCCAAGGATGTCGCTACCGAGATTGGCAGTGTCAAGCTCTTCAACAAATGGAGTTATGAGGATATCGAGGTCCGGGATATATCTTTGACGTATGTGCCGAATTACTCGCTACCCGAATTGTTGATTTGTGTTGCTTTTCAAGTGTGAATATATCGGGATATTATAATATTCGGAGGAAACCAGCGCCCAAAAAGACCATTGCTGCGAAAAGAGCGTTATGCTGACATCTCCATGTACTCCTGCGACAGTGATTACATTCAAATCAGACAACCCGTCTACCTCCCTCACTCCGCCGGCCGATATGCTGCTAAGCGCTTCCGCAAGGCCCAGTGCCCTATCATTGAGCGCCTCACCAACTCCCTCATGATGAACGGCCGAAACAACGGCAAGAAATTGATGGCCGTGAGAATTGTCGCCCACGCTTTCGAAATTGTACGTGCCTGCTATCCATTTTGGCATAGGGAGATCTGCGACAGGACTTTTTGGGATGATTAAAATTTAGATGTACTAACGGAAGGATTCTGCTCTAGATTCACATCATGACAGACCAAAACCCCATCCAGATCGCCGTTGATGCCATTGCCAACTGTGGCCCCAGAGAAGACAGCACGCGTATCGGCTCTGCAGGTACCGTCCGTCGTCAAGCCGTTGATGTTTCTCCCCTCCGCCGCGTCAACCAGGCCATTGCTCTCCTCACCATTGGTGCCCGTGAAGCTTCGTTCCGCAACGTCAAGAGCATTGCTGAATGCCTCGCTGAAGAATTGATCAACGCTGCCAAGGGAAGCTCGAACTCCTATGCTATCAAGAAGAAGGACGAGTTGGAGCGTGTCGCCAAGAGCAACCGATAAACGATGTAAAAAGTGTTATGGTTGTTACTTTTCTCATACTGGGGTGGATGGTGTCCGGGTTCGCTGGATTTGCTGTTATCTGCAACTCTGGTCCATTGGACAGCTTATTGAAAGAGCAATGTCCAGACGGATTACTCTCTACTGTGTAGTCAGAATGCAATTATGAGGTTCTCAATGATTTACTCTCACCTGCTCCTCGTAGAACTACTTGTTACTCATACGTGAGTCTGCACATTATTGTACGGAGTTATACTAGTTTGCAAATCTAAAATTTCTACCGCATCTACTGTGCAAATCAGCCTTGTGGCCTAAATAATTGTCTAAATGTTCGGTATATACCTAGTCATTTACTCCGTACGGTGCCGTTGCTCAATATGTAATAATTTTCGATGGAGCTAGCGGGCATTGGTTACGAAAAAAAAGTTGAGCGCATCACTTTTACTAACTTCTCCAATTAACTCATCACCACAACAAGGACAAGCAAACATGGGAAAGCGCAAATTAGGAGCGTTGGAAAAGGTTGATGCTGATCTGTAAGAAAACCAGTCCTTTCATACCGTCTCACCAGGCCAAAAACGCCGCCGTTAACACTTCTTTTCTAGAACGAATCTACAATACAAAATTCGACGGGACCCTAAGTATGTCCTTACATTAACAACTTTCGCTCATCTTGACCTTGTTTTCTAATCGAGGAGTCAACTTATCTACAGGTCCTATGTTGAAGATTTCCGTAGCCAGCATTTTCAATATGAATCGCATCGCGAAATATTCATGGCTGCGCCCTCCTCCGCGACGGATACAGGCATCATCTCGCTTCGGGAACTGATTGATTTCATTGCTCATGTTGCTGAGTGCTATCCGGATATTACCAAGGATTTCCCACGGCAGTTGATCGAGATTATATCTCTTCATCATGCCGTCTTGGAGTCTGAACTGAGGGAAAAGATTGTGACGAGCTTAGTGCTACTGAAGAAAAAGGATGTTATAGATTCAGCTACGTATGGCCACCTATGACATCTTATTTATTTTTATTTCGTCCGAAAACTGATTTCCTGGTTCTATCTTTTATAGACTTCTACAGACGCTTTTTCCAATTCTTGTCTCAACTCCCAGCAAGACCCTTCGGGCTTTACTCTTCCAAAAGATTGTTTCAGATCTACGCAATTCGAACTCGAAAGGCACGAATCATAAGTTAAACAAGACTATCCAAACCGTTCTCTTCAACTTAGTAACTTCAGACCGTACATCTGCCAAGGGCCTGTGGGCAATCAAAATTACACGAGAGCTTTGGAAGCGCCAAATATGGACAGATTCGAAGGCCGTGGAGATAATGAAAGAAGCTTCACTGGCAGAAAACGAGAAGCTGATAGTTGGGGGGGTGCGTTTCTTTCTCGGAGGCGACAAAGAGCGAGAGGAGCTGGAGGATGAGAGCAGCGACGATGAGGCCATTGATGTGGCTCGCGTGCGACACCAGGTTGGGATAAATAAAAAAAGCAAAAAGAAAGCTCGTCAAGTAGAAAAAGCCATCGCAACAGTGAAGAAAAAGGAAAGGAAGAAGAGTCAGCCTCATCCCTTGAACTTCTCGGCTCTACATCTTCTGCATGATCCCCAAGGATTTGCAGAAACACTTTTTCAGAAACACTTGCAAAATTCGAAATCTCGACTAAACTTGGAGCAGAAACTTCTCGTCTTACAGCTGGTATCTCGACTCGTTGGCCTCCACAAACTTACCGTGATACAACTATACTCCTATTTTTTGAAATACTTAACTCCCAAGCAACCTTCTGTTACCTCATTTCTCGCATCTCTCGCGCAATCTACTCATTCCCTCGTTCCCCCCGATGTCCTTGAGCCGCTTATTACGAAAATAGCAAATGAGTTTGTATCTGAAGCTGCTGCTGCTGAAGTAGCATCCGCTGGCCTAAATGCTATCCGCGAAATATGTGTTAGGCAACCATTAGCAATGAATGATACATTGCTTCAGGATCTTGTCATGTACAAGAAAAGCAAGGATAAGGGGGTAATGATGGCTGCTAAAGGTCTTTTGGGCTTGTATCGGGAAGTGGCTGCAGAGCTCTTGAAGAAAAAGGATCGAGGAAAGGATGCAAGTATCGCATTGAGGACAGGTGAGCGGAAAGAGCGGAGATATGGGGAGGAAGAAGTCGGTGAAATTGAAGGAATCGAGCTACTTGAGAAATGGAAAGAAGAACAACGGCGAGAGAAAAGACGAGAGCAAGGCTTGCCCTCTGACGGAGAAACTGGTGAAGAATCGCAAAATGATGACGATTGGGCTGCTTGGGATGTTGAAGAGGATGACAGCGACGAGTCCGGAGGCTGGATTGATGTTCAAAGCGATGTTGATATCGAGCTCAGTGATTCTGACGATGAACCACCCGTTGTGAAGAAACAGAAAATCGAGAATGGCGACGAGCAAGGCCAAGCACAATCAGAAGCACCTACAGCTAAGACCTCGAAGTTGGCGACTACAAAGATCCTAACCCCTGCTGACCTGGCAAAGCTCGCAGAGCTCAGAGCTGCGTCTAGCGTTTCTGCATTAGTTCGTGGGCCTCGATCCGCCAAAAAGCAAGCAGCAACGAATGGGGCTAGGCATATCGACGACCCCCTTACGGCTGTGGAGATTGAAGGTCTTGCATCTCTGTCAGCTGGTAAAGCTACTCGTGAAGAGAAAATTGCCCATATGAACGAGAGCAAAACAGATAGGTCTGAGTTCAAAAGCAAGATGGCCCGTAAAAAAGAAAAGAAGGAGACCCAAGGAAAGAGCACAACAAACAGAGAAAAAGCAAGGAAAAAGAATTTTCTGATGACTTTGGGAAAGGCGAAAAGCAAAAATAAACGGAGTTTGGTGGAAACAAGGGCCACACTTTTGGCGCATAAAGAACGGTCGAAAAGGGGTGGGAAAAGGGGAAACAGATAATGATTTCGAGCAAGTCTATGAATTCCCTATCACTTGTATATGTGCATATTTTTTATATTGTCGGAAAGTTACCTACCGTATGCATTTACAAAAAGCTGGAGTACGGCGTACACATAGATAGAAGCTGTATCAAACTTGAAATTTCTCTCGCTAGGGCGCAAGCTCAGATAACTAAAGACTCCAAGGCTCTAACTTAAGAAAACTCCACCTGTAGTATGTCTATAACCCTTTTTCCTATATTTCTCAGTACATCCCTGGCTGGCCTCACAGTGCCACGTGACCTTCCCTTTTTGGGGGCAGACCGGATCCCACCAGGTGAACTTGTGAATGCGATTCAACTGTCATTCAATCGACTGACTACCCGCTCCACTGTATCTTCCTATATCCACTGTCTTTTTCTCAATAATAATATGAATCGCCCATTAGATCTAGTCTCATAGCAGCCGATACCATTTAACTACCAGGAGCTCTGTGGCCTACCGAGCTCTGCGCTGCTGAGCAGCTTCGCTCACTAGAACCTCGCATTTCCTCATATCTCGAGTGCTCACTGTGATGGCATCTCCACGCCCTTCCAGTACACCCGCTGCGTCTACCCAACCCCTTACTCCTCCCGCCGAGCGACCGCCGTCCGCTAACAAAGCTCCACCAACTACGATACCCGCTCCAGCGCCGATTCCTCCCCAGGTTCCTGGAACTTCTCTTCAAGACAACGGAAAGACAAGGCGGCCCCGCGATGCGCGGTTAATACACATGCTTCTAGCCTCAGCTGGTGTCACTGCTTACCAAGAGAGAGTGCCTCTTCAGCTTCTCGATTTCGCATATCGCTATACCTCCAGTGTCCTGCAAGATGCTGTATATCTTGCAACGGAAGGCTATGCTGGAGAAATGCCAGGGTCAAAAGGGGATAGCGCAAAGGCTCAATCGGCTCCACAGGAGGTTGCTTCTGTCAGTCTACAGGCTTTGCGTTTAAGCATCGCTTCGCGACTACACTATCAGTTTCAGCCTGGCTTGCCGAAAGAATTCTTGATGGATATTGCTGCAGAGCGAAATCGTATCATGCTGCCTGGCGTTTCTAGGGGAAGCGAAGGCAGTACCACCAATACGTCCGCACCTGGTGTAGTAATGGGGGGTATGAGACTACCACCGGAAAGATTTTGCCAAACCGGAGTAGGATGGGGTCTAAAGGAGGAATGGGAAAGTGAGGGAGAAGAGGAAATGGAGGTCGATGCTGCAGGCCAGCAGGTAGCTCCTGTCTCCACAGCTGCAAAAGAAGAAGGTGGCGCGGAAGACGACGATGTTGATGGGAAGATGGAAGATATTTTCGGCGAAGATGCGATGGACGAGGACAACGCAGATGGGGATAAAATTATGACTGGTGTCTAATACTTTATCCTCAATTCTAATACTCTAAGGATGGTGTGGCGATATCCCTTGATTGTTGCTTCCCCGGCGTTCTTCTCGCAATGGCTTTCTCTCAATGCAACGGTTGATGTTCGGCGCGAAATGGATTTTATGGATATACATAATGGGATGGCATTTTCATGAAACAATATGGGCTAGCGGAGATATATCGTGGTTATCTTGGTATTGTACAATATTCGAACAGAAAAAAAGTATCGTTCATATAAACCTATCCAAACTCCCGTAAACGCCGTCCAATGCGTTGATGCCTTGGGGAGATAACTAATAGATCCCACCCGCCTAGAACAATCAGTAGGCAGGTACAAATGTGAGGCGACTTATCTCTACCTGGTTATCCTTTTCACCATGTAGTCGGGTATCAAGCATCAAAATTTTGGACCGTTTGTCTCTATTTCATAATTCTTCAAATTGCTCTAGGTTAACTTTTCTTCCCAAAAAGCCAGCCTGCACTCTTTCCAGCAGCTTCTTCTTTGGCCTTTTGTCTGTCTTCGTCTTCTTTCATCATAGTCACGACTTCATTCCGTCGCACCTCCGTCTCCCGATCAACCTGCTCACGAGCCCTTCTTCGTTCTTCACGACCTGCGAACCATTCTTCTCGTGCCCGGTCTTCTTCTTCGGGTTTGGCATGCTCAACCATACATGAGTTCATGGCTAATCGCTGTGTCCGACAAACCCAGGTCGCTGTCACTGTGCGATTCAGCGCGCATGCAGCGAAATCTGATAAAATAGCGTGGGATTAGTACGTCTATATCCTCAATAGGGCGATGATAAACAAGTAAAGGACAGAATATCCCACCTTTTATTTCTGCAGCACAGTGACCTCGAACACGCTTATAATATATAGCTTTAACTTCGGCTTCCTGGAGCGCGGAGAGTGGTGTAGGGTTTCGGAGGTTTAGGGGCGATCGAGAAGGGGCTGGGGGTTTGACTGCAGCTTCGGAGGATGCCATCATGCCGTGCTTGAAGGAGCCACAAGTTCGGGGCGGCTATTGGGTTGCGGAGCAATGAGGTGTTAATGGTGCTTTGTAACAAATGCCATGAGGCCGGATTTTCCAATGAATTTTGCGTGGTGATGGTTGGACTGAGTTACATCCAAAGCTCGAGGAATTGGAGCTTCAAGAATCAAAGTTCGAGAATTTTTGAGAGAATTAGCCGGTCCCAACGACCATCACTTATCAACATTCAGGCATACAGCTCCCTCGTTGCTCACTGCTAGCCAACCTGTGAGGTTTCAGCTGCCATTTGTTTTTGAAATTTATCTTATCTGTATATATCGAACTTTAAGCCATGTCATCGCTGCGCAACGCCGTTCAGAGGCGCCAGCACCGTGAGCGGGCGCAACCTGAAGCCCGAGAAAAATGGGGCCTTCTCGAGAAACGCAAGGTATGGCATATAATATAAGGGAACACTTACGGGAAGGAATTGCTAACAGCCTTTAACAGGACTACTCTCTTCGCGCTGCAGACTACAACCTCAAAAAAGCAAAGCTCCAACGCCTCCGGGAAAAGGCCCGCGATCGCAACCCCGATGAGTTCAACTTTGGGATGATGTCCTCAGGATCTCGCACCCAAGGGCATCATGGTGCGCGAAATAATTCACAGTCTTCACTAAGCTTAGAGACGGTAAAGCTCCTTAAAACCCAGGATGCTGGTTATTTACGAGTAGCGGGCGAGAAGATCCGGAGGCAAATGGAGAAGGTTGAGAACGATATCAGGCTACAAAATGGCATAAAGGCGACTTTGGATAAGCACAAACGCCACGAAGAAATAGACGAAGACGACGAAGATACAAGTGATGTCTGTGGTGTAAAGAAACAAGGGAAAAGGGTTGTTTATGTGAACTCCGTCGATGAACAGACTCAATATATCAATAGGGTCAAAGAGGGAAGCAGAAACAGCACAACTACACAAAAGCACCCCACATCTACACAACAGCCGTCCAAGAAGCAGCAGGATGCACAAGAAAAAGCGCGTCGAGAGGTAGACACTGCCAAAAGGCTGAGAAAGCGGGCAGCCCTGGCCCGGCTGAAGAAGCTTGAAATTTTGAAAAAGCAGCACCAAGATTTCATAAGTGCGGAGCGGGGTCTAGAACTTCAACGTGCCAAAATGGAAAATTCAGTGGGTGGCGTGAATAAGTACGGCATTAAGTGGAAGGTTAGGGAGCGAAAGAGATGATATTTCGAATTCTATTACTTTAATAACAAGATACCTATCCTTCCGTTGCCCTCTATGTCGGCTTCTGTAGAAATACAATAACATGATATCATTACAAGACTTTTATATCCAAAAATACGAGCGACCTTCTTCAAAACAGGAAAGCTGTAGGGCCATGTAGAATCGTTGCACGACACTCGATCCCCATGTGAGATATATTGGTCGGTACAAAAATTTGTCATCAGTGCAGGCCCCAAGAATCTACTCAAACGGCTTGGGACTTTAAATGGCTCAAGGATTTCGATTCATCCAATCGACACGAATACTGACGGCTTGACGATGAGCATCGAGGCCTTCCACCGATGCAAGTTGCATGACAGATTGTGAAACATTGCGTAGGCCTTCCGCAGTAAGATTTGAGCTAGTGATGTGTTTCACAAAAGATGCAAGATTCACACCAGAGTACTGCTTTGCATAGCCATACGTTGCTAAAAAAGTATTGTCAGTCAAGAGAATATAGGTCGCGGATGAAGAACATACGTAGGGAATGGTTCACCCCAGCAGAGTAGTCTCCAACACTCTCCGGGGTCCATTGGCCAATGAAAACACTGCCGGCATTTTCTACCAGGGATAGAGTGTCTGATGCATTCCGGATCTGCAGGATTAGATGTTCAGGGGCATATGCGTTGCTTAACGCAAAGGCCTCCTCAAGATCCTTTACAATGAAAGTAACTGAATGTTCAATGGAGCCCCGAACGATATCAACACGAGGTAATTTAATGGCTTGTTCATGCAGTTCTTCTTCGATGGCAGACAATCGGGCATCGTCAAGATCAACAGCGATCAAGATCACTTGTGAATCAACGCCATGTTCTGCCTGGCTAAGTAAATCAGAAGCAACAAAGGCAGGGTTAGCATGACGATCAGCGATAACTAAAACCTCACTCGGCCCGGCGGGCATATCAATGCTGACACCAGCAGATGTATCGTTTGAGACAAGCATTTTTGCAGCGGTGACGAATTGGTTTCCTGGGCCTAGAATCTTGTCGACCTTGCTAACACTGGGCGTGCCATAGGCCATAGCGGCCACCGCTTGGGCCCCTCCCGCGAGCACGATACTCTCAGCGCCAACTTTATGCGCAATATATACTATTTCTGGCGAGATGCTTCCGTCTGACCTTGGAGGGGAGGCCATAACAATTTTCTTGCATCCAGCGACCATCGCCGGAACGCCTAACATAAGTGCTGTGGAAGGCAAAACAGCCGTTCCGCCAGGAATATATAGACCTACCCTCTCAATAGGCCGGACAAAGCGAGAACATACAACGCCAGGCATTGTTTCCACTTCAAGGGGTTTTTGCTCCTTTTGCGCCGAATGGAAACGCTGGATATTTTCAAAGCTGGTATCAATAGCACTCTTTGTTTCTGGAGAGAGTATCATAAGCTCTTTCGAAAATGGTGCTCGAATAACAGGTGAGGTTAAAGACGTTGCCTTCTCAAACTGGTGAGTGTACTTAAGAATTGCGGAATCTCCGTTGGCCCTAACGTCTTGAATGATAGGTGTTACCAAGCTCACTATAGCTTCATTTGACTTTTGCGATGGCCGCTGTAAAGCGTCTTGGATATCTGTTGGTGAAGTCGAAGCTGTAGCGAGCCGTCTCATCTGAATCCTTCGACCGGCCAAGGAAGCCGATGGATTGCCGTTTAAAGTGTCGCTTGCCTTTTCTGTCGTTTTAGGAGTAGAAACGCCGGTTTTTTCAGCCCAAATCGTTTTCGCGTCGCCTTTCCTACGTTTCACTTTCAAGCTCTTAAGGTCAAGGTTTTTTTCAACGTCTTCCAATTTTACACCAGCAGCAATGCATTTTGTCAGTGCAAAATAGAAAAGATCGGCAGCCTCAAACGCAATTTCTTCCTTCGTCGAGGCTGTGCATAGTTCGTCCGCTTCTTCCATTATTTTCGCATTCAAGAGTTTTGGATCGTTGAAAAGTCGGGATGTGTATGAGCCAGGCGGGACATCCTCTTTCCGAGCTTGTAATGTTTTCTGAAGACGTGCTAGGCCTGAATATGTGCCAAAGCAGCTTGCAGTACCCAAATGGCAAAATCCTAAGCCAAAAGTCAATATTGTTAAAGATGGAGACCGATTTGGAAGTAACAAACCTCTGCCTTTCTGTCTCACAGTAAATACCAGACAGTCACTATCGCAATCGAGTCCAATTTTAACCAGTTCCTGGACATCTCCACTGGACTGGCCTTTATACCATAATCCACGTTTTCTGCTTTGATACACTCCTGTCCCGGTCTTGATTGCTTCGGAGATGCTCTTCTCGCTGCTCCAAACAAGTCCCAGCGCTACTCCTCGTTCATCTGTAACTATTGTCGCATATAACCCAGTATGACTATCAGGAACAGCACCAGTTACTAGCATTTTAACAATTGAATTCGCTTCATCACCGAGGGCCAACGACACCGACGGAACGACGCTAATCACTCTTTCCTGTTCGTTCAAAAGGAGACTGGATTGTATCGTTGCGTTATCTGAAGGCCGATACACTGCCTTAACTAAAGAGTCATCTTTGAGATCAGATAGTACGGCATCAATTGCAGTCGAATTATGAATGTGAACGCTGATCTCTCGTCTTTCGTTGTTGTTCGATATCCAATTTTTCAGCCTTGCGACGTCATCTGTAGATGACACGTAAGCGACTATGCGGGAGGGAGGTATATTTTGTTCTTCGAATAATGCTGCCAATTGATCTAACGTCACAAAGGCGGCTGAGGCTCCAGCATTGAGTATATTTACCACGTCCCCGCTTGACTTAATGGCCGTCGCGTCAACAAAGATCTCAAAGGCGGCAAAATTAGCATTTATGAAGGATAAAGCTTGATCTAAGCTAGGATAATTCAAGAGGACGCGGCCGAAATAGGATATTTGGCTCAGGGTAAGGCCGCAGGACAGCGGTTGACTTATCGAGTTCGCATCGACAGATATGAGAAATGGGAGCGACATTGTAGAAGGGTTTTCGGCGGGTACAACCAAAGCACACGGAGGCTCCAACCAGATGGAGGCTAGGCAGTCGTTAACATATAATTCAAAAGGAATCAGGAATGCAGGTCGCAACTGCAGCTTGTCCAGACTCCAGAGTAGAATCTTGATTCCCCCACTAATTTGAGCTGATTTGAGTCATCCTCGGCGTCTTTGATAACTGGACGGAACAACAATATTCCGGATAAGCCCCGCGTTCTCGGATTTATAAAGATCCGCAGCCTAATGGCCGCCTGCCCAGGCGGAGGATGTTCTGAGAATCTGGTTTAAGGATATTGTAGGACGGAAATCCTCCACACCAGCCCCCGACTAGCACACGCATGCTATTGGATGGCTGCCATGGACGGATCATGATAGTGAGACCGGTGCCCATTCCCTTGTTCAAGGTACGAGCGGTTCCGCGACTCACACGAACGCTTTTCCACCCTCAAGGCCCCTTGGCAGACAGGCAGACAGGGCCCCAGCTCCATGTCGCCTCCTACGGAAACCAGGGGGTGGAAGAAAGGGCATTCCGGTTCAAATCATACACATGCCTAGCTATACTTGCATGTGGTGGTATCAATAATTAAAGGAACCAGAATCCCCGCACATTACAATCCCGCTGATCCTGTCTTTGGACCAACGCCGCGTGACATCACGCTCATCCTGAGTTCCATGATGCTTGGCCAAAGCATCACGTATTGCATAAATTCTGTTGGACCAAGAAATATAATTCAGGTACAAGGCTCCATCCGGTCGTCGATCTTCCTTTTCGCTTGTATTACAATGGCGATTCCTTCTCGCTGCTCGATGCCGGGCTGGTATATCAGTAGCTATGGCCCCCGCTCGGGGCCGCTGTTCTTTTGCACTCGAATGTACCCCTGCCAGAAAAGTACGCAGGAGTTGAGTTTCAGATATGAAAAGCATTTCTATCCTTGCGTTCTGCGCTGCAGCGCTCCCATTCTTTCCCTCTGCTGTATCCCTCCCCACTACCGTGAAACAAACTCCTGATTCCGCTGGCCAGAGCATTGAAACAAACCAGCAGAGAGCAGATGCTGTCAAAGACGCCTTCAAATTCGCCTGGGATGGCTACGTGAAACATGCTTTCCCCAATGACGAGCTCCGTCCAGTGTCGAATACGGCAGGCAACTCTCGGTACGAACATGTCTGAATATTTTATGATGGGATGGGCACTGATGAGCACTTGAAGCAATGGCTGGGGTGCGTCTGCTGTTGATGCGCTATCGACGGCGATCATTATGGAGCTACCAGAGGTCATCGAGAAGATCTTAGACCATATTGCCAAGATCGACTATTCCAAGACAAATACGATATGCAGTCTTTTCGAAACCACCATTCGTTACCTAGGAGGCATGATATCAGCGTACGACTTGCTAAAATCAACCCATTCTCATTTATTATCTGATGTACTCTCCCCCCTGATTCATAAAGTGTTAAGATTCATCTCGACCGGATGCTAATTTTAGTTAGCCCAAAAAAGCCGATGTTTTACTGGAACAATCTAAGAATTTAGCAGACTTATTGAAGTTTGGTTTCGATACAAAGAGCGGCATTCCAGCAAATGGGCTAAACGTCTCAGCCCAGATCACAGTGAGGACTGCCACTTCCTCTGTATCTATGTATTTATTGCGCATGCCGAAGACCTGACCTTTACTTAGGATGGCGGTAAAACTAACGGCCTTGCAACAACCGGCACCTTAGTTTTAGAGTGTAAGCATATTTCTAGGCTTTTGGCGTTATACCTTTACTGATAAGGCTCCAGGGACCCGTCTTTCTGATTTGACAGGAAACCCGGTATATGGTGAATTGGCCCAGAAGGGAGAGTCACATCTTCTTGAGCCAAAACCAGAATTTGCTGAGCCGTTTCCCGGACTAGTGGGCCGTGACCTTGATATTGAATCTGGTCTATTTAGAGATGGTCTAGTCAGCTGGGGAGGCGGGTCAGACTCTTTTTATGAATATCTTCTTAAGATGTTTGTTTATGACGAGAAAAAGTTCGGGAAGTATAAAGATAGGTAAACTATCTCTTTTTCGTTGAATAATGATATTATGAGCTAATACGATATCAAGGTGGATCGCTGCCGCCGAATCTACCATAAAATACTTAAAATCATCACCCCTCTCTAAGCCGGAAATGGTGTTTGTGGCTGAGTATAACAATGGAACTTACCATTACAATTCCGGCCACTTAACTTGCTTCGATGGTGGCAATTTTCTACTGGGCGGTCAAGTTCTCAATCGACAAGATTTCACAGATTTCGGCCTGCAGCTTGTCAATGGGTGCCGTGCAACGTATACTGCAACAAGGACTCAAATCGGACCTGAAGGGTTCAGTTGGGATGAGAAAAGGGTCCCAGAAGACCAAAAAGAGTTTTTCGATAGAACTGGTATCTTCATTACCGCGAGTTATTACGACCTCCGACCAGAAGTTATTGAGAGTTACTACCATGCGTATCGAATGACAAAAGACCCCAAGGTGAGTCTAGAAAGACGACCTCATATTTTAATGGCTGACAGGTACCTGTAGTATCAACAGTGGACATGGGACGCATTTGTTGCGCTCAACGCGACAACGCGAACAAACACCGGGTTTACCGCTGTTGCGGACGTCAATGCCCCTGATGGTGGCAGAAAACTCGACAATCAAGAGAGTTTCCTTTTTGCCGAAGTCATGAAGTATGCGTACATGATATACACAAATGGTAATCCCCCGCTCGTTCCCGTTCCTGAAATCCGTCAACTGACACTCGCGTGTGACAGATGCACCATGGCACGTAGCAGGACCTGGCCAAAAGAACCAATTTGTGTATAATACCGAAGCGCATCCAGTAAGAGTATTCAGCGGATAGATGAGATACCCTTGAATTTAGGTAGCTCGCGGGATAGACAGCTGATATATAAGGAGTATTGTTGCGCTTCTTGTTTGTTACGTGCTAGCGTACGAAGTAAACGTCATCATGTGCTATTATAGGTGAAATGCAGAGTAACGTTCGAGCCAAAGTAGCCGTGCTGAGTCATCCATTCTGTGCTTACATAATAGCCGGTCGGCTACCCACGGCTGCGCGCATGCGTTTCCTGATCAGGACGAAAAGCCGCAGCGAATCCCAGCGCGGGAAAGCCTGCTGACTCTCCTCCGCACCGACGAGGCGCTGACCGCATCACGCCACGGACGGTGAGAATGGAGAGGCCTCCGTGGAGCAGAGCGTCTGGGAACCGTGAGTTCCTGCGCACGTACAAAGCCTGCATCTCTTGCCGGCAACGCAAGGCAAAATGTGAGCTAGGCGGGAATAGGGAGCGCGGGATTCCACCTGGGCCACCATGCCTCCGATGCCGACGCGAACAACGCAACTGTCTTTTCAGCGAAGATCGCGCGTGGTCACGGAAGAAGAAGAGTACGTGATAGATAGTTGCCTGGAGTTGCAAACGGAATATCCGATTTCTGACTTGGTTTCAGCAAATAATGTTATTAGTACGACGTCGGCTGAGCAGCAAGCTTCCTTCACGACCTCCCCCCAAATACCCGGTGCCCCTGTGAGTGTGGCGGGCACTCCGCGAAACGCACCACCACTCCTCGTGAACAAAACGGAGTCCAATACTCCTACACCGGCGCACCACTCTAGCACACCTGCCCCACTCCAGATGCAGTATGAGCCCACCGGCGCGGCGAGTACGCCGGCAAATATGAGTGTCAACTGTGCATCGCCGTTAACGTCGACGATGCGCCCTGCTGAATCGCCCTCAGATCAAGGACCTTCTACAGGCCTTGCAAGCTCTGTGATGCGTACTGTCGTGTCGAGCGGGAATGATGCGCTAAACATCCTATTCCAGGCTGCTGCACAAGAGCAAGGGAACTGTGTGAATGACTTGGCTACAAATTCTAGAAGTCTATTGAGCCAGAGCAACAACCATGCCCAGCCGGTGTATGAAACCCCTGGGTCAACGACATCCCTAGGCATGGCGACCACTATATCTTCGGAACCTACGCATTTGTCTCCTGTGGAGCCTGATGTAGTGGCAGTATGGGATTCATGCCGATTTGTGAAGATGGGATGGTTTTCTTCCAGGGAGGCAGTAACATACGTAGATTTGTACGTCTTACGCACCGTATCTTTTGTGTGTCATAGCTGCTAATTGGCTTGGTAGATTTTTCAGACACATGGCACCTTTATCTCCAATATTGTCGAACTTCTATTCACACCATCGAAATCACTACTGGTTAATCACTCAGGAACCAGTGTTGTGTTGTACAATCCTAATGATATCATCCCGTTATCATACATTACCGGGCGTTGGTGGTGCTTCTAGAGGGTTTTTCATCCATCAGCGACTATGGCAACACTGTCAACATTTGATAATGCGAGTGATGTTAGGCCAGGAAAAAGGATCAAAAGCAAAAACTAGAACTGTTGGCACAATTGAAGCTTTACTTTTGATGTCCGAGTGGCATCCTCGTTCTCTGCATTTTCCACCTGAAAGCGATGGTTGGGATTCGGATCTGATGATGTCACCTCCAGATCATTTCCACTCCGCCACCAGCCCTGACATGTCCGTTTTAGCACCAAACCGCTGGCTTGAAGATGTTATTGAGCCAGCTAGAAGATCTGATAGAATGTCTTGGATGCTACTTGGGTCCGGACTGACATTAGCACATGAACTTGGGATTTTTGATGCAGACGATTCTCGAGCTAAAAGCATGATAGCAAGCCCGGAAATAGAATGTCAGGGGGTTGATATTAATCTCCGTCGGTATCGAATCCAGCAACTCCTCTATGTTTTTATCAACCAGCTCGCTTCGCGGCTTGGATGCATGTCGCTCATGCCCCAGAGCCTCAACCATGCTGTTCTGGCTCCGTTTTCGCAACCTTCTCTTCAAGCAGGCGATGAATGGCACTCTTTCATGAATTCCTGGATCGAGCTCACGAAGCTGTCGAAGTCTGTCACCGACACATTCTTTCCCTCGGCCTCGTTGACTCGGCAACAGTTCCATAGCGGCCGTTATATTGGGCTCCTGGACCATTTTCGGCCCTTGCTTTCCCAGTGGCGGCAAAAACATCTTGATACGAGAAGTAAGTTTACCTTTGCTATCAAATATATATGAATTGAAGGTCGGTCAAGTTGATATTTTATAGATTTGTCGCTGCCGTTCCGCGACATGATTTTCATAGAGTACCAGTTCGCTAGAGTATACACAAACTCAATCGGCATGCAAGCCGTTGTGGAACGACTACTCGCGGAATCAGATCCAGACTCGGTTTTAGACGAAGTACGTCAAACAAATGTTGACGACATTGATTATGAATTTATACAGGAAGTCATCGATGGCTCGTGCCATATTCTCCAAAAGGTCATATCGCTTGCCGAGAGCGGTGCCTTACGATATTCTCCAGTTAGGATATTTCTTCGTATAACTAGCTCGTCGATTTTCCTTCTCAAGGCCCTTAGCCTGGGCGTTCGCAATGCTAAACTGCAGGAGTCGCTAGAAATACTAAGTAGAAGTATTCAGGCTCTCCGCTCCAGTTCCTTGGATGATATCCATCTTGGGTCGAGATATGCAACTCTCCTAGAGAGTCTTATCGCTCGTCTTCGACGTAGTTTCGTTCTAACTAATAAAAAGGCAAGCCGGGCTACTACGAGACCGTCATCTGTTATGCCTCCCTCCGAATCTCAACCTTCAGGAAATCCTCCTGACCTGTCGCAAATCACAGGCAATTCCCGCACCAGGATGGATGTCTCCAGTTCTGTATTTGATGACAGAATATTGTCTTTAAATGACATCAATGCTGATGACTGGCTTTCCCTACCATTTGATCCGTCCATGGCCCCTTTCGGCGATGGTGGTAATCAAATCTGGTCTGGTTTCGAGGGATCGAATTTGAATTTTATCTGGAATTTACCCTCTTGAAAATATCCGATACTTTTTCTCATGCAATCATGACTATCATCACTCTTCCTCCATTCGGATTATTTTCCGTCCGAAACGAAATTCTTTTGAATCGATTGCATTACAAGGCTACGCTGGCAACGATATAATTAATCCAGGCGGCTCAATCAGGCCACCCTTCCAGGAAGTGTACCATATGTTAGGGGGACAACCACCCAGCGTCCTGAATATCGATATCGTAGCGATATGTTTTCCGGTTTCTCTCTTCGGCTCAGCATGACACCTACAGCCTTTGAAGTAGAGGATCCAAATTTGGATAATTGGAATTATGCTCGATTAAGTTCCTGGGGCCGACTTCGGAGACTCTCTTTACTATTGAGATTCAGAACCCCCAATCGCAGAGTAGTGTGCGCATGCACAGTCCATAATAACTTATATACTACCCCCTATAGACCAGTATCTTTCCCTTTCGCCTCACAAGAGTGCAGAACTGGATTGTGTATGTATATGTGTATGTAAATGTATAGGCTACTCATTCTTTCTCCTCCAATTCTGATGTAGAAAGCCCGCATATGGCACCATTCCTTGATTATAGTCTAAGGCTACTCCTTACTTCGGATCCAGTCAAGGACTTCGAGACTCATTGATCCCCCTCCTTTTATCTCTGGGAGTTCGTAAGCATCTTTAATAGTCTCAATATATGTGAAATCGTTTTTCTCAAACACCCTCCTGCTTCCAACATTCCCGACGCCGACAAAAACACGAATATGATGCACGTTCATGTTTATCGTAGCCCAGTTAATTAAGGTCTTGATACAGGCAGTCATTATTCCCTTCCCATGGTAATTAGGTCCGAGCCAATCTAAGACACGATGTTAGCGCGATTTTCCTATCTTTTCAATTAAGCCAGGAATAGAAGATCGATTAAATATCAAAGATAGAGTCATGGACGCATACCCCCAATGGTCCAAATAATTTTCTCATCTCCAACTTTTCTCTCGTCGTTAATCTTCTTAGTCTCAATTCTCTCGCCCTCGTCCAGGATTTCATCGAAGGTATGCCTCGATATTCCAATGTCTCCTATCATGACCTCTTCAATTTCTCCAAGCTCATTCCGTTTGACTTCCCTTATCGCCTTAATTGGGCACTCAGCAACCCATCCCGTTTTATTTTGATACCATTGCTCTCCATCCCTGAGAGGCGTTTTGAATATTTCCATACACATATCAACCCACGTTTCTGCATGCTCACGGGTATATGGCACTGGTGGCGTACGCAGCCACTTGTAAATAACTGGGTCGTTCAAGTACAATAATATAGGCCCTGTATCTTGGGCCCTGTATGGAGTCATGATGATTTCAGGGTATGACTCATGACGAGTGCCTGCGAAACAGACAGAGAGGAACGGCTCTTTGGTGTTTGGATTGAACTGCAGCATATTATTGAAGGGCACAATAGAATTTGAAATATTTCCTTCTGTTCTCTGGGCATTTCTAGGAATGCTGGATTTAGCTACTCTTAAATAATCATGCCAAATCACATAAACGGGTGTGAGTCACAGCTAGTTAGCTCTTAAAAGGCACCCTGCCGGGATGTTGTATAACAAAAGCCGAAAGAAATATTCAGAAAGCAAGCTTACAAAACTAAAGAACCAATAAAGTTCCCCTTGTGTACTGAGTACTCCGCACCACCATTAAATATCGCTTGTGCGTGAGAGTGATGGCCCCTAAAATTAGACTAGTCTTAGCCCGGATGGGTGACTTCTGCCCCGTCTTTATGCGAGTCACAGGCCCATTGTATAATTTTCTCGCATGGACAAAGTAAAAGTAGTAGTTACATCAGCGAAAATATGACAACTCCAATTTATGGTGGCAAGAGAGATGGACTTAGTGTTGGGAAAGAAAGCAAAAACTCAAGCGATGATGAGGAACACAATGGAAATTGCCTCAATGCAACTGGACCATTTTCCTAGACTGTAGCGTGCTGGAGGGAGTGACTCACTACACCAGGGTAGGATGACATTCCGTGGTTGTCGGGCGTCCAATTGTTGCATTACCAATTATTATTTTGATTGTTAGGCTTCACATATTAATATCTGCGGTTTATTCAGCATCTTTATTAGATAAAAATGTTGGCTGTTGATCCATTTGCGTGTCTTGAAGTCTTGTGACAAATGAACCAATTGTTTTCTTTTTTGTTTTCGTATCTTGTTTTTCATTTTGCTATCAGCCGCCATTCGAATGGTGGATCGGCACGACAAAAAAAAGAGGTAAAGCTTCGCGAGCCGAAACGGAATTGGCGAGGCTGCAGAGACGTAGTTATTGCGGCCGATTGATATGGCGGAGTGTGACAACAGAGTGGAGATTTGTTATAATTTGCCACAATTCTATACTGAAGGAGTCATGGTGTTTTTAGTGTGCACAAACTCAGCTCGAAATTTACGGGCGATTTTGATTATCCTGCCTCTTGCGATGACAATATATCTTCACCGTATTGGTTGGGCTTTGGAAATGCGACATCTACGGAGTAAGGAACACGATGAAAGTGGGTGCATCAAAGTTAAATAACTACGGAATAACTAAAGTTCCAAACTCCGGCTCGGCCAGCTTTCGGACCAAGTTGGCTGGCAATAATGATTTCAACAATCAATCGCAGTGGCTACATTAATGGGTGCCCACTGACTTTTGTAACAGCTGATAGGAGTACTACATTTCTTTTCCCACTATGCCCTTGTGATTGGGAATCTAGTTAGGCCAAAGCATGTCTGCGAATCTTCAACTTGTACATATAACTAGCCAAAGCACACTGTTTGCACAACCCAAGTGTGATGTTGTGTGCGCTCCCGCAGGGTTTCACTCAACCTCTGCTTATCATACTCCTAATAGCTCCACTCAAGTGCAATATCTCCAAACCCTTATCAATGTGTTAAAATTGTAAGTCTACTATTGCGCCTTAAATAGCCATGTTATCGTTCTAAATTTCTCGAAAATGAAAAGTGCTTTGGAAGATAATTACTGTAGCAGATGTTTTCAGCAAAGCAATGATGTTAGCTATGTTGTATATCCTGTGTGGAACTTGCAAATGCAATGGCTGCGCACGGTTGTTGTAGTGGCTGCCCCTGGATGTTGGGCCCCATATCCACCCAAATTCTAAATCTATTCGATTATGTACTAATGATATATAGATCTTTAAGAATATTTGAGTTATTAGAATTGAGGAGGCCGTTCCCCTAACCCAAACCTATGAAACGTGGAGTCAAGGATAGTGGCCAAAGTTCTACTCCACTTTAGTTTAATGACGGCGGCAACAATACCATGCCTCAACCCTTTTCTAGTCACCTTCAGCACTGCATAGGGCCAATGACAAGTAAAAAGAGGCAGCTTCATTCTGTGAGGCTGCTTTGCGGACACAGATAGACAATCTTCCAAGATAGCCCAACGGGAAAAGGGTAATTTCACGCTCTTCGGGTCATTAGGATATACTTGAGTGAAGGAGTATACATATGAGATAGTGAAATGCGGCACAAGAAATATGACTATCACAATCCGGAGTACGGAATCTCGACATGCAAGTATTAAAGAGACCCGCTCGTACGAGGGAGAACCTAAAGTTATGATATGAATCCATACTCAAATTCATATCCACCGGTGCTCGGCAATCATCAATTACACTGTCAAATTCGATAAAAATACAACTTACAGTTTCCAAAAAAAGGGAGGGTGGCCTTACCACGATAAGAAGATTGCACGAAATCGAATATCAGTTAGGTCAATAAGTAGAAAAATAACTTGAGAGCGCGAGCCATGTAAAGAAATACATACAACCGTTCCCCTACTACACTCTAGAGTAAGGTTCTACGGTGGGTGACAACTGGTATGGATGGCGCTTTCCAAGACAAAGTTGATGTTTCCTTATGATAGCTCCATATCAGCGTGAAATCAACACAGGAGATATTAATAATTAGGATCTGACTATAATACGCACCCTTCGCTGCCTATCTACTAACCCTTGCTATGAGGCGCTATATCATCACCCCCGTTGAAGACAAGGACTGGACTAGTCTCGTTGAAATTCAATTTCGTGCATTTTCCACCGAATGCTTTTTCCATTTGCTCTATGGAGAGGATACTCACTTAAACCGCTCCAGATGCAAAGAGAGATATCTCGGCCAGCTGCGTAAACAGACAAATATTTTGTGGCTCAAGGCCACTGATGCGCACGATCCAGAGCGGAAATTGCTAGGAGCAGCGAAATATGATCTTAACCCCGCATATACCGCGGGTATTCCCCTCAAGTTTAACCCGGATAGTATGTTCTGGCTGGACGATGTCGAGGAGAAGAAGGCTGCAGCTGCTACTTGGGAGCTGGTGACTGATCGGAGAGCCAAGCACATCAAAGCCCCACATATTCGTGAGTTGCGGCCAACCTTTTAATAACATATTCTAAGACTCTCTGTTGCGATACTCTGCAAGCCCGGTCTCTGAATTTTGAGTATTTACAGAGCTCGATCTCATTTTCGTTGCACCAGAATACCAAGGAAAAGCAATAGGGAATGGTTTACTGGATTGGGGCATTGAACTTGCAAGTCATATGATGCTCCCATTGTGGGTAGAATCATGTTTTTCGGCAGAGGGCTTTTACCAGCAGAATGGTTTTTGGGAAGTAGAGAAGTGTATGGTAACGTCGGAGAACTGGGCTATTCAATATATCATAATGCTGAAAAGGCCAAGATCGATGCAAGATGGCATCCTGATGTATGATTACTGCGACCGCCAGGGTACATGGTGATTAAAAGCCAGACGGACGGTCGCCAGCATTGCATATTGGACGTTAAGGAAGTCGAAGCTTATCTCGATCGCATCAGCGCTTGGATGAGGAAAAGACAAGCTTTGAGTGCAAAAAGGCCCAAGCTGCGAGGTACTGATGTTAAAGTGGTTTCTTCACGGAGTGACACAAAGTCAATATCATTAAGGTTTTGCGTTTTGCCATGTTCATTTGTCAAGTCACAGCATTATTTGACTACGTAGAAATCTGATATCTCGATACCGCGGCTTGACTCCGGCTGCCCTGGCGGTTGCGCCTCCACACGCACTAAGCCAGATGCGGCAAGGCACGCACGGGCGGGGACATGGCCGGATCTCGGCTTCGCATTGGCTGGCGAAAAGTTTTCGGGCAAACCAGCGGCGCCAAGCCGCTTTTTCAGTCTTTTTTTCCCGTGAATTAACGACAACAAGACCGTCGCTCATCATCATCATCATATTATTTTGTCTCCGTCGCCTGCTGTTGTTTTTCCGGGAGCCAATTCGGGCCTGCTTTTGCTTTCGATCCCTCTTTTAGCACTCCACTCTCTTCGTCCGGCTTTTGCTCCATCACAATGGCCGCCGCTGCCCCGTCCACCGGTTCTGCGAAGTTGGATAATGTCGCCTCCAAGGTGGTGCCCCCGGCGCCTCAGATGAGCGGCCTTCAACTGTACTCCAGATTCGCCTTTGCCGGCGCTGTCTGCTGTTCTGTCACCCATGGAGCCCTCACACCTGTCGATGTGTAAGTTGTTCCTTTTGAATTGGTGCTGCATTCCTCGCCATCCAGGGAGCCCGGCGCTACATTGCTTTCCGTCACTGACTGCGAATGAATCAGCGTTAAGACGAGAATCCAGCTCGACCCGGTCACTTACAACAGAGGCATGATTGCTGGTTTCAAGCAGGTTGTTCAGAATGAGGGTGCGGGTGCCCTTATGACCGGCTTCGGCCCAACCGCTGCCGGTTATTTCTTACAAGGTGCTTTCAAGTTTGGAGGTTACGAATTCTTCAAAAAACAGTCGATCGACTTACTTGGCTATGACACTGCTCGCAACAACCGTACTGCTGTTTACCTTGCTTCGTCCGCCATGGCTGAGTTCTTTGCCGATATTGCCCTTTGTCCACTCGAGGCTACCCGTATCCGCCTTGTCTCTGAGCCCACTTTCGCTAGCGGCCTTATGAGTGGTTTCAGCAAGATCCTCAAGAATGAGGGTGTTGGTGCTTTCTACTCTGGTTTCGGTCCCATTCTCTTCAAACAGTATGTTTCTTTTCACCCATGATACCACACGTTCGTCCCTAATTATATACAGGGTACCATACACTATGGCCAAGTTCGTCGTTTTTGAAAAGGTCTCGGAAGCTATCTATGATCAAGTAGGCAGAGATGGTCTTTCCGACGGCGCTAAGACTGGCGTCAATCTTACCTCTGGTTTAATTGCCGGTCTCGCTGCCGCCATTGTCTCTCAGCCCGCCGACACCATGCTTAGCAAAATCAACAAAACCAAGGGGCTTCCAGGAGAGAGCACCGTCTCTCGTTTGGTCAAGATTGCTGGTGAACTTGGACTCAAGGGCTCCTTCAGCGGTCTTGGTGCTCGTCTGTTCCTGGTCGGCGCTATCACTGCCGGTCAATTCGCTATCTACGGTATGGCCATCTACTCCTTTCCTAATTCCACTGAGCTACATGCTAATCTTCCTGCACAGGTGACATCAAGAGAATGCTCAATGCTACCGGAGGCGTTGAATTGGCCAAATAAACAAGTCTTTTGACGCTCCGCTTGAATTCACGTTTCTCTGTAATACTACAACTATCTGAGCTGAATTGGATTGAAGTTCCAGCAGTCTCTAGATTAAAAAAATTGGTTTCCTCATATCTTTTCTAGGGAGGCCTGTCCGCCTTCACTGATACGACGACTACTCGCGGATTATGCCTCTTTCTTGTGTTACCCTTTCGTACAACTGGACCTTTATGTTTTGAGCCAATTTCTGTACTTGAGGGCCGGGTTGCATTTCATAGAATAGATTTACCTAATTGAAAGAACCTGATCTTCAGACAACGCATCTTATCTTATCTTGCTTATCACCATGTGATCTCAAGTCTAACCGTTTTAGGTAGATTAGCTCTAAGGTCACGTGAAGCAGTCTCAGAAAACCCACGGCATCTCATTGGTGGACGCGTGCTTGAGGTTGATACCGCGTTCCTCCGCGGGTCCGCCATCACCCCCAAAGCAAGCTGTGTTGAGACGACATTGACAGACCACGATCTGGAATGTCGTGCCCAAACACTCAAATTATTACCATTTATCAATCGACCGAGAATGTATCTCCCTAGGTCGTTGATCTCCCACCTCTATTCTCACCTTCTCCGATCGCACCATCCTCTTTCTCCGCCAGTGCTGATCCTCGCAGCCCTTGAACCAGATGCACTATGCGCGTGCCGAATTTTAACAGCTCTTCTTAAACGTGATTACATTCCTCACAAAATTCAGCCAATTGGTGGCTATGGAGATCTCGCTCGCGCTGGTGAAGAGCTTGTTCAGCCTATGCAAACATCGAAGGGCGGAAGCGGAGGTGTCGTGATCTGCATGGGAGTCGGCGGCTTAGTGGATCTGGGTGAAATGCTCGGCCTTGATACCGTCGACGAAACACAAGATCTTGGTGGTGTAGAGGTATGGGTAATTGACGCAAGAAGGCCGTGGAATTTAGGCAACATTTTCGGCAGCTATCCCGGACACGTTCAAAGAAGCGGGACTGGGATAGAGAACGGCCGTATAACGAAATCATACAAACCAGGAAAAGGTGGGATAATTGTGTATGATGATGGCGACATCGAAGACGATCTTGCCGCCGAGAGAGATGCTTATTGCAGCCTGGAATCAATGCCTGAGCTTGACGACAATAGCGACGAAAGCGACGGCTCCGACTGTGAAGAGGACTTAGCAGATGATGGCAACGCCAGTTCCAATAAGAAGAGAAAATCATGGTCGAGTCGAGAAGAGGAAGATTCAGACAACGAGGATGAGCCTCCGCGACAACGGAGGAGGAGTAATTCAGTAAGTTTGTTTCTGACTCTCTTCTTGATGTGTGCTAACACCTTTAAAGGGGTCTCCAACATCGACGCCAAATCCGTACATAATGTCGCAGCACGATTCTTCGCAATCCTCCCGTTCACCCTCTCCAACATCTGACTCGCTCTCCCCTACTGCTCCAAAGCCACCATCCGCACGTACTTTAAGACGGCGTTTAATTCGACTGAAACGAAAAAATGAAAATATCCTTCGAACTTACTATTCGCTTGGGACTTCCTACTCCGAACCCATTTCTTCCATACTTTACTCTCTCGCCTCTGAACTGGGCCGTGAAGATAATGACCTCTTATGGCTGGCGATTGTGGGCGTTTGTAGCTTGGAACTATCCGGTCGTACCATGTCCGGTGTCGGTATTTCAGATTCGTCTGAATCCGGCGGATCGGCCGGCTGGGGTGGAACGCGAGGCGAAAATGTTCGTCAAATTCTTCGAGACGAGGTTCGACGGTTAAACCCCCCCGATGATAGTGAAAATGGGCGCGAAGCTATGAGGAGCGAAGTGAACGGTGTCATACCCACTACCGGAAAATCGCCTACAGATACGTCTATTTTATTATCTCCTGAGCCACGACTTTTACTTCTGCGTCATTGGTCTTTATATGAAAGTATGCTTCACAGCCCCTATCTAGCACCTCGACTGCATATTTGGAATGAAAGTGGCAAAAAACGCCTTCGCAAACTTCTAGCAAAAATGGGTGTAAGTCTCACTCAATGCCAGCAAAATTATACGCACATGGACATGGATTTGAAGCGAGATCTACGTCAGAAAATGCTAAAATACGCACCAATGTATGGGTTAGATGGGCTTGTTCCATTGCCTTCAGGAAGATTCTCTGGAAATCGAGAGGGATGGGGATTTGTTCGAAATTGGGGATGGAAGGCTTGCCTCTCTGCTACTGATATCGGTGTAATCTTGGGTGCAATCCTGGAAGTTGGGTCTGTCCAGCCAACATCATCCGTTCGTACAAACACAGAAGACACCAAAGACGCTGCTGAAAGCTCGGAAAACAATTCATCGGATAAGAACTCGCCCAGTATTCTAACCAGGTTTTGGGATGCATATGATGCTCTCTCGCCAACATCATCCGAATCTCCCACTCAACTCCTCACTAGCCTTCCGTTGGCTCAGCATTTGCATCGTGCGATTTTACGCACCGGAACGTCTTTACTTTCTAAAAGGCAAATACGACATTTACGCGCCTTTCGGATTGCCATAGTGAAAGATGGCCCAGACGTCAAAACATTCACAAATCCGGGCGCATTGACGAAACTCGCGTTGTGGGTGGCCGAAGCCATTCGAATACAAGAGAAGGATAAGGTGGATGGCTATAAGATTGCGGGTAAACGTGCCTTGGGAACACCCCTTGTCCTTGCTGGATTAGATGAGGATAGAGATGTTTACGTCGTTGTAGGTACAGGCGGCGGTGGTGGGGTTATTGACTTTGCTGCGGTAGGCCAGCGCAAAGAAGAGCGAAAAAAGAAGAAAGAGGCGCGAGACAAAAAGAAAGCTGAACGAGAGGAACGTCGTGCACAACGTGCAGCTGAGCGCGCAGAGAAAGGAGAAGATGATGCAGAGGAGACGGAGGAAGATGAAGACTCCGAATCTTCTGGGTCAGATTCAGAATCTGATGACGAACCTTTAGGCTTTGCTGCAGCACCGAAATTTCTTAAAAACCGATTTGGAATTGCGTTTCAAGAAGTCGTTCGCGAGACAAATGCGCGTGTTCGCATTGATAGTTTCGAGCATTGTGTGGTTGAGGTGCAAAAGGAGGATCTAGGAGGATTTTTAGAGGCTCTGAGCTTTAGAAGCGTTGTTGGCTGATTTCCATGATATCCTTGCAGTATCTCTTCATTGCAGCCGCCACAATATCTGTGCTGTTCTTAATACTCTTTTCCCACCCCACCTCTCCCTGCATGATCGGGTGTATTGTTTTAGTTCCGTTTCATTGCACTCTTACATATTTTAGCCCGTTCTTTGTTCCTTTTGACGTATATATGAATTTTGGTTATGGATTGGCATGATGGTGGAGAAGTAATGGTTTTTTTGACAACGAGGAATGGAGGGCCGGGTTGAATATTTGCCATAGTTATATTGGGCTCATCTGGAACCAAATTCCATGGCATAAAGTCGCTTTAAGAGGGTATCAAAACTCCAAACAAGTAAAATGCAGAAGTAATACACTGAATATCAAAGGAAACTGTAAATGTTAAAGTCTAGATAGAAAAGATCCAGCAAACCAGACGCCTCCTAGCCCTACCAATAAAGAAACACCAAGAGCCTGCTTACCCCAAATATTTGTTACATCCATTCTCATAGCTCCCAAAGGCGCCTGAGCAGGGGATGACGTACTCTCAAAACCGGTGAACTTGCTAGGTAATTGTTGTGCAGCGGGCGCGCTGCTATTGACCCCGGCAAAATAGGCTTGCTCTCGCAATTTCCATTCTTCAACCAATCTTGAAATAGCGGCTAGGTCCTCCCTGATCGCTTTGGCGGTTTTATTGTAATGGTCTTCGATCTCAACGTCCTGGACATTACCAAAGAAATCCATGACCTTCTGTAATCGGCCAGTTTGCTCGCCGCCAGGAAAAAGATCCCACCGTACGCCCGGCTGTGAATGGATCTTTGACTCGTCATAGGAGTCGAAAAGTTCCCCCAATGTGAGCTTAGAGTTTGGTGAAGTGACCTGTGTTTCAAGAAATTCGAGGATGTAGTACGTCCAGCGGTCGATTACAGCGACCCCGACATCGCTATCCGCGTGATGTGAGTAGGACGACTGGTCTAAAGCGCTCGAACCGGTGGCAATAATGTTCGGGGAATAAAAGTGTGTAAACATTGTGTTTGCTTGGCAGGTGTCAATCATGAAGAGCAGCTCGTTATATCGTTTCTTCTCCCACATTTGACCAAAGGCATTGGCTAGGTCCCAGGCACCAATCTCTTCCGCGTCTTGGAATTTTAGGAACTGATCACCTCCGTGCCCCGTCATGTAGACAAGGACATTACTTCCAGCATCGGAGCCCAATCTCTTGCTGCGCGGCACATCCTCCTCTAGCCGGTCAGTGAGGAGGCGGATGAAGCTCTCTACTGTTACCTCGTAGCCTCGATAGTCCACCTCAATGTTATCTCCGTACAAATCCAAAGCACGATCAGCGTTATTGTAGACAGTTCCAGGGAATGCGTTTCGTGGGTTGCATGCCATGTCATCAGGCAGCATGAGTATGATCTGAGAGTCTGGGATGCCCAAGCGCTTCACGGTTCGATATAGTGAGAGAACATTGGCAAGGTGACGGTAGTTAAACCAGAAACGAGAAGTTGACACGAGCACAGCCCAATTTGAAGTATGGGCTGTAGCCACGGGAGTGGGGCCATTTGTGAACAGTAAGACGAAAGAAAAAAGGTAGCAAAGGCTCATAAAGAAGGCCATGATGGAAATGCTAACGCGGTGACGCCTAGCAGCCTAGGTGTACCATCGCTATGGCCGGTATGATTTGGAGACTTCGTGTTGGTTACCCAATTGGATGAGAGGGCAACCTAGGTAACTAGACCGGTACCAAGCTGGAGGAATGTTATGCCGATCCGGGCAGAAGGGCTCCATACCGCGCCCACTAAAGTGGTGACGTGAGTGCACTCATTTCGGCTATCAAAAGAATTCTAGGACTGGGTTGATGTGGGCTGAACTTGAGCACCCGTGGGCCGCCTACCTTGAGACCTGCGAATGCTTTGAGTATCCATAACATCAGCTTCTGTCAAGGTATCATTATTACTACTATTTTGGATGATGGTATTCTATACTCCGTGTGGGTAGACTTTTCCCTTGCTTCCTTACATAACACAGCAGAGTAACTATAGTGTAACACCAACACTGGATATCGAGTAAAATGGGACCATCTGCCATAAATGGGCAGAAAACTCTTATCAAATAATAAATTCACTGTGCAATGGCGGAATTTGTCGAGTGGGTTATTTGAAGTAGAAATTTAGGGATATCTTTTGGGGCATAAGAACTTGGGAGCGGATAAGGAAATTGCAGGATGAATGCAGAGTGGTTACCAACCTCATGAAAGCTCAAAAAAAAGAATAGTATTATCTCTTTAAGACTGTGGTACCTAGCGGTGTCAGTGCAATTGATATTTTCTTTATTTATATTTGTGTGTACGGAAATGAGTCAGAAGTGAAACCAGATGTATCTACTTCTTCCCTTGTTACTAGCGCTCATTCAGGCCGGCCTTGGTGCCGGGAGTGGGATATATATAAATCCGGCATACTAAAGTACTTAGGGGCTTGAATCCATACTACAGAGCTCTTGGTTTTCAACAATATAGCTACTTACCTTGACATCCCTTACACGCGCGGTCTAATTTTTAGGCGCGAATCATATAACTAACTATCACTATGGATTCCCAACTGTTAGCCTTGCCGATGGGAATTATTAGCGAGATATTGGCTTATGTGAGCTACATAATGAAACCTAGACATGCCTAGGATTAAAACTAGACTAACCTTGAAGGTTGATATGTAGCTTGATCCTGTCGACTTACAGATTGTAATGCTTTCTTCGCAAGCCTTGCGGCATCTCTCTGCAATACGATTATACCGACATGTCCGCCATGAGTTTCTTGAAATTCCTGGAGATAATAGAGAATCACCGATTCCTGTAGACAAGCTCGCCGGCATCTTGGAAACTTTGACGACCAGCGATTTCAACTACGCTGCTTTCGTTAAAGAAATAGCCTTAGATGCCGCTCACACCAGCCCGTCAAGCTGGACCAGAATACAAAGCAAGATTGCCTACCACTTTAAATATGACTTACTATGTGGAAGGTTCTTGAACTCTCTGCTTCTCGCAGCTATCAAGCGCATGACTGCTCTAGAATCCCTTCGGTAAGTTTTTGTGCTTTCTGCTCTTCCTGCAGATCAATTCTGCCCTTACAAAGGGGGCTCTGTTTAACTCCCTGTAGTTGGGATATCAAGGTACAGCTAAACCCATCTATATTTGCTGTTCTCGGAAAGTCTTCTAGCTTGAAAAAATTGCAGATTCGAATGCATTCCGGCAGATCTATTGCTTCTCAAAGTACCCCCTCCCCCGCTCCGTCGTCGACCTGGCCACCAGAATCCCAATCTACGCAACACCTACCGCCTAGCATGCTAGTACATAGTCATGGAACTTTACCTTCTCCGTCTGTTTCTGGTCTGCCTACTCAAAACCGCATTGTTAAGTCTACCAATTTTGGATCACCAGCACGTACATTTTCTCATTTTAAAGGGCTCAAGAGTCTAGCAGTGCTCGATATGGATTCTCTTGAATACATATCTGAAATTTCTGAGTGTATTTCGGCGTCAGCAACCAGCCTCAAGTTCTTGCGGCTATCATTTTCGGAGAAACTAGCTTTAAAATCCCGAAAGAGCACAGTGTTTGACCCTTCTGACTCAGAATCTGACACACAGGGGGAAGACGAGCTAGACTGGGCGGGTTACAGCGGAACACACTATCCAAATCTACCATCGCCCGTTAGCTATCTATTAAACACGACAATTACCACTTCAACTTCTAATAATGCCGTTAATGGTCGAAGTGAAAGGCTCGCTCAGGAAACTGTTCTTTCAATATTGTTCGGCCTAGAGAGGAAAGAAATGAAACCTCAGCAGCAACTTTTTCAGATGATGGAGAATCGTATCAAGGCTGAGCAGCAACATGGTACTCGCCTTAACTACCTTGATGATGATAAAATTGATGCTATGTCAAGGGACCTACGCCGTATTCTTTATTCACTACGTCAAGTTGGAGCAGACAGCAAAAGAAAAGATGCTGAACAGATAGCTGATAAATTCAGGGAAGCAGCCGACACGTTCTCACAAGTAGCTGCAGAAATTGCCAACGCCCATGAGGGCTCTTCGGATATCCAGGCAAAAGGCGCCTCCGGCCTAGAGACCGATCTGGTCCCGAAAATCGCAGCAGGCGTTCAAAATTCCGATGAAGGAATTATCCAAAGTGTATCTGGTGAGGAATATAACATAGCTTCTAACTCAAGCAGCTCATCTATAGAACCAAACCCAAGCCATTCAGCAAATAGTCATCCTGAACAACCTGAAACTCTTTTGCGTCCTGTCAAGAGCGAAGTGGAGAAACAGCTTATAGATCTTGTGGACATGGAGCACCCAGACACTCTAAGCGAGGGGGATGATCAAGAGTTTCTCGAATGCGACGAACGCCGAACTCAAAATCATGCACTACAGCAGCCTCGCATGCCCGGAAAAGATAAACAGCCGATTCGTGGCTCTGGAGCTGGAGACACGAGTAATGCCCTCGAAAACCGAGAAAATACAGAAATAGATATTGAAAAACTGCCACTTGAGCAGGCAATCCAAGAATATATTCGACAGCATCACGGGATTTCTTTGGAAGAGCTTTCAGTGAAGCTGATTACTCTAAAACCCTCTGTGATTTGCCAAGCGGTAAACGTCTGGTCACTGAAGCACATTTGTCTCCTAGATGTTGGTCCTCAAAAAGCATTCTGGGTAATGTTAACAGCATTGAATAAATTGCATCCTCTTAATATGACTTCTATCCATTCCGACGATACAGGCGATTCGCTGTTGCATTTTTTGAACTCTCTTGCGCTCGTGGACGAAGTATTTTTAATTGAACCAAATTCCCGTACTTTTCCTGGTCCTACAAGATCGGAGTCTCTTATCGACATTGATGACATTCGTGAAATGATCTTGGAGAAGCACATCAAGAATTTGAAACGACTCATGATCCGAAATGATATAGGTTCACAATGGAATCTAGATAGGCGCACAGCAAGGCTTATTGCAAAATCAGGCACCAAACTTCTAGAACTGGTTGTGGCTGTGGACTCTTCTATATTTGTAAGTCAATCTACTCAAGAAAATTTTGATATATCATTCCAATGTCGACCTCATGTTTACATACTGGTCTTCGTAGCATTTCATGATGCATTACGTTCAGTTTCTGCGCTCCCTTGTTGCCCTACACGTCTTATTCTCCAATGACGAGTTCTGTACCTCCCTATTGAACGAAATACGCCTGTGCGCTATCGACAATATTCTTCATTTTCCAGCACTCAATATCCAGTATATTGCTGTGAGCCACGCTTCCAATGGCCCCGTAGGTACGAAAGCGTGTCAGATTGTCAAAAATGTTGCAAAGCTGGAACAGGGTTTCAATATTGACAATACCATATCGCCATTATCGGAAGTCTTATTAGACTCAGCTCAAAATAGTAAGAAAGAGCAGCATGGGTTAAGTGAAAGCTCGTTAAACCCCGCTCCTTCGGTCGACGAAAGTGAGGAGGATACACCTATTACGACACCACAAACCCTGACCATCACTTCAATAGACCTGCATAATATTATCGGTGTCAAGATTTGGGAAAAGAAATTTTACTACTCCACTCTATGAAGTTCTAATAAGAGAGTTTCATGTTTTGGGGGCTTTTTTGAAGGACTCCGTCCATACTACCCAGGGTACTTTGACGGGGCCGTTCCAATTTGATACGAGGCTGCGAGTTCCATAAGTCATCTTTCGTGCCAGATACGATTTATTATAGACACAAATTATTTGAACAGTACTACCTTGAATGTACAACACCATTGGCAGCTTTACTCTGGAGTAGTAACTAGCCTTCGGGTGAAGGTATTTCCGAGTCATCCCACGCATTTAAAGTTCATCGAGCTATCTTATCATCTCGCAGCACAGTCATATAATTAGATCAAGCCGCTGTCCATACAGGCAACAGGCCGTAATACATATCATATATCTATTCGCTACCCGTAGATGCTATGGGAGGAAAAAAAGGTGAAAACACCAAAAAGACTGCGGGCATGGCTCGTGTAAGCTGTCATGATCCCCAACACACGTCATGAATGCCCCTCAGACGAGAAGCTGACACACTCGAACATTACAGAAAGCCGAAGCCGCCGCCCAAAAGCAAGCTGTACTAGACTCAAAAAAAGCTGCAGATGATGAACGCAAATGGCAGCAGGGCTCTAAATCAAATACCAAAAAGTGAGTTTCAAAGACATGTGTTGACAAACTTCATCCAAACCAACATGCATACATACACCCCACTGAAAGGTAGGTGTATGGCTAACCAGTCACCAATAATAGAGAATCAGAAGAGTCAAAGCGTACGGAGCTTGCTCGGAAAAAGGCCGAGCGCGATGCTCTCCTAGCAGCAGAAGAAGCGTCCCAGCCCTCCAAGCCCAAAGGGGCTGGTGCAAAATCTGCAGCCAAAAAAACTCGCGGAACACTAGACCTCTCCCATTTAGATGAAGCCCTAGCGGGTAATACATCTGGATCCAAGAAAGTGACAGCCCTGAACGCCTCGGGTATCGACAATGCACTAGACGCGCTATCACTAACGGCACATTCCGATCAAACGAAGATCGACCGGCATCCTGAACGCAGATTCAAAGCCGCCTACGCAGCATTCGAAGCGCGTCGTCTACCCGAGATTGAAAGTGAGCAACCGGGGCTGAGAAGGCAGCAGAGAATCGAGCTCGTGAGAAAGGAGTTTGAGAAGAGCGAAGAGAATCCGTTCAACAAAGTCAATGTGGCATATGACGCGAGTAGGGATGAAGTTGCAAAAATTAAGGAGACTGAGAGAGCAAAAATTGAGAATCGCTTGGCGGATAGATGAGAGTTGTTCTCTTTGCCTATGCTTCTTGGAGGTGGTCAAAAAGAAATTCAAAATAGAGGCGTTAATCTCTCTTTACTTGATATCGACCATTCGCTAAGCCCATGTTTCTAGCAGGCGGGCGGACTCTTCTTTTTTGGAATATTTTAGACGGAGGATGTCCTTGCTTGCGATACGACTTTTATGAGAACATGATCTACATATTTGTTTTTAACCTACTCCGTACCTCAACTCATTACTCACTGGACTGGTACACCCCTTGCGGATTTCCAGTACATTTATCACAAATCTCTTAAGAGAGAAAGCCTTTGAGCGACGTGATCAAAACTTATGTTTCATATAATTGTTTTAAATATCTATGCAACAATATACAATGGCAGACGCAAATACCAGCTATTGTTAAAGGCTGGTACACTAAAAGAAAGTGTAATACAATCAAGAGTCATTCGTGAGGTCATTAGTGGTCCATGTAAAGGAATCCAAAAAAAAGAAGACATCTGATATCCAAAAAGTGTCTAAAATGCTTTCAATCCAAGCAATCCAGCTGGAATACTGAAAGGCGTTATAGTTTGGTGGGGGTTGCGGTTGAAAAGGCGAGGTCTGCGGAAAAGCTCATTTTCTCTGGTCCAAAAGAAGCAAAAATGAGATACAAAAATCGGATATATGGTAGTGTCGAGTTATGCCATAAAAGCTCTCGCATCCCAGACGCATAATCTCTCGTCCCAACCGCAGCTAGCACACCAGCCTTCACTGCCAAACAAACACCAGTCGACACCAGTAACAAATTCTGTATGTCTACCCATGCGCCCCAGCTCCCTACCCATTGTAGAAGCTGGACCAGCTCTCATAGTATCCGCATCCATTCCAGGGAGTGCAACGTCAGAGCCGTCCGTCCAAACACGGCATGTCATATCATAGCCGGCGCTCAGTAAAACATGAGAAAGATGCGGGGACCATGCTACTTTACGAACAGCATATTCGTGCCCAAGCATAGCGCAAAGGGGTCCTTGTTGAGGAGCTCTAATGTCGAATGTCCGAATCGTTCTGTCAACACCACCCGTTGCAAGTACAGAAGATCGATATTTATTCCAGTCATGAGTAAGCGCTTCTGATGGTGTAGAAGTAGCCAGATTTTGGGTTAGGCCAGTCTTTGGGAGCATGGGTATTTGGCTGGAGCCATGGATGGGGATTTGGATGGTGAGATGATTCGATGCCGATGCGGGAGTTCGTAGATCGAAGACGCGAACGTATGAATCTGAAGAAACGCAAGAAACAATATCTGGCGAATGGGGTGAAAAGGCAGCCGAATACGTGCAACTATGTGTGGGTAGGGTAAGTAGAGATGTCGGCCGTTCCGGGGTCCAGATCTTGACTGTGCCGTCCCAGCTGCTGGAGCAAAATCTATCTTTGGCAACTAGATTCCAGTGAACAGCAAACACCTCTCGAGTATGCTCCTTCCACGCTTGAACAGGGAATTCATCGAGAGTCAGGTCAAAAAGCTTTATGCTCCCATCGCCAGATGCTACGACGGCTTGGTTTTCGTGAACCTCCGACCAGGCAAGATCGTACAGAGCATCTTGTGTCGTATACCTATGAAACCAATGATCGTTAGTCCAGTTTCCTTCGCCCAGTACTCGTACGAAGACCACAATAATGGCATATGCACAAAATGTGGAAGTAATCACCATTTCAACGGCACAATACCCTGTGCTGTGAGATTGAATATGTAGAACCGTCCATTTCCAACAAGTCCGAAATTGGCCGAAGCAGCGACAGCAAGGCGCGAGTCAAAAAAAGGTGAATATTTGACTCCGCATCCATTGAATCCCTCCGTTCGAAATTCAATCATGTTGCGGGCGGGCCGACCCCGGCGGGGCAATTAGGCGAAGAAAAGGTCGCAAGAAACTCAATTATTAGGGGCCGCTCATCCTGTCGAGGTCTTCGCATCCGTTGGCCTTCTAGAGGAGTTGAACAGCGCTGCGATCCACCAACGAGCGCATTCTCTGCAGTGTCGTTGCTGCTACTGTAATCCATGAACGTGAAGGTAAGAAACACCGAGGTATTGTTGGACCCCTGCTTATATAATCACGCCTAGTTAAATCAACTCAAAACAGGTTGCTTGAGAATCTACTCTGTATGATATGCTGTATCAACACTGGCCATCAGCCCATGGCACAACCTCGGATTTTGCTCCCGCGCACTGCTTTAGCAATCTGCCATGCCCTTCCATCCACTCCTGTAGCGCCTTAGCTACGACATCGCTGTTTGACTCAAGGAACATCATGTGTCCATTGCCATGAATTCCAGCCTCCCCGAGCTGCAAATGTCTCACGTGGACCCCGGCTTGCTCCAAATATTTGGCCGTACACCAGTCATACACCGCATGATAGCCAGATTCGGACGTAACCAGCAAGATCGGAACGTTTGCGAGGTTCGCTAACTTTCGTGGGGCTGGCGACTCGGCCTGAATTATGCAGCTGACTCCGGTCTGGTTATCGCGGATGGTTTGCTTGACTAAATCGATATCTGGATCCACAACTCGAGGGAAATATGTGATAGGGACATCCGTTAACCCGTACTTTCTAGCGGGTCCGGAACCGACAAGTTTGGATTCGAAAGGGGGCCCTCCAGGCTCCATGGATATAAGTGATGCGACTAGGTCAGGCCGTGTATCAGCGAAGAACCATCCTAGAGTTCCCCCCTGGGAATGTGCAATGACAACAACAGGCCGTCCGATCCTATCTAGCAGGGCCGCAGCTGCGTTTCGAATGGCGGCCTGTTGGTAGAGTTCATCTGCGAGGAACTGAACCGTTGACGCGTAGTAAGCGTCAAAGATACGGTCACCCATGAGGCCAGATCCAGGCCATTGCGTATGGAGCTTTGCTTGTGGCCATAGCTCATGCCGTCGGGTTGCCGTAAAATATGTCTCCAGCCTTTCTGCACTGAGCATGTCCATTGTCCCATTCCCTGGAAACCAGGCACTTCGACCACGAAATGTTTGATCGATTATATAGCATTCGTAGCCCTGCTCAAGGAAGTACGAAGCCCACCCTCGCTTGCCATCTGGCTTATTGAGCCAATTCTGTGAAATAGACGGATTTAATCCAATTAGACATGGAACGGAGAGCACTACGAGACGAATTTATAGAATAAACGATCACTTACTGTTCCTGTCTGACCTTGACCGTGGACAAACACTATGGGGTTTTCTTTACGCACTCCGTTGATAGGGCGTAGGTGTTCAACGTACATCTGGTTCTTGAAGATGTGTTCGCCGTGGCCATTGCTCTCGTACGTGCCGCCCACATAGAAGTATTCGCGGCGATGGATGGTTTCTGCGGCTAATACAAAAACATTGGATAGTGCCAACACACACGGAAGGACGAGGATATGTGTGAATGAGAGCATTGATGGGCGCAGAGGGGGGATCCCAACTCTCACAGTAGTTACTTTTGCGATGTACTTTGTATGAAAAGTAAATTTGCATGATATGGACGAAGGATGGAGCTTCCAGAATATTTAAGTGATGGGAAGTTAGATCAGCCTTGAAGGAAACGATCGACATCTCATCGAGATTCTGTCCGCCTTGGAAGGTATTGACAGTCATTTATGTAGTTACATACATAGAATACATAAATACGAGCACGACCGCGTCAAATTCGACATTTATCAAAAATCGATATATTCAGCTTGCAAGACCTTGTCTTACGGGTTGGACTAACAACGAAGCCCAGGTATAGCTGGGAGCTTTCATTATTTTGTTCTTGCATGATATGTGTACGGGGGATAAGTTGACGACATCTCTGCAGAACTTGTCTTATTTACGCAGAAAACTAGTCAAAACACAAGCAAGTACGGAGTACCATTGTTGTAGGAAGAACAACGGGCATGCAGAAGATGTCTAGGCGGTTCTTCGATCTGATGCCGAACATTTCAAGTGAATAGTTTGCGGGGAAGGAATCCCTCTGTCGATAAGCCTTTCTGTAGGCCATTGAGGACCATTTTCACCACAACCTTCCCAGCACATCATACCTGAAGTATTTGCAACTCGAAAACATTGTCAATCACGCTCATATTTTACCGGCATTTGCAAGTGTTTAGGGGATGCCCTCTGGAAGACAGTATTTCGTTTCCCTACCTAAGGTGATTATATTTGTTAATGAGGACTTCTGGTCGGTAGCCCGATGAGGTAAGGAATGAATCTTTAATTATAGACAATTACCAGAGCACTAAAACTGAACATTAAGCCAGCAATATGTGCAACAGAGACTGCCTATTCATCTCCATTCACCACCGAGACGAGTTATCTCTTCAAGTAGAAACACGCAATACATTCAGTGCATACCATTGGGGAGTTTTGTTAGCACCAAAAATATCAAGCGGATGGGATAATACAGCATATGATGTTTCAAATGGTATTAGAATAGATAGTGAGACCCAACAAGATCTGAATGAAGCAAGAGATTGGTTCTTCAGCACCAAGGATAATGTGAATCCCCTTGCTAGTGGACGGTTAATAGGGAGGGTCAAAATCTGCACTATTCCTTCAGAAATGACGGGGGATGGCGTTAAAAGAATTCTTGAGGATGTTGCTTTGCCAGAAAAGGAATCGGGCGAGAAGTGTCGTCATTGGGTTTGGAGGGCAATATTCAATCTGCAAAAGGCATCGGTTATTCCAAAAATTGATATTGAAAAGCTGAAGCCTTGGATATTGGACTATGCCAACCAATGCCTGGAGAACCCTAGCCCAGACAATATTTGCGAATATGAAGAGACGGATCAATAGTGCTTGACTCATGATTGGCACCAGAAAAGTCTTCCTTTATTGAGTTGTCTGTATATGACGGGAGTTCAAGTTTAATTCTGGTATGCCACTCAGCCAGCTCAGGCATCTTGAATAGAGTGTAGTTCTTATGCCCTATTAAGCCTGGAATTCTGATACCAGCTGCAAGCCTTCAGTTCACGACTCCACATTTCTGCCACCAGGTATCATGATATCCCACAGGGCAAAATCAGAAGGAGGAAAGAACGCAAAAAACTGTCATACTATACGGGTAAGATGCGACCCCCCCTCCAAAAAATCTTGCCTCCACTGATCAAAAGCATAATGGGACTTTGACCAAGTCGTAATAAATTTTCGACATCAAAAGCCAACAGACAGATATAATGGCTATGTCGCTGACATATGAAAGAGTGCGGAAAAGTGAAGAGTGTGTGATGGCCCAAGAGGGTTTGTTGGCTTATAGGAGCGGTTTTTTTTTTCATAAATGCTATAGCCTGTTCCTACCACTTTGATATCGCATCTCCATACGCCTTAGCAATGAGATCGTACAGCCTTTTTGGGTCTTGGGGGGTGCCAAAAGTAGGCCCTTGCTTCCCATAGGGAAATAGTATATCACGTACAGCCCTGCACAATAACTTGACACAGAAATTCCGATGCGAACCGCGGTAAAAGATACTCAAATTCAACTTTTGATTAGTGGTTTGTAGTCAAAGATTGAACGCTGTCTTCCCTCCTTGAAGAGCACGGAGAAGGGTTGAAATTGCATTTTGATACAGTGTGTCAGGGTCTTTTGAAGCAAACTGCATAGATCATGGTGTTAGAGATTCGGGCCTTGATGAAAAGAGAGTATGTCTCGTGGCTCTTCTCATACAAGGTTTCTAGCGCGTTGTCGCGCCAAGCCTATTGGATTAGTCAGTATGGCTAATTCCTTCAGGGCCTAGTGTGAACCTTAACTATCCAAATCCCCGGTGTGATCCGACCGGAGGGCAGGCAGCATGAAATGAGGCATCATGGACAAGTATCTTCGTCGAAAACGTCCTCGTGATGTGTCTCCATCGCCCTCCTCCTATGTCCCTTCTGCCACCACTTGCTCGACCCCAAACAAAAATATATCTCGATCCTGCGAAACAGAAGATGAAACGTCTACTGACATCAAGCTGGCAACGCTGATATCCCTATACCCAGATATTGCCCAAGACATCTTGCTGGATCTACTAATTGCGAGCGATGGTTCCATCTCCGCAGCCTGTGCCGTAGTTGCATCTGAACTTTCGGCAAGGAAAAAGGCCAAAGGGCAGATAAATCCTAATTTTGGGATTCAAAGATCCTTATCTTCATACAATGTGTCCCCAGAGCATACTTCCATACCCTCAAAATCCCTAACAAAAAAAGGGCGAACTCTCCACCTGTTCTCTCCCAATGATATATCTAACAATACGCCCTGTACAATAATCCACAATTTTCTTCCTCCTGAGGAGGCCACCTCTCTGCTCAAGGAACTCCTACATGAATCCGAAACATTCTCTCGTCAGCGTTTCCAGCTATTTGACAACGTTGTCGAGAGCCCCCACACTGCTGGCTTTTACGTATCTAGTGCCGAAGAGCAGCAGCAACAGACATCCGAGTATTCCTATAATGGCAATTTTCGCACTGATGTGAGGCAGTTAACACCGGAATTACGCAGAATATCTGTAAAGGTCCAAGAGACTGTGAACGCGGAGATAAAGCGTCGAATCAAGGACCATTATCCGGGAGGTAAAAAACTACAGTATCAATCTCCATTCGAATGGGTGCCAAACGCCGCCTTTGTTAATTGCTACGATGGCCCTTCGGAGAGCGTGGGTTATCATTCCGACGAATTAACGTACCTTGGACCACGCGCGGTTATTGGTAGCCTGAGCTTAGGGGTTGCAAGGGAGTTTCGAGTGCGAAAGATCGTCCCTCCAGATGAGCCTGATACAGCCAGTTCAAAGTCTTCAACAACAACTCAGAAAGCCCCATTGTCTCGATCAGATGTCCAAGGCCAGATCTCGATCCACCTCCCTCATAATTCTCTCCTTATCATGCACGCTGAAATGCAAGAAGAGTGGAAACACAGCATAAGCCCCACACAAACCATCTCGCCTCATCCCGTATCCGAAAACAAGCGGATCAATGTCACCTACCGCTGGTATCGAGCCTCTTTGCACCCAAGGAATACCCCCCGCTGTAGATGCAACATGCCTTGCGTTCTTCGATGTGTGCAGAAAAAAGCTGGAACTCGAGGAAGGTATATGTGGATGTGCTATGCTGGCTACGCTCCAGGAAAGACAACCTGCTCTTTTTTCCAATGGGCAAATTTCGATGACAATGGAGAGCCGATTTGGGAGTAATGTGTATATGTTGTCAGTCGTCCTGATTCTTCTGTTTTTAGGATTGTTATGATAATCACATATCATGTTGTGTATTTCACTTACTACTTTTGGGGTTTTCCTTTTTATTAGAGCTCTTATACTCTGGTAAAATCATTTTGATAAGTACATGTTTGCCAACATATAACTATCTATTCATTCTAAAGGCGTCCATGTTTCCAAGCCTTCTTTCCACATACTGTTTGTCCTAATCCAGTTATTTGCAACGCGCATTGAACATTTGAAAATGCTCCTTGGTGGAGAGGCAGGGAGGTAAATCTGGTCACAGCACTTTTATCCAAAAGTAGCCAACATGGAGACTTGATAACAAAAGATAGACTACAAATTGGTGGTCTGCATTAGCTTTAGTTGTGCATTTTATAATAGCAGCTCGTCTTCATGGTTTTCAAGGTCGATCAAGCTCACTCCCAAACGCCAGGAACTGGGTCGGTATTTAGCACGAAAGTTTGCCCCTGTCTTGACTTCTTGAGTTTGCATTTGATGGCTGGCGACGTTTTCTTTGTTCCCTGTGCTAGCTTCTTTTTTCAAAGTGTTCCGCCAGCTGAAGTCACATTTTCCTTCGGTTTTCAAAAGCGTGGAGCTAGATAGAGATGAATTTGAGTACTCAACACTTGCAATAATTCTGGGGCAGCTTTCAGACACTTGAAGCGATGGTTTAAACATCCCATGTAGTTGATCAATCATGTCATCAAGCTGCTCGGTGTTCATCGAGTTCTCAAGCAGAAGAGAGTCTGTACTTGTGGTACAGCTACCACTTTTCTCTCCTGGAACACATTCTCTAACCTTAACCAACACTGCCCAAGATTCCCCTGGCCGAAGAGTTTTGCGTTTCATATCGCCCAATAGTGCTATGATTTCATAATTGTTGGGAACACTGAGGTTTATCGAAAGATTGGAAAGCACGCCCGGGTCAATGCCCATGCGAAGATGTTTTATGACAAGTCTGAGACTAGATTTTACGGCAGTTTCGGTACCATCATTATCCAAGCCCGCAGATAAGTGCCACCCACCAACTATCAGGGGAGTGTTGAGTATGACTGAGTTTTCAGGAGATATAGTATGAAAACGCAATCGTTCGCCCCAACCGTCCGGAATGCTTATCATGGACCGCGCAGTAACACAAAATAAATGGCAGAGGGCAGATCTACCGGAATGTCGCAGTAAGAAAGCGCCGGCTTCCCTGAGAGCGACTGAAAGCTGCTCTCTGTTTGGGTCATCATAAAGCAACTGAAATGCTGGTAGCGATCGAAATACGTTGCGGATAACATCTGGACTGTGAGACTCTAGGGGAAGCATAAGGTTTAAATATTTTTCAGGGTGCGTAGACATGCAGCCAATCGCAACCCGGTCTATTAATATATCCAATGATGATGCAACATGAAAGGCGTTCTGGCAAGCGCCATGAAGAAGTTCGGGGGAAATGCTGGAACTGTTCAACGATTAGACGGAACGGGAATCATGTCATGAGATACGTACGAATTATCCACAACAATCATTACATCCAAGGGCACATCAGTTGAAGATTGGTTTTCTAGATTGCTCTCTAAGTTGTCAACTCTAGCGAAGACTTCAGCTGATAACCATGTTGATAGCTCATCTCCTGCTTCTGTTTTTAGGGCATCCGCAGTCACGTCTATCGTTGCAGTTGTAAGAGTAGCCTTCTGTGGTGAGCGGCTTTTGCACTTGGTTCGATTTCTTGGAATGGATAATCGCTGGAGAGGAAGAGGCGGAGTATGTTGCCGGTCATGCTTCCATCCCGATATACTTGATGGCGTAGAAGTATGGTTTTCATCTAGAGAGTCATCTTTCAAAGGGGTGGGGGTCGCGGAAGGGCAAGCTTTCGGGGTCGGAACGCGGTAACCATGCATTTGAGTGCTCAGCTGGCGGCTTCGGAAATCGAAGGCTTGCGTCACCCGAGAGAAGAATCCATTTCTGGCGGTAGATCTTTCTTTGCTAGTAGCCGGGTCTTCGAGGGCATTTGTTTTTTCCTGTACTAAGATCAGCACATGCTCAAGGGTCATGCCACCTCATCAACCATACCGACAATTTTCCCATTCTATTAAGATGTATACTTGTTGGTGAGAGCAAATGTTCTTGGTTATTTCGTGGCGGCGGTTTGTAATTCTCCTTGTCTGTCTTCGACAGGGTAGAGCTGTTGATGGAAGACGCACCACGAATGGCATAGGAGGAACGTCTTCGGGGTATGGTGATTGGGGGGCCGCGAGTTGCTAAAACAGCTTTGCTGTCGCGTTTAGACTGCTTTAAGATGCGTAATGGTTTAGGGGTCGGGACATGCCGAGAGTGGTCGAAGAATTCCATCTCGCGTGGGCGATTTTGTTGACAACACAAGACGAGAATTGATGCTTCACACGTGTTCTCTTTCTGTTGCTTTTTGATACATATCTGAGTCTCCGCCGCTTGAATCCGAGCCCTTTGATGAGGATGAAAAATACCACGGAGGGTCAGAACGGCTTCTCTTATGCGATTTTCTGCTTCGTCGGCAAGAATAACGGCCTTGGCTACGAAGACTCCAGTACTCGGCGCAGCCAAGTGCTACAGCGAGGATTATGAGCAATAGGAGGATAGGCACAAGAATAAACGCGATCAAAATTAAAGTCCTGCGAGCTTCGCTGCTGGGCATATCGGCGTAGCTTGGTCGAGCAGGCGAAGGGCCTGAAACGACTTCAGGCCAAACCAAAGCAGAAACTCACTTTGAAGGTAGAAGCAAAACGGGGAAAGTAGAAACGAGCCGGCAAGAGCAATTGTGATCTCTTCTGTGGCAATAAACAAGAGGGAAACTACAATGGGTATGGTATAGGAAGAATACCATAGAAACAGTACAAATAAGTCAATGAATTGTCGTGATATCTGAACGCAAGATAAATATATATCGCCTTCAGTTTCTTGCTGGTCCGATGATCTCCGTTTTGACTTCTGCCAGTATATCATTGTCGAGCTTTTGAAACCGAATCTAGTAAGGCAGGTTAGACCTCATAAAATGAGAAGAGGGAGTTTAAAGATTGCAAGAAGTACCAAGTCATCCGCAGCATTTCGAGGGGAATTTCCAAACAAAACAGACTCGAGGTAGCTGTTCCGAATTCCGGCCTGGGCTCTCTTTTGCCAAACACCAGTCCAATTCCACTGCCCAGGCAGTCGAGATTTTCCGCTCTCTTTTCCAGCAGCAGGACCCTGGAGATTTGTGCCAGCTTGCTGCAGCTCTGCATTTTTGGATTCACCTAATACGTCTCTAGAATGACGACGATGGGATTGCCAGGCATGCCACGCCCCAGGATTACCTGCCGCTTCTAGTGGAATAGAATCTATCACATCTTCATTGTCAAATGTCTCCCGAATGTAGTTGAACAACTGTGCAACGGGTACATCAACCCCTTCACTCTGGTAGATTTCCCCTGTTGGGATTGAGCTGGTATGGATGCTATTAATGAGCGCGACCGATGATGGCTCTCCATCTTTCACGTCAGAATTGGTCTCCGCAGGTGTACTGCTCGACGTATCTGGGGCCGCTCCAACTCCATCAGCCGTTGGATTGCTGCTCACATTCCTGGATGAAGATGCTGAGTTAGTAGCACTTCGTTTTGCCCTCCCGAACCAGTGAGGGAATCCGTGTCGTAGACTGAAGCCACCTGGGGGGAGTCTTTCCTCGTCCGTTGCGCTAACAGTGTCTGTATCCGACGAGCTGGTTGTGAAAGTGTACGTCGTCAAAGGGACAAGAAGAGGATGAAATATATCTGTGTCGAACCTTACAATCGGCGGAAGATCTGGGTAGATTCGCGGGAATCGGACTTGGAAACGAAGGATAGCAGAGGCGTAGGGACCTAGTGCGATTTTCAGACAGCTACCCAACGGACCCAGGGGGAGAATGCCATGAATAGTACCTTTTTGCACGAACAGCACTCCGGACCAAAGAGTGGGATCGGTCGGCGAGATCGTGACATATACCCCAGGGGGAGGAGATGCCTGGAGGCTCGCACTTACGGGCTATGTATGAGTACTATGTAGATGGCTGCAGGCATATGAAACAGACTCACAGTTCAAGATAAAGCTGTTGTGTGCGAAGGGACGGGATGCTGGGAAGTTTGCTACTCGCCATTTTGGATGATTCCTCGTCGTCGGACTTCTGTCCAAATCACCCTGAAACTCAACTTCGCTTGAAATGATTGTACACTAAATAACTAACTACATGACTACCAAGCAATAGCTTCATTAATATGATTTTAATCAAGTATTTTTTGTCGATATGGACGCTCGATCCAGATCCACTGATGGCTAACTTTTCATAGAGACCCTTTGTCTGTCACGGCTGAGATTCCCGATCCCGTCAAAAGCAGAAGAAGCCCTTCAGTCAATCCCTCAGAAAGCCCATTTACCACCGCCGCGCACCATCCCAGCCAGACATTCACCAATAGACTAAGCACACTGTCACTATGCAGGGTTTTTGCTATGTTTGATCCTAGAAACACAAGCGCAACCTGTATCTTCGCGGCAGTGAACAAGCTGGCTGTCAAGATCCTCTCCGCTGTGGTCTTTGCCAACCTAGATCGCTTCAAAACTTTGAAATGAGGAACCAAAATCTGGATGAAGAGCTGGATGAAGAAGCACAAGTACAAGGTGCATGCTGCCACGATTCTATGAATAATGGATGGTGGTGTGGACGATTCAGTTGTGTGACTCCCGCCCCGAATGCCACCCGCAGCAGCTCTTGGATACCCTACACTGGCCCGCTCCTTCAGCTTATCTGGAAGTTTCGCCTGGATGTTTGTAGCCTCTCCAGGAGTCAAGTCCTTGGGCAGGCCTTCGAGTAGGTACTGCACCCCCGTTATATATAGTGACCGGATGAAGGGTGCGTCTGCGCCAACATTTTGGACCTCACTGCTCGCCGTCTGAAGGAGATTAAAGCCTAACGACACTAGAGTCAGCCTATTTCTTTCACCAGAAAGCATGGTGCTAACTGATTCGTCTTACCCGGAACAACCCTATTCCATCGTACTCCTGATTTGGTGTCACGATGAATATGAGCCATATCTGTTCCTTGGGGAGCCGACATGCTGGATGCCAGGTCATCAGATGCGTGAATATGTGAAGGTATACTTTTCCGGAGCAAGTTTAAAAAATATTCCTACTTCTGGAATTTCCCAAAGTTCAGGCAATTTTCGGGACCTGCCTCAACCAAGAAAAGGGGACTTACTCGACTTCAAATTTTTAATACCTGATATTTATAAGAAATTTAGCTGGACGCGGTAAAAGTATTATATAGAATCATAAATAGTTATGGTAGTTAAAAAATATTTTTCATTTCTATGTATCTATGTCAATCTTTGTAGAGCTATGCCCCAAGCAGCTATCCGAAGTCCGCTGCATTCGTCCGGAGACAACATTCCCGCAAAAGGTCATTTATACATTCTTTATAGCACTCAAAAACAAACATAGCCTGCAGCCAAGAACGCCGTAAGTAAATAAGGTACCCTCCTCCACTATCAAGTCTTTTTAGTTCTCAACGAGGTGACGTAGTACGCAAAGTTCAAACGCCATCGGGTGAAAATTACAATGTGGTGAAAAAATCTTGTCGCTCTGAGAAAGCTTGGATGGCAGGTTATAGACTATCCAACGATTTCCGCAACATCGGGGAGTGATCTCTATTCACTGAGAATCAAGCCCTCGAGGAGCTGTGCTTCCTTTCCTAGGTAATGACATAAGAGAATCGAACGCGTTCAGATTAGTGTCCATTCCAAAAGCCCCTATTGTGGGAGATTTAGAGACTGGAGTAGCAGTGCTGGCTGGTGCTAACGTTGTAGTAAGGTTAAAATTGAAATCATCAAAATCGATTTCTTGGAAGTTGATAGAGTTGCCTGACCCGAGTTTTCCAAGGCTTAAGCCGCCCATATCATGCCCAATATCACCATCATCATTGTCCAGACCACGAAGAAAGTCAGTATCAAACCCCATCTGAATCAGAGGGTCGTTGTCTGCAGTCACCGGTGCAGACGAGGAGAAGTTACTCATCGTCGCATTTGGAAAGTCGCCCACTTGTCCAAGAACAGGGTGTCTGGTCGAAAAATCGACACTGCCAGACAAACTACCCGCGAGACTCCCTCGATAACTAGCAACAGAACTGGGTAATACTGGACTTTGAAGGCCCGATGAGACGCTTAATGGTGGATTTGGCTTGAATGAATGAATAGGGGCACATCTAAGGCCGCCGTTTGCAGCGAAGGGTGGCTGCATTCCCAAGTCATCTAGCTGGATATTCTGTGGATTTGGAGTGTCGCAAATTCCAGCATCTTGTTTCAGAACAGACAACCATGTGGGGTTATCAGCACAGGTTTGATTCCAAGGGTCATCACTACCGTATATAAAAGTCCGCGCCTCCGATTGTAACATTGCATCAGTTGGTACGATACCTTGGGCGCTTAAGCGGCTAATAAATTCCATGAGTCCAACCTCCAGACGTTTGAAACAACTCGCGTCAGTTGGAACAGGAATATTTGCCCTGACTGTACCCCTTGACGTTGGCACACCAGGACTCGGTGACTGAGCAACCCATGGATCCATGGTTTTCCGTTCTGCACTGATAAGATATGGCGGCATGGCATTCTCAATGCAGTTCTGAATACAAGGTTCGAATCCCCAGTCACCTTTCCAATGCGACATGTCCATTCCCGCTTTAAAATGAACTGCAAGGTGGTCGATACGCTCCTTCCAGGTAGCAAAGATTGAGGAACAGAACCCGCAGCGAGACTTGACTTCAGTTGTTGCACTCTTCCACTGACACATCCAAGGCCCCAACTTTGCATTATGCATCAGGCGTAAGTGCTGATTTAAGTGATCTTTGCGGTAAAATGTTCGTTCCTGAATGGACTTTTCTTGACAAATTTGAAAATTATGAGATCCAAGATGGTCATCATCAGGGTCAGGATGACGACAGAATGCACATAGGGATTTATTGTTTTCCGTAACGACCCCACCATGTGGAGCGCAAGTCCATTTGTCTAAGGCAAGATGCAAGGACTTTTCGTGACGTTGCCAGTCATACTTCGTCGGAAAAGTATCTGTACAAAATGTACACTGATATATGCGAGCAGCGCGGGGCTTATGGAATGAACTTTGGCCAACAATTGACTTATGGCGCCGTCTTCGACGTTCTTTGGCGTCTGCGGAGGTAAAGGAAGCGCGAGATGAGCGATGAGAAAAGGCAGATGCAAAAGACATATCCGAAATACTTGATTGTGTTGTATCAAAGCTATAGCTGCTCAGTGAAGTACGTACGTTGGACATATTAGATTCACCGTTACTGGAGCCCGTTCTTCGCGAATGCGATCGACCTGGTACAGAAGACGTATCGTTTGAGCTCGACGTATTGAAACGGGTGGTAGCCATGGCTTGTATAATGTCTCGGGCAGAGGCAGGTTCGTTTTCAGGTGGGGAGTGCTTCCATCGCTCTAGGGGATCAAGATCGGCGAAATCGACTCCGGGAGGGAGTCTTTTACCCGGGATGGGTACACCGCCAGTGCAAGGTACAGAAGAGTGAGAGGAAATCCTGGCTTTTCCACGTCTACGAGCATTCGCCAGCCAATTGCTAATTTGGCTTCGTTTCAGGCCGGTTTTTGCTTTTAGTTCGTCCCTTTCCTCCTCGGTTGGGTACGGATGAGATGTATGTTCTGAAAGCCAAAGTTTCAGTACCCTCACGGCGTCCTTTGGAAAACGAGAACCGCTCTTTCTACCCCGTTGCTCTGACTCTTCCAGAATGGTGCCGGTGGAAGGGCCGCTGTAGGACTTCAGCGCTCTTTTTCCCGTCAGGCTTCCTATAGGCACATAAGCGTCCTCTCCCACTACGTGGAGAGTCTCTAATAGCTTTTCTTGAGGCTGTGTATGAGTGAAGCTGCACTCGCGATATAAGGCGATGCAGCACGTGCAGCCGTTTTGCAGCGCACCTCTCTCAGCCACAACGCAGTCCAGGCCCAAAGAACGACAGAAGAAACACGGTTCGGATGCCCGACGCATAGGCCACGATCCGTTCAGCTTCAAAGATGGCGAGTTCTTTTCAACCTCGTCGAGAATGTTGTGGGTATCAGGCAAGGGAGTCACCGGAGCTGCATTGTTCAACGTAGAATCAAAATCCTGAGTATAAAAATCCGCGAGAATAGAGGGCGAATCGTGATCTTGAGCCGCTTGGTCAAAATCAAAGTACTCCATTACGCCACGAGCGAAGTTTTATATACTTCGTTCACCGGTCGTTCAAGGCTACCAACGGCAACCGTTTGACGGAGCTGAGTGGGCTCGTAGTATCAAGTAAGGTATGTCAGCAATTGCAACCAATGGCCTAGCAGGCGTCCACGTCACGGAGCGAATTTCAGCAATTGGAAAGATAGATAGCATGCGAGAAAGGAAAATAACAGCAGAGAGGGGGGAGGAAAAACATCGGCAGGGTAGGAGGAAGCCGGGCAAAGAGCACTTTGAGTCATTCACATTCTTCGTAAGCTCTTGGCTTCAAGCTCTGGTCTCCGCTTTCCCCATAAGCCTAAAATAATCAGACTCGTTCCAACCCAAAGGCCAGCCGCCCCCCCATGCTAACACCGCCAGGTCACCACGCTAGGGGACGGTGCCATTAATAATGGATAATAGGGAAACCCGCAGGCTTAATCTCCTGCTTGGCGGTGCAATGCTGATAAGTCTAACCTTGTCATCCGTGAAACTGGCTTGACTTTCCCGGTCATTGGATTCACCCAAATATTATTCTGATACCCCAGGCATATTGGCGCTGACTAATCTGAAGCTGGGGATCGCGGGTTAGTGAGGCCAATCCGCGCCCCAGACCTATCGGAGCGAGGAGTCGCCGACACCCGATAATTGACCTCTCCAGTCACCGCCTCACCTCCCATAAATACAGACTACTAACTCTGTGCTCCGTACGGAGTACAGAACACACATCCTTGTGAGTCCTCTATACTCCGTACACCAGTGAGCGAGACTGGGAGATTCCACCAGGCGTCTCGTGTTCGCTGTGGACGGGCTAGCCGGCAGCTGATTGGCTTGTGATCGCCACCTGGAGCTGCTGATATAATTATCGATTACGCCGCGGCGCAGTGATTGGCTGCATTGTGGCTGAACTCTAAACCCACGCCCTTCCCTTGACAACCCGCGCTAAAACCTGTTGGCGCTAGCACGATCAAGCTTCCCCTTCCCCCGCAGCTCGGCCTTCACACGGACTGCCACCACCCACTCTGTTGCCGACAGCGATTTTGGGGTTGAAGGCGGCTATATCAACTTTTTAGAGATTGAATCTACGGGGCTATTCAATGAGTGAGTACCATCGTCATGTTTGTTGGTACAAAAATCGTTGGCTGCATGACTGCTACTAGTGCAGGCCATATTTGCTGCACAACTAACTACTCCGAGTCAGCTTATCAAATAATAATAAATAATCATGCTTCTTCGTCAAATCGGCCTTTCCCCTACGAGTTGAGGCAAGGTCATCAGCTGCAAATTCTGTGCCTACAATACGAAGGATATCCCTTGCTAGCCAGCGTTGGAATACTCTCATTGTGGCTGGACAAACTAGTATTGAGGGCAGTTGATAAAAGGGCCTATTGACCAGCCGCTCTGCTGCAAAGGAATCCGCCATGCATCTGACATCGGTCAGGTTTCAAGTGGTTTCGACCAATATTCCCCCATCCCAGTATCCGAAATGGGTATACGACATTGAACCATTTGCTTACTAAATTGACAGAGAAAACCGGCACCATTTGACTGTTTATGTGCCTGACTGTTTGAAGCTTCCTGGTGGGGCTGTTGTTATCTCAACTCCTTATTCCATCCACATCTTGGCCTAGCTGTTTCTCGGTGTGCTAAGCTAATTCGCTTAGAAGCTTAATTCGGCACGAATTTCCCGAAGCACATGCCAATGCTCGTGTAACTCCGTAACTTTCAGACAAACCACGGTAGATCAGCGAAGCAAAGTTGAATCCCGGAGTTAATATAGACCAATTGTACTGGGTCGGTTCGATAGACATATCATTCTATCGACAACCAGCGAAGTACATCTCACACGCTCAAGCGGCATAGCGACCTCATCAACTATGGAATATCAATATTATAGCCACAAATAGTATGCAAGTTTTTTACTTGGTGATTACAATGTATGCTGCCTGTTATCGGGAAGCCGAAGTGCTGGCGCTTGTTGGGGAGAGGCCGAGTTGAACAGCAGTATGATATCGGCTTGGGGACTTTCCAATCTACTCCGTGCACTTGAGTGTGCCTGGTAAAAATAGCTCTTTTGGCTTGACTATATAACTACCTAAATACTCCGTAGCTAGCCTACAAATGGCGTCGCAACAATTTGAATTACGTCTGAGGAAGACGCCGCTTATTGGCTGCACTGCGAACGACATACTACTACCGCTCTATCTCTTTCTGTTACCTTGAACGCTGTCCATCTTGGACTTCTCCGAAGTCATGCTTCCGTTACTCCGTACAGCGTTCCACGCCAGGTTACGGAGTGCACTCAAAGCCCCGATATTGAAAATAAGCCGACAGATCTCTGCAACGAGGCAGCGTCCCAGATTAAAGGCCAAACAAACCACATTATAGAAACGACGTAGGCCCGCCCCTTCGGCTTCTAGACTATTCTTTTTTCTATCGAATCTTCGAAATAATGTTATGTACTAAAATTGGAGTCTATAATGCTATTTCAGTACTCTTTCTCCTCCAGTCACAGATGCGGCCGACTTTAGCCGAAATCAAAACTTCACATAGGAAGCTTTTAAGAATGTAACAACTCGGAAAATCGCTTGTACGGGGTACAAGGCACCTGAAGGTCCCCACCTCTCGTAACTTCTACTCCTATTGCAGGCATTGCATGGAGTTTGGCTCTAAGACATGCATAGCTACGCGAGTTCGATGAAATAATTAGGACATAGTGCAAGGTCAGCCATTAAAGCACTGGTTCAAGATGGACTTGAAGTCAAAATATCTCCTTCTAGCCAAGTAAAGAGAAAGATACGGAAGCTCAGTTCCACCATAAACTAACGCTGATCCCAGCCTCCAGGCCCCGTACGTAATGCCACCAGCCAACAGGGATATACAAGCATTCTCCTTCACGCAATACCGTTTCAACATATTTAGCATCCGAGAAGCCGGGCCATGTGGCGTCCCAAGTCTCGGCTTCGGCGGGTGAGAGCTCAATAGCCGCGATATCCACTTGTGAAGTATTTGACATATCGATTTCTTCTCCTCTTGAAGCCGATCTGCTAATATCATCATCTTCTTTTTCACGGTATAACGATGTGGATTTGGAAGAGAGTGAGTCTACCATTTCCATACCCCGAGGGTATATTTGAGATGCTGGAGTGTGCGGGGAGTATAGACGTATATATTTTGACCCGACTACCTGCACCAAAATATTATGATACGGATCATGATGGAGCGGTGAGATCGTCCACGATGGCCCAATCCATGTGTTGATCATTGGTCCGGCCGTTCCATCATCATAACCATCATCATCACCCTCCTCCCTTTCACTATTGCAGTGCTGTAGACCATTGATTTTACTGGCTTCTCGTTCTAAAACCTTTTTCTTGTATACTGGCGTGCCGGGTTCAGCTTCAGGAGGCTCCGCGAAACAATAATCTGGAATAAATATATCATTTCTCAATTCTGGAATCTGAGCAAGCAGGTTATGCTGTGCCAGATAACCTGTTTGAGGTTCCGCTGATTCTGTGTTTGACAGACCATTCGATTTGCCCGCCCTCCAGACGTATTCTGTTACGAATTCTCCAAAAGGAATAATTCGCTGGCCCCACCCGTCATCCGTATACGACCTTCCCACTTCAACGGGTACCAACCTCCTACCACCAAACGTCCGTTGAGACCAGTAATCCCCCGACGACCAGGGTCGAGATGAAAATGCTGGCCAATGATCGACGGCATGGGTAATAACCAGTGGAGTGCGGCTATACCAGATATGTTCTGTAAATTCGTCGAATGGCATCATGGAGACTCGATGGACTGGGTAACTCAAACGCGGAGCGGGAACGGAGTCCATTGGAAACAAAGGTCGGTAGGCTAGCCTTTTATGCTGGGTGTTGCGTTCATCTAATCCATACATTGGCTTTGAATAAGACTCAAAGGCCTCCTTGTCGGGTTCTGTGGCGTTTTGCAAAGATAGTATAAGATCTTCAATAAGCTTCTCACGCCTTGGAGCGCCTGTCATAATCAACGCCATATCAAGAATGCGGATGACTGAAATCAACCAGGGAGCATCTGGGTGAATTTTCTTCACAATGGCTTTCTCACATTGGCCATCATCTAGAAAATGTGCGCTATGTTGCCTCTGACTCAAAGTGCCCACATCCTTGAAATTCCTTTTTATTTCATAGCAAGCTAGTATCAGGCTCGCGTCCGCAAAAAGTCTCCGCCAGCACACCTTCACATCTCTGAAGGGGAATATGTGGAGCTTTTCGTTAGAAAGAGAAATAGCTTCATCTGGGTGTCTTTTTAGAATTAGACCAAGTTCATTGTTATCATCATAACACTCAGTGATAGGGTCATCTTCAGATATTTTCTGCACTATGCCAATGACTTCGTCAACAAGGGTGAGCAGTTGCGGCATGTGAAAAAGATCGGTAACTCTACAACAGAGGAATCTCAATTAGTAGGTATTGCAATTCAATTTTATGCTGCAACATTCACTAGGCTAAACACCCTAGGGCTGGCCGAGTAGTGAATGGGAATACAAGTGGTGAGGTGTGGCATGGTAGGAAACCTCCGCGTGCCAAGCCAGCTGATGATGACTAATAAGAATTGAGATTGATTATCTAATCAGCCGAGACAGAATTGTTGAATTTGCTTTTTGGGAATCATGAACAGGATATAAGCTAAAGCATAGACAATTCCACCCATATTTCCATGGTGCTCCGGACATATCATCAGAGCATAGAAAAATAACGCCTGAGAAAAAGCGAAAAAGCCACACAATTGCAGCAATATCCAACCCTGAGTTGACTCTGCGCCATTCTATGTTCTCCGGTCAAATGAGGAACCAGTGAAATGCCGAACATACAAAATAAAATGGAAAGTTGTGTCGTTTGAAGGCGTAGAACACAATGAAAACGCTTGAGATGCTCAAGGAACAAAAGGGTATTTAGGCGATCAGAACCTGGACGATATTAAAATCAAGAATAGAATGCTGTTTGTAATTCAAAGGCAATCTCTGCGAAGAAACGCCGGGAACTGAATTACTAGTTGTGATTGAGATCCAGCTCTACAATGTCATCGAAAGTGGCGGAAGTGCCGTTGACGTCGTAGTAACTCGGTGAAGACGGCGAGATGAACATCAAGTCATCAATGTGGGGATTCGCAAGCATAGATGGCCCGACAACTTGAATTCCAGTTTCGCAGTCATCAATAGGAACTTTTTCCAACAGTTCGGGGACATTTTGATCCTCTTCATCGATCCAGAAACTTTCAACGGCTCCAATAGCGCAAATTAATGCACATGCCCACCAAGATAATATGGAATATCCAGACTCAAGTCCTCGAGAATGTAGAAATCCGGTGAACGTCGGCCCAAGGGATCGACTCAAGCTTGCGACTGATGCACCAACTCCGTTGATTGAGCCTAGCACGTTTTTCGAAGGAGCGGCGTTCGCAAGTAATATCGCACTGGACGGAAATGCGATTACGTGTAGAGTTATCTTGCATACCAAGGCGATATAGGCAAAGGGAATCTGTACTGCTGAGGGCAGAAGAACAAGGTATGGCACAGCGAGATACAGTGGCGGCCATACGCACATAACAAGTCGATAGGTCCTAAGAGTGCCAAAGATCCGGACAATGCAAGGGAAAAGCCACAACTGGGCGATCATGGAATATACCCCTTGGACAGCCATCATAAGACCAATTATTTTTGTCGACAAAGCCATGCCTCCTTGAAACTTGAAAGGCAAGTGGACGGGTGTATTTGAGATAGGAGTGCTGAGAAATATCGGCATCAGTTGATCAAAGGAAACACTGTGGCTAGTTCATAGGTTAGCTTTCTTCAGCTTGGGCCATAGAGTTGGGAACATACTAAGCAAGGATTCCATAACCTAGGATAATATAAATGACTCTTGGTGTAAATATCCGAACAAATGATTTATGCTGTTTGTGGCAGCAATCAATTGGCGGAATAGCTGGTGCCTTCATGGAGGCAAGACGGGGTGAATTTTCGGTACTACTGTACCCGACAGGCGGCTCTTCATACAAGAACGGCACGCTGTCCTGTGCTGGCTGACCAAACATATTTTCAGCCCCCACGCCGGTATCATCGAGTCTGCGGAGAAGCCATACACCAAGTTCTAGGCCTCTATCGCGTTTTTGCCTCTTCTCAGCATGGGTTTCTTCGAGGAAGAGAATCCCAATAGTAATTCCAACAATAAGAACCGCGATGCATACCAGGTTGGGGAGTAAGAAAGGGTATCTATCGAAAATGGTGTTCCGGGCAAATAGTGATGGGTAATTGTCGCAAGGTTGTGCCAACGCTCCTCCTAAAGCCGGACCAACAATTGAACCAAGACACCAAACAAATGGCATAATGGAGTACGCGCGAGGCTGGTGTTCCTTCTTGGTGACTAGCTCTGCGACAGTGGTCTGTAAAACGCCGATATTGCCGTTGAGAAGGCCACCGAGCGCCCGGGCAAGAAGTGCCATTGGTAGGTTAGAAGCGAATCCAAAGAGTAACATGCTTAATGCAGTGCCAAAAAGGCCCATAATCAATACAGGCTTTCTTCCAAAGGCATCGCTCATGCGCCCCCAGAATACCCCGGCACAGAATTCAGCGAACGTGAATGCCGACGTTACTGCACCTGCATATAGAGCAATTTTACGGTCATCATCGGTTACATGAAAAGAAGAGACCATGTGATAAACATATGGGAAGATGGACATGAAAGCGATGGGTTCGCAGATTCGACATAGTCCTGCAAAATGTCAGTGCGTCATACACAATATTTTAATCACTCTCGCGATCATATACTCGTAAGTGTTTCTGGGGAAAGCCACTCACCCAACACAAAGAGCTGCTGGGAAGGAAAAGTGGATTTTCCTTGGCCATTTCGCCAGTTGAGAAGAGAAAAAAGACCCATATTCTATAGGGTACTTTTTATGTTGTTGTTGGTTGATGTTGTGAATTGAGGTAAAGCTGATTTCTAAATTTTTGCTGGCTGTGACAAGAATAGTTCATTACAAAGCACCTAGAATGCCTAAGTGCGTTGAAATGCGACCAGCACACAATGTCGAATCCTGGAGCTAGGATGAAGACTAGCTGGTTCTGTTCTGCTGTAAAGAAGTAGGCAAGTGTATACCTTGCAGTAGTGGTGTCTGATGCTAAGAATGGTGGCTAATCCCGCAAGCTTCTGAATGAACGCTAAGATGACACAAAGCAGTATTTAGTATTTTTTATTTTGTGGAGGCTTTAAGAAAGAAAAAGGTAGAGTCAACTTTATAAAGTATTATGGAAAGTCAGGATATAGTTATATCTGTCGTAAGAGACACGCATGGCAACCTTTTAAGCTTCCCAGAAAGCCGGGACAGGGCCAGTGACTGGTGAAACTGCCTGCCAATAGAGATTGAGTTTGCGAATCTCAGGGCCGCATGAAATGGGGCGGCGCTCCAGTGTGGGGAATAAGGTAACTGTGGAATCAAAACAAAGAAAAGCGATTGGAAGGCAGCGGTGTAAGGTGAAGGGAGCCCGCAGTTCGATTGTGGCTTGGAAATGCCGAAGGCCATACGGATCCCCGGTGATTCTGATTAGGCTGCGGACGTCACGCAGGGATCAGTTAGATCAGGCGGGAGACATGGGGTTTTGGCCACAGAGGCAGTGGCCCTGCACCTGTAAGGTCGAGGGCCGAAAGACAAATGAGAATCATGGAAGGAGCCATTCTGTCCTTCGTTGAGGGAAGATGCCTCGTCCCCACCCGACCTAGACCCATGACCAGGTACAAGTGAAGTGGTGGAGCCCGGGGAAGAACAAGAGGCGGCACTGGTAGCCCATAAAGAGAAAAAAGCGCTTTGGTGGCGTGCCTCAGGGAACGGTTGATCCAGGCTGGAAGAGACGCCTGGCTTCGTGACAAAGGGCTAAATAAGTGGGTAAGCAGGAGTAATAGTCACAGCGACGGTATGAGATCCGGGCACAATTGGGAGGAAGGCTAAAGCGAGAGCCAATTGCGGCTGGGTGCTGCTAAGTTTTCTCTAGTGGTGGACTTCTCCTGGCTGAGATTTGGATTGCTGAACTTTGCTAAGCATTTGTTTTTCTGCGGGAAGCTTCCGGAGAGGGAGGGAATGAGACATCGAAAAAAGCGTTTGCGCGGTGACGGGCGAAAGACGGAGAAGGCGGGCACCAGGTGGGTCTGCGTCTCGCTGCGCGCGCCCGGGAGGGGAGGGTGCTGAACGCACCGCATGTATGTATATCCATGCGCAGAGAGACGACATACGGGCGTATACGTATCCCCAACAGCTACGAACAAGGATCAGAGAAGGCAGAGAATGTTAGGGCAGCCGATCGGCTTCAGAAAAGGAGGTCTAATGCAAAAAAGCAAACATAGTGACGCGGGCAGGATTCAGGTCGGACAGCATCGTCACGAATCTTAATAATAATACCATTAAATTAAATCTGAGCGAGAAGCGCGGAAGTAAAAGAAAAGCGATCTCTTGATTCGCCATGCATAACATACTTCTCGCGCGAAATGCTCCGTGTGCCCTGTTCATTATTATTATTATTATTATTTCTTCTTAGCTGGCGGGAGGGCGACGAAGTGGAGAGAGACGAAGGCAAAAGCGTGTGGGGACGGGATTCCTGTGCCGCCAAGGGCTTCGAGTTAGCGTCAGGCTCCTGGGATGCTCTCCTCGCAGGCTGCGCCGTGTGCTGGGCGAGCACACTGCGCTGGTGCAAGAATGCGTTGTCGACGCACCCAGGACAAGCTGCACTGGAGCTGGTGTTGAGACTGCTGATCGTATCAGAGGCTGCCCCAGATGTTGCACACGACAGCCAAGGCGTCCAGGCCAGGGCTCGAGCCGTTGTGCTGGCATAGGCCTCCTTGGTGCCATCGTTGGCGAAGCTGGCTCTGCATCATAATGATCGCCGTTCGGCTCTCAGACGTGAGAGGTCGGATTCTCGAGGAGGACCTTCCAGTCCGCAGCTGAAACGGCCACAAAGCCGCGGGCGCGGGCTTACGAGCCAGGCCTAACGTCCAGCGGCTGGCCGCCAGACGCGCCAGGGGACGTCGGGCTTCGTGTGCACAAGCAATCACGACACGGTTAGGTAAAGCGACGTTGATTCTAGCATCGAAGTTAATCAGGGATACCGACAGCTCGGGCAGAGTTCGCCAGAGGAGAGCCGCCAGAGTGGATCGCGGTCATTGGATCTCCCAGTTCGTGCCAACCCGCGCTAGTACCGAGCTGGTATTGGCGAGCGCCGTGACAGAACCGAGCCATACCGATACGGTATGCGGGACGGGCGGGCAAGGCCCCCGGCTGACATAAGCCGCCGCGCCGCCCGCCTCAGGTACAAAGACGGAGGACGAACGGCCGCTGTGTCGCCAGCCCGGGCGCGGATGCCGTTCCCCCAGAGCTTGTCCGCTAGGTTTTGGCACCGTCAAGAGACCTGCTCCTGGAGGAGCCCGCATCTCCCCCCGCAGGACGGCCGGAGTGATGTGATACGTGTGCGTCTGTTCTCTGCCGAGTGCATGAGGGTTGAATCTCAGCCATTCTCGGCGATGCCTTTGGGGTCGCACACCCAGGGTGTCTGTTTGACCGAAAAAACCCCAGCTGCAGCCCGGAAAATTGGCCTGCGCAAAAGCAGGATGATGTCATGTGTTGAGGGATCCTTGACGGGTCCAGAGGGCTCTCAGTAGTGGGCAGGAGGCAAGAGACGACTGGCCAGTACGGAGTACGGAGTATCCTTAAACAAAAAGAAGCTGAAGTCAAAAGTACCGAGTAGGGCAAATTCGCCCCCCTTTTTTCATTATGATCATTATTAAACCTCGAAGATCCTCATCGAGTATGCGTGTGTCAAGCAGCGTATGACAGGAACCAATCCAAGCAGCCCCAAGCCGATGCTCCTGAGAGCCTTTCCTTGAATTTTCCCATCTTATTTCTTAGCCTGCAACTCAATCTGCCAACCAAAATTCGACCAGATCCTGGATACGCCATGTGGTTGGGCAGAAGATAAGGTTCTAGCCAGGAAAGTCGGTGAGAGAGACGCTGCAAAAAAATCAATTATTATTATTATTCTGTGTCTGATTATCCCGCCGCCGTGATTCAACATTTTCTTTTCGGCATGCATGGGGCCGTCAAGCGACTGCGTTTCCAGGATCCGAGCCGCCGACTTTCAAGAAGTAGGGATACGGAGTACCATTGCCCAAATCCAGCTAGCTGGGCAGGGCTTGGGTACAGGAAGATAGGCCTCCAGTCAAGGTCGCATGTCTTGATCTGTGCAACTAAGCCCGTCCATCCTCCATCAAACATACATATGCGCATACATAACGCGTTGTGCTCTGTCCTTCATTATTATTATTGTCACTCGACGTAGCCTTTTATTTTTCGCTTCCCGGCTAATCGGAATCGACACCCGGTATGCCGGATTAATAGTAGAAGTGGGGTTCGCAGAGGCCTTTGGGGTCAACAACGCGGGCTCTGGCATCCGGCGCGGCCTCAGTGTCCCAAAGGAATATCGCGAGCTAAAGCCTCGCAGCTGACTTGTGGTGGTTATCATTAATTAACAAAGAATCGCAAACTAGCAGGAATCGGCGCTTCCAGGATTGCTCTTTTCGGTGGCAAACTGCCAATGCCTGCCAATCCAGACAATCTTCCCAGTCGCTGCTAAGATGAAGCTCGTGTTCAGTCGCGAAGCGCGATTTCGGAGGTGGTTGTTTCGGAGAGGGGATTCTGCGCGCCGAATGTATTATTATTTGCCTTCAGACAAACACCGACGGGCATGGTACTGTTTCGCTTATTTCCGCGGACGGTATGAATGATTCTAGATTCCGCCGCCCATTTGGGGTATGCCTGCGTATTTGACATATCACAATCGAGAAGAGGGCTGATGTCTTGAGGGCGAAGCCGTTGGTGGAATGCATGGCCTTAGGTCTGACATTTACCGCTAGACTACGGAGTACTCCATAGATGTCGTCGCCACCTCGAGAACAAGGAAATTTCGATCTCGCTGTCCTGGAAGATCGAGACAAAGAGCGCAAGCGATTTTTTTTCCTGCGTCGTTTAAACCCAGGGGAGCGGTTCTCGCCTCCAACAGACGCCCATACGCGACCCTGGGCCATGGGTAGTTCGAGCCCATTGGACAATTACTAACTAGTTTAACTACTGCTTCACCGTGAACATCTCAAACCGCCTATATATTTCCATCTATGAAAATAGCTGCTCGCCGAAAATTGACGCAAAGCGAGATTCGCTTACCTATAAAGTGCTGTGGATCTGAACTTGCAGCGATCACCACGATACATCAACAGGATCTACATTCCTCATGCGTCGCCCAGTTATCCTCTTATCGCCGCCGACTGGAACGGCGAGGCGATCGAATTCGATGCGTCTTGTGTATTTGACCGAGTGGTTCGCCGATGTGTCATGTGTGGGGGACGTCAAATTGATGCAGGACCGCGCGTTGAGGCAACTTTGCGCTCACGGCGCAAATTTCAACTTCACCGCACACTCTTGATGGTGAACCGCGAGATCCTCACCTTCAATAATGATCGCAGCCAATCACCACAAAAGCAGGATGACAAGGCGGGACACACGATCGAGTGATCCCGCCAGCGATAGCACAGAAGATGACTTCTCTAAATCGTGCGGTGCCGCCAATTTGCGACAAGTCCTTGTTTTGCTAGGCGGTCCTGGGGATGGACTGCTGAGATAGGCCAGAGCGCTAATAATGCCGCGAGCATTTAAGAAAATTTGTCTCGGGTGGACAAGAATCGATTTTGGCCCCAAACAAGTCGCAGCGCAGGGCGTACGGAGTAGAAAGCAGGGCGAACAGGGACGGCACTGTTTCGCCTGGCAAAATGAATCAGGGCTGCCAGGAATCAGCCCACTCCCCGAGGCAGCGGCAATTTCAACCCCTGGCCGGTGGGCTGGCTGGCTGGCTGCTAAATATAACCCAGTTTGGCCCCCCTGTTGTTTTCTCCAACGTTGGGGCCGTTGATGTTGGATGATGATGATAATAATGATGGGGAAGCAGCCGCGACGAAGGGGGCGGAGCGGATAAAGGTATTTCCCCTCCGCCACTAGTGCGGCGTCAACTCTGGGTCCGGGATCTCGGGGCGGCGAGCCAGCGAACCGGCAGCCCCGCCCCATGACGGCCGCCCGCCAATAGGCAGCAGCCTGTCAAGACACCCGTTTTGTTACCACCTGCCAGCGCGCGTTTCAAACCTGACGCGTTTCGCTGCGTATCGGAATACGGAGCCAACGCGTCCGTACGATACAGCGGCTGGATGCGTCGACGACCCGATCAACGCCCTTTCATCGCGCGGCTGCCGGATGGCGGTGGACAGGCCACACGGAATTGGGCCTGCTCGAGGCCTAACTAGGGCGACTGGGCATCACTGCGGCGGAGCGCTTTATTATTGTTTTGGACTGGTTTGCGCCGGATATCTGACCCTGGTTCCGGGAGATCATGCCCTCCAGGGTTGGACGGGCGAGACAAGACGTGTTGATCACCCAATTTGCAAGCCAGAGGCGTGGTGCAGGCCAATGGGCGGAGTTGTGTGTCCGCAGTCTCCGATATCCCCCATCCTCTCCCATGAGGCCGCCGGGTGTTTTGGTACCCGTGACTATTCCGCCTCCCCAGTTCCGTTCGCGGCCAGCGGGTGCTAGCCTAGAAACATGGATTGGTTGTTTGGGCATTTCCTCTCGTTGACTGGCTGCTAGGTGGACGAACGATGGCATTTCATTGGAGCCGCAGTGCATGCCGCTCATCTTGCATGCATAGCCGTTTGGGGGGACGGCGTTCGCGCATGCATATCAAACCACAACTTTACGAACACCTGCATCATCCCAGCGGAGATACCGGAACGCCCAACGCATATCCCGCACTGTAGATGGGCGTCGAAGGTGCACCCTACCCCGCGGATGTCATATGTATCTATATGTACGGAGTAGGACCAGGATTCTCTTCCCCGGTCTTTCGGCCCTTGCCATTGGTTGGGCTTATTTCCAAACCCTCCAACTCTGCATAACGGCGGCCATTGACCAACTGTGCCGTGTGAGGTCAATTGCCGCGTGCGTTAGTGCCTAACGCGTAATGACCTGCACCAGATACAAGCCACCTGGCGTACCCTGAAGCGGACAGCCTTGTGCTCCGTGCTCGTATGGTTTTGTTTTTGGGGCATGGGGTCTTATACGCACAGAGCCTGGCATTGAGGCTCAGGGCGGGCTAGGCCAGACAAAATTCCAATCATGCGACTGAGGGTAACCCGGTACTGCATGGAATGTTTTTGTTTTTTTTTTCAACACAATGTTTTCCCGTACAGAGTACTATCAGGCTACATGGTCACCGCTAACGTAGGAGCGCATTGGCCTTCATAACTATGATATTATTGCCTATCTTGTCCTCGGACTCCTCATCCAGGCATGTGCCCCCACACCTCTTCATAGGAAGCATTGATATCAAATTCTGGCCATATTGGTCGAAGCCCGACCGTCGATATTCATTGATGCAGTGGCAAAAGCCTGTTGCCCAAGCTCATTTTCGCGGGAGATCGATCCACTTACCGGCTGATCCCGAAGTTGTCATCGATTGCTCTGAAAGCACCGTGCGCGCCTTCGATGCATGCCCCGTCAGACTAATTGACATCATCATGCATGCTGGGCTTCCAATAGCCGCGCTTCCGTCCGCTTCCCCCGCTCGATATGTAGGAGGTCAGATGATAGTCAGCACTCCTCCCCTGGCATCTCATTCAGCTGCGGCTTTGGTGTTCGCTGCGCCTGAGACTTCACGAAGCCGGAATTGAAATTCATAACAGAACTGCCAACCTGCTGCCAGTGGTTGGCCGGTTCGGATGCTCCGACATGCGCCGCGACCAGGTATTTCAGCCCATGTAGGTGTCAGCTTAGGCTTTGATGCTTGATAACAAATTTCGGAGGGACAAAGCACACTCCAGGTATTAAAATGGTGCATTGTTGAGAACTGTTTTTTGGAGCCTTAACGTAAAACTGGGAGAGCCAATACCTGCTTCTAGGTCAGCTACGAATCGGAAGGTGATTTCAAGCTCCGCAAAATTCAAGCAAATCTACTTTCCGTTTTTTGGTAGCCTAAAATATTCATATCCGGAATGAGACATTGCTGGTCAATTTTTCATCCCTTGGATATCCTTGAACCCCAACCAAAGGATGAACGGCAAGGTCGTATTTTCTGCGCCAAATCTTTGAGTGAGGGCCTAGATTTCAACTACTAGCAGCGTAAGAGTCCAAGCCCTAACCGTTTTGGGTTTTCGTAATTTAGGTCAATTCCCTATATTCCCAAACAGAGCAATGCATGAGTTGGAGCTGGCAAACAGTGCAAACAGCACTGACTAACTAGTTAGTTAGTTAGTTACACCAAACTCAACACGGCTCGACACGAGCTCGAAAACACGACAACTAGAATTTATGCCTCGCTTAGATGGCATCTTTTTCAGGCAATCCAACGCTGATGCCATTTCTCTATCCTTGCTTCTTGAACGGTTATTCGAAAGTTGCTTCGGTTTTCTTTTTCAATGGCTCTAAATCGGTAAAACGGACCTTGTGCCATAGGCAATTCTCTCGAAAAACAGCTTCGTCCAGATATTTGGATGGTTCTCAGGATACCCCGACTACGAATCGCCTTAACCCGTCGCCATCCGACTACGGCCGCTCCATTTTCCAAGATCGATGTACCCTTCGCCTTCATACAGGAACTGGTGGAAATGGGTGCGTGTCGTTTCTCAGAGAGAAATACATTTCCGAAGGGCCTCCTAATGGTGGCAATGGCGGTAATGGTGGAAGCATATATATACAGGCTGTTGAAGGCCAAACAAGTTTACATAAACTTGCCAGAAGGGGAGTTATAAGAGCCGGACATGGAAAAAATGGAAAAGGAAAGCTACAAGGCGGCCAACGTGGAACTGACATCCTAATAAATGTACCTGTTGGAACTGTGGTCCGTGAGGTAGGGCGTTATGACCCGGTGGCTGAAAAGGGGAGAGAGCTGCGCCTATCGATGGGGAAAATGCCTGAGAAAGAAGCGCTGCGCATCTTCTCATCGAAACGGGAGCAATGGGTCCTCTACCCGGGGTCGAGGCCGTCCGATTATATAACGATGGAGCTTCCAGTGCTTCCACCTCCACAGCGTAACAGTATAGCAGCGATGGAGCCTTCCGCTCCAATACATCTCGATCTTTCCGAGCGTATGGAACAGCCAATGCTACTTGCTGCTGGGGCCATTGGTGGACGTGGCAACCCGAACTTCATCTCAAAATCAAATCCAAGACCCTTGATTGCCACGAAAGGAGAAAGTGGCATGATGTTGGAACTGGAATTTGAGCTGAAATTGCTTGCTGATGTCGGGTTGGTTGGACTTCCAAATGCTGGTAAAAGTACCCTTCTTCGATCAATTACAAACAGCCGTGCCAGAATCGGGAATTGGGCATTTACTACACTTTCACCCAACATTGGTACTGTAGTCTTGGATGATTTCACTGGCCGCTCGCTGATCCAATCCAAACTGGGAATGAAGCAGCGTTCTCGGTTTACGATTGCTGATATTCCTGGTCTAGTCGAAGGTGCTCACCTTGACAAAGGCTTGGGCCTGGGCTTTCTCCGTCATATTGAACGTGCTGGTATTCTTGTTTTTGTTATTGATCTTAGCGCTGGAGATGCCATCCAGACGCTCAAGTCCTTATGGAGAGAACTACATAAATACCAGCTGCTTCAAGAGCAGGATCTAAACATGGATAATGGAGCTACATTTACAAATGCTGCACATAGTGGCAACTTTGATGGGCCACGAGTGTTTGATGCATACTCGGACGATTTTGATTCAGGTCTCGAATCGTCGCTGAAAATGCATCGAAGGAATCTTCCTGAACTCGAAGGCCACCCTGCATATACAAAGCCATGGTTAGTCGTTGGCACCAAAGCTGACTTGCCCAAAACACAGGAGAATTTTGCCTTACTTCGAGCATATCTTGCTGACGTTGAGAATGGAGTTGTGGAGCACCCTTCCCTCCACGAGGATGCATGGCGGAAACGTTTGCATTCTATCCCCGTCAGTGCACTAAATGCCGAAGGTGTAAACGCTATTCCTCAGGCAATTATACAGTTGTTGGATACAGATTAAGAGTATATTTGAATGGATTGTCACTACCAAAGATTATGCTTAAAGGTGTCACTTAAATTCCTATCACCAGGATAGGCCATGTGAAATAAACTTAACATGCCTCATTTTCTAAGCATCTGCTTTTAAGAATCGGGTAATCAGCCCTGATCTATGTTCTCCTTTAGTCTTTTTGGTCTGTGGTTTTTCCATTTACGAACGAACTGCCCGATTGCCAATGCAAGTGAAAGAGGGAGAGATATCCAGCTTTAGTGTACTGCGTTTTCCACAAGCCTATCATGCCAGATTTACTATTCTGGAAGTTTTGGTGATTATCATCATACTGCAACATCGAGTTTTGCTTGGACCTATCGCCTGGCTTGCGGCCCATCGGCAGATCCTGTAACACTATTACCAAGTTTGAAGGCCTTCTTAGATACCAGTACGGATGCGATGCGGGATTGCGCAGAACGATAATTGCGAGGTTACGTTCTTACAAAATAAGTATCCACGGGATGTAGAAAGCTTATTTTTCACCTCTAAGCTATTATGATATTCTAATGGTGCTGGGCATTTCTGAGATGACTACCATAGAGCATACTCTAAACCTCAACCGTTTTTAAATATCTCTATCATATTACAGAAAGCGACGAGTATCTGGGCCAGTGCCGAAAGGTCTCAGTGCCAGCGTTGCTTCACCCCCACAGCCACTTCGATAGTGGTGTTAACTTGGGAGGCCTGGATAAGGAAGATCAAGAATGAAAACAAGTAGCAGTAGCGCAATAGTCTCACAGTGAGGGAGGTGTTCATTAAAATCTCTCCGAATATTCAAGTAACTACTGAATCTGTCAGCTAGTAAAAGCTAAATGAGGGCATAGTTAGTTGTATGAATAATTGGCGGCCACGAAAATCCTGTTCGACGCGTTTTCCATATGATTAAGCCTAGGAGTTGTATGGGCATTTCAAATTATTTCAAGGAAGCATGTCTGGGACACATTATTTCTAGTGTTTCAGGGGCATAAGAACGATAACCATGCTACGCTGAGAGATCGTTCACTATGTCTGTTAGATGAAGCATGTTGGATGTGGAGGTTTCCTATCAAGGTTACAACCAACTCTTGGAGGACAGGCCGGCGGAGTTTGCACTGTTTGCATGGTGCTCGGAGTTACTCCTCCATCACTTGTTCACGCCCTGTAGGATGCGCCTCCTGAAGGCTTGAACTGTCAATTTGAGCGGACGCAGCATGCATGGGCCAGTCCCCAGAAAAGGGCCACTCTTGTCACCTACGCGATTTTGAGTGTCGCGTTGTCCTCCGCTCTCCGCCGAAGACAAGGAAACGGATGTCTCTGTTAGTTAACTAGTTCTTGCATTGGGATGCACCGTGGTGATGCCGATCTTATGATATGCTGAACACCGTACGAACGCCACCGGCTACGGCTCGCCCACGCAGTCATAGTGGAACAAAGCGTTCTCTACCTTTGGACAAGGCAGATTTCGAAGAACCGTACAAGAATTCTCTCCCTCGCATCGATCCTCCACCACTCGGAACGTCTTCGATAGATTCGCCTCCCCCAAGCGACTCAACAAAAGCCCCGCGGAGCTCTGCTATATTTCCTTCGTTCCGTAGCGTATCGGCGTGCAACCGCTGCCGCAATCGCAAGAACCGATGCGACCAACGACTTCCACGCTGCCACTTGTGCGAGAAGGCGGGGGTGCATTGTGTGGGGTTCGATCCGATAACAAAACGCGAGGTCCCAAGAAGTTATGTATTCTTTCTTGAGTCACGGATCATATACTTGGAAAGACTTCTCAATGAGAACGGAATCGAGTTTGCGCCTCCCGCGCCTCATGAAGGCGAATTGCGAACGGATATGGAAGAGAGCTATCCGCCGACAGTGGCATCCAACACTGCCGAGGACACGCTGCTAGAGAAGCGATCTGGATCACAATCACCTGAAGCGGCCAGAAAGCATGCCAATATTAACTATAAGAACGAAGTCAGCCAGGATCAGGCAAAAAAAATATCGTCGCATTCCCAAGTTTCACGGGCTCGTACCTCCGACAGAATAACAGCTCATATACAGACGAGAGCGGACTTCGATAAAGGAATGGATAACCTAGTCTCAAATATTGTCATGGTTCCTGTTCAAGGAATGTCGGATTCAAGATATCTTGGTTCCACGTCTGGTATTTCTTTTGCTCGAGTGGTATTCGCGGCCGTACGAAGCTCCGTCCCGTCAAGTACGTCAGAGCGCGGTACGATGCTCCCAAGCTCGAGATCCGCTATGGAACACACTGGAAGTTCGATGAGGGATTCCTTTTTCGGGTTGCAGGTTAAGCCATCCATCACTCCAGCCCAATTTCCCGACTCTAAACTTGCCCGACACCTAGTGGACCTTTACTTTGAGTATGCCAACCCCCAGGCCCCTATCCTTCACAGGGAAGAGTTCATGGACCTGCTCCAACGCGTATATTCTACGGAGAAGAGAAGCCAACTGCCCCGTGACTTATATCTTTTGAATATTGTTTGCGCAATTGGGGCCGGCATTATATTCGGTGTCAAGAAAGATGCTACACGTCAGCAAACAGAAAATAATAGTAGAGATGATGGATCGCCTTCAGAACCCTATACGAACCTACCAGCTCAATCTGGTCGCGAATATCAACCAGAGGAGTACCATGCGTCTGCGATTGTACATCTCGAAGCTTGTCTCAGCTCTTCGGCCACTGATGGATTTGGCGGTGGCCTTGAAGAATTGCAGGCTGTGTTGTTGCTTGCGAGCTTTGCACTTCTTCGCCCCGTTGCTCCTGGTCTATGGTATATAGTTGGGGTAGCAGTGCGATTGGCCGTTGACCTCGGCTTACACCATGAAGATGGCACCGAGCTAGATTTTGTCGATGAAAGTGTAACATCTTGTCATGGTTCTAGGCGTGAAAGCTTGAAAAGCTCGAAAGGACAGGGGGTTGAGGGCTCTATCGAGAGACCAACTGTTCATGCACGAGAGCGTGGGCGACGCGAATGGGTTCGGGATCTTCGTCGTCGGCTATGGTGGAGCGTATACTCTTTTGACCGCCTTGTGAGCACTTGTGTTGGTCGCCCGTTTGGAATTACAGACCAAGTTATCACAACGGAGTTTCCTTCTCTTCTTGATGACAAGTATATTACAAAAAGTGGATTTTTGAATCCTCCTGCTGGAGAAATCGCCAGTTATAAGCATGTTGCACATCACTATCTCAAGTTCCGTCTACTACAGTCTGAAATCCAGCAGGTGCTTCAATATCAACACGCACATCTGGCGAGGAAATCGAGCAAATGCCACAATGAGGCATTCATACCAATGAAACTTCCTTCGCCATTTTTGCAAAGGTTTGATTCATTTCGTCTATGGCGACGCGATGTCCATCGCAGACTAGATGATTGGATTCGATTTGCACCAACACCCGGGGAAATCGGAGTACAATTCTCTGTTGAATTTTTTGAGCTCAACTACTGGCAAGCTTTAATGATACTCTACAGACAAGGTCTAACTGTCCCTGCTGCTCTTGCAGCGGATCTCACCAAAACTGAGCATGTCATGAGTCCATCGCTCGCGGGTTTTGAGAATAGTGAGGACGAAGATGAAATCTATATCAAAGTTGCTGAAGCGGGACAAAAAACGCTACGGTTGTATCGTCAGCTTCATCGAGTTCGACTTGTTAACTACACATATCTTGCAACACATCATCTTTTCATGGCAGGTGAGCTCTCATATTTCCTTTTGGCACCTTCTTACTCCAGAGCTTTCCTCATGCTAACAAATTAGGCGTTTCGTTTTTATATGCTATTTGGCATTCACCTACTGTCCGGAACCGTCTAGTGAGCCTTCTGATTATATCGTAGCATTTTGGAAACTTCTAACTTTCTCGACAGACCCTCGATGAAGTTGATTTCACCGTACTTGGTGCGGTTTCAGTTTTGGAAGATCTTATGGAGAAGTGTCCTCCCGCCGAAGCCTGTCGGGACGCTTTTGAGAGAATGAGTAAAGCGACGGTTCAGATGTGCTTATCAACGACTGGATTTGGTCCGCAATCTGGGCCCCTTGGGGAGCTATCTGATGCCGGGACAAAAGAAGGTGGCCTATCGAATATCGAATACCAACAAACCCCCGATACATCGACTAAATCATCAGATCCTCGACAGACAAGCTTTGATCCAAGAGCAAATCATGCGTACCACGACGTTAAGCACGAACTGTCCCCGGTACCCAACCATCTAGCTACTACATGTGCCGCCGAATATAATGAGCATCATAGTCTTCGCCAGCATTCTTCACAGCCTACACATATTCGGCATTCAACCACGTTTTCCAACACCCAACCGCCTATATTCAAAAGCCCACCCTCAAACCATACTCATCAGCCGCATCACCCCTATACCCCACTTACACCTCAATCTTCTCAGCACATATACAGTGCTCATCCGCAGACTACCCTCCCCCATCAACAGAGCCATATGTACTCTTTTCCCCCCGACCTTGATTTCCTTAATCTCCCCCCACGACTTGATCACACTAGATTCTATTCTGCCAGCGGCGCAGAAAACTGCAGCGACCCGGACCTTGACACCTTCTCAATTCCCTCACCTTTTGAACAAGGAGGTATACAATCCGACGCGGGTGTCGACTTAGGCTTTGGTATGACAGTTGGTTTGCAAAACGATTGGAGCCAGGGCTCCGGCTATGACCTCTTTGGTGGATTCTTCTTTGGAAATGGCGTTGGAGGCAGTTAGGGAAACTATTACCCATGCTCTGATTGAATGTTTTGACAGGCATATACTCTGAAAGTGCATTTTGGACCTTTTTGCCTATACTAGTAGTTAGGTACTCTCATTTATAGGCCGTCTCTGCCTTCAATGATGAAAGATTAGTTCAGCATTCCTTTATGATGAGGGTAACTTGTTAATGAATTACTTGACTTAATTAAATTATTGAATATTTCGGAACTGGATTGATGGTGCTGCAAATTATATTCTTTTACAGTGTGATAAATCTATTATGGATTTTGTTACCAGAATCTGAATAAATTAAGTCTACAAAATATCTTTACACACTTCATAAATTCTACACACTTGATAAAATTTTCTAGTTACGGTCTGAATATCTAAGCAGTTTAAAAGACACTATACAAAATATTACATAAAGACTTAAGAAAGAGTGTTGTTAGTTAAAAAACTAGAAGATGAAGAACAATCTCCTACTTCATGATACTAGATAGTTGATTTTTATTTTAAAAAAAAAAAAAAATCACTGTGGTTGTATATTGATTATTTAGTATATGGTAAGGTGGCCTAAGGAAGGGTGCGGTTAACTAGTTAACTAGCACAACAACCTAAGGGCGGTAAGCACCGTCAGAATGGACTGTGTTTTTGTTTCCGACCAAACACATTATTTATGAACTCGAGAGTCGAGACTCTCATACCCAGGCAACCCTTTTACTTTAGGCCGAGTTTACCTGTGGCTGCTTTTCTTTTATACTATCTATCTTGAACCTATACTAGTCGTGGCCTTCACCCCATCACCCCTTGCTATCCAATGCTTGAGAATGCCGTTTTCAAGGCGCTAGTTAAGGGATTGGTGTACTGCTACCTAACTTCTGCCCAATAGGCAACGCCCTCCCTTCATGTTCGCTTTTCATTCGCCATATCAAGAGTTTACCATAGGTGAGTTCTGCACCTTGCATCACTTTTCTCTGTGTCTTTGTTTGCCTCACCTTTTTTTTTGGTTGGGCACGATGTTGCTATAGAGGGATTGACTAGTTTTACCTTTCTTGTTTTTGCTGAGATACTCATTGTTAGGACTCCCTACCTTTCGGAATTCAGGTCATTATTTGGGTGGAACTTTACTCCAGACTCTCGAAATCACCTTCGACCACAATCACGCCCACTCCCAAACTTGATGTCGATTCCTGTCACCACAACATTGGCCTTCCAACAATATGCAGCCGTAATTGAGAAAATATAGTCGAATCCAAATATCGAATCCCCTTCCATCTTCCTGCTTTTGGCGACCCTGATCGAGTGTCACATACTTTGAGAATGGTAAAGGCGGATGTGAGAAAAGATTATTATGCAGAGCTCGGTCTTGATGCTCGTGCTGAGCCGGAAGAGATTAGGAAGCAATACCGGAAGCTAGGTAAGCCAAGCCCATACACTTTCCTTTTTTATGCCTGCTCGGGCTGAAATCTTTGGTCAAAATGACTCTGTCTGGCCTTAGCTCTCAAGTATCATCCAGATCGAAACCCGGGCAGAGAAGCTGAATCCAACGGTAAATTCCAAGGCCTTCAAACGGCTTACGAGATATTAAATGACCCCCAGTCGCGAACCAAGTACGATACTGATCGAATCCGTACCGGATATGGGAAGCATTACAGTGCTCAACGGACTACTACGGCTTCAAGGACACAGAATCCCACCTCCCCTTTTACAACCAATACTTCTCGAAAAACTACAACCTCTTATAGCAAATCTAACCATCCATCGGCTGCCCCATTTCCGCCGCCACCACCACCACCACCCACATCTACATCGCAAAAGCGTAGCAGCTATGCAAAGCCTGGAACCCCTAATTGGGACGATGCAAGGACTCGAGCTGACGCCTACCGTGGGTTTCAAAACATGAAGCAAAGCTCTCATGCCGCTGGGGGATGGACCAATTTCGACCCCCGGACAGGCCGCTCATCACATGAAGCTGGACGGGCAGACAGGCCAACACCAAAAACCCATAGTCAACGACCCCATTCAGCATATGAATCTTATTTTACAACTCAAAGATCAGGTTCAACTTCACAGAGATCCCATACTGCTAAGAAGAAAAATGGATTTGCTCCTGGGACGCCCGGGGGAGACGAACCAATGGCAAAAGGCACATCAGCCTACGCGAGTGTTCTAAGGGGTGAAAGAGGGTACACCTCAACTCCCTACTTTGACACAGCACCGTCTCCTACGGCCAAAAAGAAGTTTGCAGAAGACGAGCCAGCGACATCTATTCCCAACCTAGAAAGAACCAGTAGTAAATACGCTACTTCAGGTGGGGAGAAGACGTATTTTTCAAGCACAGGTTTAGGGCATGGAAGTGGTGTCCGCCCTACCTTTTTTGACAATGTGACGTCCCGTCCACGAACGAACCCGCCTAGTCCAACTGCGTCTCCAAATAGGGGAAGGTATCACAGTGCAAGCCCCAAGGTCGGACCTAATCGCAATCGCGCCTTTTCTTCCTCCTCGGCTTCCAGTGATTCAGACCAAGTCCTCCCCAGCTTCCGCCCAAAAGCCATCCCTCGTAGCAGAATTCGCAATAATCGACAAAAGGTGGATCCGTCCGGTGACCACGTCAAAGAACATGTTACTGGTGAGCCATCCTGGGGATGGGCAATGCATGCTGATTCATGGCTGTTTGGTAAAACGGGCAATGAAACTCCAACATACCCCTCTGCAAGCAATCCCTCTGATTTCTACGACTGGGCCGCTAATTGTAACCCCCACCAAGGTATGGAATCAGAAAAGACGTGCCATACTAGCCAGGGCTCGGAAAACGTGCCAGTGCCTGGAAATTCGCCGATACCCCCACAGTCAAGCGCCGCCGGTCAGCATAATGACAAAGCAACTTCCGGTAGAGAAAATGTAAAAACTTCCGCAAGGTATGTTGTGGACAAATTCTTCCATCTTGCTCGCTTGGATGTTTGTACTTTTTCTGGGGAAGTTTGAATTTATTTTGCAATGTTTTAAGTATACTGGTACAAGAATCGCCAAAAGTGGTTCGGAATTCTCCTTTACCTTTATATCATCATACAGAAATGCTGACAGCCGTTTTCTACAGGTGCGATTCCTCAAATAAGACACCAAAATCAACGGATACCCACAGAGCAACACCGAAAAGCAAAAGTCACGACTACATCAGTGCCACCTTTTCGTCAGAAGAATGGAATGGGACATTTGGGAATGGTGTGCACTTTTTCGTCCCGGATAATGGATCGAGTGATTCCAAGCCAATGCGAACACGAGGTAGAACTCTAAGCAAACCTGACCTATCTCCAAATTTCCAGTCATCGAATCCTTTACAAGAAACTACCAATTCCAACCCAGACGGTTCTTCATCTCAACCAGTCCCACCGTTTGCAGAAGCGATATTCTCAGCTGATCGTTGGGCAGAACTTCTCAGGGACAACACGTGGACAGTCCCACATATCGATATATCTCAACCACCAGCTGACCCTCGCCGCCAAAAAAGCCCAAAAAAGACTATCAAATCAAAGCGTTCCACGGTACCACGGCCTGCTAGGGTAACCACTGAAGCAGAAGAAATTGAAGCAACGTATACTGCCAAAACGAATGAAGCCTCGAATAGCAATATGACTGGGGCTACGGAAGCAATGGACATTGACGAAGCATCACCTGCTGGAAATGTAAAACCTGCAGAGGTCCCCACATCGAAAGAGTCTGCTAATTCCCTAAACACTAAGATTCAGGATCCGGTTCCAGACCTGCTGGATTTAACGGATATAGGCCTTGTCAACCCCTTAACGGCAACAAATACCGGTGGCCTTAACGATCTTAAAGACCTGAACAGCACACTTCCTTTCGATTCTCAGCCAAGTGTGGATAATAGTCGTATTAAACCAAAAGATCTTGCCTTACCAAAACCACCAAAACAACCGGTCACTCCGAAATTTACGGTCAACCCTGGCGTTTCGAACTTGAGTCCAGAGCACATCATAGCCCAAACATTGTGGAATCGGTATATGGCCGAAATGGCTGCATATATGAATGAATGGAATAGGTTCAACCGAACCATGCTTTCCCACTTCAATGCCCGACAGAATTTTGTTGACACTGTTCTATCACCTAACTGGATGAATGCTAGAGGGGATAGCGGCCACTTAAGTTTTAGTGGAACTCAAACCTCTGGCATTGAAAATAATACAGATAGTGACAATGAAAATTGTATAGGAAATTCAGCTAAACATGGTTTCAGTGCCTACGTACGTGGCATGGAAGAAGACTTTGTCGTTCGTCAGCACTGGGAAGTTGCTTGGGAGCGGCATCGACAATGTATTCTGGAGCTTGGACGGCTACGAACCTGGATTCGAGAAGGGAGAAAATTACAACCCCCCTTGGGCAATGAATCGTTGATTTGAGAATATTAAGTGGATCACGGCATAGCCTGGTCTTACAATAGCGCAAGGTTTTGCAAATTGGGGGCTTTGGGCCATACGCTGGGTAAGGAGTTTAATTTTAATTTCTCAAGCAGCGCTGGCGTTCACAAGGGGTGTTATTGTTGTTTAACTTCTGGTACTCACAGTCTCTTTGCCATGTATGATACAGATGAAGCGTTATCTCTGGTCTATGGAGTACTCCGTAAGGTTGGTTAGAATATCGGGAGCGCAATTATAGTTCTCCCGAAACTTAGTTCCACCGCCTACCTGCCCCTCCACGCTGACTCAGGCCGGAAAACATTGCTTGCTGCGTATCAACATTTTGTGGGACTTTCGCTGTTGCCCCTTCTGCCTGCCGGCACACACTCATAATCTTAAAATCACTTGCAGCTTTAATAGCAGTTTGTTACACTCGTACCCTTGAATTCCATTGTCGAATTTTCATCAATTCCTGACCAGCTTCGCTCGCTAATTTTACCCCTCATTGCCGCGGAATTGGCGCTCTGCACTTTCTGACACTGTGCAATCCTACAAAATATCTTAGAGTTGTCGCGAGAAAAGAAAATAAAGCAAACATATCTGAATTTGCCCCAAAAACATGGTGGCTATTATATTGGGTTCCCAATTTGGGGATGAAGGTGAGACTTTCCCCTCTGGAACTGTCAGATTGGCTATTAATTCCCATTGAACCTAGGCAAGGGGAAAATCACAGACTTACTTTCTCAAACCGTGGATCTTTGCTGCAGGTCTGCTGGAGGCCATAGTCAGTTCCCTCTATCCCCGGTTCCATTTCTCCCATCCTTGTTTTTACGGCGCGGGAGTGCTTTGTCAAATATCAGCCCCAAGTTCATATGCTTACACAAATGTGCATTGACTAGATGCCGGACATACCATCATTCACGAAAATATTACATATGACTTTCACGTTCTTCCCTCGGGTCTTATCTCCCCAAAATGCGTGAACCTGATCGGTTCTGGAACCGTGTTCCACGTCCCCTCATTCTTTAAAGAGCTCGAGGCCCTTGAACAAAAAGGCCTAAAAGATGCAAGAAAACGTATTTTTGTTAGCGATCGTGCTCATATATGTTTTGATCTGCACTCTGTAGTTGATGGACTCGAAGAAGCTATTCTAGGAGGACGGAAGGTTGGGACAACGGGGAAGGGCATTGGCCCATGCTATAGCGACAAGGCAGCAAGAAGAGGCGTACGAGTTGGCGAAGTCCTAGATGAAGGTGTTGTTGAAAGAAAGCTGAGGAGTTTGGAAGCTGGATATCGACTGCGTTTCGGAGAGTTGAACTACAATTTAGAGGAAGAGATCAACAGGTTCAAGGTATATATTGCGGCAAACCCTCGTAAGGCTTCTTCACTAATTGAAACTAGGAATACCGCACACTCCTTAAGCCTTTTGTTGTTGACCAATTCTCCCTCCTACGGAAATACAAAGACTCGTCTATCCTTGTCGAGGGCGCCAATGCTCTTATGCTTGACATTGACCATGGAACATACCCATATGTCACGTCGTCATGCACTGGCCTTGGTGGTACTATACAGGGCCTTTGCCTTGATCCCACGCAGATTAAGACGATAGTTGGAGTCGTAAAAGCCTACAGCACGCGAGTTGGCTCTGGCCCCTTCCCCACCGAGCAAATCAATGAAATTGGTGAAAAGTTACAGATCACAGGTCGTGAATTTGGTGTAACTACCGGCCGAAAACGTCGCTGTGGATGGCTTGACCTAGTCATGTGCAGGTACAGCACGGCCGTTAACCATTACACTGCTCTTAACCTTACTAAGTTGGACATTTTGGATGATTTTGATGAAATAAAAGTTGCAGTGTCTTATCGGTTGGATGGAAAGGAAATTGACTATTACCCCGCCGATTCGGAGCAACTGCAGAAAGTCGAAGTGGTGTATGAGACTCTTCCTGGATGGAAGTCAAATACTATGGGCGCCACACAGTGGGAGAAGTTGCCATCGAAAGCGCAACAATACATACAATATATTGAAAAGGGCCTCGGCGTTCCGGTTAGATGGATCGGCACGGGCCCAGCACGATCGCATATGATCGAACGGGTGAATTGATTTCAGCGTCGTCCTTCATCCTGGCTTCACAGTGCCTTAGGCTGTAATATGACCTTCCTTTTGTGCTCTCTTATACTATTAGACCTACCTTGCCTTTTCCTTTTGTCTTTTAAGATTTCTGAAAGACTTTACGCAGTTCCCAGCCCTGCGCCAAAAGCGCGACAAGTACTCAAACGTGTTGAAGCTAATGAAATGCTAACAGGACCGCTGGAAAATCCACGCTTTACGGATAGAATGAAATATGGCGCTAATTTGGCGTTAACATGCGAGATAGAGATAAATTTATGTATCTGCTTTCAATTGTGCTGTTCAAGAACCGGCTAAAATAAAATCGTTGTCTAGGATCAATATATATCCGATCCGATGATTATGTAACTTGTTAGCCAATCAGAGCGGCGAGCTCCAAAATATTTGACTATATCAGGAGCAAATAGCCTCCTCCCTACGCCTTCGGGCATTTGGTCTTATTGAAACGATACAGAGAAGATTAGCATGGCCCCTGCACTAAGGATGACACGCTCAATCAAAGAGAAGCTACAAGTTTTTTTGCCAAAGCCGCGTTGAGGTGCGGTGCCCTGCAGTGCATTATCGAAGGGCATCTTAAGTTCGAACTGCAGGGGATTTTTTTTTTTTTTTTTTTTTTTGTCGGGATTTCTCTCGCACTTACGGAGTAGTGGACGGAATATAAATAATTTATTCTTCATACTATATAAATATCACGGATACTTCTAGTAGTTAGCTAGACCGTATCTACATACCATTAACATGTCTAGTAATATGGAGTAGACTCAAGTAACTAATCCAGTTCATCACCAGCAAATGTCAGTCGCTTCTGTGCTGGATGCTCATCGCCCACACTTCCGCTATTGACCCCGAAATCCCGATTTATCTGTCTCCCCATCAAAGTGCTTTGCTGTAATTTCAAAAGTTCCCTATCTCTTTCGTACTGTCTCCCTTTAGCAGCGTCTAGTTCTTTGATAAGTAGGCTCTCCATGTTCCATTTCTTATCAGCCAAGTTACCTTCCATTTGACAAACTTGTTCCTTTTGTGTAATTCTCACCCTATCCCGTTGGGCAATAATTTCTGAGTGCTCAAGTTCTCGAGTACGATTTTGTTCGGCAAATCGTGCTTGTTGCGCGGCCGACTCAGACTCAAGATACAATTGTTGTTTGGAAAGCCGTTCGGTTCTTGCCTCTCGCTCATCTGCAAGCTCGCGATCCAACTGAATTTTTAGATTGTGTAGCTGCATCATTTGCCTAGTCTGTTGCCCAGCGAAATCTTCATTTTGCCGTAGTTTCATCTGGTGGTCTTCGTCCAGCTCATTGCGATATTTGAGACGTGCTTGCCGACGCTTTTCTTCCGCAACAATTTCCAGGGGAGCATTCACCATATCCGGAGGTTGAGGGCCGGATAGACGATAAAACGCATCCTTACACCCATGTGCTTTAAGAACTTGAAGAAGTTGACTTGACTGATGGTTTGGGCTCAATTGCAGTTGCTTTGTGATGTATGTTGAAGGGGAATAAACAAAATCCTTCACTGTATAGAGGTTGCATTCATCATTTACCAGCTTCCACATTCCGCTGGCAAGTAGAGCAGTCGTTATCAAAACACATGACTTTTGATTATCTATTGCATGAAGAAGGAGCGGTTTTCCCAGGCTGGAAGCCCTTAAGTCCGCTTTGCTAAGAATGAGAAGGTCTAAAACCTGTCGCAGTTTGGATATAGACGAAGTAGTATCAGAGCAATTAAAACACAGGGTTGCCAAAGGGGAGCGACCGTCGTGTAGCATGGACGGGAAATTAGGATTGTGTCCGTAGGAGATGAGTAGCTTTATAGCTTTCACGTTAAGGTCCTGAGAAGCTTCATGGAGGCTGCCATCATTAGCAGTTGCTCCAGCACTGAGTAGGTGTCTCATGATCTGAATTTGATTGTTTTTACAGGCATAAAGTAATGCAGTCTGCCCTGTTTTATCACACCCAGAAGGATCTGCACCATGTTGTATTAACATCAATACCAATTTGGGATCGCAACTAATTGCAGCCATGATAATAGGAGTTTTCCAGGTCTTTGTGGACTGGAAGTTTGGCTCGGCTAACATTGAGACCTCAGAAGAGCGCAGGCAACAAGTTATAAGGGTGAGTACTTACCTCCATACTTCATCAAGCACTCAATAACATCTGGACCGGCCCGTTGCAAGATTGCCCACTGCAAGAGAGAAATATGCTCTGAATCGTATTCCCCTGGTATCAAATGTAAAATAGATTCATTTGCATCCATTCCACTTGTTAATAGCTTCATTAAAACTCTGGTACTGCATGGCCACCTTTTAATGCATAGAAATAGAGGAGACTTTTCTTTTGGTTCGTTTAAGTGCCATGCAGTATTCAACGCGCGAATATCCAAATTGCCTTTGCACAGAATCCCAATTATATCTAGTACCATGTCTTCATGGATATCTAAATTGAGGACACATGATAGCCCAATCATCAACGTCATATCCGATGGGTTGGCGTGTACCAACTTCCTGACAAGTGACAATTTTCCTCTGGTGATAGCAGTCTGCAAAGCACACCCGTCACGGAAATCGACGCTAGCTTTGAATTGAAGAAATAACTCGACAAACTGTTCTGCTTCCGGCTTAAATTCCATAGCTTCAATCGCCATGATTAGAGCAACATTCAGGGCATCACCGAAAGCTCCATGCTCAAGTAACAGCTTAATGCTTGAAAGTCCGGCGTCAGACAACCAGCTGGTGTTAGCTGTTATTCTTTCTTTGAAAACATAGGCAACTGCAGACTTATCTGGAGCATTATTCAAAAGGAGGCTGAGTATAGAACAGTCCAGAGACATTGCCGCTTCAATGAGAGGCTGACAGTTTGCAAAATAAGGAGAAGCACCATGCTTCAAAAGAAGCATGATCATACCAGTATTAGATGGCCCTCCTTTGACTACATCTAGGAGTGCTTCATCTAAACCACTTCCCATATACCCGGCCTCGAAGAGCATTGTGACATATAAAACACGAAGAGATGGATCCATTAACAAGCAAGTTTCGAAAGCAGCATTAAGCGTTTCTTGTGTAAGCGGCTGCTTCAGAAATAATTCAAAAACGTCAAGAAACTCATTTTCAATTGATTTGCGTACGGCAAGGCCTCTCTGGTAATCCAAGGAAGCTCCATGTTGAAGGAGCAGCTCTAGAAAACGAATATCCCGGATATCGGACGTTACTGCATAATGAAATATGTGGTTTATGTCATCGGCACCATAACAATCGGTAGGTTTCAATAAAATTCTTGCCATTTCGTACCTTCGTGCCGTTTTAGTCTGTACAATTAGCTCTAAAGCCTTAAAGATTGTCTGCGTAGAGAGGGCTCTGCTTGCAAGAAGTGTAAGCTGCTCTTCATCAGACTGTATGATAGCTCTTCGAAAAACAATGCCATTGCTGGTATTGACATCCGCTCCATGGTCAAGGAATAATTTAATTATTTTTAGGCTTTTTGATGATGACTGCTGTTCAACAATCAAAGCTCCATCCAGTATATTCCTATCTATACCAGCAGCAAGGATCTTGGCACATAGACTGTAACGCTTGTATGGGTCTTGGGTGCGCATTGTAATATGAAATGCACTGCTCAAAGTAGAACCCGATGGCTGATATTGGAGAAAAAGCTCGAGAAGCTCCAGGCTCATCAATTGGCATGCCTGATGTATAGGTGCGCCACCATCAAAATTTACATCTGCCTTGCCCTTTTGGAGAAATAGGCTGATCAAGATAATGTCAGCAGGACATTCCTGAATTAGTTCCACTAACCGTTCATGTACCAATGGACCAGAAGCGCCCGCTGATAGCAGCAAATCAATAATTGTTAGACGTAATTCTCTGTTGCGTAGTTTGCTCGCCGGTACGACTCCTTTAGACAGTGACAATTCAGAAACATTCCCCTTAAGCAAGAGACTTAAGCTAACAATGTCTCCAGACTTTGCAGCTTCCTGGATGCAGTAGCCGTTATCAACATTTACATCGGCACCGTGTTTCACAAGAGCGTCTATAAATTGGTGACGCCACATTCCGTCGTCAGCTAAAACCAGTCTGGCAAGTGTCTTGTTGACATCATCGCCTCGGGCACCAGCTTCTAGTAAGCTTGAAGCCCACTGGAATTGATATTTTTCGGATAATTTTGGCAGCAGGCGAAAACAGCGAGAACAAGTTTCTTGCGACGGTTTTCCAACTAGCAGCTCACTGAATGTTTCTGACGATTCTGAAGAAATAGCAAGGTCAAGAGCCGCCCCACCTTGATAGTCCGTAGACGCTCCGTGATGGACCAAAAGCTTTACTAGAGATGTATCTTTTATCCGAACCGCATCGATTAAACATTCATGTAATGATTCACCACTGGCACCACGTTCCACCAAAGTCGAAGCCATTGATAATATTTTAGATGGCGAAATAGAGCTAGGTATCTTGAGGAATTTAGATAAAACGGCGGAAGCACACTGGGGATCAAGTCGATCGGCAAGGAGAATGTTCAGAATCCGCTCATTTTTCGTTTCTAAGGCTTTAATAATCGGCTGTGTTGGGTCATAGAAGACGGTATCTCGGTAGGAAATGACCAGGGACGCAAGTTTACAGTCATCAGTGACAACTGCCCTTATGAGCGCTTCCGTGGTATTGCCTCCATTTGCACCGCCGCAAAGAAGTATTTCGACTATAAAGCGCTGTTCTGGCCCTATCACCCAAAACTTGCTAAGTATTATTCCGAGAGCCCGATCAAGCGAGACCGGAGAAGGAGAGCGTTTAGCAGATACAAATGCAGCAACAAAGTCAGGAGTTCCATTTCTAACAACAGTCTCGAAAGCGGTTCCTAAATCCGCATTCGCCCCCTGCTTGAGGAGAGCCACGGAGAGCTGTAAAGAACGATTGGATACGGCAAGAGGCAGGGCATCGTCAAGACACGAGGTGGAGAGCGTTTTTGGGGACCGAAGAAAAATTTGGGCTAATTGTAGGTTGTTATTCTGCACAATCGTAAGAAAAGCACTCTGGCAAAAATTTGGGTCAGCACCGTGACGAAGAAGGATAGTAACACAATCAATATCAAGCATCGTCGCCGCCGATTGAAGAGATGTATTTAGAGCAGAGAGATCAACATGAGGCGCTAATAGATCCATCATTTCGAGCCTCCTTTTCTCTGTGGCAAACCTTAGAAAATTGCTTAGATCAAGTTCTTTGTCTTCAAACAGTTTGAATAGCTTCCTTTTAGCCTTGGCTTCTCTGACTTTATCAAGTAAACATGCAAGGACACCAATAGGCCCGTCATCTTGAATAAGCGTCTCAATTGCGGCGTGTAACTCATGGTTCACGAAACCACGCCGGCTTGGGCTCCGTCGAAATGTATGCGACTTGGACGAGAAAATCTGATGCCGTATGCGTTTCATAAGATTCTCAGACTCACGCTTATCACTTTCAACAATGAAGAAAGCCAATTCCTTTTTATGCAGTGGTGGCTGGCTATCCACGGGAACACCTGCTTCAGCAGCCAGCTGGGAAAGTCGCGCATGGCTAGAAGCCGGGCATTGAAAGCTCTAGTACTATTGTCAGACATACCAAATACTAATCCAAGTGCTACAGCCATCCACGACATACCTCAGCCATACTCGCTTAGAACTGACAGATCGCGGCAAGATGGGTTTCTGGATACTTCAAATGGATGCACTCGAAGATCAGAATTTAGCGATAAAATTGAACAGAAAAAATGTCAAACCGGGTGGGGTGTTGATGCACCCTGTTAGAAGTGTTATTCATGGTACAAATGCTCCATGCTGCCATTCAATGGGGTGGGAAGGTTTCGCTAAGTAATGAAGTGTATGTGAATGGAAGATTTTGGTGGTAACTATCGGCCACTGCTCAGTGCACACTGGGATTTTCCACATCTTTCCAGCTGACCAAAGATTTTTAATCTTGCACTGTGAATGTAGCTCATTTGGAGCTGGACATGATGAAGGATGCATTATTGATGTGAAGCTGAATTGACAGTCTGTGTTACTGTACTCCATATAGCCAGGTGATATGGGGGTGAATTACGGAGTAGCTAGGTAGTTGTGTTATTACGCCGGCTACTCCGTACCTAATGGAGAACTGTCCCTGTTATGCCAAGCCTATGTACTGATTTAGTCCCAGAGTAGACTAGTGTTGTATTATCTTGGCGCACACGTGCTACAGCAGCTTACTAAGCTGACATCCTCCACACCCATCTACTCCGTACAGCAAGCCAATAATCACTACTACATAGGGGCCCCATATAATATGACGCTTAGTTAACCTATGCCGCCAAGTAGGCCAATAGACGGCACGAGTTTGTTTAATGACCTGGTTATTCCATTGGTGGTGAGTTATAATACAGTAGTAACTAACTTTCTGTCAAGAACAACAACATTGACCTGATCTGACCCCACCAATAATGGGTCAACCCCCTGTTAATTAATTAGTTAACTAACCACTAGTTGCAACAAGAATTGCTGAACACAGTTATTTATCAAGACTGACTTACATGGAAAGGTGGCAATTTATGGGTAACTGAAACTCTGAAGTTTTGAAGTGGACAGTGTTTCTGAGAGCCATACATATGTACTACATATATGGAGACAAATAACTAGTTAGTTAACTAACTAGCTTGTTGACATCAGCAGGGCTGAGCTGATGGTGGGGTTAAAAGCGGTGCGTTCTCCACTACTGTCAACCCCATACCCATCACCATTCTGTTCACTTTCAAATGCCTACTCTAAGCAACCAGTCCCGGATCCGGGGCTCTATCTTCGGTGTGGCCGTTGTGGATGCTCTCGGAGGGCCGGTGGAATTTCGTGCACGAGGTAGCTTTCCAAAAATCGCTGGATACCAGCACAACCATCACTTTAATGTGCCACCTGGGTAGGAATGCCCACCAATTTATAAAGAGAAGCCGAATTTGCTTAAGGTAAATTGGACAATAGCACATGGACTGACGATACGTCGATGACTCTGTGCCTGGCTCAAGGACTCATTGATTCCAAAGGCATTTTCGTCCCCCAGGCGGCTATCCGCAATTATATAAAATGGTGGGAAAACGGCTACTTATCGGCAACGGGGTACTGCTTTGATATTGGAAACGCAACAGCCACCGCTCTGAAAATATGGAAACGGTACTTCGAACAGCAACGCAGCATACGTAAGGACGACCCCCGAGGACACGAGGGCGCGTTATCGGAAATTAACAAAGCCTTGAACCACGAAGTACAAAGTGACTCCTATCAGTAGAATCGGCTCAAGTTTCTGACTCGACCGTTTTTATCTTACAGAAGTGCTGCGGTAACGGCTCGTTGATGCGAGTCTCCCCGGTGGGCCTCGTATATTCTCACGATATTCCGCTGGCCATATCAATTGCTGCACAGTCATCTGCTGTGACCCACCCTTATCCCGCTTGTACGGAGTGCTGCATGCTGTACACGAAGCTTATCGCATGCGCTATGAATGGTGGAACAAAAAGCGACATTGCTAATGTGGTGTCTCGCACCACTTATGTAGATGAGAAGGTGAAGGGTATTTTTGATAAATACGCTGGCGTTGATGACTGGGTGACTACTGAGGAAAACAGCATCAACTCCTCTGGGTATGTCATAACAACCCTTGAAGCTGCATTGTGGAGTTTCTTTTCTACGAATTCATTCCAAGATGGAGCATTCAAGGTAGTCAATTTGGGTGACGATGCAGATACGGTTGGCGCTGTCTATGGCGGGCTAGCCGGAGCATTCTACGGGTTCGACAGCATTCCTGTAGAATGGATTGACGGATTACAGAGAAAGGATATTGTGGCGGAAATTGCTATGGGTCTTATTTCACTCTCATAATTACTCATAGCCTCCATATACTCGATAGCCTCCTATTTCTAATCTGATAAGACTGACTGGAATGTTGGAAAATATATAAAATTTTATTTTTCTGGATTAGGGTGAGGAGAGGTTGTCTAAATTGACACACGAAAACTCCGACGGACCATTAAAACTAACAATGCACTTGGCAATAAGAGAGAAAAGGAAGAAAAAAGCAGGCAGGCCGAGCCATCTCCTATTCCCACCTTCCCAGAAACATGACACTGAAATTGTTAGTAACACAAATATTAAAAGACAGGCTGCAAGTTTTAGAAAATGTACATGCGTAAGCAATATGTAATGAAAAGGGGTAACCCATGCCCTTTGTTTTGATGAGTCAGATTAACGCCCCTGACTCCATAGATTTTTCACATTAAACTAACAATCTTTATCCCAATGTGCACCCTCATCAACCAAGAGCTATCAAAATCAGGTCTCATATAGGTGTCTTCAAAGAATTAACAGCTGTAATGAAATAAAAAGTACTCGGAAACTGTTGTCATAACTTATCAGAGAGTTTTTTCTTCGCAGTTACCGAGGTGGTTGCAAATTCCTAGTTCGTCATAGTCTTAGGAAGTCTTCGAATAGGATTAAAATCGGGATCGAGATCGAGATCCCACAAACTGCCTGTCGTGTCCTCTACCATAAGATCTGCCGCCCCTGGAATCAAAGTCTCGCCGACCAGTAAAACGAGAGTCTTGGCCACGGTAGCTAGATCGGCGGAATTGTCCTTCTGGCTGTTCAAAATCCGCATTTCTCTGCGTTCGGAACCCTTCGCCAGCGCCTTGTTCTCTAATATTTATGCCTCTTTGGTTGTTAAGGCCGAGCTTGCGGGCGAAAGTCGGCGAAACAGTAGGAGGTGACGCCATACCCCAAAGGTTGGATGTCATCTGATTTAATAGTCGAAGTTTTTCCCTCGACGATCCCATGATGGACAGAAAGGAGCCATAGCATTTTTCCTTCAAACCATAGTCCACCTGGGAATATGCGGCTTTAACTTGGGAAATAATCGAAGCCACAGGCGTGGGGAGGTCTTCATGCTTAGCTGACATATCAACAACGGCGGTTTTCAAGGTGTTGTCTTCCTCGATGGGAAGACCGCGGAGTCTATAGTTAAAATCTCGGTAATCTGTATCGGTAGCTAATATCCACCCTTTGCCAGTCTTATTTGCACGGGCGGTCCGACCGAGACGGTGAATGTATGAATCTCTATCACGCGCGACACCAACTTGTATAACATGGGTGACATCTGGAAAGTCCATTCCACGGGCCGTCACATCAGAAGAAAACAGAATAGCGGACTGTGCAAGACGGAACCTCTTTGAGTTATAAGTCCTTTGACCCTGGGTTAGACGCGAGTGCATTTCCATGGTCGCTAAGCCTAAGGGGTGTTTAGAAAACATGTCTCCTGGGGTGACCTGCAAAGAGTCAAAAGCACTTTTCGCTAGAGTAACCTCGTTCGTGGAGTTGAAATAAACAATGGCTTTGAAAGGCCGAGTATTGGCGCGGTCCGCATCATATTCCTGAATCGCTTGCGTAGCAATCTCCATCACAGCTGGCATCTGATTTTCAAATCCACGAAGGAAAACGGCTTTCTGAGGAACCCTTAAATGAGTTGGAACCTCGTCATCTCGTACTGTCTTTATAAATGAAAAGTCTGGCTTCATTGTACTTCGAACCATGTGCATTACTTCTGGAGCCATTGTGGCGGAAAACAAAAGAGTTTGACGATCAACCGCAGCTGGATTTGGTAAAAATCGTAGTAGCTCTTGAATATCGGGGGCAAAACCATCATCAAGCAAACGGTCAGCCTCATCCAAGACCAAACTAGCCAATTTTGGTGCCGCTATCCCAGTTCTCGGATCACTGAATATATCAATCAAGCGGCCTGGGGTTCCAACTAGAAGATGGCAGCCTTCATGCTGAATCCTTCGGAGGCCCTCTTGTTTTCTTGTCCCACCGACAGCTGTTTGTACTTGAATAGATGTAAGGCTCACAATTTTCCGTGCTTCTTCGGCAATTTGTTCCGCGAGTTCACGGGTTGGCGAAATAATAAGTGCGAGAATACTTCCTGGGGTCCCACGCGATCTTCTACGGTTATCACGGGGAAACTCCAGTGACGGGTCCAACTTGAGAATATTCTGGATGACAGGAAGAAGGAAAGCAAGCGTTTTGCCTGTGCCTGTTTTCGCTTGAGCAAGTCTATTAAAGTCAACTAAATATTAGTACACTGAGGCTCATTGAAAACATCCTGACTTGCTTACACATCTTTTTTTCTTAGAGTGTGATGGATCGTCTCTGCCTGAATATCGGTCATGTCTGACAGGTGCATGCGACCCGTAATCGCCTTGATAACTTTTGAGCTGACCAGGTTATGGTCGCTCAGTTCAGAGAACTTTGTCAGCTTCTCATTATTTTCTGAGAGAGCCGATGGGCTATCGTTTCCGTCGATTGAGCGAGCAGCTTCGCTGGCATGATTCTGATGGGATCGAGAAACATAAAAAGTCCTAACAGAAAATTGGATGGGCTTTACTAATAAAGTAGTTGGTCGACTAGCTATCGGCGTAAAAGTTGAGCGACGAATGCATGTCCGAAGGTTGCGAACAAGCGCATGGCCTCGAAGAACATTGCCGAGCATTACGGCGGTAGCGAAACAGTAACTGCTACTCAAGACAATATGGGGCACAAAAGAAGGAAGACAAAAATAGAGTCTGGAAGAAGGGACAGATGGGCTAGAAAGTGATGAAAGTCTGAAAATCGCAGATTGAGATTGCAAACCTTTTTTCGACACAAATTTCGAATAGTGGCCCGTGCACAGGGGCGATAACGGACATCACGTGGCGATAGGCTCGAGTTAGTTAACTTCGGTGGCAAGAGAACTTCACTTGAAATTGGTCCAAAAGGGTGTTAATATCTATATACATGTTCCCAGATTCTAGTACAGTGCTGACTTTAAACAGTGCTTCTTACTGCAAGTAATCTCCATCCGTTTCCTTATGAATTAAGTCGAACATCGGTTTGGCGCTAAAGTACCCAGCAAAGGGCGTTCCAACCGATTTATAGGAATAAGCTGCTTCTTCATCTGGGATTTTAATGGTTGTGCCGCCTCGGCCGGCAGCTGCTGCATCGGCCAACAACTGAGCGTGACAACATTTCTCAAGACTGACGAACCAGAATACAGCCTCTTCGATCGTTTTGCCAACTGTCAACAAACCGTGGTTTTGTAGAAGAGCGGCCTTCTTGTTTCCCAAAGCCTTGGCAATATTCTTTCCTTCTTCTGCTGCTAAGACAATTCCGTTGAATTGCTCGTAAACAACGTGATCCTAGCCGACATAGTTAGTGTCAAAAACATTGCCACTGAAATCGATAGAGGCTAGGACATACTTGATAAAATGCACAAGAATCTTGCGTAATGATATCTAACGGCCTCCCAAGTGTGCAAAAAGCGCGCCCGTAAAGACTATGACTATGGGCAGCACATATGACATCTGGCCGAGCCGCGTGGATAGCAGAATGAATTGCGTACGCCGCTGTGTTCAGCAGGCGGACTTCCCCCCCGTCGATTACATTTCCGTCGTGGTCAACTTGTATCAAGTCGGATGCTTTGATCATTGAAAATGCCACCCCGAAGGGGTTAACCCAGAAGGTAGTTGGATCGACGGGATCTCTGATAGTAATATGGCCTGCCACCCCTTCGTCATAGCCGTTTTTACCGAAAATGCGGAATGCGGCAGCGAGTCTTCCCTTAAGATAATCCCGCTCTTTGAGCTTATCTTCGAACTCTGGGGGTTTTGGGAACGATTTTAAGGAGATTTTAGCTGAAGCTTGAGTAACGCCCTGTTTGAAAACACCCACGGCGGAATCTCCCATAGGGTCAGGTGCAGTCACTGTAGTTGTCAAGGTGGCAGCAGGAGGTGGAGGCATTTTTGAGTGATCTAAATTTGTAGTGTTGGCTCAAGAGTTTTATAGCACTTGCAATATCATGGAAAATCAAATGAATAGATCCACACTGCCTTTTAACCGCTTCCTCAAAGCACCCAACGATGCGGGGAAGCTCATCGCCAAAATGCGCCGAGGCATGTCTAACCAGGCCAATGATAGCGCCGGAAATGGTAAGTCGTGTCAGGGCAACACTAGTCACGTGGCAAGTATAGTTAGTGCTCCAGTTTTCCTCCCAATATCTTCGGCAGTCCGAAGGCGAGGTTCTCCCATGTGCCTCGCAACGATGTAATAGAGTAGTGGCAGTCTCCGCCCGTCACACTTTGCTATTATAGCCACTGTATATAGGGCCTGAACAAATAAGAGGTGCACAGATTAATGTTTTGACAACTGCTGTAAAAAATGTGTACTCCTTCGATGGATGACTGGGTATAAGAGCTGGAAGAACCTTCTCTAAGGTTTTTGATTTTAAAAGGCTTCAGACCCCTCAATCTGGCACTGGGAAAATGATGTTCTTCTAACATTGCAAACTACTCCGTATAGGACATAAGATGACATGTGTTGGCAACAAACAGGTCAACGCTTATTTGCTTGTAAACGAGCATTAATAGAGACAAACAACCGGTGAAATTCAGCCCTGAATCTTGAAAGGTATCAAATGCCATTCATGTACTCCGTGGTCCATGTGGAGTTGCCTTTATGAGCATGACACGTTACGGAGTAGAAAAGTTAATGGGAACGAAATAGGTAGTAACAACTCCCTACAAACTAACCAGCAGTATAAATCAAACTGTATGGTTAACATCAGTACTGGTAATTACCAGAAATGTCACCTAATCACCCAGTGACCCTCCTCCCAAGGGCTGTGCAAACCAACTGTATGGCAGTATGGTATCAGGTAATACTGCGTATAGAAGATACCGCCAAGAATTTACTCATACGGCGTAGAAGCTACATGGGCGATCAGAAGCTCCATCGAATAAACCTCAATTCAAGTCGATTCAGAATGGGAAAGCGAGGAAAAAAAGTAAGTTAGCTGCAATTTACTTTGGGAATCGTGACACACAGCTAACGTTTCTCACTACCTTTCAAGTTTGGTGGTAGTAATCGCGGAAGTCGTAAAGATTACGCCGTTATCGAAAAAAAGAACGAAAAATTTGAGCAGTATTATAATGGGCTCGGAATTGTTCCAGAAGAGGAACAGGAGGAACTGTGGGAAGCTTTGCGACGCAACCTTCCCAATAGTTTTCGCTTCACCGGTTCGCGAAAGTACGATCCCACATGTGTGATGTTATGAAAGATGTGCTTATCGATATTTCCTTGCGCGCATTAGACATGCCCTAGCAGTCCAGGAACGCCTCAAAGAGTTTTATATTCCAAACATCGTTTCCATTCGATATGAAGGCGAATTGGTCGAACCGCCTCGCCCCGTTCCGTGGTACCCAGACCAATTGGCTTGGTCCATGACAACTCCAAAGCAAGTTGTGAGACGCTTTCCTCCGTTTGCGTCTTTCCAAAAATTCCTTGTTTCGGAAACTGAAGTCGGAAATATCAGTCGCCAAGAAATTGTTAGCATGATTCCCCCATTGCTTTTGGATGTACGCCCTGGAATGGTCGTACTGGATATGTGTGCCGCCCCAGGAAGCAAATCTGCCCAGTTAATGGAGATGATTCATGCCGGAGAAGAGGAGCAGTTGAAAAAAGTAACAGATAAACTGGAGGCGGATAGCTCTCAGGTGCCATTACCCGGGAAGGTTGATATCCAACAGTTGCTTAATGCGGAGGAGGGCGATGATACTAACAATGCTGCTGTTGGGTTTGAGGATGACGGCAGATCAACTGGATTGCTGATTGCTAATGATAGCGATTCCAAGCGAGCCCACATGTTAATCCATCAAATGAAGCGGCTTAACTCGCCAAATCTTCTGGTAACAAACCACGATGCTACCATGTATCCTTCTATCAAGCTACCACCACTTATTGCGGATCAAACACACAATCGGAACCGGTACCTGAAATTTGATCGCATCCTTGCGGATGTACCTTGCTCAGGTGATGGGACGACGCGCAAAAACATTAACGTTTGGAAAGATTGGAACCCTGCAAATGGTATCGGGTTACATCTAACCCAAAGTAGAATTCTTGTTCGAGCTCTACAAATGCTGAAAGTTGGGGGACGCGTAGTGTATTCTACGTGCAGCATGAACCCCGTTGAAAATGAAGCTGTTGTTGCAACTGCGATTGGCCGCTGTGGTGGCTCAGATAAAGTCGAGATTATTGACTGCAGCAATGATCTGCCTGGCTTGAAGAGGTCCCCAGGTCTGATGTCATGGACAGTTATGGATAAGCAAGGAAGGGTCTGGGATAGCTGGGATGCAGTTGAAAAAGAAACCGCTCTTGGAGATGACACATTAAAACGACTTACCGAGGGAATGTTCCCACCATCTGTCGAAGGTAAACCCGATTTAACAAGATGCATGCGGGTTTACCCCCATCAGCAGGATACGGGCGGTTTTTTCATAACTGTTCTTGAAAAAAAGAGCGAAATTAGGGCAAGGCCTGAAGGTCAAAAGGCGACTCCTGCGATACCTATAGAGGTAGAAAATCCTTCGCCTCAGGATATGGCACCGACCCTCGTCCCTGTCGATACCATCACAGCCCCCTCTGACTGTGGGGAAATCAACCAAAAGGCCGATCTGGTGTCCTCAGCAGAACTTTCTGCTTCCAAGCGAGACTCGGATCACCTTGACGGCGAACCTGAGACCAAGCGCGCTAAAGTGTCAAATGAGCCCGCCACTTTGACAGCGTCAGTAAAAATGAAGCCAATAGAGAACGCCATTTCGCGCCCGCGGAAACAAAGGCCTGGGCAGTCACTTGAGGAACCGTTTAAGTATTTAAACCCTACACTTGAGGAATTTGACACGATCTTCGAGTTCTATAGCCTGTCCTCTCGGTTTCCCAGAGATCGGTTTATGGTCCGAAACGCTGAAGGTCGGCCCACCAAAACGATTTATTACACCACTGCATTAGCACGAGATATTTTGACAGAAAATGAAGGCAGCGGTATGAAATTCGTCCATTGTGGTGTTAAGATGTTTGTAAAGCAAGACGTGCAGCGGCCAGATGTCTGTCCTTGGAGAATCCAAAAAGATGGCCTCTCTCTGCTCGAACCTCTCATTGGAACCAAAAGAACTGTCAAGATATATAAAAAGGCAACACTACATACGTTGCTTGTTGAAATGTTTCCAAAGGTAAACGATGGTGGTTGGAAGAATTTGGGTGAATTAGGAGAGTGGGCGAAAGAGATTGATATGGGATGCTGTGTTCTAAAGCTTGAGCCCACCAGTGGTGAAGACGGATTCCAGTAAGTTTACAGCCCCAGCTTACCGCACTCTTGTTTACATTTCTAATTGTGAATAGTGAACGCATGATCCTTCCTTTGTGGCGAAGCCTTCACTCCCTGAATCTGATGTTGCCTAAAGAGGAACGGCGAGCAATGCTTTTACGACTATTCAATGACGAAACACCCTTGATAAACACCACGCAGAAGAAAGAAGCCGCTACTGCATCAGCAATGGAAAATGGCCTGAAATCTCCAGGAGCTGAAGAATTAAGTGACCGGCCGGAAGACGGTGCTGAAGGTGAGAGGCTACCAATAGGAGGAGATGAGGCGGAATCGTGACTCTAGCCGCGACGGCAGAATTAGTTCGATGCAATTGTCACTATTTGAGAAAAGTGGGATATCACGAAAGCCGCGATCTAGTGCTATGTAACAACCTGTTATAAAATTCATATACACTGTTGAAATGTATAAAAGTGTGATTGCATACCGCTCATCATCAAAGTACTCCATACTCCGTACTCCGTACTGTTGTACTCTTGGCACGGGCACGGGCCTCAACTCCCAGCCACATGATCACCGCATTATGTCATCCCCTGCCATCAATTCCATCAACAACATGTTTTGATTCCGATTTTGCTGCTTCACGTTTGAGACGCGTTTGCCAGTGACGCTCTGACCGTGTGCGTCAACTTTCGAATCGAATAGCTGTTTTTGGGCGAGATACTCGGCTTCTATTTACTATTGTTGCGACCCGCGGCTCGCCCTATTTATGGTTCTGGTATTCCTCTAACCTTGATAATCGAACTCAAAAGGACTTGAATCGCGATAATGCCTGTCATACCGTTCGAATATTTTCAGTCAACCGCCTCCCCGGCTCCTGAGCATGATGGCGCGTCGTCTTCGATTTTTTCGCGTATTCGATTCCCCATCGATTCCTCGATTCTCCGAAGACAAACAACAATGGTGTCCATACCAAGTACTTACGGTGGTCCCACCACGCCAGCCGTGCTTGTCATCGCGGCTGTTCTCGGCACAGTTGGAGGTGTTGCTTTGATTTTGTGCATTCTCTTCTTTACTGTCGGGGGCCAAAGCATAGCACAATATGAGTCGGTAGTCGTATCAGAAACGAGATCGCGACGTACGAGTCGGCGTCGCCCGCCACGACAAGGCGTGCGTGAAGTTGTTGAGCCGATGGAAAGCGTAACTTCAAGGTCATCAGTAACGGAAGAGAATGTTATCGAGGTATACGACGAGGAAAGCGATTCTTATACCGAACCATCTGAGCCACCAAGAAGACCCAGACGCCCAGGTGGATACAGGACCGTACATCCCGATGAATATGCAGGCCGTGACAGACCCATGAGAAAAGTTCGCTGAGGTCTCCATAAATACCTTGCCCTTCTCCTTTTGTTTAGAGAACGCCCCCTCCAAACGACCATTACGCTGAATAGGTTTTCAAAGTGCCATATTCTCGGTATAATTCCGGCTAATTGAGGCTATCTAACTTACTAGAGCTTCCGCTCAATACCCGCTGTGTAGCCACTCGCGTTACACCCATTCCCGATACTCCAGAATGACTACCAAGTATGAGTATCATCTTACCTCTTTTCGGTAGGCATTCACCCTAATAAGCGATTCCTGATTGGAGCTAATCATGCTATTTCTAGGAATTGCAAAATTCTTTGTCAGCAACCTATTCTATTCCGGAGTCAAACCTGACTGCTGTCTTTGGCGCAGCCCATCTTTTGCGATAAAGTGGCCCAGAGCATGCATCAATCGGTATTGCATTGTTGCCCCTACTATCAGACAGCCTATGTACATGGAAAACAGGACATAAATTTCCACTATATCATTATCTTCCATGTGAGCAGTTTTATTAAGTGATACGACCTATTTCAACCAACATATATTTCATTAATTTGTTTTGGGTATAAATTCATGTTAAAAAGAGACAGCATCTGTACAACAGCATTGCTTTTTGGGGCAATGTGTGTTACTATGTTCCATACTCATGGGAAGCCTCTCATTACTAGTAGAAGATGAATTGTCGTGCCCCCATTGACCCAATAGAGCATTTTTATCACAGAATTAAGGCAAAAGTGCAGCCTTATCAGATATCTTTCAGTCAGATGCATGAAGTTTTTGATTGGCTCAAACAAGAATTCGATTATAATTTTTGCAAGCCCGGAGCACTCCCGTGTTACTGTAAATTCCTAAGGCTGTACGGAGTATAGGAAACAGAATCAACATTTAAATACTCAAATAGAATAGTAGCGGGATACCCATCAAGCTCTTAAGACCTTAGAAATAACTCAGCCACTCTTTGGCCAAAACCGTGGCGAAATGTCATCATTGAAGAATGGCTGATACACCGAGTCAATGGATGATTGCTGGATCCAACACCCCAAACAGTTTCTGGACACCCGTTTCCATGTGGGGTCAGAAGGAAAGCTGCAGGGGCCTAGATTACACCATTCAACGTATCTAAGTTCCCCATGGTTATCTGTATCGAATATAGGGTTGTATAGGAGCTGTGCCTCACGATGGCATCTTTCGCAACGCAAGCGAATGCTGCATTCACTAGTTGGGTCTTTCAGGGAATTAAAAACAAGCAATATTCTAGGGAGATATTGGAGATTAAACGGGGATAAGGCTATAAACGCCCTTAGTTTAGAACTTTTGTTGCCTCGTTTGAAGAGTGCCGAAGAATCTATTTTTACAAGCAGCTCGCCACCTTTAATTTTGATACTGAGCCTGCTGATAGTTTCATTGAATCTTTCGGTGCAATATTCTGTTTCGGTAAGAAGACGTATGTCACCGAGTTGATAACGTTTCATGATCTCATGAAGTCTGTGGAAGGACAATTTAATAGAACCATGTACGGAAAATACGCCTGATGCCATTTCACAATTTGATGCGGGAAACACAAATAGGGGATACCAGGATGAAGGATGGTAAGTTGCACATCGGTAGCAGAGGAAACAGCCTGGAAATAAATGTTCGATTCGCCGGAGAAAGTCAAGACGCTCCTCTTTTTCAACGAGGTAAGGTGCCCAATGATCCCGACGTTTGAGTCTCTGGAGGATTTTCGGTCCGTTTAGAAAATCCCATGATGCTGTGCACGTCAGAGCTAGGGATAGCTTGTCTGCTTGGGACAAATCTGAATTAGAAACGATGTAGTAAATAATATCTGTTGGAAAACGAAATAGTAGCGAGTTGTCCGACGACATTGATGTTTCAGTACGACGTTTGAGCAAGCCAAGATAACGAATTGAAATATAGACGGCGAAGGGAAATTGTTACAGGCTGATCATTTTCTCATAGTAACAACACAAATGAACTCGATTTGGATATTTCATGATAGTAGAGAAGTGTGTCTAAGCAAGCTTTTATGTGAAGATTCGTTGCGATCTTTTAGGAGTACTCCGTAGATTTTCCTGGATTGGTATTTTAGCAGAAGATTCAGGTATGAGGGTCGCGACGGTAGATATCATTATGAGAGCTCTAGTATGCCAGAATGCAATCGTTCACTCGGAGCTGTGGGCGTTGAGGTCCAGGCTCGGCAGCGGCAATCGATGATATCATGGCGCTAGGGCTGATGAGGTCATGCACTCGCGCCAGGAATCTATTTTGGGGGCCACATTAGCGTCTCACGTGACTTAACCTTCGAGTAGTCTTGGCGCTGACAAACACACGGCCAACCAGCCACTCAGCACCAGTGTGGCTGTGTGGACTGGCTTACGTACGTACATGCATATAGTGGTTAGCGCTCTACTTCGTATGGAGTATTCTTAACCACATCCACAGCTGAAATTCCACCATCGACACAATAACGCCAGCAACAACGCCGCCCTCAGCGCCCAGCACCTTCCCTACTTTTAAAGGATTGCACCCTTGACGGTCCTCTGAATCTCAAAATCAAACAGCAATGGGGGACAAATACGTAAGTTCCTGCAGTCATGAAACACCTCTTAGAGTCATATTCTCACACGTGCATAGAACGCACCCCCTCCGGCTTATCCTCAGGCTTCTCATCAGCCCGGAAATTACCCTCCTCAGGGAGGAGCCGCACAAGAATTCTACAGTGGCCAGGCGCAGCAGCCCCAATACCCTCCGCAACAGGGTTACTACCCTCCCCAACAGGGCTACCCTCAGCAGCAAATGTACTACGGCCCCCAGGGGGGCCAGCCTCCCGCGCAAGGATATTACGCTGATGACCGAGGAAAGGCGGGCGGCATGGGCTCTGGAATATGTGCGGGTATACTTGGTGCGATGGCATGTTGCTGCTGTCTTGACATTCTTTTCTAAACACGTCGGGCCGCGGCGGTTAGGAAGATTCGATTCAAAATGGTACAAACAGCACAATTTCCCATTTGTTTATTTGGTTCGTGGATGATTTTGGGCGTTTCTCGGTCAATTTCTCCCGGGCCACGGGTACCTGATTGCCTTCGATTTTTCTCTTATGTTGCTCCTTTTGCCAAATCTATGCTGCGAGCATTTAAATGAATGTTGATGCATTATTTTGTTTGATTTTTATCCTTCGCTCTTTTTGTTGTTTGTCTTTTCTTTGTTTCTTTATTTCCTTCAATACTGTGTTAGTTTTACTCTACTGTTGTCATTTTTCGTGGGAAGGCTCAAGGTCTGCTATTCGTTATGCATTGCAACGTGGCTATGGGGAAGATATACTTGTTACATGTTTTGTTCAGATAATATATCTTGTCTTTCTCTTTAGTCTCTTCCTGCTAGTACTTATCAATTCAGATCTTATCATCGCTTTCAACGTCATTATAAACGTCCTACTTCCCTGATCTGCAGGGTTGGGAGGTGGGATGTGTTCCTCTCTCTCTCTGAATAATCGCATGTATCCTTTCGGCAGTTTCCACGAAAGGGGTGTTGCCTATCCTCGTGCCAGAAACCACCACCTCTTTCTTACCATTACCATGCAAAAACACCGTTCCTCCCTGATGTTTGCCTTCTTGAACCAATGCGCCCATTGAGATAGCTACCTCCTCTGGTGTAAGGGGGTCAATAGCACCGTATGCACCATAATTCTCCATGGTTTTCGGTCTATTGTCCCATAGAGGTGTACCAACTATGCTGCAGAACAATGTTAGTATTGCTGAAGCTACAGCTGTGAAAACAAAAAAAGCATAGCACTTTACCCTGGGCAGATGCCAACAACTTTGATACCCTCCAGTTCGTCTGCTAAACTCAGTGATTTGACAAATCCCACGATCGCATGCTTTGTTGCGCAGTACATCGGAACAGCATAAGTACCATATAATCCAGCCACAGAAGCAACCAACAATACCACACCTTTCTTGTTCATGCCGACTAACGCTCGGATCGCAAGACGAGTGAACTTCAATGGGTGCTCAACATTTATAGCCACACTTTGGTAATGGTTTTCTTGCTCTATATCAGACCAGTAATTTGAAAAAGTCTTCAACTTATCAGCACCAGAAAATCGACTTGTTTTATCAAGAAGAGGTATGATAGCTTACTTACGGGCTCAAAAACTCCGGCACAGGGACAGTATACATCTGGCACATCACCAAATTCACGTCGAGCAAAATCAATCAACCCCTGAAGATCGCTCCATTTAGCCACGTCGCACTGTGTAAATAGACACGTTCTCGAGTCTCTACTCTCATCAACAAAGCTTTGTGCTTGTGGTGAGAGCTTCAAGTCACCAATCACCACTCTCGAGCCTTGGGAGTGGCACCTTTTCGCAAAGGCGAGCCCAATGCCTATAGTATACGCACATAAGGTCAGCATTGAAAACCACATGGGCGCAAGGCACGTTTACCTGATCCTCCGCCAGTGATGGCAACAATTTTCCCCTGTAACGGGAAATCACCAAACATGATTTATTGTGGTATACAGTATGAGTAGGCCTAGCTGTTCCTCGTCCTTGCAAGAAACTAATGGGTTTATATAAAAACGTCACAGCCCGAGCCCTGCATCTCGCTTAGTTTATTGGCTTGTTTGCTACGGCTGGATCACGATGTGGCTTAATGCAATTGCAGTATTTATACGAAATGGATGGGTCGGCTCCAATTTCACTCCACCATGAAATGAACAAAAAGTTTGAATGAAGGTGTGCATTCACATCCAGTACGTTTTTACGTAAATTCAACCTCACACAAATCATTTCCATCGTTAAAGCGGAAGTGAAATAACGAAAGAGGACTTGTTAATAAGACAAGAAGAGAACCTCTCAAGTTTCGCAGATAGCAAAAGGCAAAATTCTGGAAAATTGTTCAGGAGAAAAAAAATTAACAAAGAAGGTAACCAGGGCCGTAGTTAATCGAGAGAGGTAGTGGAGTGGATGGCGGCCAATGCTTGCTTTTTTGGAACCAGTGTGGGTAATGCAGCTTTCATTTGACAGTGCAAGTTCAACGATAATGTCTGGGTAGATTCTAGGTTTATTCTTCAAGTTTAGCCTCCTGAAGCTCCTGAGCTGCATCGGCAACAGCATCGTTTTCTTGTCTGAGCTCAGCTTCAGCAGAAACATGGCCATTGACACCAGCATTCTGAAGGGCGGGCTTCTTGGCGTGGTCCGTGGATCCGTTAGTCACGTCATCTTGTTCAAGTTTGGCAAGTTCCTCTTTAGCTTTTTTGATATTCTATGGATGAAGTGGTCAGAATGAAAATGAACCCAAGGATAGGATTATTACTTACTTCTTCGGTTTTAGCGGCTTGGTTCTTCTTCCAATCCTGAAGCTTTTCAACAAGCTTCTCAATCACAGAGGGCACGTCGGATTGGTTCATTGGAGGATCAACCTTGACGCGGGCCAATTCTTCAATCACACCAAAGCTTAGGTTGAATTGCGACTTAGCATCATTGGTAGCCGCCACCTTTCTACCCTTTTTGTTTTTCTTTCCTCCACCACCTATAAAATAGTCGTCATCACGATCCTCCTTGCGGACGACACGGACTCCCTTGATGTCCGAGCTATCGACGGTTCTGCCAATTTCGGCACGGAAACCGCCAGATTGCATCTTCTTTTCATCATCCAGACCAAGCGATGACAAGTCGTAGCTTGGGTCAAAATGACGGATGAGGCCTTGGGCAGTAATAATTTCATCAGTGTACGCGGGGCGGGATGCTTCCTCTAATTTTTTATCGGCAATCTTCTTCTTTCGCTCACGCTCGTACTTTTCACGTTCCGCTCGGTGGCGTTCCCTGCGGTTGCGCTCCATCTCCTGTTCAAACTCTCGATATGCCTTTCGAGCGTGATAGTAGGTATCCTTAATCTCTCTTAGGGAGGTACGGGCCTTCTGTACCTGGCCCTGGAGTTGGCTTCTCTCATCCCGAAGGGACTTGATGTTCTTAAATACGCCATCTTGTTCCGCTTTAATCTCATCCAGCTCCTTCTGGATCGACGTGTATTTCTCGCTGAGAGCCTTTTGCTCAGGGTTATCAAGCCCCTTTTTTAGGCCAGTCAGCTGAGTTTTCAGGTCATCAATGTGCTTCTGGCTCTCTTCAAACCCAGAAAATCCCTTCCGCTGCTTCCGTAGACTCGAGACCTCCGCGAGAGCTTTCCTTTCGTCCACAAGTTTCATCGTCCCAGAATCAACTTCCTTTTCGAGGCGCTGAATTTCCCGGTCGAGGTCCTCAACACTTTTGAACCCAACTCGCCCTCGGGCTGCCTTCTGTTCGGTGATACGAGATTTAATGGAAGAATCGAGTGCATTGATCTTTTCCTGCAAGCTGGTACGGGAAGCTTTGAATCCTTGTTGCTGTTGACGGATAGCTGCGAGCTGGGAACGAAGCTCCTGTTGTTTTTTTGCAACAGGAGAATCTTGGTTATGAGGAGTTGCAAGGTCGATCTTTGATTTCACGGCTTCCTGTATCATAATCAATTTTGTTAGTGATGCTGAATGGGGGCTATTTAAGTCGTAAGCGTTACCAATTGCTGCTGAGCGGATGCAAGCTCTTTCTCAGCCTTTGCCAGATTGATCTTGTATGCATCTTCATTTGGCTTCTCAGGCCGTGCAGTCTTGTCAGACTTCTCTGGCTGCTGAACCGTAGGCTCAGGAGTCTGTATGGGGTTAGCAGTGGCAGCCATGTTGGCGACTAAGCAGCGGAACGACCCTAAGTCAAACAGTTATTCAACGGTTAGCTAGAGAGAGTGAGGTATGCAATACCAGCTACAACTTAGTGGAGCAATTGAATTGCTGGGGGATGGCACAGTAAGGGTCGCCTAAATGTTGCGTTGTTCTTCTTGACTTTTGCATTTTCAACCTGTGAGTGTGTGGTCCGTGCGCACCATCACTAGCCAAACTGAGAGCTGTGAAGGAAACGTTTTTTTCAGGCGACATCAACGCGGCCAGAGCAGTGTGGCTCTATCTTGTTGACTGTTTTCTTCCTCTAAAACTAATCTTGGATTATCCTCATTCGTTTCTTGCTTGTTGCCCTTGAACAGAGCTCCTGGTTGCTCACGCACCAGGCTTCAACTCCCAGCAGCCATGGCAGACGAGGATTTCTCCAAGACATCTGCAGAAGCAGGCCGCGAGATGACACGGTTATGGCGTACATGGAGGACAGTCTTTGAAATGCTTCTAGATCGGGTACGTCGTCACAGCAAGCCGCTACACTGCATGCGAAAGCATTTCTAAACAATCGGGACATATATATAGGGCTATGAAGTTACGGAAGAAGAAGTGAAGATCCCTCTCAACGACTTTCGGACAAAATATTCAGACGCACTGGGGTTCCCTGAGTATGTTTCCACTCTAAAAGAATGGAGAAATCTCCAGTTTGATATCTAACAAGAAATCCAGTCGTAACAAGATGCGCATCAGTGCCCGTCCCTCTCAGACGATGATGGACAAATACACGCCGCTCGCTACAGCCGCCAAACCAAATCCTACCCCCGAATGCGGAACTATCCACGTGGAATTTTGCGCTGATGCTCAAAGTGTAGGCACCAAACAGGTGCGCGCCTTTAATCACTTCATTGACGAGCAAAATTATCATACGGGAATATTTATCACACAATCTCCCATCTCACCCTCGGCCGTGCGCCTGTTGACTGGTATACCGGGACGGTTCTGCGAGCACTTTTTGGAGCAGGAATTATTGGTCAATATCACACACCATGAACTGGTCCCGAAGCACGTACTGCTGAGTGCTGAGGAAAAGAAGAGACTGCTGCTGAGATATCGCCTAAAAGAGTCACAACTACCAAGAATCCAAGTTGGCGACCCGGTAGCCAAGTACTTGGGCCTCAGAAGGGGACAAGTTGTGAAGATTATTCGGAAGAGTGAAACCGCTGGAAGATATGCGAGTTACCGCTGGGTTACTTAGTGTTCGCTATTAACTATAGCAGAGAGTACTAATCCGTGAGTAAAGACGACTATGGGGATGCTGGGAGATTTAGGAATATTATGAGACCAATTTCCGAGTCTCTGTAGAAAAAGAGTATGAATTATTCGGAGCTGGGAAGGTCTACTGTATTCGTTTCATCCAACCCCCATTTCCCTTGAAGATCAATTGGCATGACGGCGTATGGATTGGGCGGTTTATATTATTTTGTTAGGAGTTCCTTTGAGTGAGATCTCATCAAAAGAGTTTTGAATGTGATGATGTGTACTATCAATTGTACTTCAATCAAAAAATAGCTACAGCTTTGTTGCTCTGCCTTTATCCCTCACCACAGCCCCTTTTTTCTCACCTTTTCTTTGCAGGTCTCTTAACACTCTTCTCAAAATCTTGCCACTTGCACTTTTCGGAATCTCATCGGTGAATTCTACTTCCACAAGCCACTTGTGCCTCACCTTCCTCTCTTGGACATATTGGATGAGGTCTTTACCAATCGCCTGAATATTGTTACCCCTTTGTTCAGGTTTTAGTACCACATAAGCCTTGGGCTTTTCGCCAGAATAGTCATCCGATACCGCAAGGACGGCAGCATCCTCAACATGGGGATGGCCCAAGAGCAAATCCTCTAACTCAGCTGGTGCAACACCAATACCTTTAACTTTAATCATTTCCTTGATACGGTCAGTGATAGTAATGAAACCCTCCTCGTCGATCTTGCCCACATCTCCAGTGTGTAACCAGCCATCTTCATCGAATGTTTCGCGTGTAGCCTTAGGGTTGTTCAAGTACCCCATTACTACTTGGGGCCCACGTGCGAGAATTTCTCCTGGCTGATTATGCCCTAGCTCTGCACCCGTATCAGGGTCAATAATCTTTACCTCCGTGTTGGCAACGATAGTTCCGACTCGGAAAGCATACTTGTAACCCATTTTTCCAAGCGGATGCGTCGTGATACAACTGCAAGACTCGGTCATACCATACCCTTGTTTAAATCCTGTTCCGGGGAACATTTTCTCTAGAAGTGATAGGATCTCTGCACTTAAAGGAGCAGCGCCTGATGAGAATCGCTCGACATGTGACAAATCATACTGATTGACAATTGGATCACGAACCATCCGAATTAGAATAGGTGGTACAAGCAGTAGTTCTTTGATTTTAAACGTGGAAACAGCATCAAGCATGGCCTCCATGGTGAAGGACGGTAGCATATAAATTTCAGCATTCAGGAGAATAGGCAAATGAAGTTGGTGGACTAGCCCAGTAACTTCCCTTGAAATCAGTTCTGCTCAGTTTTTGTGGATAGTAGGAGATCCGGCTTACTATGGAACAAAGGTAAAACTGCGAGGATCTTTTTATGTGTCTCAGGAGTTACTTGTTGAACCTGCAGACACTGGGCAATCACATTTTGATGGGAAATCATAACCTAACCCAAGAGATTCATTATTAATCACCAGAACTAATTAACAATAAACAAGAATAGGAGAATATACCGCTTTAGGTAACCCAGTTGTGCCACTGCTGAAGCTCAGAAACCCACAGACGTCTTTATTTTTCTTTCCAGAGAGAATTCTGAATGGATTTGTTTGTCCTTCGGGGCCAAAACTCCTCCCTATATCTAAAAGCTGTTTCATTGTTGTATAGCCTTCTACCTCGCCCTCGAGTAGGAGGATCCTATTTTGTGGGATGCCAGCATTTTTAGCAGCCTCCACAGCTACCTTCATTGACGCCGGCATAGTCATCAAGATTTTGGCCTGGGCTGTTTCGAGAGCATATGTCATTTCTTCCACATTGTATGCCGGAGAAGCGCCAGAGACGACTCCACCTAGAGAAATCAAACGTTATAAGTGAATTGTAACATGTTTGAATTATACTATTAATGAGTCATGGTAAAGGCTAACGAACCTGCTCTGATAGTTCCTAGCATGGCAACTGGATACCATATTGTGTTTTGGCTAAACAGTGCGACTGTTTCGCCCTCTTGTAGGTCGAACATTTTTACCAGAGCGGTGGATAACAAAGTGGTGTACTCCTTCACTTGAGCAAAACTAATCCGCTCCCTCGTTGTGGCATTAGTGTATCCGGCAATCTCAGACCCGGGAAACTTAGATAGCGGACAATAAGGAGAATAGGGATCAAAGAGCCAGTCCCAAACGGTGATATCCGCTGGGACTATAGTAGATATGCATTGTCAGCAGGCCCATAACCATCTCGTGTCACAAAACTAGGCGCCTTACTATCAAGGTGCGGATTCAGGGACTTGAAAACCATTCTTGACTGTAGTGTGGATATTAACTCTGCTAAGAGAAAAAAACTAAATCTGAAGCGAAGCTGATAAAAACCACTGCCAATAATACTGAAATCAGTGTTCAATATCCTGCAACTGTTTTATAGTATATTTCGGGTATAGCAGTTGCTATGAGCCCCGCAAAAGCTTCAACATGGATCTAGCTGTCGGGCTTCGAGTGGAGCGGGGAGCCAATAGCATCGAATAATAACACAAGGGTAAGAGGCACAAATGCAACAGACTTCAGATCATTGGTACGCCATTCCTCAGGTAAAACCATGTTGCACGGCTGTGCGGGCAGTTCCCCTTGGTTGACTGCAAAGAAGGTGGCTCTGTTATTGCTCCCCCTCACGACCAACGTCGGATCTCGGCAGGGCAATTCTTGAGTTATCGGAGTAACGTTTTGGCTCCCGGCAAAGAAATTCAAAAAGCTAGCGGTAGTTTTCGATTTCGATTGAAGGCTAAAAAATAGTATTTCGGTTGATGGACGAGTAAATTGTCTCTCATTGGGTCTTCAGGCGGGTTTATATATAGTGTCATTCATAAACACACAGATATCAAAATCTATTTGATTTCTGATTAAAAAGAGATTTAACCTGTTTGTCCGTTGGTGAGTTGTCTCTGGTATGGAGGGAGATGGAGGATCAACGTTTCCCCACATGTTCCTTTTGTTGACTTCGCACTCCAAAGTGAAAAATCGGCTAAACACCACACCTGACATACGCATATGTATCTGAAAGAATATCGCATATGACACCCCATAGGATGCCTATTTTGAATCATTAATTATACTCCGGGGTGTTTTCCAACAGCCTCGAGCGCCATATTGTTTCCTTCCAATTCTTGAAAAGCAATGCATACACAAAACGCTATATATGTAGCCGACAGCTTGCCATTTCGAAAGCACATTCTTTACAGCATTTCACCTTCAAGAAAACTATGCGCTACGGCAATTAAGTGTGTCTATAGGGGCAGTGCTTTAGACTCCACCCGCAAGAACATAAACTTAATGATGGTATCATAAAGAATTGTGACAAATAACAAAAAATATCTACAGCTACTAGATCTTTGAGGAACGGGCCACGAGCTCTAAGTCTCGATGGGGTATGTCGAGATAATCCCACATAAAATGGAACCGATCGCTCCCAAAGAAAGGCTCGGCATTACCTTTTCCATCATGTACCCAGAACCAAGGACAACCAAATGCTCCAAGCTCTTTAACAGCGTACTCGGTGTTATCAGTAAGGGCTTTCTTAATTTCAGGGTCGTTGCCGCCCTGTACGACCTCCTTTGCCTGCGTATCGTCGAATACCTTTCTTGCTGCAACTAGCAAATTCTCAGGCTTCGAGATATCGAGTTGCCCAGTCCACATCGTCTCAAAACATGACTCGAAGAAGTTCTCGAACTTCTCAGGGTATTGTTTCTTTGCATAAACAAGGCATCGTTGAGGCTTCCATGGCAGTTAATACAAATCCAATGAAGACGGACATGTACTTTGGTCTTGACATACCAGAAGTGAAAGGATTGGGAAGAAAGATGGAATCTGAAAGCTTTTTCCAAAATATCTTTGGGCTCTTGGACCGTCATAATTGGAATATACCGCTTTGGCCGGCAGTGTCCATGGCGGCTTGTTCCCTTACACATGTGTTAAAAGCAAATGCTTCAATGGAACATATCGATCTATCAACGTCCACAGGACTCACCACTGCCCACGTTTATTCCACCTAAGAAAACAGGGATGAACCTTAACAGCTAAGCATCAACACAAGTTCCAAATGGTTATACTGTAAAGTATAGGAAATTTACTCGACGGATACGCCAGACTCAGCTAGCACTTTTTTATTCTGGCGCAGATATGATAAGGCGAAAAAACTGAAGGGTGACACTGAATAGCATTACTACCTGCCTGATACAGCTTTTCCTGGTAGCATAAACTTACCACAGTCAATATAGCATTCAATCTTCTTTTCTGTCATATTTTTGCAATTTTGTCAATCACAGCTAATGGATAACAACTTAGACCATCAAAAAGGAGCAACTTGATGTTAAGTATTTCGGACTTCCTCTGCGTCATTGCGTTTTAACCCTGGTATTTTTAGATTTACATTCCCAAAGTCTTGTCCCTGGTGAAAAGCCGAGGCAATTCTCACTTCCCCACACACGCTTTCGGCCTGCGACCGCTCAACTATAGAGTACGCATTGAGGCTCTGAGCGGCTCGATAATTATTTGTCTTTTCATTTCATGCGAAGCTTAAGACTATACTGACAACATGGCTACAACCGACTCGAGGCCAGTTGCTTTAGTTGTTGGCGCATCTCGCGGCATAGGAAGACAGGTGGCGATAGATTTGGCAAACAATGGGTATAGATGTATTTATGTCTGGCTTTTTAATTCGAAGAAATCCCATTCAAGGCTAATTGATATAAAGTGGTTGTGGCTGCTAAGAGCATATCAACTGTACCGCAAGGATCTCCCTTTCCACCGGACCCAAACTCGTCAGAATCTACAATCACCACCGTACAACGTGAAATTCGAGAAAATGGCGGAGAAGCCAGCGCCATACAAGTCGATGTTAGAGACCCTGCTAGCGTGAAACGCATGGTCGACTCGACTATCGGAATATATGGCCGTTTAGATGTCATTGTTTACAATTCAGGCGCAATATGGTGGGCATCGGTGGAAAATACACCTATGAAACGTTTCTTGCTTATGCAACAGGTGAATGTGGAGGGCCTATATGCCACTGTTCAGGCCGCCATACCGCATTTTCAAAACAATGGCTGGAAGGCTCGTATTATCGTGGTTAGCCCGCCTATATATTCAAGATTTTTTCGAGGAAAAACTGCATATGCAATGGGAAAAGTTGGAATGTCCGTTTTGACTAAAGGACTTGCTATGGATTGGATAAGAGAGGGCAAACAACAAATGGCTATTACAAGCATCTGGCCTGCCGCTGTAAGCCCTCGTATACCCGATTCTATTAGGAGTATGACTTTGATCCCCAATAAACTAGGCAATCCAATCAGCAGCGACTCCAGATCCAAGCTATATACAAGACCTCAGAAAAGCTGTAGGCCTTCCGTCTCGCACTATTCCAAGATGTGGGTGAACTCATCAGGATCGTAGACTATCTTCTCCGATTCGATCTTGGCCATGCTTAGGTCGCCTGCAGAAGAGGTCAACGGCTGCCTCGAGCTAGATGAAGATTTCCTTCGCAAGAAGGGTATTACTGATTTCTCAAAATATAGCGTCGTGCCTGGAGCAAATCCACGCCGGATTATGCCGGCTCAGCTACCAGATTTAAGAGTTGCAGAACATGACGATGAAGGTATGCGTTTGGATAGTACCGAATTGCGCCGAACCTCAAAGATATAGCTCTTCCTGCCAACCAGGATTACGCCAGGGTGGCATTTAGGCGAGGGGTATCTCGGGATCACTAGGGATCGAACAGCAGTAGCCTGTGGGACATTCGTGAAATAAAGAACCACTGATTATAAAAATCAGTTGAAGCAATCTGTTTTCGAGATCTGTTCTCCTATTCAAGTTCCGAGTGGAATGTTGAGCGGATGCAAGGCGAGTCATCCGTCCACATAAATGTGCATCTGGATGTGGATCAACGTCGTTGTGTATGCACATGCATAGTAAGTTACCTATGACGTAACTAGCTGGCGTTCGCGCTTGTTACCATCTGCAGCCCAAAATAGCTGTGCATATTCCGTACGGAGAACATGCAGATGAGCTCGTTAATAATGACAGAATTGAAATGCGGCGGAACGGGACAGTACTGATTGGCTTAGTTAAAGAAGGGGCAGCGTCTGTGGCCTGTGATTGGACCAGTCGCTTTAGTTGCCGTTTGTTTTGTTTGCAAGGTTTGTATGGAACCCGATCGCGAGGCGACGGTGCAAGATATGTACAGAATAATAGGAGTAATAGCGAGATATACTCAGTTGGGTCGATTTCTCAATTATAGTTAAATCCTATTCCAATGTAACTATGCTACCCTCGCGTTGGCGGTGATTACCGAAAATTAGACTCAACTTCCTCAGCCCAAATACGTGCGAGCCAGAAGATCGAAGAAGAGACTTGTTCCTGGTTATGTTCCCGTCTGGAGAAATTATATCAAATTATAGGGAAATTAGAGGTGGGAGTCAGTTTGATAGTGTGGCTTGCACGGGACATGAGAGAGATCTGTAGAAATGGCTGGAAAATTAGGGTGTCGCTACTGTGCCGCACGCAAAATTGCTATCAATTTTCCATTGACGGGGGGGTAAGTCGATGATGGACTCAGCACCTATATTCATGCAGTATGCCTCCCCAACGGCATCCCGGCTGCCATGATGTCAAATTGTTACATGAAGCATGCATTTGATGAATTTATGTACATGGGGCTGAAGACAAGCATTGATGCCTTATGCGCCCCCTGCTGTGGGAGAGCGTTTTGAGCTTTCTACTCCGTACGCTGCAATCCAAAATATGAAGACTTCCTTCACCGGATCTAGACACAAAATGCCATATCATACACACCGGTACGCAGTAGTCACCAGCTCTGAAATTGTTTTGCCTCGCACGGCTCCATTCATTTACATATGGATGCGCCCCACCGGGTATTAGGGTAGATGGCGTCATGCTGGGCATCACCGACGATTTTGCTTTTAGCTACTCCGTATCTGAAGGAGAACGAGCTTCTGGACCATTATTATTATTGTCCAACAAAAGGGCTAGTTGGACGACGGAAGGACGATCTGTGTGTCCCGTAAACTGCAAACGCCCAAGGAACGGGATGCCCCTATTCTATGTATGTGGTTTCGGCTCAGCTGTGCTTGGTTGTCAGGGCTACTCGGAAGACATTAAACCGAACACCTATCGAGCTGGAAATGAATGTAGTTATAGCGTTGGTATCCGAAGTGTTGCCTGCAATCTGCATAGTACGATGCATGGCCTTCTCCTCCATAATATTCCAACGAAGAAAAATCCCCTCTATAAACAATTAGTTAGGTAACCAGTCTTTCATGTTTGGGACATTTTCACGAAGCAACACCTGGTTCACCGGGCAGGCAGACCCAGGCCCTTAGATCTACCGACGACCGAACCCACATCGCCGAGGTGATAGGTCTTTTGGCACCCCCCCCACAGCCCAGCCTTCTGTCCCGTGCGAAGCTAGCAACCCGCAAATTCCTCTCAGATACGGGTACGGAGGGCCCCAACCTCCCCCCACTTGGCAGCTGCCAATTCGATTGCCCACTGCTCCGTACTGCTCAAAGATATTTTGACTCTGTTGTAGGCGAACTCCACACCGCACACAATGTCGAATTTCCGCTGGCGGAAACGGAATCCAAGCTTGGCGGAGATGATAGGGTGGTCTTTTAAGATTGATGCGGAGGATGATAGCTAGAGACTGGTGGAAGAGCTTTGGAATCACGAGTGGATATCCAAAAATTTTTAAAGCATGCAGTAGGAAGGATGTACAGAGTAGTAGTATTCTGTACATATGCAACGAAAGAATCAAGTTTTCTTTAATAATAATATTGATCGCTGTTGCCATGCTGCACGGCGGGCGGGACACTAGGTACATATGGGTGTTGATATGGCGCTGCGTTAGGGCATCCGGTTCAGGCGCACATCACCGAGTTCCCCACGCACCAACCACCACATTCGGTATTTGTCGCATCTCAAGGTGTTTGGACTGGAAGAGCATGTGATGTGGGCGCTAACCCATGCCCGAATGCAAGTTCTGACGGCAACGACGCGCGAATCACTGCTGGTGCTGCGGGTTGGTGGAGCTTGTCAAATGTTGAAGAACAGGCATTATTCTTCGGCACACCAGAGGAGTCCGTGATTCTAGGTAACTAGCCAAGATAGCAGTCGCTCTGCTCTCACGCCTGCGAAACGAATAATTGGGTCTAGTTACATAGTCTGAACCACGCTTGCTTTCTTTAAATTGGGTATCATTAGACTTCTATGTCCAACTATAGGTAAGGTATCTACTTAAGATGATAGAAAAATAAAACAAAAGGGTTATAAAACGCCATGCCATGGGAGCCTCTTAACACCAACGCTCTATCATAGCATCGGCCCAGAAACAAAACTCCTTGATCCAAAACGCCGCCATTAGCCCAGCACCAAGGAGTACAGGGGAATTGTAAAAAAGAATCCATGTCCCTCACAATGTAAGCGGGTATTTCCCATCTCCAAAATGCATGTAGGTACAAGCTCTCTTTGGAGAGCCCCCAAAAGAGCCAATATAAGGCATGAGTATCGACAACGAAGCAAAGGGGCGTAAGATCCGCTTGGTGCGAAAAAAAAGAAAAGGAAGGAAAAATGGATAAATCAGTCAAAAACTCCCCGTAATGATACAGACGACGGAAAATGGAAACCAGGCCTCCAACACCGTCGCCAAAGCCCACATTGTGAGACAAAGTGAATACGTAAACACGTTAAATCGGTCGTACTCTTCGTGCCAGCTGGCCGAATTGAGTAATAATTATTATTGGTAACCAGTGTTTCTGGCTTAGGTAAATAAAGTATTTGCAGCGGGGCCGAGGTTCAAATCTAAGTAGTAGGTGGCCGTGGAGGTGGGTGGTCGTTACGCTCAAGGTCGTTATCTCTCCTCAACAGGCCTCCCAGATCCTGCAGTTCCGGCATATTGTCGGAGTCCGGTGAGCGATTCGGCTCCCGCGCGCTCCATTGGCGGGTGTCAGTGGGGCTAGGCGGGTTTGAAGAAGTGTCAGCGCTGTTGACGCGACCGGCGAAATGGGCGGTGGATGGACGAGAGAAATTTCGCACGTTGTGCGTGGGCGTGCGACTGAGTGAGGACTGAGAGGAGCCGGCGTACGTGGGGGAGGGTGAGATGAGGCCGTTTACGGGGTTAGAGCGGCCGCGTTGGTCGTGGGAGTTCATATAGGGGTGAGATGAGGGTGGGTAGTTGCAGGTCAGGTCTGTGGGCGAGGGAGGGTCGAGGAGGCCGCCAACGTCGTTCAGAGAGACCTTGGACAGCGAGAGATAGGACGGCGGGGGCATGGTGGCGTCTTTCGGAGACGGATGGAAATTGGTTTCTATATACTCGTGAGGATGCACCTTCAGACCACCCAGGCTATCAGAAGCGGACGTACGATCGTCATCGGCAGTAGACTTGGAGAAAGAGAATTGCCAGTTTGGATCGATCGACCCGCGCTTGGCCAGATGGGCGGACGGCAGAGCCATGGGCGCCGGGCGGATCTTCTGGTAGCTGGGGGAGCGCAGTTCGGGGTCCAGGCGGATGCCCAGATCGCCCACCAGGTCGGCGTCGCTGCCCCAATGATGGTGCGTGATAGTCGCGCGGCGCGACGACGACTGCTCGATGCTCTCGCTCAGGGACCCGGCTTTGAATTTTTGCTTTTTCAGCCCGCGGTCTCGAACAAAGGAGCCAATCACGATGGCATTCGAAACAGCCGACGCAGCAAGAATTTCAAGCGAAGCGATCAGAGAGCGGTACTGCTGCGATCCTTGGCGGGATATTACAGACGTAACGCGGTAGCAGGTTATAGCGACCAGGATCAAGGATAGGCCGAAGAGCAGTGTCAGTGAAACTTTGCGCTTGGTCGGCATCGCCGAGAGATAGATAATCGGGATGGGAAAGGCGACCAGCAGCAGATCGGCCATCACGGCACAGGCGCCCATAGTGATCAGCTGAGCATAGCTCTGGCGACACTGGGGCCCAGGATCAGGCACGACCTGCCAGTAATGGTAGAACGGCTGACATTCGGTAAAGATAGCAATCAGGACGGCCAGAAAGGAGAAGGCCAGATAGTAGCGGATGACAAGGAGGACATGTTGAAAGGAGCGTCTCCAGATCTGGGCGATGAGGCGTTTGAAGAACGAAGTGACAGTGAATTTAGCTGTCCAGATGCTGCGATGGAAGCATGTCAGCCAGCCGAGTACAGAACAGAGGAACAAAAAAGGAAGAAAAAAACAAAAGGTTCTTCTGCGAAGGTGGTCTTACAACAACGCATAGAAAATGCGCGCTCCAATCACCATTTTGCTCCCAATCTCCCGACGGTACAGATCTTCATCCGACAGCCCAGTCGTCACAGCATTATTGGTGCCCCAGAGCAGCACGACATGCACGAAGCCCATACGGATCAGCAGCGGCAGGATACTCAACGCCATCACCCAATCTTCCGCGAAGAGTCGTTCGGTGCGGATATATCTGCCGAAGAGCCGCACGAAGATGATGGCCAGGGAGAACCCCGTCGCCCACCAACTCACCAGCAGGGTCGGGTTGGTCTGCATCTTGGTCTGGGCCGCAGGGGCGGAGGAGTAGAAGCGCGCCGCGAGGGTCGTCGCGAAGGCGTCCATGGCCGCTGAACCGCCTCCGCGGAGGGGCCAGGGGGGTAGAAACGGGTATCTTCAGTCCAGCAAGCAGCAGTCACGTAACACGAGTATTCATCATAGACAACATTCGGGTGTCTCCAGCGCTCTTTATGACCGGGCGGATTTAACATCCGGACCGTTTCGTCCTGGTTGGGGGCCCTTCTGAGGGCGATTTTGAGATGAACAAGTGTAGTTATTATTGTCGGCGAGCGAGGCTGAATGGCAAATCCATTAATGACGCTGGGGGGGTTGCAATGCTGAGCGGTATCGGCCGGGTGGAAGGGAGGCGCTGTCGGCCAGCCCCGTGCGAATGTATGTATAGGGAGACGGCGAGGGAACAGGTTCGCGAGCGAGCGACGCAGAAAGATAGAGAGCGAGAGGAAGAAGAAGGCAGGAAGAGAGTGGACGAGGAGTCAGCGGCGGTGGTGGTGGTGACCTTTGACGGGCGGGAAATGTAGCGCACGCAGCCAACAGTCCGGGGCAGAAGATGGAGCGACTCCGTATTTCAACGCCGGGCCAGGGATTGTATTTGAACGTTTTAGAGGTGGAGCAAACATCGGCGTCGATTGGCGGAAATGACAGCGAGGACCATGGGCAATAATAAGGACCATGCCAGCCGTATCATGCTCCCAGCGGCCGTTAGTCGCAGTCAATAATCTGGGGCACGCAGCCACGCTAAAACCTGGAGGATGGGCCGGATGGGACGAAACGCCCGGCTCAGCCGCAGGAGGATGGCGTATGCGCGCTGTTCCTGTGTGGCGTCGCGAGAGGCGCGCAGCGAGCGCGACGAGAGCACAACGAGCGTGATGAAAGCAGAGAAAGCAGAGAACGATAGTAATACGGCGGAGACCGAGCAGACGAGCGAGCGAGCGAGCGAGCGCAGGCCCGTCGCAGTCGAGCGGAGAGGCGGCGGGCGGTCCTCGGGCGGGCGCTGCGAGGCTGTTTAGCCGGTACACACGCCGTACGGTACAGAACAGCCCAGAGCGGCCTAGCGCCAGACACGCCGATCACTGGGGCTCCACTGGCAGCGCGCCGTTGGCCCCTTGGCGGGGGTACGGCGGCGCTGATTGGCCGGCCTGCCAGGACGTCCGGGCAGCCGCGGCGTGTGATTGGCGCCAGGCCACGCGTGCGGGGGCACACGCCAATGCGGTGTCACGGGCGTGTACTGCGCGTACCGCCTGGGCGCCGGCCGCTTACCTAAGTCCACGTGCCACGCGGCGGTGTCCCGGCTGTGCCTGCGGTGCCTGCCCCGTGTACGGGCTGTCCGCCGCCTGCACGGCCGTCTGTTCTGCATATCGCGCTTGGGCCGGCCAGCTCGTTCGCCACCCCCCACGCTCGACACGCTTCGGCGCTGCCCGCGGTGTCTTCTTCCTCGTCTTATTTCTATGCTGATGATGACATATTATTATTACTCTATTTCGCGCTTCTTATCGGCGGTGCCAGTCACGAGCCCCCTCGACCAACCCTGCCCGGCCCAGTTCGCCGCTTGGTTGCTTGTCCCAAACCGCAGAATCAAGAAAAAGATAAAAGACAAAAAGATAACCCGCCCAGCCTCCGCCATTCGATCCCGTCTGGGCTTGCTTATCGCGCCCTCATGATAACAAGCTACCTAGTACTTAAACTTCGACCGTCTCTGCCAGAAACTCGCCGTTCCTGCTGACCGGTGTCTGTGCAGCGAAGCGCGACTCCGATTCACTCTGCTACGCCTACTTAGTACGGAGAACGGATCGAGGAGCTGCCAGACCGGCCCCGCGCCGGTCTCCCCCCCCCAGCATGGAGAACGCCCGCGTTGTCTTGGGCGGCGGACGGTCGGACTGCCTGTGCGCCGCCCAAGGTGACCTGTCGAGCATGTGCTTCCGAGCCCCCGTCATTTAGCTAACTATCTCTCCTCGACGATTCCGGCGTCGCCCAATCGTCTCACACCGCATGAGCATAGCGACGAACACACTGACCGCCAGTCGCAGGTCAAGACGTAACTACGTACTCCTGAGCTGGCCGGGGGGAAGGGAAGCTGCCCGCAGGAAAGGCAAAAAAGAAGCCTTGAGATCCAACACTTAAAAACGCCAAATATTGCCAGGGATCCCCCTTCTCCTCGTTTATAGTGCCTCTTCCCCGTCGAAGTAAATTGAACCCGCCGGGCGCCCGCCAGTCTCACCAGCCAACATAGTAAAGGAGGACAGCGTGACCGGCTGTCTCATCGTCCGTCGAACACGACGACGGCAGCCTTTCTCGGCCACATGCACCGCCTATGTGGACAGACAGAGATACATATCGTACGTGTCTCGATGCCGTGCGCCCGGGATGGCCGCACCACACGACCTTTGCGGCCATTGGGGGCCCCGTATATCACAGTAACTTCGGCGCCACCATATTTATGTCGAACTCCTGGAACGACCTGTTTCTCCCACCCCCCTTTCCTTTTACCTCTCGGCTGCGTTGGAAATCGGCTGACCATTCAGTCGTTTAAAAATTCTCCGTATTCATCCTGTCGATCGCTTCCCTGCTGCTCCATGGACGGCGTCTATTATTCCGTTCAAGAAGGTGGTCTGTTGGGAAGACATGGCGGGCATCAAGCGAGAGGGGCCCGCTAGTCAACAATAGCCTGCACAGAGCGCATGTAACTCTACAAAAACAGCCGGCGTAGCCTTGAGCCTGGGGCGGTCGAGTGTGTGTCAAGTTCAGAGCCTGGGGCTCACTATTTCCTCGCAACAAGAACTGCTCTAGTTGGCGGTCTGGGCTGCGGGCGAACTCAACGACTCCGCACAGATGGAGCGTTGGACGCGCGCTGGCCGCTGCGGGGAAACGATGGAGGAGAAGGATAATTATTATTCTTATTAATATTATTATATTATTATTGTCGCCACTGTCGCGCTGCTGCCGGTTCGCGATGCTGGCGTCGCCACCAGCCAGGTTTCGTTGTTCTGCTGATCTCCCGATTCTCCCACATCGTCGTCGCCTCCGCCAGCCCGCCCATCCCAGCCCAGAGGATCCGGGGAAAGCTCTCGGCCGTGCAGCTGGGCCAGCAGCCACGACGCCGCCCAGATGTTTCAAAAGAAAAGACAGCTCTGCAGGAGAGAGTCTCCTCAAAAGCTCTGCTGCATCCTTCAGGATCGAACTCGTCGCGCATCACCAAGCGCCTTGCGAATTATTCTTATTACACACTGGTTTCGGGGCCTGGCCCGCGCTGGTCAAGCTTGCTCGGCTTTTCAAAAGTCGCAACGCCATTATTATTAATCGCCAGGAGAGCTGGGGGCGTCTCGGCCTGCAAGCCCTGCGTTGGGCGGGCAAGGAAGAGCTGCTTCGAAAAAGACGTGGCCTGACGACGACGACGACGACGCAGCTCAATCCGCCATGGCCTCTTCTCTCTCTGTCGCGCAAATTCCCGGCGTATTTTTATGCTCGACGGGCTGCCCAATCAGCTAACCTCCCCTGCGAACTGAAGCTGAACGTTCGCGTGCGAGCTCAGCCCGTGCGACTCGTGGTCGGACTCGCTTCGTCCCCTGCCACCCCCCGCCCCCGTTGCCATTGGGGGAGGGGAGCTTTGTTCGCAGAGAGGATTCGGCCAACGGCGTAACTCACACTACCAACTAACTCCTGACTATGTATGTATGCTCCGCTTCAGATCCTTACCCGTGCATTTTGGAGTGCCTCGTAAATGTAACTGAGGGAGCTCGAGGAGCCGGGATTCCACTTGCGCGGACGGCACGCGCGAGAGAAAAAAAAAAAAGCTTGATCTGCCGTCTCAAATTTCGTTCTCTTATGAAAGGAAAACCGTCGTGCGAAGTCTGTCGCTTAGCTAGTTATGCAACGTGGCGCATCCCGTTGTTCGACGATGCCGAACAGAGGCGATGCTGCTCTCAAGGTCTGGCCTAGTTAACTAGTTAACTGACTACCTAGCTCTTCGCATGGTCGAGATGCCCTTCATAGCCAAACAAGACGCACACTGGTGATTTCTACGCCTTTTTCAAACAAGGCCCAAGCTCCCGATAATAACTCTTCCCTGCCTGCATCAAGATCGCAAAAAAAAGGGTCCTTTTATGACACTGGCGGCAACTTGAAACCAAAATGCCTGAGATGCGCAGATGAAGGACTCATATTGGCCAAAGCAACCAAGGACCCTGGACACAGGCGACCCCCCTTCCCATGACACCTGCACATCATCACCCATCTTAAGATCTACGATGTGCAATTGTTTTGCAAATCTGCCTTGGAAAAGACTAATAGTGACATGCCTTGCGCGCACAGCTTCATACAAAAGCTTCTCTTATTATATGGCATTACCCCTGGGGGAAGGGTCTTCCCTTCTAGGCGAGTCCGTATTATGCGCTTCCAATGCAAAAGCTCGATTTTTTCATGCAAGCGAGATTTGGAGCTCGCGTCTTACAATTTGGTTGTTCTTGGTTGTGTTTCTAATCTCGTAAATTGCTCGAAAAAACTCAGCGATTTCGGGTTGGCAACCGTCGAGCTCACCTGCACCTTCTCCCCACTGATAATTCGCTTCACGGGCGTCTCGACTTTCTTACCGTTGATTGTCACGGGGATCTCGGGCACTTCAAGGATGAATTTCGGTATGTGTCGTGGTGACAAGCCTCCTCCGATGGCGGAGCGGAGTCGTTGCTCCAGATCACGAGTGAAAGGCTGGCGGTTTCGCATTTTCACAAAAAGGAAAACCACCTCGTCTTTGTCGTGTTCTCGACGTCGGCCAACGCACAGCGTATCCTCTATCTGGGCGTTGAAGACAGGTCCTTCGGATATGTTATAAATTTCTGAGCTGCCGAAACGGATGCCGGACGGGTTGAGGACGCCATCACTGCAAGGGAAAAGGTAAGCTTGTTGAGCCTTGCCGTGCGTGGGATGCTTGCATTTGCGAGTTCTACATGAGTCGCGTACCTTCTCCCGTGCATCGTTATACCACGCGTAATAGGGTTTACGCTGATCCAGTCATGTTGCGCCCAGATGCACATGTGTTCAAATCTTTCAAAGTATGAAGCTTTGTATTTCTTGTTTTCTTTGTCTCCCCATAGGAAAATGGGCATTGATGGGAAAGGAGTTGCGCAGACCAACTCTCCAGACATTCCAGTCTACCCAGGAGCATGTTAGCACCTGAACCAACATAACGCTTATGTTGCGGATGGGGCTTCCTACATCTGTAATATCTTCTCCAGTGTTGGCATCTGCAACATACACATTCATTCCAAGTGCAAATATTTGCATCTCTCCTGCGTAAACAGGACTTGAAAGGTCACATGAAACCCCTACAAGATATCAATGGCTGTTAACAATCTGTTTCGTCTCTTGCTGTTCTCATGCAAGAAGCTACTCACATGATGTGACAATATCCGTCCCCCCGGCTACACTGCTGAGATGGATTTGTGGAAATACCCGATAAAACCATCTGAACTGATCAGACGTCAGCGTCGCCCCGGTTGTTGTCACCAGCCGAAGCGAGCTGAGGTCATAGGCCTCGCGTGGAATTATCTTGGACGCTTCTAGTTCTAAGAAGTACCGCGGCGATGTGCCAAAATATGTTACTCTTGGGTATGTTAGCACGCTTAGCAGCTGGAATTCTTTAGGGCAACACAGACCTAAACTTCTCAATGATTTTCAACATCGTTGTAACATCAGGCCACAAAGGGGAGCCGTCATACAAGAGCAGCGTAGCACCCACTGCGAGGTGGCCGTTCATAATGTTGAACAGCACCCATGATGTACTCGAATACTGAAAGACAATTTCTTGTGGTCCCAATGAGTAATGTAGCAATCCAACCTTCTTTAGCTGAATGATAACACCATGCTGATGCACTAGGCACTTTGGCTGTCCGGTTGTCCCGCTCGAGTACAGAATATACAGGGGGTACGAAAAAGGTACCCGCTTATATACCAGGGCATCTGAGTCGCGAGCCTTTGCAAGAAATTCATCTACCAGAGGGAATGACGAGGTGCTTTGATCTGTGATCGGGATGACGAATGCTTTCATTGTCTGGGACAGTTTCTCAACAACGGCCTTGACCTTCTTGTCTAGAGACGCTTTTTTGCCCTTGTACGACATATCGCTGTCTGCAAACAGGATGGCAGGCTCGATTTGTTGTAGCCTAGTGATACATCCCTATAAGCCGTAGTGTTTCTTTAGCAACCTTTTTCAAATGTGCATAACACTAGGTGTATATATACCGCTTCACCCATATCAGGGGATATTGACGAGAAGATCGCACCCATAGAAGCCGCTGCGAGCATAATCACAATCGACCAGACTGATGTAGACACGATCGCAGCCACCCGGTCACCATCCTTAATCCCATTCCGAACCAACGCGCTTCTGACGGCCCTCACTCTCTCTTTCAGCTGTCTCCATGTCACCAGTTCTCCATTTAAGAAGTCAAACTCCCGCAGCCCAATAAGCGCTACAGCATCAAGATCCTTTCCTTCCAGGACGTTTTCAGCGTAGTTTAGCCGCACATCCTCGAAGAATGGCGGGACGTCGCTGAGCTTCACGCTGTCATCGTAGGCACGGGTTATGTGTGACGGCAGAGCGGGGACTATTCCCACGTATTTATAGAGGTCGACCCAGAAGTCGTGGGGTTTTGTGACGCTCCATCGGTGAAGCTGGTGCGAGTCCTTGAGAGAAAGCCTGAACTTCTGGTTTACGTGCCGGCGATAGTCGTCAATGGGGTGTTTGCCAGCGCGGGGAGATACCCATAGTGGTTTGTTACTCTCCGTGGACATGATTATTGTATCCAGAATTCTAGTAACACTTCTCCATCTACACCGTAGCTAATTCGACTTGGTGTGATAGTCGGCACCTGTACGCCGGGATTGAGCAGCCTGAACGTCTCACCGACCGGTACCGGGACAGCTGTACGGCCCGCCGGTAAATACCTCGGGCTATTTTTCTGGCTCGGGATTGCCAACGCGAAACAAAAGCATCCATTCGCGCCTCCAGATTGGACTAAACACAATTAGGCAGTTATTAACTACCTGTAACTAAAACTAGGTAGCTATAAGGTTGTTCTCCACCTCAATCCCCATTCCCAATTGCTTGACTTCAAAGAAGCAAAGGTTTCCGCCGTATGTTTCACTCACAATTGGAAACCTAGCAATCTTTAGTATGTATCTCAAGAAGGAAGGTGAGAACTCCATGATAAATGGCTACTACTCACGGTTTGCCAAAGCACACAGAGAATGCAGAGCAACAACCCAACCACCAAACCTTCAATGCAAGTTAGCCCTCAGAAATGCATCTCGCAAAAAAAGCAAGGGAATATAATATATCTGACCCTGATACCCTGCCACTGTCTCCTTTGCTCCCCTGAAACATCGGTTCAGACGCCAGTACACCTCACAACGACCGGCACAGCGAGATCCCTCCACAACCAAACACCCGCCGTCCCCAAATCTGCACTCCTGGTGCCGTCTCCTCTTATCTATGGTGAGTTTAACGTCGCCTTTGCAGAAGGATTCGTCGGTCCGCAACTCGCATTTCCTCCAAGGGACCGGCAGGCCTATCGACAGACGCTCGATGATCCAGTTGACTCGTAGTTGCACGGTCGTAGTGACAATGGAGTAGAAATAGCGGTTCGTGTGTTTGAGTGCCAGCGCGTCCGGGTAGGAGAGGTACGAAATAATATGAAGGTGCATTTCTGGAGGAAGATCCATGAAGAGTGTTTGGTCAGCATGTTTGGCCGGTTCACTGGCATGCTTGGTAGCTAAGAGAGACATATGGCTGGGATTTTGGCAAGAAGGGAGATTATGGAGTAAGCGCTCAACTATGATAATATAGGTTGTTGGCTGTCTGTTTTACATAAATATGTATAAATGATGTTGCCTGGGCCAGGCAGGCTAAGAGGGGGAGCCTTGACAAGGCGCTGCGCAGCGGCTTGCTAGCAAGGCTTGTAACAATCATGACTCCTTTCACCTAGCTACTTACTCCGTATGCTAATATGTATGTAATAAATCCCAGAATTATTCACCCTGCCAGAAACTGTCAGTGTGCATGGCTCTACAAAATAATTCAATGTTTCTCGTGGGATCCTTGTCCTGGGCGAAGAAAACTACCAACTTTTGACGCGGTCTCTTAGTAGCAGTCGAAACCAGAGGCGTTGTAATGTTAGTGGCAGGTTGAAAGCAAATACGGATGGGAATTCATTGAGAAAAGATATTCGCGGCCCAGTTTGTGGATTAAAACACCGAGAAGAAGTCTCGAAGTTTATGTATTTGGATTGCACATACATACTCTAGATTCAAGCCAGATCATTTGATTGTAACTCCATAACTCATGCTGGGATGACTGATACATAATGTCGTTCTAGGGAGAATCAGTTTCTTTCTTTGTTTTCCCAAGGATTTAAAGCCACGCCCTGGAACGGCACATTTAAGACCGAATCCCAACTGCCAAAATTGAAGAAAAAAAAACTGGTATAGACTCCATCGATACACAAACTTGGTAGGCGAATCCCAGTTACTCGCAAGCGATTTATGGACGGCATCAAATCTTCTAACATAACTGATCCGAGATTCAATGTTCTTCACAACCGAGAGTCATAATTCTAGATTTAACAGTTGTTCTTTGAAAACATGCACCGAAAAATAAAGCTCGGTTGCCTACTACAGTCATGCAGCCAAAGAACAAGTCTGCTTTCAAGGGTTTCGTCAGAAATGCGCATTTAAATATATTTGCACTTATCTCCGGAATTGGGGATTTGGTTTCGAATCCTGCGAATCCTGCAATATAAAAACAGTATATAGATCGGGAATTTTCCATTTCATAGGGGTAGCATGTATGGAGTGTCATTTTTCGAGTCTGTATCGTATTGTGTTCTACCCTTATCGGAGCAAAACGAGCTTCCCGCAAACAATCAAATAGGTTGTTTCTGGTAAGAAAGGAGTAGGTCTACTCGTAGCCGAATAGGCCGCCTGATCTTTTTAGAGCGGGAAATTTGTTAGTTAAGGTGGAGGGAAGCATGTGGATTGTGAGGTGTCGGATGTGGGCTCAGAAGAATGTCATCGGAGGTGGAACTTGTATGTCAAAATCCTTAATAAAGCTCTGATTTTGTCACATAGTCCAATTGCTCCAGTTCATGCACTTTGTATGTACAGTTCATACTTCGTACACATATATGTGCTACCTTCTTCCCTCGATGTGATAGTTGACTAGGTATCAGACAGACTTGACGACTCGGCTAAAAGGCGTTTTGTTGACACAAGGTTTAGTCCACTCATAAATACTAGCGATGCTGCTTAGTCATCATATCTTAAGCTGTAGCTGTCGATTGAGATGGCGAAATATTGGAGTCTCTCATGCTCACTCTGTCTCGCAACACAATCATGAGTGGCTCCAAGTCCAAAGAATCGGCCTATGGTACCCCTTCCTCCGATACGGCCTTCCGCAAGACCTGGGATCGTGAAGCCTACGCAGAAAAAGCTGCCGCAGAGAAAGCCAAAGCACAGGCAGAGTCCAAAGCCCGTTATGAAGCAAAGCTTTTAGGGAAAAAATACCATGCCCCGGTGGATTTCAGCGCCCTCGAAGCAACCACCTCGCGCGCGCAAAGACTCGATGTCGCATCGCTGGTTGGAAAGACCACGATTGTCCCGGCTGGCGCTGCTGTTGGTAAACGGGGACGCGGCGCGGGTTTCTATTGCTCAGACTGCGATCTTACGTTTAAGGATAATATACAATTGGTGGAGCACTTAAATAGCAAACAGCATTTAATAGCCACAGGCCAGAGTGGTGAGGTGATACGAGCTGGCGTTGAAGACGTCAGGCAGAGATTACGATGGCTGGCGCACAAGCGAAGAATGGATGCAGAGGAAGAGAAGAGGGCCGCTGAACTTGATCTCGGCCAGAGACTTCGTACTAGAGAGGAGGAGGAAGCTAAAGAGAGAGAGGAGAAGAGAAGGAAACGTAACGAAAAACGACGGAAAACGGGCAAAGATGGGGACAATGGAATTAAACAAGAGGACTCCTGGGAAGGACGACTTGGTATTATATCATAAGTGGCTTCAAATAGAGCTGCACCCTGAAGGTGTAGTGTACTACAGCCGTCAAACGAAAGACTCACACTCCATACTACTCCTGGATCACCGCCGCATGAAGGGTTGGATCTCAATCAATGCATTCGACTTCCTCCAGTACTCGCATTGCTCTCCCTCCCTCACTTTCGAAAAGATTTACAAGTCTCTCACACTCATTACGGAGCTTTAATTCTCCTTTTTTAGCATTCCACGCTATCCACTCTTCAACAGTCATGCGTTTTTCAGGGCTGGTCAGATCGCCCTTGGCCGCTTGCAACATCTCCTTAAAATCTACGTTCTCTTTGTTCGCAGAACGAGGTAGTAGAGCGTCACCTAAATCTGCGGGACTCCAGGGATTAGGAGTAGCGGAATAAATTGAGTGGTCAAATGCCCTCCTGGTTGATGTTCCAGGCGTACTTGGCCCTAAAGATCCGGGTGGTGCCCGAGAGACTGATGAGGACGGCACAGCGTGGCGAGCTGAGGGCCCAGAAGAAGGGGGTCGGTTTTCGGCGTCTGAAGCTTGAGGTGATGGGGAAGGAGTGTGGCCCTTGAATGGAGACGGAGATGCGGGGTTAACTAGGCTGGATGCCATTGCTTGACCCCTAGACGTGGCCGATGGTATGCTTGATTTCCTTCGCTGTCCGCCTTCTTCATCCAAAATTCCTGGGCTATTTCCGTATATTGTTTGTTCGGGTCTCAGGCCTGCCTGCGCTTCATCGAAGATAGTGATTTCCTGTTCTCTTACAGCAACTTCGAGATCGATGTGGTTGGGACCTGGAAGTATGGAGCCCAGCCCCATAGTTTCCATTGGAATTTCTTTTGCTTTCTCAAAGCTATCCTTTTTATTCCGGGACTTCCTTTGGCCGCTGCCTGGATTTTGTTTTGGGGATACTATCGATTCGATTGGCAGCTTTTCTTCTTTCCCTGGCGCTTGAAGAGTCGCTGTTTCAGGATCTTCGAGGCCTCTGTGTACTTCATCCGAAAAGCTGGCCTGTCTACCCTGTTCTGTATCATCCAATAGTCCTTCGTTATCTTGACTCTTGGGGAGGCTTTCCTTCGTAATCTTCTTTTTTCCCGGGGCTTTTTTGCGGCTACCTTTTGGGGTTGGCTCTTTGCTATGCCCTTCTGTATCGTTTGAGCGTCTTGTCTTCTTGCTTTTGATTTGTAATGGTTGGCCTTGCTCCAAGATGTCGACGTTTGTTCTTTCAAGGTCAGCTTCCAACTGAGCCTCAATCTCACTATCATCCGGTATTTGCGAGGTCGATGGCGTAGTGGAAGCTGTTGACACACGGCTTGAAGATGTATTTCTTTTCTTCGTCGTTCTACCTTTGGGCTGCCTTTTGGCTGGTTTGGTGGGTGCGTGCAGTTCGTCGTCAGTAATGTCAGGCACGACGACACTCAGAGCAACACTTGCTTTTCGTGACCCCGTGGCCCGTCTTTTGGCTGCTGGTTCTGATATTACAACGCTAGGGGTTGTTATCTCCGTTACTTCATGTTCTGCTATTTCTTCACTCTTTCGCTTTCTTCCCCTCTTCTTGGGTCCGGATTTTTCGACTCTTTCTTCATGGTCATCTACCTCAAGCGTCACCTCATCCTTTTTTGCCTTGGTTTTTCTTGTCGCTTTGCTTCTCTTTGCTGGCATTGGTACGTCGGCCAATGGCTGGGAGCAAGAATCACGCAGTCCTTCACTGTCATCGTCTGCCGTAGACAGCGTGCTAACGGTGGATTGTATTGATATTCGCGATGCAGTTGATGAACGAACGCTCCTGCTGCCGCGTTTGCCTTTCTTCCCAGGTATGGACGCAAAATGGAAGAAGGAGCACTCGGAGGATCGGCGATAATGCTCATCACTATAAATTGCGTCAGAACGGTAGGGGGGGTATTGGTAAGCGTAAAATCGTCTTACAAGGGGTCATCTTTGGGTTCCCAGCCATCCAGCGACAGATTGCAATATGCGCAGCTAACGAAATCGTTGCTTTCTTCGTTCGGGCAAAAATACCACCCGGCTTCGACCATCTAATCCTAAGTGTTAGCTTGCCACACGCTTCAAAAAGAATAGCAAGTTCGACTTCACCTTCTCAGTCTTGCATTTCCATCCTTTTTTGCCATCATACGGCCACCATGTACCAAAAGTTGCTCGTCGGGCTTCAGTAATCTCAATGCTTGTTGGATCCGCAATTTCGGCGGGATTTGAAGAACGTCTCGTTATGTCCATCATCATTGCCCATCCACATTGACTAGAATGTCGCAAATGCTCCGTAATTGGGTCATCGTCGTCCTCCCAGCCATCTAGAGCATATCGACACAGAAAACAAGCGGTATTGTCCGGGCTGATATCCGTTGGCTGATAGTAGAAGCCGGCGTGCGCTAACTGCAAACATATTAATAGTGAGACATTTACTGGTGAAATGGTAAGTACTTCTTCAGGCGAGGGTCTTCTATGGGGCCAGGCAATGGGCTTTGTCTTAACCCCCGAAGTTCTTCCCTTGGATAGTGGCCGGTGGGCCACTCTGAAGCTCTCAAGTCGGGCAGAGATTGTCTCCATCCCCATAGGCTCCATACTTTGATATAGGCCTATTTGGCGATGAGAATTTCAATTCATTTAACTAAAAGCGTGTGGCTCTTTTGCTGAGTGTGTTCTGTTCTTCTGTTTACATCCCGCGGTTTGTTTGGATTTCGCCGGATTAGTTAATACGCGTCGCTGACTAATCCATATGACCGAGCTCCGTCGTTAGTTCGTTATGTAATCAACCTCGAACTCAGTTTGCGGGTTTGAAGATCCCACTCCCGCAGACAAATTTCTTTCGCTGGCACCAGACATTCCATGATCAATATTTTTGGGTGGAGAGAGGCTTGATATCAGAATTTTGAAAGTACAGTGCTCATGTTTGCCATCTCACGATATCTTTGCCGCTCTTGCCAATACTCCCAGTCGTTATGCGACAGCTCTGTGTAAGTGAACGTCAAGCTGTCACGGATATTGGGACTGTTTGTTCTAACATTTACAACCTTCCATTAGACGATAGGACCCAGGCTGGGGGCATTTACAAGATTAAATCCGCATCTTTCATCAGATTTTGCCCGTTTTGACCGCACTGGGTATTTACGCCTGCTATCTACATCTCCGAAAGCCGATCCCGCCAGCCAGAACGATGTGCCTCCTCCGGGATTCAAGTATGCCGCACATCAGAATACGGTACCCAAGCCGGAGCAGGACACAGAGCTGCTCAAACACGCTGTTGATGAGCAGCATACGGTTCCGGACTGGGAGGAAAACCCAGACTTTTCTATATCTACTTTCGCGCAACTGCCATCAAAAGACTTCGGAACAAACCAACACATGATAATAAATCAGGAGTTTAAGGAAGCTTTGCGCCAAATTCTTTGGCAGTTTCGGGCTCCAATTAGGTATGCCTTTGCCTATGGATCAGGTGTTTTTCCACAATCAGGAGCAGCAACAGGAACCAGTTGCCACCCTGCCGCGCCAGCCACGATCCAGAGAATGCAAACAGGTGGGGGAAAGATGATAGATTTCATTTTTGGAGTCTCTTATAGTCAGCATTGGCACTCGCTCAATTTAAACCAGCACCGTAATCACTATTCCGCCCTTGGATCTCTAGGGTCTTATATGGTTTCCCAAGTTCAGGAGCAATGGGGTGCAGGGGTCTATTTCAACCCATATGTGACAGTCAATGGAACTCTGATAAAATACGGAGTTGTCAATATTGACACGCTATGCAAAGACCTCAGTGAGTGGGACACTCTGTACTTGGCCGGGCGACTTCAAAAGCCCGTGAAGATCCTACGCGATCACCCAAAGGTTCGACTGGCGAACCAGATGAATCTTTTATCTGCTGTCCGTGTTGCTCTCCTTCTTCTTCCGCCTGATTTCACTGAATCTCAGCTTTACAGCACCATTGCTGGAATCAGTTATAGGGGGGATCCACGGATGACGTTTGGCTCGGAAGACCCGAAGAAGATTACCAACATTGTTTCGGGACAAATGGCAAATTTCCGCCGGCTATATGCGCCCTTGATAGATACTCTACCCAATGTTTCGTTCAACGATCATTCTTGCCATGACCCTGACTGGATGAATGACCCAGAAGCCAATGTTCGACTCGCACAGGACATGGACCCGGTCAAACGTGGGAACATGGTCCGCAGATTACCAAAATCGTTTAGAGAGAAGTTATATTTCCAGTACCAATCGCGATTTCAGATTCCCCGAGCCGAATTCAATAGTATGATGGAGCAAAGTACAGACGAAGATTCAGTACGCTTTCACCGCAGGCAGGGCACAACTTTTGACCGAAGGATTGCGGCAGAGGAGCATTTAGAAGAGGAAGTAAGTAAATCTATTAAACAAACCGTCTCCTGGCCAAGTACGAGCCAGAGTTTGAAAGGAATCGTCACGGTTGGTTTCCGAAAGTCGCTTCGATATCTTCAAGAAAAGAGGGCCAAATACGCCCAGTCGAAAAGCAGATCTTCCACCGCCGGTGGGGACTCGAACGAAAAACCTAAGGAGTAGTAGTGGCTTCTCGTCATATTCGGAAATTCTTATCGCATTGATACTCGGAGGGCGGATATGGCTACGGCCTAGCTCATAAGCATTTTTCGGCGTTTTTGGGGATTGAATAAATAGGCTGGTTAGACAGCGTAACCTCTGGTTTTTGTATATAAATATTGATCCTATATATAAAAAATATACATTATAGGAGCTATCGATATCATTTAAGACATTTCTTCAACCAACCAGGCCCGACGATCAAGGCAATGCCCTCACGTTAAATAAACCCATTGATTCTCTTCCTTTATTCATCAGTATCCTGAAATGAGCTCCGGGATTGTCCGCAATGTAGACCTTCGCTAGTGACATCTAGAATCGTTCACCATTCACTCTGCAAGTAACGATCAACCACCAGCCCCGGCGGGCTGTCTGCGTCTCCGTATATGGAAGTGTTGGGATGCGGCGCTAACCACATAAGTTTAGTTTTCTTTCTTGACATCTTTTCGGACTTAGCACAGCCCCTTTTCTGAGCTCGCCTCCCATATATTGGGCAGACGAGCCTCCGTCCTAGTTAGCTAGTCATCTGATATGCATATATGCTCTCTAGATCATCTTCAATGAGTGCATCACTCATTTTCTTAACCTGCCCGACCAAATTCGTGTATTTGGCAAAAGCTCTCTTATGTCCTTTCGCTAGCCTTTCCGCTACCTCATAATTCTCAGGGGCAACTCTCTTAGTTCTTTGGCCAGTTACCGAGTCCGTGTCCAGAATGCTCTTCACTCTTTGACCTCGCATCTCTCGCCTCCTTATAGTTTTGCTGGCAGAATGCATAATGGCCTTTGTAAGCTCGTTGCTGACTTGTGCCTCCTTCAAATCGTTGCTTTCTTCCAGCACTGTGCAGAAGCGCAACAGGTCCTTGGTTGGTAGCCATCGCTGATATTCATTGGGAAATCGCTCATTGCGATCATACAAAAGTTCTATGATAGAGTTAATTACTGCTATCATGATATTTGTCTCAGTATCGCTCTCGGCTGGGAACAGCAGATGGACGTCACAGATATCGTCATACAGGAGCTTTTTGAGATCGTCAAGCTTCCCCTCTCGAATGAAAGTTATCAAATTGGTATGCACCAATTCATTGTACATTGAATAGTGTTTGATTATCTCCAGCATATTTTCCATACTAAAGCCCACTCTGTCACAGGTTTTCTTGATCATCCAATGGGTTGGACAGTCCAGTGCAATTGTTTTTGCCTGCTTATGATATCTGTACCTCCGCCCCCATTGATCCCATACTGATGATTCGGACTTAATGTTTTGAGCTATTTCTGTCCAGTATTTTTTGGATAGAGACTCTCTGCCGCTGACCTTATGTTCATCCACCAGTACTTTCAACTGACAGCAAGTTTCTTCAAACAAATCACCATATCTTGCATAGAAGTTGCTTCTCTTCAGTGCGAGAATCTGATCCTGAAGCTTCTCTGCACTGTCAGTTCCAGTCATTCTAAGCCATTTTCGATATTGCATGGCACAGTCAATACAAGAAACAGTCATTCTCCATTCCTCTTGAGCCTCTTTGAACCATGGGGCATGTTCTTTGTACCACTCTCTTTCCTCCATTTCTATTAGGGACTTGCATGCTTTCTTGTAAATTGCCAGTGATTTGGCGGCAACTGGTGATATCCTCTGATGGTGATTTTGCAGAACATCATCTGCATATGCCAGCCGCTTCTTTAAAGCGTTGCCCCGATATTGCTCTATTTCTAAGGGCACTGGAAGGTTCGGATGCTTTACGGACAGCTTTTGGGGGCCCCTTTGCTTTGGCATTATGATTGGCAAAGGGTCTCCTCCAGTAGATCTTCGGCCTTGATCTGGAGCCTTTACTTTATCCTTCCCTTCATACGTGACCATTTGTTCTTCATTCCGAAGGACGTGTAAGTATTGTTCTTGCTGAGCTGGCAGGTTCTGCGCAGCCTGTGCATACCCATATTCGGTTACCGAAACCCCTGGGACAAAGACCAGTGCTGAGGGGTTGAACCTAGGATTTGTTAAAGGTATGCTCCCTTCTAACGATTGGTATTTCTTGTGGGGGGGCTGCTGCTCGTAACCATACCGTGACTGCTGACCAGAAGGGAGGCCGCCGAATAGTCCCTCATTGGGCTCACAGGGGACGTTTCTCGGGCCATGGTAGGGAAGTTGAGTCTCCAGTGACCCGGATTGCCCCCGTTTATGGCCAGACTTATCGGTTGACATGCTAATATAGTGTGATTTGTCTCTTTACCTGAAAATAAATTCAATAAAAGCAATGAGAATATGGGTGGACAAGTGATGAAGAAAGAAAGAAAGAAAGAAAGAAAGGGAATATATAGCTATTAAGCTATGGAAAGTTTCTTGCCCGGAATATGCCTACTCATTACGCCATCAGTGAGTCACCAAGGAAGTTTGGAACTTCTTGCTATGTAAGATTGTTTTCTTTAGGTTGGCTTGTCGGCAAATACCTGACAGCAGCGCATACAAACAGACAGATGCCGCAAATAGCAGGGATTCTCCAGGGCGCCTGGGTTATCCCTATACTGGAAGCTAAGCCGTATTTATTCTTCAAGCGCGGCAGGCAACCGTCACCGAGGCCACACCGTAAATATGGCTCCCTCAAAGTCTAACTACCCGCATTACCATGGTTCACCAGCGACACTGATGCCAATTTGTGGTTTTGCATTGCGCATTTAAATCTTGCTTACATTTTACCCCGGGTAGCAGTTTTGTTATATTGATATTTCCCATGAAAATCAAACTCCAAGCAGACTCACCTAATAAAACCTCACTTGCACAGTGCGCAAAACTCGTAAATAGCTGCTTGCTGTAAGGCATGTCCATGGTGTTGCAGCTCTCCTGGAGCGATCCAACGCATATCACACTCCAGTGCTTCCTATTGTTGCAGCGTTTAACGTAAGAAGGGCTAGCATCCATCTGCCTTTTCCAGGGACAGTCATGTAGCGATAGCAACGTCAAATCTACCATGAATTTTCTGTAGGCTACTCTGCTGGTTAGTGACACATATACTCAGTGCAGCTAACTATACGGTTCGTAGTGCCCGTTGGCGCTGTTGATGAATTTCACGCTAGTTAGTTAGTTAACTACATATGTACATAAATCCGGCGAAAAAGCTCGGTTTTCTATGACTCAATAGTACTTCAATAGTATTCTAAGCTATCAACATGGCACAAGGGGGCCCATTTGATCTAACTAAGTGTGCCAGACCGAATATCTTGCAATTGGAGCCCTATAGATGTGCAAGGGAGTGAGATATGCCCCGCAATGTGTGAAGCTGAGCCCGCTGACAAGGGATAGTGACTATAAGGACGATGGAACAAATATCCTTCTCGACGCAAATGAGAACGCTTATGGCCCAGGCCTAGCTATCAAGAGTGATGGAAAACTCGAGGGCGTCACTACAAATAAAAATGCTCCAGAGCTCAACTTTCTTGGTCTTCATCGCTACCCTGACCCGTGAGTACCTTCCAACACTTTCTCCTCGTCCTGTTGAAGGACTGACAGTACTTGCACTTTGGTTTTAGACATCAATTTGATTTAAAAAAGCGACTTTGCAATCTTCGAAACGCGCATATTCATACCCAAAAAGACATAAACCCCTCGAATCTTTTTGTTGGAGTCGGCTCCGACGAAGCCATTGACGCCCTATTACGATGTTTCTGCACGCCAGGAAAAGATAAAATCCTCACTTGTCCCCCAACATACGGAATGTACGCGGTCAGTGCACAGGTAAATGATATCGGGATCGTCAAGGTCCCTTTGGATGTTGAAAACGCCTTTCAGTTGCGTCCTGACGCAATTAATGCCGTCCTTGCAGAAGAAAAGGATATCAAGTTGGTCTATATCTGTTCCCCAGGAAACCCCACGGCAAATTTAATAAAGAAAGACGATATACGAAAAGTGCTTGAGCACCCCACATGGAATGGGGTTGTCGTTGTCGACGAAGCATATATAGATTTCGCTCCCGAAGGGTCAAGTCTAGCAGAATGGGTAGCAGAGTGGCCTAATTTGGTCGTCATGCAGACTTTAAGCAAAGCCTTTGGCCTAGCTGGGATTCGATTGGGAGTAGCATTTACTTCCCCCGAAATTGCAAGGCTATTAAACAGTCTCAAGGCACCATATAATATCTCTAGCCCTACTAGTGCGCTCGCCCAAGCTGCCTTAGCGCCGGAGAATCTTGCGGTTATGCGAAGCAATAGAGAGAAAATACTGGTTCAGCGCAATAGGCTGTTGGAAGAGTTGCCCAAGATCCCTGGCGTGGGCAGATTTCTTGGTGGCAACGATTCAAACTACTTGCTCGTGGAGATTTTAGACAAACCTGCCCAACAACATGGTGCTCCTTGCAATAAAGCCGCTCTTTCTGCATATCAATCTCTTGCAGAAAGTAAAGGTGTTGTGGTCCGGTTCAGGGGTAAAGAGCACGGGTGTGAAGGATGCTTAAGAATTACGGTAGGAACTGAGGCCGAAGTATCTAGGTTTTTACTTGAATTGGAGACTGTACTGAAGACTTTTTATGCTACCAGGTCTTAATGGAATTAATAATATTGAATAGATATAGACCATTGAACAAACGTTCGTTGCACTAGGCACCCTTTAAGACTTAAAGCCAAAGATAATTGTACACCAATATCGCAAAAGGTTCAAAGAGCACAAAAATCCTTAATACCGCTTCATTGTAACGCCATTCCAAGTCCAGGGTATCACGCTTATGAAGATCCAATAGACCACCCTTGTCGCCGTTGTTGTAGCGCGGAAGAAAGAATTAAACCACCATGAAACTCCAGGTTTGATGCCGAATACCAATAGCACAATTTAGATCTAGAAGAAAAATATTAATCCACGGCTCCCGTTACAAGAAAATGAGAAAAGGGGGGCTTACAAGTATCAGCGATGTGCGAACAGGGGCACGTCCACCATGTAATAACATAGCGGAGGATTTATTGGAGGTAGCTTGGAGCTTGCGAAATGCTTCGTGGACATGTCTCGGCTCGATAGGTGTTCTACCTTCCTCTGGAGGATCAAAAAGTCCTGTTTCCCGCTTGCGTTTCTTGCTCTTCTCTCCTCCGTCTTCGGCACCTCCACGGCCTTTTTTGCCACGGTCTTCCTGCTCCTTAACTTTCAGCGCTTCTTCCGTAATAGTTTGAACAATTTCAAAAGTGAGAAATCCAAGAATATCAACGATATCGTCATTTGGTTTGAAGTCTGTCACAACGCCAAAGCCAGCCCATTCGCGAAAACGCTTCGCTTTACGGAATGTGAAGGATGCCTGTCGGCAATCGGACCAAAAAACGTACTCTTCACGCGTCATATTCTTAGTACGTTCATCGGCATTGGCAAGACGCTGAAGAGTTGCATAATTCTGTTCCTCTTCCTCCTCATCTTCCTCATCCTCGCGTTCAGGCACCTGAACAGAATAAAGACTGTTGAGATCCCAGGGAAGTCCAATTTTGGCGCGTTTAGTCTTTGGTTTAGCGGCAACATCTTGAGCAGCACCAGCAAGCGGGTCATCTCCAGCACCGAAATCACCAGCGTCAGCGCCTCCCTTGTCATCGGAATCCTTCACGTTCTTGCGGACGTCTTTCCAGGAGAGGAAAGTTTTTAATCGCGAAACCTTTGCTTTATCGTGGCGTATGAGGAAGAAGAGATCATCTGTGGATATAGATCGAACACCACGACGAGTAGCAAGAATTGTGCTTCGAGTAAGCTGCTCTAGGTTAGCCGAGACAAATGAAACTTGCATTCATGACCCACCATTGCGATGACTTGTTGGCGAACAATCTCTTCAATCAAAGTGGTGGTCTCTACGGAGGGTTCTGCGGTTTCTCCAGAGACAAACATCATCTTTCCAACTATGTTAGCCATGAACTCCTTGTCTGACACAAAACCATCCATCTCGTAGTCTTGGTCCATTATGCCTGATTCAGTTCAAGAAAGGTTTGAAAGCTAGTAGAATGAGAGCAAAAGTCTGCAAGCCAAATATTGGTTTCTTGTAGGGCAAACGAGCAGCCATGCAATACAGGGAGTGACAGATTAGGAAATTGGGAAAGACATGAGAAGCTTCACAGAGTGAATATTCAGCAAATAATAAGGACGGGAGATGCCGTGTGCTATCCCATAACAGAGGTGCAATCATATTAGGGGCATCACCTTGCTCTGCTTACAAACAAGGCAATGCAAGACATATATTTGAGACGAAAGCCCAAAAATCAAGAAATAACATGCTGACCTGTTTATAAATGCCTAGAAGCACATATGGTAGTTATAAAATAAAATAAAAACACAGAAGAGGTATAAGAAGCTGCTAGCAGTCCATACGGATGTGTCTGAAGCCGTATGCAAATGCGTATCTTCTCTTTCAGATATCAACAGGAACTTGGTGTAGAGGACCAACGTCTAGGCACAATAACAAAGAGCTCAAAACTACAAGATAGAGGTGGACTGGGCTTCATGAAGGAGATGGGAGCTGGCATACCTGCTGGATCTCCTGCCGATATTTGGGGCTGGATCTTTCTGCCATGGTTGCAACAGGGGTGCAACAGACAGCCGGTTAAGAATCTTACTGACTTGATGAGAGACAGAGAAAACTTGAAGGGGAGAAAAGGATCTTTGAGCGTGTGAATAGGCCGTATGCCTTCAGGAGATGTCGGCCACGGCGGTTGCGATGCGACCTTATCCGGTGGCCGGCAAGGCGGATCATTTATTTTCCTTGCCGACCTCCCCGCCAGCGGGGCTTTCATGACGCCAAAAATACACAGCTTTTTGTTTTCTTGCAGTTCGTTGCGGATGTATTGATAAGGTTTTTTTTATTCGATTGTTTATTCTCCTTCCACAATGCTTTACTTGGTGGGCCTTGGGCTCGCCGACGAAACGGATATCACTATAAAAGGGCTGGACGTAGTGAAAAAGGCTGAGCGAGTGTACTTAGAGGCATATACTAGCATACTCCTCATTAATAAGGAAAAATTGGTGAGCTACGCAAACAAATATCTCTCCTTTGAAGGCTAAAATTTGGCTCTTAAGGAGGCTTTTTACGGCAGGCCCGTGATAGTAGCGGATCGCGAAACTGTTGAGACTGGGAGTGATGATATCTTGGCTGGGGCAGACAAAGTGGACGTTGCGTTTCTAGTCGTCGGCGACCCCTTCGGGTAAGCTATTTCTGTATTGGCTTCAGAACCCTCGAGCGCTCAGACTTCTCCAGTGCAACGACACACACCGATCTCGTCCTACGTGCTCGGGAGCTCGGCATCCCAACAAGAACCATACCTAATGCGTCGATTATGTCTGCAATTGGCTGTGCTGGTTTACAGTTATACAACTTCGGACAGACCGTGAGCATGGTGTTTTTCACCGAGACCTGGAAGCCTTCGTCATTCTATGATCGGATTAAGGAAAATGCTCAAGTAGGCCTTCACACGCTTGTGTTGCTTGATATCAAAGTGAAGGAGCAATCACTAGAGAACATGGCTCGAGGTCGAAAAATCTACGAGCCTCCTCGGTACATGACCGTAGCTCAATGCGCCAGCCAAATGCTTGAAATAGAAGAGGAGCGGCAGGAGGGAGTATATAGTCCCGATAGCCTCGCAGTCGGCGCCGCCCGAGTGGGCGCTGAAAACCAAAAATTAGCAGCGGGTACCCTTAGAGAACTGACGGAGCTAGACATGGGCGAACCGCTGCATTGTCTAATCCTACTTGGCAAACGGACCCATGATTTGGAGAGAGATTTCATTCGGGATTATGCTGTTGATAAGGCTTCATTTGACAGTGCTTGGAACAATAGACAAGAAACGAAAACATAACGTATCCATCTCGCGACCTTGACCCTCACACAGGCATCACCGCAACAACCTTGCCACTCTTCCTGGCCATATAACTAATCACATGACATGTCACCTTTAAGGTTGCTCGACTCCGCAACTCCGTATCGGCTGCCGCGTGTATCTCATTATCGCCCGCGTCGATGATTTGCAGAGTTTGGGATCAATCGTTCGGGCTTCCTCCGTATCGCTCCCTTGCATCAGAGGCCTACTTACGCTCAGTGTAGGGGTCTATACGACGTTAACTTGGCATGCTACTGATGATTTGACAACAGCCCAGTCCTACTCCGTACTATTATACCTAGAGACCCTCTACATACCTACCGTCCCCACAATAATAATACTACTCATGGTTGTTTACGTTCTCCACGGGTTTCGCTGGCCGCGAGTCGGCACCTTCAATGCACCCGGAATCCGTGCGCACATCGTTTCCTACAACCTCCTCGACGCGGCGGCCGAATATCTCCAAGAACCCGGCACTTCGCGTGCGATCCTCCAATCATTCAAACGCATTGACCCCAATATACCCTACCACCTGCCCGGGCTGCAGCTAATCGAGCAATACGACCCCAGCGATCTGAGTGATGCTGCGCTTAGTCAACCATACGTATTTGTTGCCGCCAAGGTGATCACAATGCCCGACGAGGAACAGCCCGGCCGCCTGTTGAGCTTGAATATCAGCGAGATGATCGACAAGGGACCGGAGCTTTCGCCGGGGGGGCCAGAAGCACTGAGGCGGCTCAGAGATTTCTTGGCTCCAGAAGAGAAAATCGGGTGGTGGGTTGTGTATAATGGAGACCCGGAGAGGCCGTACCCCAAAACGTCTGGTGATGACGATGATGATGATGATGATGAAGATGGGTCAGAAAATGTAGAGAAAGAGGTGGATGGCGAAGAGGAAACGTCTGGAGAAGAGGCCACATGAATTTAGAACACATGCAATTCCGAAGAGGTCTTGCAATCAAGCCGCAGGGCAAAGTCAACACTAAAAATATGAGGGCTAATCTCATCATCACAGAGGTGGAATCGCCAATTGAACATATCACTGCCATCCATGGACTAAATTTGGCATTTCGGGTTTGCATTTGCTGGTGCATGAAGGGCTAACGGGGATCATGCGATCTGTCCGCGAGAGTAAGTCACATTTGGATAGTGTCCATAGCTAGATATATATGTGTATGGAGTATAGGACAAAATAACGAGGCTCCCTAGGCTTTTATTCCTCGTATACTTGGTAAATTTCCCCCCAGTGGTCGTTCTCTCGAACCTATCCGGGCTGGAGAATGCTGTGATTGGTTGTGTTGGAAAGCGGTGGAAGCTGCGCTTGTGGCAGAATCACGTCCCGAAGAGCAACAGTAAGGCCACACACTCTACGCGGTACTCCTCTAGCACTTGGTCGTCGCGCTCCGAGAAGAGAGAGTGTTTGAGATTTATTGCAACCTCGAAAAGGGAGGACCTACTATTGCCATGGTGCTCTCTTTTATTCTTGTTCAGAATCGCCAGTAAGCTCACTCCCACCGCAACACCACAGGATACCATCTAATATGCAATCAGGGGCAAGACTCGTCTCGCCAAGTGGTATGCGCCGTATTCAGTACGTCTCATAGTTATTGACTGGCTTAGAATGGAGGGGAGAAGTACTAATTGATCATCAGGATGATGAAAAAGTGAGACTCAAAGGCGAGGTACGATTGTCACCCCTTCAGCCGCGGTCCTGTTGCATCACAGACTACCCTTCCGGATACTACTTTAAGCCCCTTTGTCTTAAAAGCCTCTCACATGGTTGGATACTCGATGCTTATAAGTCTCTGACTATAGGTTCACCGCCTTATCGCGCCCCGAGACCAGAAATACCAATCCAACTTCGTCGAGTTCCGGCGCAGCACGAAAATTGTGTACCGTCGCTATGCGGGACTGTTCTTTTGCGCGTGCGTTGACGCGAATGATAACGAGCTGGCGTATTTAGAAGCTCTCCACTTCTTTGTGGAGGTGCTGGATCAGTTTTTTGGGAATGTGTGCGAGCTGGATCTGGTGTTCAACTTCTACAAGGTTAGGGGACGGGCTCTTGCGGATGCACAGGGCATGTAGGCTAACGAAGACTGGGGCTTAGGTTTATGCGATTCTCGACGAGGTGTTCCTAGCCGGGGAGATTGAGGAGACCAGTAAACAAGTGGTTTTGACGAGGTTGGAACATCTAGACAAACTTGAGTGATGGATGGTGCGACTCGATTCTATTAAATCAATGCCGAAGCCCGCTGAGCGATTGATAGCCAGGGAGGACCAGGCTTCAGGGCGCATAATGATGTGGTGACTTCCAGGGAAAGCCGAACCCCAGAGTTCCTATCCCCTAGATTGCACACGCAAAAGGGTTGGCCTTCGAGTGTCAGGCAAGAGGCAGCAACACGGATCCACCAGACGCTCTTTGCAAGCGATACTTGTGCTACTCCCTCCGCCAGAGAAACACATTGTGTGTGCACGGTATTTGGATGCGGACTTGTCTTCGTACCACTGGTGGCACCTCTGGGCATGATGCTTGTCACGGAGCATCGACCAGACGCGGCTAGAGGGCAGCAAGTAAGCAAAGCGGATAGTTGGGATTGACGCTTGTAGTTAGTTAGGCATATCCGGAGGACACATATAGAGAGCATATGATCAGCATCTATGCCGGCATCAGACCCGCAATCGCTAACCGCCACACACGCACAGCGCTGCCTGTTTGTTTGTCTGTATGTCGTGGGGAGCGTCTGCACGAACCTCTAGCTGGCCGGCTGTTGCGCATCGCAGCAGCTAGCCGAGACCGCCCCAAGCCGATTCGCCCGGCCGCAGGCAATGCGAGGGATGGTTGAACGGGCGTCCCCGCGAGGCTGCCCAAGCTGCCAATGCTGGGGCTGCAGCGGGCGGTCAGAGGCCGCCAATCCTCCTCGCCAACCAACGGGTTCACTATAGTTTAACGAACTATATTTATCCTCGCCATCCCTGCGCCGACGACACGGGCACGGCCGACTTGCCGTCGAAATCGGAGTGTGCCAAGGGCGAGTGCAGGTGTCGAGCTTGCATTGCGTTCTTCGTCCGTGGAGTGTATCAGAGAACTCGCTCAGTACCTAGTGGGGATGCACACGTCCATGCTCCGGTTATGTACTGCAGCGCTGCCTCTCCGACGCCGGTCGTATTGAGTGCTGCTGTCGCTCGGTTAACTAGCTGGCCCGCCATGTGTCGCATCCCTGCTGCCCGCAAATCACAAAAATAGCCCCCGCCCCGTGGAGCTGCATCACTCCAAGCCACGCCGGGGCCGACACAGGTATCCGGGAGTCCTCAACACCACCATCACCACCGCAGCACCAGCATCAGCACCACCACCGCCGCCTCTCAGCAGCAGCTTACTAACTCTCTCGCCCTCTCGTCTCAGCGCTGCTGGCCTGCCGCTCCCGCCTCGGCTTGGGCTCGGCGTGGCACGCGTTCTCAATGGTGGCGCGCCCACAATCACTCAACCACCAACCAGCCCTCCAGCCAGCACTATCATGGCCTGGCTGAACCCCAAGTGGGACGAAGAGCCCACCAGCCAGCGTCTGCTCCATGGCCGCCAGTAGTTAGTCCAGCGCGCTGGGTGCCGCCTGTCACAAGCTGCTGTGTGGTCTAGCGAGGCCCCGAAACTAACTTCGTTATGAATCCGAGATCTGGTCGCCCGTTCGTATGCCGGCGCGCTCACGCAAGAACTGCCAGCACCAAAGCATAACCCAACCTGGGGCCCTCCGGAACGCTAACTAGCTCTTCTGCTTAGTAGCTGCGCGCTGATAATTCGGCCTGCTTGTCTTTTTTTCCCCTGAAGCCGTTTTCTCTTTTTCCCCGCCCTTCTGCTCCGTCGTTCTCTCTGCTGTGCATGCTGGATGCCTCTTCTTTCTTGCTCTCTGTGGTGTCCCATGTCCCTGTTCTCGATGAGTTGTCCATTTTTCAATGAAATGGACCGCAGACACTTTCCTGATTGTGGCCTCTGCTGCAGTCGTGACCGCCCAGATCCTCTTTCGCTGTGCCTACCGCCTCACTCGCCGTCCTATCCGGCAAGCATGGTATCGGGACGATAGTTGGATGGCCGTCTCCTTCTTCCCTCTCATCGCGCGTACCGTGTGTATAGCATGGTACTTCGAGCTGCGCCGCACAGACACTCCGGATCACCAGGTCTTGTCCAAGAAACTAGTCGTGCCGTCGCGCCTGACATATGCAATGTTGTACGTGTGATATGGGAGCTGTCCTTGAGAAAATGCTGCAGGGTATGCTATGGTTGCTGATCTCATGCCGATCCTAGCATCTGGTGCATGAAGCTATGTCTGCTTCAGTTCTACTCGCGGCTGGAAAACGGCTCCAACAAGGTCTATCGAGCGAGGCAGGCGCTTTGGTGTTTCCTTGTGGTCAGCTTTCTGATTATATTCCTCGCTACCATGCTTGAATGCAGACCGTTGTCTTTGTGAGGCTCTCTTTTTCTGTCACTGGTGGAATGTAATCTAACTATGCATACAACAGATACTGGGCCCCAACCACACGTAAGATCTCCTCGCACTTAGACAATTGATGATGGCTAACGGGTCTGATCCTCTGCAGATGCATGCCAGAAAGGTGCTAAAAACCTTTTGATTATGGCAAGCTTCAATATAGCTACCGATGTTGCATTGATCCTCTTTCCGATCCCAATGCTTTGGAAAATGACCTCCCTTAGCGTTCAAGCGTATGTTATGCCCAAATTGCCCCTTTAGTCGATTTATGAGCCCAGCTGAGCTCCTGCCCACATAGGAAAGTGCAACTTACGTTGTTATTCCTGTTTGGAACTGTTGTAATCATAATCACAACCACGCGCCTACCGCTCATATTTGTAAACTCCTACTCCCAAACATCTCGCACTATGGTAAGTCATACATCTGTGAACCCACCAGGCACCGCGCTTTGCTTGACCCTACCTTCATTTTACTAATCAATCCCCAGTGGGCGTCGATAGAGATTGTGGGCGCCTCCGTTGTCGCCAATGCCGCGTTCTACTATGCCTTGTGGAAAGACTTTTTCCGGCGGCGTAAAAATAACTCTCACTCGGTGCCACTTGTGCCATACTTTTTCCCGTCTGAGACCTCGCGACCCGCAAGCCAAGCCGTGTGCTTGGGGTCGGACCAGCAGTCGGAGCCTGCGACAAGCTCCGATAACACAGACCAGGCTGGTAAGAGCGAACTAGGTCTTGTGGAGGCAGGATATAAAAGTACAGAACCATAGCTGGTTTTAGTATCATCTAATGAGCGTATGAAAAGCTTTGTTAAGACACCTCAAGATACCCCTTTCTGTTTTAGAATTATAATATATACAATAATATTTTCCTTTCAACACTTATCGCACACAATGCCCCAACAACAATATCCCTCTTCTTCTCTAGAGGGGCCAAACACTTTTTAAATGCAGTTTTTTCTCAGTAAGCAAGGAAATAGTGGAAAGACATGTAGTCGGTAGGAGAGCATTCGGTTCGAGCCAGCGCAAATCAATCAAGGAGCGTGAGATGCGGCTGTCGGCCGCGGGTATCGTTATCATTAAACCATCATTATTCCAAAGAAAAAATATAGAGAGAAAGAAGTAAAAAGAATACAACTCCATCTACTGAATAGTCCCCCCACATAGTAGAAAGGATGTGCAAAAAATTATCTCTTCAAGGCGGCAAACCTCCTTGCTAGCTCGTCCACCTGCGGTATTCCCGTCTTGCTTCTCTCCAGGCTCTCCCCAGTCGGCGCGGCCGGGGGATAAGACTGCGATATCACCTTAGGTGACGCTTCGCCGTCCTTGGAAGTCTCAGACGGCGTCGTGGCCGGCGCGACTTCGCTCTGGGTATGCCGCAGCGGCGTCGAGCCATCCGCACTGGATTCATGCCGCTTCTTTGTCTTGCTGATGTTACCACTGCTGTTATTGCTCTTGTCGTTATTCTTGTTGTCCTCGCTCGGGGAATGCTCGTCGTCGCCATCCTCACTATCCTGCTGCCACGAGATACCGTGGCTGCGCGCGATCTCCTTCAAGTACTTTTCCACCAGCCCCGCCGGCGCCTTCTGGACTCTTAGCGCGTCCACCAGCTCCTGCGGCAGCTCGACGGGCGGGTTGTTCTCCTCCTGCGCGCGGGTTGCGAACTCCGTGCCCCAGCGCTGCACCAGCTTCGCGCGCAGCTCCGGCAGACCCTGGATGTCTCGGGGCAGACGGGGATAGGAGTAGAAGATGACGGCCGCGGCGCGGTCGAGCTCCGGCTCGATGTAGCAGTCTGGCTGGCCGGCGTCGGGTGGCGTCACAGTTCCGCCGGGCGCGGAGTCGCTGCTTCGCACGACCTCGAGGCGCTCAGACGAGCGACCGGCGTTGCTCGCGGGGCGTCCTCCGATACTCGCCGTGTCGTCCTCGCCCGGCCGTTGCTTGCGCGCGTCTTTGCCAAAGCCGAGAATCCGCCATAGGCCCGACGCGCTCCCGTCTTTGTTTGCGGCCGACGAGTCGGATTTCCCCCTCCTCATGGTCCTGCTCTTGCGCTTCTGTCCAAAGGCAAGATGGTCGAGCATGTTCGCCCGGACCAGCAGCTGCTCGCAGTGGAGCTCGATGATTTCTAGCGCAGCGATCAGGTCGTCATTGGCGATGATGTCTTCTGTCTTGACGCGGGCAAAGTCATCGCGACTCTCTCTGAGGAGCTTCGCGAGCTCTCGCGCCTTGGTTTTCGAATAGCCGCGACGCTCCTTGATGAGCTGGCGGATGCGGTAAATCAGTGCTTGGAGACCAAACGTTAACTCGGCCTACATCGAAGAAACGGTATTAGCATCCTGCTTAGAGAGGAGGGAAGGCTGCGAAGAGCTCGAGGTCTAGGACTTGGAGAAATTGGCTGACCGTTTGCTTGGAAGGCGGCATTCTGTAGCTAGTCAACTACTAGAGACGGTCGTGCACGGCAACAAAATCGAAGAACAAGATTACGAAGGTCGCATGGAACTGAGCGGCGACTCTCCTTTTATTCTGTCCGTCGTTTGCATGGAAACTGCAGATGGCAACGCATCGCACGTTGCATTCAGCGCTGCTTTAGCCCCCCCTAATGTCGTTATTATTAGCTTCGCCTCGGCAGCCGTCGTTAGCCACCCGGCAGTGCAGAAGCTGACTCCAGGCCTGGTTACTCTTGCGTCACCGTCCAGCTACAAGCGTAAATTAACTGCCTATGCTAAGTCAGCCCGCTGCATGGGGCGTTGCGGCACGATAGTTATCTAAAGAGTGGTTCGGCCTAAGGCAAACGACGCCCAAACATGGTACTTCGACATCACTATATGTTCACATTTCTCATTCATATGTATATGTATCTCTAATTAAACCCTCCACCTTCCCTTTCTGGAATTCATACTATGATACAGAGGACCTCCAGTAACGCATTCATGGGCAGAATCAACGGGAACTTTTGATTTTTACAAAGCTGCAACGCCGACAAGGGCCATAAGGCCAGCAATGCCAAGACCGGCCTTGTTTGCAACGGCGGCGCCGGTAAACGTGGGGCTGGCGCTGGCAGTGGCAGAAGCACCCGAGCCCGAGGGTCTGGAGCTAGTTCCAGTGGGCATGGCATGGGAGTGCATGTGGGAAGAAGAGCCATGAGCATGCGAAGCAGAAGAAGGATGAGAATGGGAAGAAGGGCCGTGGTCGTGGGAAGAAGGTCCATGGTCGTGGGAAGAAGGTCCGTGATCGTGGGAAGAACCATGGCCGTGATCGTGCGAGGCGGAGCCAGTGGACGATGGCGCAGGTGTGGTGGCGGCAGGAGAGGAGCCAGCAGGGGAAGAGGCGGCGGCAGTGGTGCTAGGGCCGACACCAGGAAGAGACAAAGTGGCTCCGTATGCAGCACACAGCTCAACGGCAACCTGGGATGCCTCTGTTTAGGATGTCAGCAACTGCATCTGAACTCATTCAGCGTCATGATTGAAAACATACTGGCAACCTCTTCGGGATTGCAGACTTTGGGGATCTTCTCCAACAAGCTATTAACGAAATTCCTGTTGTTGCAGATACATTTGATGTCCGTCAAACCGCAGTTGGTGGAACTGATGGACTGAAGGACAGTGGTTTGCTGTAATATTAATTAGCTAAGAATCAACGCGGCGGCAAATTCCTCGGAGAAGAAAGAATCAGCAAGTCTTGGGGAGGAAAAGGCCATACCGCGCACTGGGGCAGCGAGGTGACGTCCTGGGCCAAAGCGGGCATGGCCAGAGCCAGCAGAGCGGAGACGGCGAGGACCTTCATTATGACAAGAAAGGCAAAAACTGCAGGGATCTATCAAATGGGATCTCGGAATATTAAGAGAAAAACAAAAACAAAGAGAGTGGTTCTCTTGTTGGAAGAAATTGAGGTGAATTGGAATTTGCGAACTGTACCCAGAGAGCCGGGAGAGAGGGCTGGTTTTAATATGTGCTCGAAATCTGCTCAAAACGAGATTTCATCGCTAGTCTCTTTGCTACCCGAATCAAATTTTCCATCGGTCCTGGAAAAGCCACTGTCCTGGGCTCCGAGGTCCAGTGGATGCCATCGGCCGAGCTGGCCAGATTTGTTTCGAGGTTATTTTCCAGGCTAGCAACATTGGCATTTATTAGACTGTCAAGCCTTTTTCCCCGGCTAAGGGCGGAAAAATGGGTCGAACTCGAAGCACATTAACAAACATGGTTTGAGTTGACACGGGATTTCTCGCGTGCGCAGAATATGTTGGCCCAGAGCTTATCTGATCGGAGCCTAAGGTGCCGTTGCACACTTTCGGCCTAGCGCCGCGGCAGGGAGCTTGGAACTATCCAATGGCTGGCCGTCTCTGGATACGAGCGCCAAGATGATGGGCTTCGGCAACGCCTTCGCCGGCTCTGGTTGGCTGAAACGGATCAGATAACTTTAAGCGAAAGTGTGGAGCTCACGATCAGATAAGATAATTATTCGGATTCTGATGTTCCTTTGGACTTGTCGAAAATCTGTTCATCGGGTGACCGGTGGAGCTTGGAGCAGGGAGAATGTAATGTTAGGTTTTCCTGGCATCGCAAGGATTAGTTCAGCCTAACCGTTCGGTGTCTCGCCTCCCACAAAATAATACAGAAATGCTCTCACCACCCGCTTTTCTTGCTCACTTTTTGACGCTATGAAATATTAAACACGAGCAGCCTAACTGCTAATACCGGTTGCTATCGACAGGAGTTATTATCTGAATACCATCATCGATCATGCGAAGCTCCATTGACGGAGCCAAAGCCGCTGAGGCGGGCGTGAACGAAAAGTCCCACCCAGTGCCCCAATCGCCCGACAACGGCAGCACAGCTCCCAGCGATGAGACCTCAAAGGATGCTCAGAATGGTGTGCGATATGTTGAGGGAGCCACATCCGTATGGACAAAAGGGCATTTGATGGCTGCATACGCAAAGTAAGATGTCTTTCTGTCTGGTCTCGACCTGGCTTGACAACGAGTCTCTAACAATGTGATTAGCATCTGGCTCATCTATTTTGTTGTGTCTATGGAGGAAGTCGTTGTCCGCTCCCTCAATCCGTATGTGACCAGCGCATTTCAACTTCACTCGTTGACTGCAGCCACTGGTATCATGGCAAGCATCATTGGAGGCCTGAGTAAAATTCCACTCGCAAAAATTCTTGACACCTGGGGACGACCTCAAGGCATGGCTCTCATGTTGTTTTTCTGGGTTATCGGTTATATCATGAAAGCTGCTTGCAACAACGTTCAGACATATGCTGCCGCACAGGTCTTCTCCTCTGTTGGGTAAGTCCAACTCGCAAATATGATCCAGAAAGGGGCCCGACGCATCATCATCTGACATATCATTGTAGCGCCCAAGGAGTCAGCTACTGTTTGACCGTCTTTATTGCCGATACGTCCTCGCTGAAAAATCGATCGCTGATGTTGGCATACGCCACTTCTCCCTACGTTATCACCACCTGGGTTGGAGGCCCGGTTGCTAAAAGCATTTTGGCGACTATTGGCTGGCGTTGGGGCTTTGGCATATTCACCATTGTCGTTCCTGCAGTTGTCCTACCTCTTTGCTTCCTGTTCCTTTGGGGCCACCGAAAGGCAGAGAGGCTCGGAATAGTCCAACGCTCAGAGGGGCTCCGAAACTTGAACCTCCAGAAGGTAAAGAAGTACGCCATCGACGTTGATTTGATTGGAATCTTGGTGCTGGCTGCTGGTATGGCTTTGTTCCTCCTGCCATTCAGTCTTTGGACATTCCAGGGACAGAAGTGGAAGGCTCCTTTGATCATCTGCATGATTATCTTTGGAGGCCTCCTGCTTATCTTTTTCGTGATATACGAGAAGTATATGGCCCCGGTGACTTTCATCCCCTTCAAGCTTCTCACAGACCGCACTGTGTTATTCGGTGCACTCTTTTTCCTCTTCGTCTTCTTCAACGGTGCAGTGTGGTCACTGTATTTCTTCTCCATGTTGCAGGTTGTCTGGGAATTGGACGTCACCAACGCCACATACATCAGCAATATTTATCGTGTCGGCTCCTGCCTGTGGGCTCTGGTAGTTGGTGTATTGATTCGATGGACTGGCCGATTCAAATGGCTCGCCGTCTACTTCTCGGTTCCCTTGTTGATGCTCGGAGTTGGCCTCATGATCCATTTCCGTCAACCTGGCACCAATATCGGTTATATTGTGATGACACAGATCTTCGTCGCCTTTGCTAGCGGTACGAACGTTATTACAGGCGAAATGGCCATGATGGCTCCATCGGATCATCAGCACATTGCTGTTATTCTCGCCATTCTCAACCTATTCGCTAGCGTCGGCCAGGCGTTGGGAGCAACTGTTGCAACAGTCATCTGGACAAGCCGTTTCCGCTCCGCCCTGGAGGAATATCTCCCAGCAAACGCAGATATCGCTAAGATATATGCCTCTCTCGTTACACAGCTCTCACATAAACCAGGAACACCCATTCGAATTGGCATCAGCCATGCGTACGCAGAGGCTCAGCGCTATATGTTGGTCACCGGCTTGTGTGTTCTTTGCGGTGCTCTGGTATGCGCTGCCTTGTGGAGAGACATCAAGCTCAACGACAAGAAACAGGTCAAGGGAACTGTTGTTTAGATGTGGAAAATTGTTGACGGCGAAGTTCTTACTGGTGCATCTGCCTAGTCACTGGATCCTCGCGAAAATGACTCTGGAACTTTCTTTTCTTTAATTGGGAGTGTATTTAATAGATTTGCGGTCGGGTATTGGAACCCGGTTACCTGTCAGTCGTTCGAAAATTCAAAAGTAAATAAAGTCTTGGTTGGACTGGTTGGTTCGTTTGCTTTTGCAAAACAGCCGGGGAAAGTGTGACGACGGGGATGGTAAAACGCTCCACAAACTAATTTATTATTTAACGTATTTTAGTATTTGAGGTTTGAACCATGGTTTCGATGAAGTTTACATGAGGTAGTAGTTTTAGATATTTGCTAGAATATTATTCGAGTTGGTTTACAATTAGTCTACTTGACTCTGTACCTACGGAGTATGAAGTGCAGCTTTCGGCCTCATGCCCCTCGATACATGTGTCCGTATCCCTGTGGCTGCATTGTGCCAACAAGCAATCAAACATCCTGCTTACAATCGTCTGGGAAAAAAGCTGGAGACGGGGATGCCATTCCAAGCCCAGCATCAAACTTGCCCAGTGGGCCCCAGTCATGATCGCGTGGCACTGACTTTCTTCTTCCCAGCAATGCCCACCAAGTTCCCGTATTTTAGCGTGTTCATGGTAGCCGCAAATTGCTCGCTTGATGGGGATACGGTAAGAATCATGGCGGACTGGGTATCTGTGGAGGCCGAAAAATGCTCACGCAGAACCATGGTCAATGGAGACGATCGGAACGGGATGCGCGCCTGACTCAAAGCCCGCGCACGGATTACTTCTTTCAAGGCAAGAAGATCGGTGTTTATTTGCCGGCCTTCTTGGGCCTCCTGTGGGGTCATTTTGGCCGCGAACACCGACGCTGTCGCCTTTTCGTGATAGTACTCGGATCCCGCTAAGTCGACAAAAACTACCCTTCCGCCTAGGCACTTCTGATCCTTCGAGGCAAATAATACGCGCTCCACATCAGCTTCGGCTTGCTGGACACAGAGCGCAAATTTTTCTTTTTCCTTTTCTGCGGCATCAATACGATCTTGGTTGGGCGGATGATCGGGGTTGGGGACAAATTTCCCATCCGCGGTCTTGGTAAACGCCTGCAAATTTTCTTCCAGGTAAATGTCTGTCGCACGTTTCGCCACAGGAACGAATTCCGACTCCCGCTCAACGACGGCGTCACGGGCGTCGAGTAGCGCCTTGGTCACTATTTCAAGCTCCAGGACGGCGTGGGTGCGAGAACTCTGATCGTGCACTGTCGACGAGCCGGTGGCCCGCAACCCAAGCCCAACCTGCAGCTCGCGACGCAAGCCGTCAAAGTCCCAGCACGCACGGGTCGCTACCGGACGCACCCTAACCTTTCCGCCCTCCAGCATCTCGGTCTCGCCGCGGATGTGGACGCGGCCGTCGGGGCCTTCGCGGACATGGCATTCGCTGCGACCGTTCAAGAGGTCGAAGGCGATGTTTTTGCGCAGCTCATACATGCGAATACCGAGGCCGAGCCGGTCGCTGCTATTCTTGTCGTCGCCGTCGCCGTCGCGGGGGCTTGCGTTTCGTGCTTCGATCTCGTCGAAGAGCGATCTCGCCGCCGACAAGCAGAGGCCAAAGGCCTCGCTGTGGTCGTAGTCATACCCAACGATGGTGTGTGTTTTGCCACTGCCTGAGTGGCCGTATGCGAAGAAATTACAAGTCCCGCCATTCAGCACTCGCGGCAAGCTGGGCGCGACGACTGCCTCGAAAACGCTCTTGTTGCCGTCGTCGGCCCCGAAAATCTGGGAGAAAGCCGCGTCGCTTGTCCATGAGCGGTTTCGACTGGAGCTCGCGGGGTTGTTTATGGTCGTAGAGAAGCGCGTGTTGCCGTGTTGCTGGCCGGTGTGTTCAATCTCGGTGATCTCACCCGCGCCCAGTGGCCTCCATCGCAAGAAGACCTGCATGCTTGACCCCGCGAAGCCCCAGGTGCTTCGACGCGAGTAGAATGCTTCCGCGTCGATTCATTCTGTGGTGATGCTTTTATATCAGTACCCAACTCGGGGCGCGGAGTACACGGGAGCCGTTACTAGTTAACTAAACTACTGGTTTGTCTTGTTTGCACTCACTGTTTACTGATATGTAGTTAGGGTTCTATATACGGAGTACATGCAAGCAAAATAACAGTAATCGGGGAGCATTATGCATTATCGGGTATCACTTAAACCTGCGGCCTTCCGCTATCGCAATGGTAACGCCGTCTTCCTTGGAAACCCCCACGGATAACGCCTGAGACACGGGTAAGAAGAGGAAGGTTCGTTCCCGAAACAGCAATTTAGTGGGAGAAGAAAAAGAGGACTACCGTCGGCCTATGGAACACTATTCCTCGTCTTCCCACATGGCGTCTATAGCTGGAAATCTGTTCTCATCGTCGTCGGGGTCACGGTGTAAGGATGCGAACAATATTTCTCGAAAAGGATCCACTGCATCCGGAGAAAGTGTTGGGAAGCCCCCGTGTGCGAAGTTGCTAAACAGGACGTCAAATGGTCCCAATGGAAACAGCACTTGGTCGTTCTTGCGAGCCCTCGCTAGCCGCTGTAGGTTCATTCGCTTGATTTCCCGCTTCGAGAATGTGTATGGCATGTAGGTGATCGGACTGATGTGGGCGTAGTGGCACATGTTTGCAAAATAGCATCGAGGTTGAAACTTGACACGGCATACCGGGAGGGACGAACGGGAGAGTTCTTTACTCCAGCGCAACACCTCCAGCTCGAAGTAACGGCATGGTATTTTCTTCATCTTGGCAAGGTACCTCTGTACGATCTTATCTTTGGCGGGGTTGTTTGTTTTGCTCTTTTTGCCTGCTGAAATTGACTTGCTGTGTATATCTATTTCTTCATTAAGGCTTGCTTTTGTTGAAGGTGGCGTGGGAAAGGTGGAGCTGGGGATAATAAAGTGGCTTTGTTTTCTGCACAATGGACAATTTTTGGTGTTTCTTGAGGGCACAAGCCCATCTAGCCCGATGTCCAATGCTGGGGCGTCAGAATCATCCGGGTTTGAGGACGAACGCCAGTGTCGAATGCACTCTGAACATGCTCCCATTAGTTATAAGGTTCCCCGCCAAAAGGAATACGGACGCGGGCACACCTAAGCAGAAGACATGGTCGCAGGCAACGAGAAGCCCATAGGTGATTGGGGTTTCCAGACAAATGGCGCATGGTTCTCTGGTGGCGGGAGCGAGGGAAGCACCACTAGAGGATTCAAGAGTAGATTTGTCGGCCTGAGATCGACCTGTAAGATGATAGTCAGCTATTTTAGGCATTGGCCACTAGATGGGATCTTGAAGGGTGGCCCGCACTTCTTCTGGAGCTCTTTTGTTCTAGACGCGCACGCTCTTTATCCTTGTCAACCCCCAATACTGCGGCGTCATGGCGAAAGAAACATTTGAGACCACGATGGCAAAAGCCTCTCTTCCACCACTTGCAGTCTATTCCGCCTGAACGGAGTCCAGGATGAGCTTGAGGCACCATTCCAGCTTGCCAGTACTGAATTCACAGTGGGTGCAGCAGAGAAGGAAGCTGAATTTGCTGGGAAGAGAACTGTGAAGTTGTGAGTGAACTAACTACTCCGTAGTGATGTAACTATGTAGAAAGGTGGCGCTGCGGCATCAATCCGTTCTTGGCGTAAGTTGCCGACTGCAGACTCTTCGTGACAATCTTGTCATCTTGTTTCTATGTATAACTACATACTTCTCTGGAACACCTATTAACTATATGAAAGTCTCCGGTTTCAGAGCTTATTTTTATCAATTAACTTACATTTGCAGGAAATTCCCATCCTGTTCCGAGCCATCCATTTCACATCTCGTTGGCCGGTCAGTATGGCTGACCTTCAATCAAAAGCACTCGAGCAATTCGATAAGCTTGTGCAGCGTGGTGATATCATTTTTAAAGATGCCCCGCCTGTTTCTATTCGAGCCCATCCGTTCAATGTAAGGGAAAGCCGGGGTCACGTCCGCATTGCCCCCAGCCCTTCATTGAAACCCCCACTTCAAATATTGGACAAGAGGAAGACTAACCGAACGGAACGGCCATCATGCCAACTCGGATAATTCCAACAGCTCCAATTCCGCATCGCAGCAAGCCTGACAAAGAAGCCACAAGTCCCGATTAAGGACGCCCAGCAGGCACCCGATGGTACGAAGGCTAAGCCTAGCCCGTTTGCCAAAGATCCGCCGGAGTTTGTCCTCGAGCATGTTGGACCAGAGCATACCCTGCGTTTCAACAAGTTCTGTGTCGTCCGGCCTCAATTTGTGCTTCATACCAATGAGTTCAAACCCCAGATTGAGCCCCTTTGCGAAACCGATCTCGCCGCTGCTTGGAACGTGCTTTATCGGCTGCAAAGCCCGTACATAATCATCTACAATGGTGGGATGCAGGGGGGTTGGTCGTTGCCGCACCGCCATATGCAGTTCCTGCCGCGGCCTCCACGAGAAAGCCACGAACTCTTTCCAGATAAATATGGCATCGAGAATGGTACTGCTCCCCTCTCACTTCTGTACTTTGCAGGATGCCTACCATTTATAATGATATCTAGCTGACAGCACCGTTTGCGATCTTGGCTGTAGGAAAGATTCCGCAAGTTCCATTCCAGAATGCCGCGCAGAGGTTGCAGCCCTCTATTTCAACCAACGAGCTTTTCGCGACCTACAAGGAGCTTTTGGAGTCTGCTGGTGTCACAAAGGAAGACTATTCCCACAATCTCGTTTTAGTGAAGGAGTGGATGATGATTATTCCGCGATCTCGCGCGAGCCAAGAAGGCGTCAATATAGTAAATGCGGCCGCCATGGTTGGCATGATCTGGATACCTTCCAACGAGGTTCTCGAGGTTTGGCAAGGCAGCAGCAATCCGATGAACATTCTGGCGAGATTTGGCCGGCCGTGGTAGCGCTGCCCTACGAAGTACAAGGGGTATATATATGTACGGAGTACGTGCACTACTACTGCACTCAAGAAAATATGCATTGCTCGGCGCTTGACTCCCCGCCGGCGATGCAACCCAACCGTCGATTCCGTCAGCAAGCGTCTAGCGCGCTTCACTAGCTGAGTCATCGCGGCGCTGATTGGCGGCTAGCCGGCCGATCGCAATTTCCACCCCTGGCACTAAGCTCAATCGGAATATGCGAACCCCGGTTACCGCCCGCCGCCGCTAAGCCAGAAGCGGGCGTGTGCAATTTACTGCGAACTGGCCAATCCGGCGCGCGCAACGGCGCTGCATGTGGATGTACTTCCCCGCCCGCGCCGAGAGCAGTGGTACCTGCGCCCGCGAACGCGCCATTGCCTGCAGCACGCTGCCCGTGACGGCGGCGCCCCAGCGAACCCTAAAACGCCCGCCCGAGCAGTTTCGTTCCATTTCCCCCTTTCCCTCGCTTCGCTCCCGTCAACGTTCGCCATCGTTTGTTTCTCCCACCCATTGTCTCTCCTTTTTGCCATTTTTGGCACTGTCGCTCGTTTCTGCTGGCTGCCAGCCGATTGTTGTTGTGTCTTCCACTCCTTTGTCTCTCGTTGAGTAGCATCCATATGTCAACACTGTCTCTCTCGTCCAACTTGCAATATTTGAGCCTGGCCTAGCCCTTGAAGCGCTTGTGTTTATACATCCAGTGAATAGTCGCCCTCGTTTTCAACCCGAGCTGGTGTTGCTGTTGTGCTATTCCTTGACGTGCGGCAATAGTCGGCCGTTGATATCGTCATGAAAACGTACTCCCTTTGCTCTGGAGCGTCTACGCTCATCCTGCTCCTCGTCTCTGTCGCAGAGGCGCGTCACGGCCATGGTCATGGCCATGGAAAAGTCGCGAATGTTCCCCTGGATGGTTTCGGCTTGAAGCGTCATCAGTTGTACCATCGCGCCGCTGTCGAACCTCTTCGCAAGCCCAACGAAATCTCCGGCCCCAAACTGCAAAGACGCGCCGGACAGTGCGAGTTTCCCTCCGATGCTGGCCTGGTGGCTGTGACCCCAGGCGCGCAGAATGCTGGCTGGGCTATGAGCCCTGATCAGCCGTGCATGCCCGGTAACTACTGTCCCTACGCCTGCCCGGCAGGCATGGTGATGGCGCAATGGGATCCGTCTGCGACGGCGTACAAGTACCCAATGTCCATGGTAAGTATCACACAGCTATCTGGTACAGGTTTTTCGTGTTTCGCGTACTGATGGATGTTAGAATGGCGGTTTGTACTGCGACAAGAGCGGAAAGATCACCAAGCCCTTCCCAAATAAACCGTACTGTGTTGACGCGTCCGGTCCTGTCGTCGCGAAGAACAATTGCGGCAGCGTCGTGTCGTTTTGCCAGACTGTCCTCCCTGGCAATGAAGCTATGTTGATCCCTACCAGCGTCGATAGTGATGCAAAACTTGCTGTGCCGAATCCTGACTACTGGTGTTCCACTGCTGCCCAGTGAGTATTCGTGATTATTTCCACTTACTACTAGTCTACTAACGTCACATATAGTTACTACATCAACCCACCTGGGAAGGACGCTTCCACTGCCTGTGTTTGGGGAAAAAAGGACAATCCTTGGGGTAATTGGGCTGCATTCGTTGCTGGCGCGAACATGGATGCCAACGGCCAAACGTTCCTCAAGATCGGCTGGAACCCTATCTACATCGAGCCCCAAACTCCTTTCCGTAACAAGAGCCCGTCGTATGGTGTGAAGATCGAATGTGACGGCGGTGGCTGCAACGGTCTTCCTTGCGAAATCGACCCTTCAAAGAACGGCGTCAATGAAGTTACTGGCCGAGGTTCCGGCGGTGCTGGCGGCGCAAACTTCTGCGTTGTGACTGTGCCTAAAGGCAGCAAAGCGAGCGTCTCCGTGTTTCAACCAGGTAACAACAATGGCGGCGGCGACGACGAAGCGAAAGCGAGAGTTGATACGCCCAGCTCGAAGAAAGAGGAGTCCAAGCCATCGTCCACGCCCTCTCCGTCTCCATCTCCCTCGCCCTCACCCTCGACGAGCTCTACTCCCCCACCCAGCTCCTCTGCAGTGGAAACATCCTCGTCGACTCCCCAACTGACCTCATCCTCAAGCACCGTAAGCTCAATCTCTTCCGTTTATTCGTCGGCAATCGCCTCGACAACAAATTTCTCAAGTTCTAGTTTTGTAACACCAACTCCTATCAAGGCTTCCTCCGTCTCGCCGCAAGTCTTCGTCGAGAATCCTAGTTCAACCATCTCTAGGAAGCTGAACTCGACCAACATCATGACCTCGCCAACCCTGCCTCGATCAACCGCTCTGTCCATGCCGTCCGCCCAAACTACCAAAACGGGCGCTGCGTCTACCGCAGCGCTATCTGTCCTGAGCCTCACGGCCAGTTTTCTTGTTGTCTCCTTATTTCTTAGCTTTTAGACGAGACATCGATCCTCCCTGAAAGCTCTTGCCTACCAGCGGTAGAATCGAAAACTTTCATTCTTTTACTTTATTGGATTTACCTCATATATTCTTTTATTACTCTTGAGTATAATTTCTTTTACCTCTTCTCAAATACCCTTTTTTTCTAACTATACATGATTCATGTCCGTTTTAGGTGATTATGATGGATGGTGGTATAATTTCAGGACTGGATATCTCGATATATTAATACTTTCTGATACCCATATACATATACCGTTGTATATATTTGATGATATTTTGCATTCTGGATGTTTTATGAGATCAATACTACTCCTCTCATACGGGGATTGGAAGACCCATTAACGTTCAGTTTTGCTAATAATTTACCTGCCATTTTCGGCTTGACAAAAATTTTCTTTTTTAAGAGTTCTCCGGGAGCGGGGACATGGCGATTTGGACTTTGCATCTTTTTGAGCGTTGACGATGTTCCTTCTCGCTACTTTCGACATAACTATTATCACTTTTACAATGAAAATTTACAGACAGTTGCCGAATACCTGTTGATAGAAATAACCTACTCGGTGGTTCTGTTATCATGGTCTGATTTTTATACCTCCCTCTACGATGATGGGCTTTGATTACAAGGACACCGCACTAGTATTGTCACAACTTGATACTCTGAACAGAGCCTTAAAAAGTTTTTACGCACGGCTCTTATATCGCCGTCGTTTGCATCCATAGTTGGAGATCAAGTCCCCACCCCTCCACAGATGAGCTCGGACATAGGATTCCTAGAGGTAAAGCTCTGTGCATCAACCATATATTTATTCCTTTTATACCTCATCACCTTCTTGGCCTTCGAGGGACGTCCACCCGCCAAACACCTGCTCTTGGCTCTCAGCATCTCCTTTCCCCTCTCTCCAGCCCCACGCGACGCAATAATGCCTCGCCAGAAGCCTCCATTCCTCTACCTCATCCACCATCTCTAGCGCTGCCACCCTCTCCTTCTCTCTACTACTAATCCATTTCTCCCAGAGGAAATCCACATCCGACGCGCCCTGCCCCGCGACCAGGCCTATACTTCGCAACCGGTCTTTTTGAAGAGACAGGGTCGCGTATTGGTTCAAGGTTTGTAGATGAATGCCGCGTGTGGCAAGGTTGGTGACCATCGTTTTTCCAAATGGGTCGTGTGGGCGAATGGGTTCGTAGATAACCAGGGCTAGGGGTGTCATTGGGCTCGTGGACGACGGAGGCAAAGAATTCGGTTGGGAGGTAGTGAATAGGGTCGTGAAATACGCGAGGACGTTGGATGCATCAGTTGGAGAGAGATATATCAAACAACATTCGGAAATTATGAGGGTAGGAAGCGTCGTGTCGATGCCTTCGAATCTCGTTTCGCATGATGGTAGAGAGGAGAGGGTTCGAAGGTCAACTGGGTGGATGTGGTAATATGTGGAATGTAAAGCATCTGCTGCTTCTGATATTTTGATGCCCTGGTCATCTGTCACGCCTCCTATGGAGCTTTCGAGCGTACTCATCAATGCCCGCGATTGTCGAATCGTGCTGATCTTCGCCGTAGTATTTGTTGGGAAATCAAGCTCATGATAAACCAAGTCACCTGTGGCTCCCAATCTCTTTTTTTGGGAAAGCAGTCGAAAGGCACGGGTATCAGTACCCGCTCCCAGTGATATTATCTGCCGCCGTCTTTTCGTAATGTTTGAGTCGTGTGGCGCCAAAAAGTGTGAAATCAAAATATCAATAGCGGTGGTTCGAACGTATGTCCCTGAAAAGTAGAATTCTCTCTCAGTATAGAGTCTGTAGGTAAATATAACATTTGCTTGCCTTACCGCGATTTATAATCGGATACCTTCGAGGCGCATCTTCACGGCCAATGCCACTCAAAATGCCTGCAAATGGATCATCCAAGTATCCCAATTCTACTGCGCTCAATCTAGACATACTCGCATCGTAATCGGTTTGCTGAATTACCTTGTCCTTTGCGGAAACATTGGCGTAGGGGTGACTGGTCTTGTCGGCGCCTCCGCGCCCACGAAAACGGGAGGCTCTTCCAGCTCCATTTCGGCCTAGGAGGAGGTTAGGAATTTGAGGAGCCGACATCTGAGAGTCCGAGAGGGCCTGAAACGACAAAAGATGCAGAGCGCACCCTGCGTTACGCTAGAAGGAACTCGAGGATTGTGCGCGGATTGAGTGACATGGTGCCCCGCAATCTAATCTTATCAGATTGATAGTAGTTAGAACAAGGTTGGCTGAGCCTCCAACACAACTCGCCTCCCCGCGTCTATCAAGTGCTTGATTGGGAGTAGCATGTGATTATAGGCCCAAGTAGAAGCCAGCCGAGCATGTAACCTAGAAACGCCAACTAGTTTGCTCAGGAAAGGACTATGTACTGGCTACAGACGATGACGAGAGCATAGATCCAAAGCCCTGGTGCCTCATACAGTTAAAGCATGTATACTCGTGTACATCGCTTTGTTCTATATATCTTGTAATAACTGCAATGCAATCGTCGAAATCCCCAATGCACATACAGTGTCATTAAAAGTGTTTGCATCTTTTTTTTTCAAGTGACACTTTTCAAACTTCAATTACCCCGCAAAATTGTATACTAGTATACTGAATAATATAATCAATATGTAGATAAATGCTTGAACTATTCACCGTGTCTTGAATAATTTAATTCTGACTTATTTTCATTAAGAGTAGAGGAGTCTATGTGATGATAACTTTCAGTCATATTTAATGAGATTTAAAGAAGCAAGCATTTATAATTATTTAATAAAATTATCTTTAAAATATTCTTCTATGAATTCTCTACAATTCATATGTATTAATGATATGTTACAATACATTTTTGTCGAGCAACTTGATTGTGAAAAGTGTGGGTTTTTGTGTAAAAGTAGGGGGGTTGCCAACACTTTTGTACCGTACATCTCCGCATCACGAGTAAAGGAAATTATTCCTGCACAATGGGCAACTGCTCGAGTTGCTGCTCCGGAACCATCTAAACAAACAGTCCGAATGGAACGTGTTTTTACACGTTGCGCATTTCTTATTTGGCGTCTGCATGTCCGCTGAAATCACGGAGTAGCAAATTGCACATTCTCCTTGGCCCTTCAGAGCGCCCTGGACATTCTTCCTGAAGGCGAGCAAGCCGTCAACGAGCTTGCCGTTAGAAAACATGATGACGCCTTGAATGGACATCAGCCAGCTCTTCCATTTTCTTTCGTCAACAACAACGCGATATCGACCAGTCACCATAGCCGGCTGAAGTGGGTAAGTGGGTGGTAAAGAGATTGAAATCGATGTGGCGGGAGATTCTTCGTCTATTTCAATACTTGCAACGATTTCGGCAACTTTGTAGGATATCTTGACCTGCAAGGCCTGTTCTTCATTGTTCCAATCTTGGGCATCAAACCACTCGGCCACGTTTTGAAGAGAATCTTCTATGACCAGCGGGGAGACCTAACAAAAATTAGAAATAAACATATAGTGCTAGCAGTGAGTACTTACGAATTTTTGAGTCCAACCCTCAACAGGCCCTTTGACACGTTTCTTACTATCCACCCACCATGTCTTAGTGAGATTAGGCAAATATCTCAGGCAAAGGTAGTAAACATTAGTCAGTAGCCACTGTATTTCCTTCTCCAGGGACTCTGATTCGTCTAATTGAAAAGAGCGGATGTCAATTTTAGATGCATCTACAAGCCTTCCTTGAGATAATTGCAAAATTTCAAATGTGAAATCTAGAAGCGGATCGAGACAGTTGTTCTCCTTGATATTCATAGAATAACGCTCTTGAACAGGTAGCGACTACAGAACACATTTTTTAGTACTGTAATGAGTTTCATCAAAGGGTGGGTAGTCTTACTGCAAAAGCAAAGTGATCGAAAACAACCTTCCAGCTCAGGAGGTAACAGCGAACATCCATCCATATATCATCGTTATCTTCGTGGATGGGATGTTGCAGCAGAATATCGGAAGATGGGACGTCGAGAAGGAGAGAGAGCAGCTCGTCTGGGAGGTTCGCTATAGCACCGGACAATGCAACATCTAAAGATAGTGTTTCTTGAGATTTCGGGATGACTCGACGCAACACATCATAGGCAGCACGCTGTATTCCTCCACTGCGAATTGAAAGCGAGCTAAAGAGCCCACTAATATCCTCAACATAATCCACATTAAGTTGCTTAATTTGGCGATCAAGAAGATCGATGGTTATGTTCCAGGGCACATTAGGATTGTACAGTGGACCTAGAAATTCTTAGAGTAAGGAAATATCATAATCATGGGTTTATACTTACCAAGATAGCAAAGTAAATGGATCAATACCTCCACGAGCCCCTTTTGTACAGCGACCCATGCGTCTTCCAGGTCGTCGTTACTTTCGTTAATAGCAAGGTTCCTTAAGCAGTTGAACAAACGTAGCGAAGCGTGGAGAGCTGAAAGATACTCATCGGACTCTTTGTTGTTTTTCCAAAACGAGTCCAGGATAGTAAATGAATCTGCCCAATGAGACCCGTATATTTCTTTCAGCTGCGGGAAGACAGCAGCAAGAATTTTGAAAGCTTCTGCCAGCTGTTCTAATGGAAATTCTGTCGATTGCATACATCTCATCAAATGTTTTACGAGGAACACTAATCTTTGAGTGGGAATCTTCTCAACAAAATTGCCATCTCCTTGCAAAACCACATTGAGAGTAATGAGTTTTTGAAGACCTACTAAGGTAAGCGGGTATTAAATTGGGGAGAAAATAGCACTAACCTTCAACTTGAGAAAGTTCATCAAGTCCTGTGATTTGGGCAACCAGTTGATTGCATAGTCTTAAAGCTGCGGGAGACGAAGCCAGGGAAGCTTTGAAACTAGCAACTACAGCAGGTAGAACGAATGGATTCGCGCTCCCATTCAGCTGTTGCGCCATTTCAAGAGCGGATTCAGCAAAGTCAATATTTTCTAGACTCTCTTTCTCGGCCATTATTCTAGTATACGCATCTGCTAGTCGATAAGCCTCTGGAGTGTTTCCTTGTAATTTCTCCAGACGAGCATGCCAAAATGTCACGATGTCGGTATTATTATTATTATTATTAGGCGAGTTTTTAAAAGCCATCGACTTATTGATCCACTGCTTTATTCTGAGTCGACCTTCAGAAACAAAACTAACAAATTCATTTCGGCTCTCCGGAGAATCTAGTTCAGAAAAATTCAGGGGCAGCATAGTGGTGGTACATTCAACATTCAAGTCATCTTCAACCAGCTGAATCACAAGTGGAAGGTACAAGAACAAGGTCTGCTGCAATTGTGGTTCCATATCATCTATTGAAGTGGCCGCAAGCAATTTTGTCACAAATAATGCCAAGCGAGTAGCTAAAGGCAACTGGTTTGAATCACGGGGTAAGGAGACGACATCGGTATCCTGGTGTGCTTGGTTTACCAGAAACACGGCTCCGCCGAGAGAGCTCATAATGGAAAACGACGGCGGCAAAGGGCATTGGAGAAATGGCTTCAAGGCAGCGGTCCATTGGCTTTCATTGGGAAACAGGCTAGATAAATTAATGTCCTTTTGATCCGGAGCAAAGTCCAGAATCTGTTGTGCGATAGCAACCAAAGCGTCAATGCTAGAGATAAATATCGGTAAGTTAGTGGCAAACACAGTTCTATAATGTACTTACGATAAAGGCTCTTTTTCAATATCCTCAAAACTATTTTCAATGATTCCTACGGTAGGCCCAGGCATATTGCTACTGTTAATCAAACGGTTGATTTTCACCTGTAAAGCATTTGCGCGGTGTGAAATTTCATCGTTTGGGGATTCCGAAAGAAATAAAAGTTTTGAAATCAAGCTAGACCCTTCTGAGCCGGTTGCAAAAGATGTAACACAGTCCAAGGTGACGATGTCCGCAAGGCCACAGAGCGCTTCTAGTGATATCGCCTCATCCATCGACAAGCTCTCTGCTAGGCAACTTAAGACACGGCTGGAAATGCCATTGGAAAATGCTGGATTTCGAAAAGTCCAGGCTATGCTAGCCCAAATCTGTTTTTCTCCATGTAGTGCTTCTTCCAGTTTCTTCATAATTAAGGATTCCAACTTAGGATGTATGCGCAGGTCGTCTGTATTTATCAAAGAAAATAAAGTCTCCAACCCTGAAAGCGCATATAATGTCAGTGGAGTCATTTGGAATGCGGTGATCAGCTTTTTCAGGCCTGTCTGAAAGCTTTCTCGCTGCCGGCATGCAAACAAGGCAGACACTAGGTGATTAGAAGACGGGGATAACGCGAGATCAGGAACAACATCGGCCAGGAATATTTCAACTGAATCTATATCGGACAAGAATCTTTGGGAGTTTATCACAGCATCCTTGATAACCGAGGCTGCTCCGTACGGGTTGCCATCCCGAGACTTCAGGGCTTCAAGGGAGGTCTCAAATAGATTAACTGTGCTCTTATTGGAGACTTGGAGGTAAGACGAGAGCTCCCTATTTTCTTCTACAGACCTTAGAAATTTGGTCTGGAGACTGAAAAATTGTTTTGATTGTAGACAAATCAAGTCTTGAGAGGCTTGAGGGGTTTGAGCTTGCGCTGGAGCGGATAACTTTACAGATTCCGATAATAGAACTGATATCCTGGTCCAAAATTCACAAACGGTAGTAGAACCGGTGGCCTTGGCCGCGAAAACTAGGCATTGCGTGCAGAGATCCACTGCGCATTTATCTTGAATTGCCCATTTGGATTGTTGCGAAGGCGAAATAACATAGTGCTCTGGGATAGGGAGAAGATACTCCTGGGTGAACTTTAAGCGGTCGGTTACTCTTTCTATTTTGTCGGATATCCAAGAAGCGGTCTCAACGAAAGCAGACCAAGCGATGGGAATATTTGAGCGTGCTCCTTCTCTGTTCAATATTCCCCCGAGAAAAGCTTCCATGACGGAGTTAATAGGCTCTAATACATTACTGTTATTCTGAGAGTTTTCTAACAGAATTTCGGCTGGAATGCATTGTAGCAAGCATCGCAGATTTTGCCAGTACAAAGTTGAGCCACCTTGAGAGCCTCTTTTGATGTATTTGACGAGCCGTTTGGAGGCAGAAGTTTTGTCAGAGTAATCATCAGTCCATATTTGAGGATTTTTATGTGTTAATTTTAGCAAAAGGCCAGAATACTCATTTGCTGACCCGTGTTGGTCAATGGCTAGGGGTTTCGCAAGCAATTGCGTACTTATAGTCTTCCATTCACTATATCCCTCAATTATGGAAATAGACGTTTGACAGAGTTCATAGAAAGATCGACGCACAAAAGAATCTTCATGGCATGCAAATTTCCACAGAGTTCGACTCTCAAATAATGATTGCAAAAGAAGAGAATCTTTCTGTAGCTGGCCACCAGGAGATTTAACTAAAAAAAATTAGCGTAAGAAAGGAAGCACGCAGCAAAAGGACCAAGAAAGTACCAAGTAATCGATGAAGCATTTGAAAGGCAGTTGCGACAACCCGGGCATGTTTTGCGTTCGCCTCATCTGGTCGGACGGTTCGCTCGTCACTCAGGGTCAGGGGTGTTTGCTGAACTGTGGCATCAAGTACAAATTCTAATATCGAAGACTGATATACTTTCCATATACTTTGTCTTTTGTCCTCTGCGGGAAATGCGCGGATGATCGAGTCCTGCGCAGCTTTCACAGCTAACTTATCGTTATCATAGAGACCGGCAAGCCAAGCTCCTATCAGTCTTGGAATATAACGAGCTATTCGTTTTCCTGTCGTCGATACAATATGTCCTTGAAGAGTATGTGAAAGCTGACGAACTCTCCGTGACACGTCTATCGATATACGTGGATATAGAATGGCCTATTGGAATTATTACAATCAATTCTGTTGTCACCTTTAATCTACAACTAGATGGGAAGGCAAAACGCACCCAAGCATCCAAAAATCCATCTTCTAGCTTCCCTTCCTGAGTTTCAGAGCCACGAACAAAGTTCAGAAGGTCCTCCAGAGCCTTTGTTTTAGTAGTGCTGTCTTTCTTTAAGAGATTCTTAAACGCAACGACTACCTGGGGGTGGGATAGCAACGACAAGTCCGGAGGTTCAAAGATATAGGACAGCGATGAGACCACATTCCCCGCACCCACGTTTGTTTGGGTGAAGGCGCCAAAAGATGCTGCGCCAAAAGGACTGGAAGCAGCCCGGCTGCTCGAGGCTTGCGACTTGAATTTCTTACTCATGGTGGGCAGAGCTCTCTGGTAGATGTTAGTCCAAATGCAGATGAGGAACGGAAAAAATATACATACTCCGTACTCCAGCGTACAACGCCGCCCGTCTATCACTCCGCAGCTCAAAGAAGCTGGGTGCCTTCTCCGACACCCAAAACGGAGATTTAAAGCGGCGACGTCCACGTGACTTGGCGATTCTGCGGCATCGCCTGGACGCGAAGCCTAAGCTTCAGTAGTATTTCGTGTCTGTGGACGATGAGGGTATTTTGTGACCCGAAGACACAATGAAGTTTTTTATTGAGTATGCATATTGGTATTTTCTTCTGGTGGAATTCCCCTGCTAACCGCTGCTTTCATTAGTGACTTACCCGTCCTTTTTCCGTATCCACGAATTTATCCTGAGCAGTATGCATACATGTGCGACCTCAAAAAGACGTTGGATGCCGGAGGGCACTGCGTTCTTGAGATGCCTTCAGGGACAGGGAAGACTGTATCCTTGTTATCCCTAATTGTCGCATACCAGCAACATTCCCCAGAAAACAGAAAGCTGATCTATTGCTCTCGAACAATGTCCGAAATTGAAAAAGCATTGACAGAGTTACGAGAATTAATGAAATATCGCACACAGCAGCTTGGATACAATGAGGATTTTAGGGCATTAGGCCTCACTAGTAGAAAAAATCTTTGCCTTCACCCCTCTGTGAGAAGGGAAAAAAGTGGCACTGTCGTTGATGCCAGATGCCGAAGTTTAACAGCCAGTTTCGTAAAAGAAAGAAAGGAAAAAGGAGAGGATGTTGAGCTTTGCATATATCATGAGGTTTGCATCTATTTCCCCATCCTAAACTTTGCTAATTTTATTAGAACCTAGATCTCTTAGAGCCAAGTAATCTTGTACCGCCTGGGGTGTTCACGCTCGACGGAATCATCAAATATGGAGAGCAGCATAAGCAGTGCCCTTACTTTTCAGCTCGACGAATGGTACGCTAGCACTCCTTTACATTTTTATAGCACAGCTGTTGACAAATTCCAGATGCCGTTTTGCAATGTTATAATATATTCATATCATTACTTACTTGATCCAAAAATCGCGGAACGAGTGTCAAAAGAATTGTCAAAGGATTGTATAGTAGTCTTTGATGAGGCCCATAATATTGACAATGTCTGCATTGAATCTCTCAGCATCGATATCACCGAAGATTCTCTGCGTAAAGCTGGTCGTGGTGCAAACAACTTGGAGCGTAAAATAGATGAGATGAAGAGAACAGACGCAGATAAACTGCAGAGAGAGTATGAAAAGTTAGTTGAAGGCTTGAGGGAGGCTGATGAAGCACGAGAAGAGGATCAGCTCATGGCTAATCCTGCTCTGCCTGATGACTTGCTCAAGGAAGCAGTCCCAGGAAATATCCGGAGAGCAGAGCACTTTGTTGCCTTCTTGAAAAGATTTATTGAGTACTTAAAAACCCGGATGAAAGTCACTCATACTATCTCTGAAACCCCACTATCTTTTCTCTCTCATCTGAAAGATCTAACGTTCATTGAGCGGAAACCCCTGAGATTCTGCGCGGAACGACTGACATCACTTGTTCGGACTCTAGAATTAATGAATATTGAAGATTATCAGCCTCTCCAGGAGGTTGCAACCTTCGCAACATTAACTGCGACTTACGAAAAAGGGTTTTTGCTCATCCTAGAGCCTTTTGAGTCGGACACTGCAACTGTACCAAACCCTATCCTTCACTTTACTTGTCTAGATGCAGCTATCGCTATCAGACCCGTTTTTGATAGATTCAGCTCTGTCATCATAACGTCAGGCACTCTGTCGCCTCTCGAAATGTATCCAAAAATGCTCGGTTTTACAACTGTACTCCAGGAGTCGTACAGCATGACCCTTGCCCGACGTTCCTTTTTACCAATGATTGTTACGCGTGGTTCGGACCAGGCACAGATTTCTTCTTCCTTTCAAATCCGGAACGATCCTGGGGTTGTCCGCAATTACGGTAATTTACTTCTTGAATTTTCCCGCATAACTCCAGATGGAATAGTGGTATTTTTCCCCTCTTATCTTTATATGGAATCGATTATTAGTATGTGGCAAGGAATGGGAATCTTGGATTCAATATGGAATTACAAGTTGATTCTTGTTGAGACGCCTGACTCTCAGGAATCATCACTTGCCCTTGAGACATACCGCACTGCATGTTGCAATGGACGAGGAGCACTTCTTCTTTGTGTTGCGCGTGGCAAAGTATCGGAAGGAATTGATTTTGACCACCACTTTGGCCGCGCTGTTCTATGTATTGGCGTTCCATTTCAGTATACAGAATCACGCATATTAAAAGCACGGCTTGAATTTTTGAGAGAGAACTACCGGATCCGAGAAAATGATTTCCTCTCTTTCGATGCCATGCGTCATGCTGCACAGTGTCTTGGACGTGTGCTTCGGGGCAAAGATGACTATGGGGTCATGGTTCTCGCAGATCGACGATTTCAAAAGAAACGAGGCCAACTGCCCAAATGGATCAACCAAAATATGCTTGAGAGCGAAACAAATTTGAGCACGGATATGGCTGTGGCAACAGCTAAGAGCTTTCTTCGGACAATGGCGCAGCCATTCAAAGCCAAAGACCAGGAAGGTATTTCCACCTGGAGCTTAGCCGACCTAGAACTTCATGTTGAGAAAGAGAAGGGAGAAGCGGAGAAAAGACAACAGCAAGAAGTCACCCAGCAACACCAGGGAGCTCTAGTGGCTGCTACAGCTGACCTAGATATGTACGACAACGATAATATTGATGCAGACCTTTTAATGATAGATGCTGAATGAATTGATATATGCATGGAGTTGAAGGATTGGAGTTTAAGGCGATATCTAGCATATAGTTCAGGATACCTCGGGGGAGTTTCGGAGTATGAATTGGAAATATATAGTATTTTTGTAAGATCCAAAACTCCTAACGCTCCGTATGAAAATAGCACAGTAGTTACAAGGTATTTAAACAAACCCGAAATACCAATCATGCTTTTTATGCAATAGGTACGAGAATATCAAACGAACCCGTTCCTACAGTACTAGTTCTTCCCATGACAATTCGGCTGCTAGGTCCAGCAAGATTGTCCCAATCACGATCCAGAACAGCGTCCCTTAAAAACCTCACAGTAGTTTCGAAACTCATTTTCATCAACGGTGATGTACTATCTTTAACAATACCCATACGATTAAATGGGCGGAACCCCCCACCCTGAGTCATTACATCACCAATCAAGTTCAAATGGCGGTTATCAACGGCGATACTGTGACTTTTGAACACCGCATCCATCTCACGCACAATACTTGCTCGAGCGGCTTCGACGCCGTAGAGAGTAAGCATATGGTGAATAGAATTGCTGTATAGGGTATGGGGGTTAATGATGTGCTGATAATCGCGCATAGCAAGAAGGTTGACTCCATCGGTGATAACGTGAGCCCGGGTTCCTTTGTCTTCGGGAACATAGCTACAAGTCCCAAGGCCAGGAATAAATTGGATCAGGGCTGTGTGGGCTGCATTCTCCACAAGAGGTAATAGAAGGAGTTTGGGAGTCGAGACATCGTATTGCAGCTGGATAATGCAGGAGTTCCCCTTTCTAATGTCGAATTTGAATTTGGTGACTTCCGCATATTTATCTCGCACAGACTCCTCGCGTTCCTTAGCATTGTTCGTTACTGAAACATCTTCCATTTCAACATCATCATCATTGGATGTGTGGGGTTTACGTTTCTTTCCATTATTATCGTCATCTTCATCACCAGACTCGACTTCTGGGGTATCCTGACGGCGTATAACGTCTTGATCATCATCATCAGGGGCTTCATACGATGCCTGGTTTGACCTGTTCTGTGATGATCGTGCCCTTTTTGCGTCATCTGGATCTTCATCTTCATCTTCATCATCGTCAGCTTCACCTCGCCCCTCGCCAACACGTGGACCATCTTCAACCACGCCAACAGATGCTCCTATCTCTGGCTGCGCAGCAGAAAAGCTGGAGAGAGACTTTTCGTTGGTTCGTTTCTTCAATTCAGCCGTCGTAAGCTTGACGAGTTTTGGAATAAATCGTTTCTCTAGCGTTTCTAGCACGTCTTCAACCTTGATGGCGTATTCCTGAGTGTACTCTTCGGGTGGGAATAGGTCAATGTGAATATCGTAGAGCTTTACTTTGATTTGACCTTTTGTAGCAATACGCTCGTGTACCGAGAGTTTATCGATTACCTCTGCAAGAGTGAGCCGGCTAATAACTTTCGCGAATAATTCCCCATCCCTCTGAGAAGCTTCATCATATAAATCGGCGGACATGGTAGGAGTCATGATATGGGTACTCGCTGTCATAACAATTTCCCTAAGGCGAGGAATACCTAGAGTGACGTTTTTAGCAGAATGACCTGCTAAGTGAAAAGTGTTGAGTGTCATTTGAGTTGAAGGTTCGCCAATAGACTGTCCAGCAACAATCCCAACAGCTTCGCCAGGGTCCACAACAGAGCGCATATATTTCAAGTTCATGATACGCTCAAAGTTTCTCTTTGAAATACGGTTGGTCTTTTCTTTCGTAGTATCTTTCAATATCTTATCGGGGTTTTCTTTCCGGTACTAAATGCGAAGAGAATGTTAGTATAATACTGAAAACTGGGAACCCGTTGACCTTACTTTACTCAACGCAGCGGTAAAGGATTCGGACGTGCTTCCAAAGTTCGCGTTAGGGGGATAAAGAGTTAATGCTGGATCTTTAGCGTCCAGCTTGCCAGTTTTTCTTACTACCCTCATAGCGTCTCTACTCCAATCCGAAGCATCACAGCTAGCGATTTTGTCATACTCATTCTTGCCATTAACTTGCGAGACAATCGACTGGAAATTCTGAGCTAAAAACCCAAAGTCTTGAAGATGCTTTTGTTTCGTGATGTCTAAACCATCCTCTCCATAGACGAATTGAACCAGAGTACCATCTGCGGCATCCCGGACTGAGGTATCATACTCTGCTTTCAAGCCCTCCATCCCCTTGATCAAACAACGCTGTAAATATCCAGAACGGGATGTCTTAACAGCTGTATCGATTAGACCTTCTCTACCGGCCATAGCATGAAAATAATACTCTTGGGGTTTGATTCCAGTAAGGAAACGACCAGAAACGTATCCACCAGCAACAAGCTTCGTCTCGTAGGGTTTGAACGATGGAAGCGTTTTTCCACTAATCATGACTGGAACTCTACGGCCTTCTAAAACTTGTTGGCCCAAGTTGCAGGAGATCAGGTTTGCATTGACCATCGATCCTTTAGCACCAGATACGGTCATCGTTTGCATTTGATTGAATGGGAAAGGTTTTTCAAGACCACGGGGCAAACATGCGGCCGTAATGTCGGACGAGAGGCCGGCTGATCTTGAGTTGTACACGCTATCAAGGCCTGCCTGTTTTTCATTGTCCCGTAGTACATCTTCAAGTCGTCTCCGTAACTCTGCGTCCTTGTCATCAGCCGTACTCTTATCCAAGGTCACGTATTGAAGCGCAATTTCACGGCCAAGGGTGTTGCCTTTCTCCAACTGCTGTTTTCTCACCTTGTCGCCCTCCTTAGTCAGTCGCAAGTCGTCCATACCACAGGTAAAAGCGCGCATTTGCAAGAACCTTGTGAGCAAACGACCAAGGATGCCAATGAGCTTTCCAGCAACTGTATGGCCGTATACTTCATGAACTGAATGTATCAGCCCACCGGCACTGGGTCCAAGCTGGGCTTTGTCCAATATGCCGCACAAAAGCTCCCCATCTTTGAAAATGACTTCGTTTTCTTCGGAGCCCTTGTCCCATCGATCTCCAGGAGTCGAAGACTTTCCTTTCAAGTTTAATCCAGACTGGGATACAGGAGTAATATTTTTGAGAATTGTGGAAATAACCTGTTTTCCAGTCCATCTCGGCTGTGGTTTGAAGATTGTGGGCGGCATAAGTTCAATCTTTTCCCTGACCACATGTGACTTTTCGGGGCGAAGAGAGCTGTAAAGCAATTGCTGATAATCTTCTTCGTCAAAAAGGCTATCACGCGACGTAAACCACGTTCCCATTGAGATATGATCCTGAATGAGGCCACGTAAAGGCTTCCCAGATGTCGCAACAAGATATTGATGATCCGTATCAGCAAGGTACATTGCCTCAGCCCGTGCAATTTCATTTTGAGGAAAATGCAAGTTCATCTCATCTCCATCAAAATCTGCGTTATATGTATTGCAATTAGCGTAATGCATACGAATCGTTTTTTCTCCAATTAAAACACGAGCACGGTGGCCCATGATGGATGGTTTGTGCAAAGTTGGCTGTCGATTCATCAACACCACATCTCCAGTCATTAAATGTCGATATACTTTCTTATTCCTTGAGCACTTGAGCTTCCAATTTGAGGACGCCGTTAACATGCTTGCAATTGAAGCACGTTCATCAGCAGACTTGAATTTTAAGTTAACCACTTGGCCAAGCTCATTCTCAACAGCTGCAGCGCCAGGGTATATATCAGGGCCATTTCTGACAGCCTGCTGAAGTACCTCATGATTCCCATCTGTGACCGGCTCAGGGTATGTCAGTTTCTTGGCAAAAACAAGAGGAATTCCAATCTCGTTGGTTTCGATATTGGGATCCGGAGATATAACACTTCTTGCTGCAAAATTGACACGTTTTCCCATCATATTTTTACGAAAAAGGCCATCTTTTTTTTCTAATCTTTGCTTGATCCCATCTTCGTTTTGCATGCCTGCCGCCCCTTGTGCAGGGTTTCGATCACGGTCTATTAAACTGTTGACGGCATCTTGAAGCTGAACTATAACTTGGAGAAGGTCACGATAACCACGAATACGGGACAGTGACTCAGCACCATCTCCCTGCCTCTCTCGGCTGATTTGACTAATTTGCTCGCAAAGCTTCAGGATTCGGGTGAACGATGTATTTTGCTGAGCTTCCATTATCTCATTCGGGCCCTGCTGCGCCGCTGGACGATATTTGTTAGGTGGTACAAGCAAGTGTTTAATGAAAAACATGTCAGCAGATACATGCGACCGTCGGCCTGCACCCGGTCTCGAATCGTAAATCAGATCTAATATCTCCTGTTCTTTCTCAAACAAAAATCGCATTGAGGCATACACTTCCGAGGATGGTATATATTGTTGTGCGTCTTCCGATTGCGTACGGCCATATGCTCCTTTTTCTTCAGCTGCCGCCAACACTGCGTTCCCCATTGATACCTGGTGTTCTGCGCCATGTGACTCAGTAATAATGCTGTAATCATCATCCTCGATTCCGTTTGCCTCATCCATAAGTCCAATCGATTTGCTTTTCTTAGAAAGGCGAGTCGCTTCCTCCATTAGTACGAGTGGGTTAGGAATTTGTAGGCCTGCTGCAATCATGGCGGCTTTTGCTTTTTGTGGTAACGATCTTCGAAAAATTTTTGAGTATTTGTCTCTTCTGAAAGAGGGGGAAATGCTATATATGAGCGGTTAACCAATACATTCCTAGGTTGATGCATACTAGAGTGACAACTTACCCACTACAGGATGTACACTTCTTAGTATTGGTAACATCCTTCAAGAAATCGTGGACAGTATTTCTTCTCATTTCCGCTACTACTGGATTTTTAGTCATTCGTCCACGATTTTGATCGTTTCCGCGAGTTGTAATGTTGGATATGCACTTGCGGACGAAAGCATTACGGCGATCAATAAGATCCATTTCGTCCTCTTCCTCGCTACTATCAGAGTCTTCGCCGTCCCCTTTTCGTGTACCCCTTTCCAGCTCCATATTTCCAACAGCGGCAGCATCTTCCACCAAACCGTATTGTAAGAGTCGTAACTTGCAAACATATTTATTGATTTGTAACCTCGACATTCGAAACCGGTGGCAGTAAATGCATTGCGCTCTCAGCAGGCGAAAGAGTTGATCAAAAAAGGTAACATTGTAGACATTAACTGGTAGCTCTACGTGGCCGGGATGGCCAGCGCAAGACCAAGAATTTAACCGGCATGTTGTACATCTAAACAGGAATAAACTGTCAGTATACACAACTGAACACACGATGCGAAGGAAGCAGCATACACATGGTCACCCCATGCACCCAGAGCTGGGTCGTATAAGCCTGCCGGGACGGGATTATTGAAAGAGTCGAGAGTTGGGGTATTGTGAATGCGCTTGACTGATATTGATTTGATCTCCTCGCTGGAGAGGATCTCGAACCCCAGCGCACCAATGGTCGAAGGCACAGGCCGGGTGAAGCTTGCCATTGTGTGGAAGCGGCCAGCTGTCAGCCCGTGGCCGTCGCTTGGAATGCGTAGACTGGGGGCTCGTCGTCCGCAGTCTCGTCGAGCTTGAGGAACTTTTTTTTCTGCCGTTTACTGCCGTCTCTGCATTGGAGCTTATGCCAAGAATTTGCTTACTCATCATGTCGCGCCTTGCTTGAGCCGCATCGCAAAAGACTTGCTGGCTTACCACGTCTTCTACTCAGAACCTACGGGCGCAGACCCGGCCACCCATCATTATTGTTTACTCACTCTTGCTGCTATAATATCTCTCTTGTGGCCTTACCATCAGTAGGTACTTGCGAATTTCCCATAACAAGCATTTTTCTTTCGCATCTTGCATACCGCTCAAGATCAGCACATAAAAATGGCAGACGCATCGCACTCCTCCCTGAAGCGACGGCACTCCGGTGATGAAAATGGCACTCCCAAACGCCCGCGATCCAATCATGGATCCCCCGCACCCGATAGAAACGGTGGTGTGGCGCCGAAAATCGACATTCAAAAGGCCATTGCGGCAGCAAAGGCGAAAGCAGAAGCCGTCCGCGCCCGACTCCAAGCGCAAGCCGGAGGAAGCCCGGCTTCGATTACCGCTTCCCAATCTCCTTCCCCCGCGCCTCCTGCGACCCCATCCCTATCCAGAATCGAGCAAATGAAGGCTCGCGTTGCTGCAGCGACTGGAAGAGCGAATGCAGCTGTTCAGCCAAAGCCACAGCCCACTCCTTCATTCGTACCTTTGGCTTCTGAGGAAGGAACTTCAAGAGCTAGGGGCGGCCTCGATGTGGGCCTGCATCCAGCTCTCCTTGGGGACATGGGATCCGATGGTAGGTCTGCTAAAAACAAGCAGGCTATGCACCCCAAATTTGCTACGACTATGGCGAATCGCCAAAGAGACTCGTCTCTACCATTGATCAAATCTAAAGGCAAGCAGCTTGATCTTTCTGGGCCCTCGATCGAAGAAACCAGAAACAATCCCTATTTTGATCCGAGTCTTGGAGCAAAGACAGCCCTCGCCCGCCCTCGCTACTCCCGTCAGCTCGTGTTTAACCAAAAAGGGAAATATATTCAGCAGGCTGCAGCTTTACGGCGACAGGCACAGCTGGAAGCTATGAAAAAGAGAATCGCAGAACGTGCTCGCCAGGCCGGCATAGATGAAGACCTGGACCTGGAAAAAGCATTTCTGGTCCCTGCCCCTCCCGCTATTGAGTGGTGGGATGAAGGTCTTGTCAACGGGACTGATTATTCCGCTATCGACAAAACAGAAAACTTAAAGATAGATTCGCCAGACTCGGTCATCACCCTCTACATACAACACCCAGTACTGCTGGAGCCTCCTCAGGACAAAAACATTCCACCGCCCAAACCTATGTATCTCACACCCAAAGAGCAAGCCAAAATACGTCGCCAGAGGCGGATGGCCGACCTCAAAGAGCAACAGGCTAAAGTTCGACTGGGTCTCGAACCGGCGCCTCCTCCAAAGGTGAAGAAATCGAACTTGATGCGTGTTCTCGGTGAAGAGGCTGTTAAAGATCCTACTGCCGTTGAAGCCCGTGTTAACCGAGAGATTGCTGCACGTGCCGAAAAGCACATGGCGGATAACGAGTCTCGTAAACTAACAAAAGAAGAGCGGAAAGAAAAGCTCGCCAAGCAGCAAGAAAACGATGCGTCAAAAGGAATATATGTGACCGTATACCGTATTGACAGCCTTGCAAACGGTCGCCATCGCTTCAAAATTAGTAGAAATGCGGAGCAACATAGCCTCACTGGCATTTGTGTTATGCATCCTAAATTTAATCTTTTAATTGTCGAAGGTGGATACCATTCCATCAATGCCTATAAAAAACTTATGCTCAACCGTATTGATTGGACGGAAAATGCTGGACCTAATGCCGTCAAAGAAGGAAACCGAGAAGCTTTAGCAGCCTGGCTATCAGCAGAGGATGAAAAAACTGGAGAACTTAAGGATTTAAGCCTCAACTCATGTACGCTTGTTTGGGAAGGAGAAGGAAAAGCCAGGGCATTCCGAAAATGGCTTGGAGCAAGAGTTTGCGAAACAGATGCCGCCGCGAAGGATACTTTGACGCGTGCGAAGATGGAGAACTTTTGGACTCTAGCCAAAACTATGAAGTCAAGTACAACCTGAAAAAATGCTGTCTAGTATTTTGGAGGAAATCAGTACTACCTTTACAATGAAATATATGCATAGGGCTGGATGACAATTGGAATTAAGGTTATTCCGTTCAGATACGGATAACCCACTTCTAGCACAGTTAAATCTGCTCGCGAAAAAAACTACATAATTTTAATACATATCAAACTCCAGTTCAATCTACATATGAAGTTCCCAGACCAGCACACCGTAAAAAACCCTGATTTAGATGGTTATCAAAAGTCATCAAAAAATGACTTGAATCACTTTTTAACCTCATTATTCGTATCATGTGCCTCCACCACTTAGTCGCTTCAGCGTATCCAGCTGGGCTTGAGCAGCAGCAAAGGCATCTGCCTGTCTTTGAGAGATAGGAGATACCGGTGGTATCGATGACCCATTCTGCGTAGCGTATTGCGGCTGCTGTTGATGTTGTTGCAGCAACAGGTTCGAGAAGAAAGCTGGGTTGATATGAGAGCCTGGTGGAGGAAACGGAAGCGTATTTTGCGGAGGAAAGGAGAAATTTGGGAAAGGGAACTGTGTCTGAGGTTGGTTAACTTGCGGCGAGAAGGCGGGATATGTCTGAGGGAAGGCTTGTGGTGGTGCAGAAGTAATTGGACTGGCATTTCCATTGTAGGACTGTGTTTGTTCAGGATATCTGTTTGAGAATTGGTGAGGCATTTGTGTTGATCTCTCAGATGGAGGTGGCGGGTGGTAATTGTCTCGGTGGTGCTGATGCCGGCCACTGTCCCGTCCTCCTCTACCTCTCTCATGACCTCGTCCCTTTCCCCTTCCTCTGCCACCCCGGAACCCTCGCTCGGAAGAACGATCATGAAAGCGTGCTCTGGGTTGGTCTCGAGACATTTGCTCATGAAAGTCTTTTGGCCGTTGTAACGTATTATACCCATCCTCCTGCGGCTCGTCATCATAGTTCAGCTCTGTATGCCTCAGTCCTGAAGGACCTGGTCCGCCGCGACGTTTGCCTCCATTTGATTGCTCAGATCGACCTTCTCGCTTCTGCTGGCGCTTGAGTTTGAGCTGACGCTTGTAGGCAGCCTCCGCTTCGTCGTCGGAAAATTCAACTTCGTCTTCTCCAATCTCCTCATCATGCAAATTTGAGGCATCGCTGCCTTTCAGGCCTTTCAGTGGCTGGGTGAAAACGAAAGTAGAGAGATCTACCACATAAAACACTGGTACGCCTTTCTCCAGGCCCGAAGTTTTGATTTCCTCTGAATCGGTAAAGTGAATGGTGTACATTGGCTGTTCAACCTTTCCAAAGGTATCGGAAACCACACCAATCACTTCCAAATTTGCAGAGCAGAGCACGGAGCCAGTTTCCAGTACTTGATATTCACCGGATATATTCGCTTTAACGAGTACGATATTATCAACCACTGACTCAACATTACCGAGCATCTCAACTTTCGTATCGGCAGTAATGACTATGTTGGGTTTCGGGATCACCTCTTCCGCTTTCTCGTTCGCCGTTCTAACACTCTTTGCGGCTGATTTCTCATCTTTGCCATCCTCATCATCTGACCCTGCTGCTGCAAGGAGGATTCTAGCTTGTTCCTCTGGATTCAACAGCTCGTAATCTTCCTCATCGCTTGAATCATCCGAAGAGTCAGACGATGAGTCCGATGACGATTCATATGGCGAAGAGTCTGTCTCCCACTCCCTTTCTTCCATCCTTGTATCAGGCGCCGATTCCCCATTTATAGGCGCACTGGTTTCCTCGGCATGGATGGTATCGATTATGGGCATGGTACTTTCATTTGTCGGAGGTAGAATAATAGTCGATGCTTCACATAGAGTCTTAGGCCCATTGTCTTGCGAGTCAGTTCCCCCCATTTTCGTATCAAAATCATTAGCTCCATTCGTCTTTTCTGTAGTTCCCTTCGCATCGCCATTTGTCGCAGCTTCTATAGCCGTAATGACGCGGTCTAGAGAGTCAGCTAATGTTCCGTGCTCGGGAGGTGCCTGCTCTACATGAGACGGGAGATCGTGCCCATTGGAGTCCTTGCAAAGGCTTAATCCAGGTATCTGAGGACGGGGATTCAGTAGCGACGATGTCCGCTCAGCCTCCACAGAATTGCCGACGTGCGACAGCGGAAAGGGGCTGCCACCGATAGGCGTGTTGTAGAAATTGCTACCCTCGTCGGGGTCCTGATCAGCCATGTCGGGCCGCAGTTGACAGTCGAAAAAATATTCAAGATTTAGGGGTAATATTAATAGCCAACAGGATAAAATGAGCGAGAAACGCGACCATCTAACACATTTTTTGCTTGATGTAGGTGATTGTGAAGAATCAGTCTATCTTTGGCCCAAAAAAAATTATTTCACCCGATGAGGTCACCGCCCGCCGTACAAAGTTTCTGAGCTCCCCATCCAAACATCAATCATCAATGGTCATCATCAAGCAAAATGCAAACACGCGCATGAACTCTTGCTAACAACGGCTGAGAGCTGAAACAATGCCTTCCGAAGACCACGAGCCTAAGGACGGAGCTTCAGCAGCTTCGCCTAATAAACCGAAGTACGTATTCCCTCTACGGAGCCTATACAGCGACATTGTAGAAGCTAACACATTTACCATTCACCACAGGCCTGTCCCGCAGACCTTCTTCCTCCCTCTAAACGTGGTCTTCTACCTCTGCTTATTTTCGAATGTCCTCACAGCCACTTTGGCACCGATACAGGATTGCGATGAAACCTTCAATTACTGGGAACCTACCCATTACCTGTCGCATGGCTATGGTCTGCAAACTTGGGAGTACTCCCCCACATACTCCATCCGCAGCTGGCTGTATATCGCTGTGCATGCTTGCTTTGTGAAGATGTCCACCTTCCTTACGCGTACAAAGTCGGCGCAGTTCTATTTCCTCCGTGTAGTGCTCGCGTTTGTCTGTACGGTCTGTGAGACTAGGCTCTACTCCGTCATATCACGCTCACTAAACCCAAGAATCGGTGTACTATTTCTCATGATCTTACTATTTAGCCCTGGTATGTTCCATGCTTCTACTGCGCTGTTGCCGTCCAGTTTTACAATGTACACAACGATGCTTGGGCTCTCGGCATTCTTGGACACGAAGAAAGGCCTTCAAACAGCTAGAGGTATTATGTGGTTTGGAATTGGGGCAATAGTCGGTTGGCCATTTGCCGGAGCTCTGGTGATCCCGTTTGTTCTCGAAGAACTCGTTCTCGCTGTCATATTTCAAGAGATCCGACCAGCCTTCCACCGGATTCTCAGTGGAGGAATAAGATGTCTCGGAGTTCTGGTAGGAACACCCCTTTCAAATACGTCTTATATTATCATACTCATTGTGTTATAGCTCTTTGAAGTTGTCGTTGATAGTCTTTTCTATCGGAAACTAGTGGTAGTTCCGTGGAACATCGTAGCCTATAACGTCTTTGGGGGAGCAGGGAAGGGCCCCGAAATTTTTGGCACTGAGCCCTGGACATTCTACCCACAAAACCTGCTGCTTAATTTCAACATATGGTTTGTGCTGGCGCTTTTGAGTGGGCCCCTGCTCATTCTACAGATGTTATTCCGCCTCCAGAAAACGTCAAAACAAACTTTGCTGAGATCGATCACCTACCTGCTTCCGTTTTATCTTTGGCTTGGAATATTCATCCTGCAGCCCCATAAGGAAGAGAGGTTTATGTATCCGGCATACCCATTTCTAGCGCTCAATGCGGCAATTGGTCTTCATATAGTGCTTGCGTACCTGGGATCTACCGATCGTCGCGAACTGGTTGGCCGGATCCCCGTGAAGTTGAAGTTCGTGATCATTATCAGCGGCGTTTTTCTTGCCCTCAATGTTGGCATTTTGAGAATTGCAGGCACCTTTACGGCGTATAGCGCTCCTCTCAAGGTTTTCAATGAATTGGAACAGGTCAACATCACAGCGCCCGAGGCTTCTGTGTGCGTGGGGAAAGAATGGTATCGATTTCCGTCTTCCTTTTTCCTACCACAAAATCTACACGCCAAATTTATCCGAAACGAGTTCAAAGGCTTATTACCCGGGGAATTTGCCGGATCAGCCGACGCCGGCCCCTTCGCTGGAACTTGGCTGATACCATCAGGGATGAACGACATGAATCAGGAAGATAGTTCCAAATATGTAAGTACAATCGTTTGCTTATATTGTGTCGATGAGTACTGATTTCAGCAGACCGATATTTCTCAGTGCGAGTTCCTGGTGGATTCCTACTTCCCAGGCGATGAAGAATCCGAGCTGCAACCTCATTATATCCTCGATACCAAGACGTGGGATAGGGTCGCGTGTAGGCCGTTCTTGGACAGTCGACGGACAGGTGCGCTGGGTCGCATTTTCTGGGTCCCCGATGTGCCGTTGGTTCCGTCCAAATTGCGCCGTGTATACGGACAATACTGCCTTCTGCGACGGCGCGATGTCGACTCTACTGCGTGAGTGAAGTCAAGAGTGAAACGCGTCTCTAGCCCCGCGCGATAAGGAAGCCTATGTTGTGGAATGCGGGGAAAGCTGTCAGCAGGCTCAGAGACCCAACACCAACCTCAAAGTCAAACAGCGCGTTCCGGCATTCTTATCTGGTACATCGGCATTATTGGCAGATCGCCTGCATTCATATTCCTGATCCGTGATCGCAGTTGGTGTTGACGTTTCGCCGGCGGCACCGCACTTTACCCGAAGCGGAGAATCTATCCAGCCGCATCGCCCTACCACCAACCGCACTGCACGACCAAGCCAGTTGCGGCAGGACAACGAGGAGCGCCAGTCCAGTTTACGACGCCGCATGAAGGCCATCTACTACTCTTTGTGGTCGGAGGCGGCTCGATTGGCTTCGACCAGACATGGAGGAGGTGGCTGGTCCAGCGTGCCTGACGCCGGCTCCCGTCTACGCTCACACAGGACTCTCCCAACTTTGGTCACGGGCGTTGGGCTTGTATTTGTATTAAACTATTGCCTATTTCCCTTGCCTCACCACGTTGCGCTGGCGCTGCTGCAACTTTTGACTGAATATATATAAAGAAAGAACCCGCTAATAAGCTATATACCATGATTGAAGCTTCTCTAGCCCAAATTATCGAGCAATTTTATGTTAAAGAATTAGCCGGCCTTGTTTTATTTGCCTTCACATCGTCGTGGGCCCTCACAACGCTCTGGAGGATACTCGACAGAGGCTTTCTGCGGCGCTCTGGCGCTGCTGACCTAGAGAAACCCAACTCGCATACATCCAAGCCTAAACCACTTGACAGGACGCCGGGAGGTGCTTATGGGATCCTCACCCACTCCGTAGTAAGACACACGCTGACGGCTGTCGCATTTTGGATTAGAATGGATACCGCAAGACTTCAAGCGGCCTGACCCAGAGCCGTATCCCGACTGGGATGTTCGGACGACCAAACCCAAACCATACCGTCCCTTCAGATATGGCCCGTAAGCCTGCCAGACATCCTACCACACAACCTACATCACCAATACTAATATGTGGAAGGAAATACTTTATCACTATGGGGCTTCGATCCATGAAATGGGATGAATGGATTGGTGAATACACATACATACCCCCATCCTTCTATGAAACAGCGCGCTGACGGCGTCTTTCCTACTCAGAATTAGATAATCATTACCCAAAATACCATGCCGACAAGGCTCGCCGTATCAAGGAGCGGGAGGACAAATGCATCATGGTCGCTCCCGAAGCCATGGACGGAGTGGTGGAGCTGTTAGAAGAACTGTACGTCACGGCCGGCCCCTTCCCCCAAGTCTACAGCACGGCACAGACGTGCTAAAACCATAGATTCCACACACCGCAGCCGCTCCTACCTGCCCCTGCGATATCCGTCTCTCTTCCGGCGGACGGCGATCGGCATCGACAACCTGCTCACCGGGGAATCCTTCAACACGACGCAGCGGCCGTTCGCCGAGAACCCCATGACCACGTGCGCGCGGCTGGTGCAGGACGACCTGGCGCTGATGTTCGAGCGGGCGGACGGCGAATACTACCTGCTGGCGGGCGCGATCCTGCTGGCGGGCTTCTGGCGGCTGACGGACAAATTCGGCATGCGGCTGTCGGACATCCACACGTCGGGCGCGGTGCCCGGGTTCGCGAGCAAGCTGGAGAAGGGCATGAAGAGCTTCTTCCGGCGCATCCAGCCGGGCGACGCGGTGCTGCGCAACAACTACTTCATCCAGGTCGACGACTCGCTGGCGTGGTCGCACAGCATCGGCGCCGAGGACGCCGCGGCCGTGAGCTGGAACACGGCGCAGAAGGCCACGGCCGTGCGCCACCACTACTTCCGCTCCGAGCGCCAGTCGCTGCGCCGCCTGCCGCGCTCCGGCGCCGTCGTCTTCACCATCCGCACGTACTTCGAGCCCGTCACCGAGATCGCGCGCGAGCCGTACGTGCCTGGCCGCCTGGCGTCGGCCGTGCGCAGCTGGGGCGACGACGTGTCGCGCTACAAGGGCCGCGAGAAGTACGGCGACGTGCTGCTGGAGTATCTCGACCGGAAGCACGAGGAGCAGCTGGCGGCCGGGCTGGATCTGGACGAGGAGGATGAGGTGCGGCGGTATCCTTTCTGAAAGATCATCAGGCGAAGTTTGTTGATAAGATTATTATTATTATTATTATTATTGTTTAGAATTGCGCATGCATGCATTTGTCGTTTTTTTTTTACCAACTTTTTTAGTAAGTAGTCGTGTCTTTTTGCTTGTGGGCAGGACGAAATAAGAATACATAAAATGACCATCTGCCAGGAAGTTATTCGTTCCCTCGCTCGCTCACCCGCCAAAACATACTTTAACCCTGCCGCAGCGCCGAAGAGAAAGAAAACCCAACTATGGAGCGCTGCCCAGCTTCCCAGTAGTGCGCAGAATTCGACTGATCTAGATTCGTAGAAATATAGCTCCACGGAAAAGTGGAAACTCAAGCAAAAGAGCGTAATTTGGAATCGCCGGGGGAGTCCCCGGTAGCGATCAAAAAAGGTTCAATTTCCGTTTTTTTTTTCTCATATTATTATTGTACACACGCTTTCCAAGTATTATTATGTAGAGAATAGCAGCAGACTTCCGCCAAAACCGTGCCTTGATGGAGGGTAGCGATAATGCATGAGATTTCCCCAAAACCAGAAAATTGGTTAACCCAAGCAAACATCATCTATTGCAAGAAAAGAGACACCGGAATCCAGAAAGAAAAGAATTTCGCCAAGGTACGATGCCAATTTATAAAAAACAGAAAACCAAAGAAGGGCCGTCCTTGAAAAGAAAAAACAAGACAAATAATAATATAATAAAATAATAAGAATAGCCAAAAAAAAAAAAAGGACACAGTAAACCAAGCAAGGATGCCAACGCATGCGTCATGACTCGTTTCGCCTCTCTCCCCCCCCCCCCCCTCCCCCCACGCACGCTGTTCATACTATACAGAAAGCCGTCAAGAATCTCATGATTAAGTGTGTGTCCGAGTATAAGAGAGAGTATAAAAAAAGAGTAAAGGTGTAGGCCGGAATAGAGATCAGCCGGACGTTCGCGCCCGGATGACAGAACCGAAAACGAGGCAAAGGCCCTTCTTCCCCCAAAAAGGACAGGAAAGAAGACAAGGGACTAGATAGAACACTCCGTAAAGGATGGGCAGGAGATATATACAACCCGTTATTATTTTCCCCCTCCCGCCCCCGTTGTTAAAGTGGATTAATACGGGGGAGAGGGGGAGGGTTTGTAAAAAACTGCTTTCGTTTTTTTTTTTTTCTCTTGCTCCCATTTGCATTCTGCTCACAACAACAGCAAAAAGAAAAAAACAGGCGCTCAAACGGTAAATAAAGGGTGGGGGTGGGGAGAGATGGGGGGGGGGGAAGGAAGGGCGGTTTGCGGCCATTGATAATCGCGATGGTATCAGATTTCCAAAAATAAAGATAATAGTAAAAAGGAAAAGCAAAAGCAATGCAAAAGCCAAAACACACCAAATCGGCGGGAGAGGGCAAAACAACCCCGTTCTTTCGAAGTACTCCGTAAAATAATCTACCGCCCGCGGTCCATCGCCCAGTTCAAATCAAGTCAAATAATTAAGTCCATATCGGGAGGGAATCCTGGCAGCCCATAAAAGAACGGGGGGGGCAGGGATCATGACGTCACGGCGAATCCCACTGAAACGTGCAGCGCCAAAGAGAAGAAAAAAAAAAAACCGGAGACGCGATGGCAGCGAGAGAGAGAGAGACAGAGAGAGAGAGAGAAGGATATCCCAGACAGCGCCAGGGCGATCGACCGACTGCATGGAGCAGCGGCGCGCTTGGCTGCGTCGTCATCTGGGGCGCGATCGGCCATGCGTGATTTGATTTTTTTTTTGCTGTCGGCTTCTGCTTTTCCCCCCCCCTAGTTAGTTAGTAGTAGTCCAAGACTGCCGGTTCAATAATGGGACACGATATCAGTCTCGGCCGCGGCGGCGCTGCTTGCCGGGCCAGCTGACGTCCGGGTGCACGACGCGCATGTGGCGGGTGAGGGCGTCGTTGCGCGAGAAGGTCTTCTCCTCGGAGCACAGGTGGCAGCGCACCTTCTGCTTGCGGGCGTTGTGGATGGTGTCCTCGTGGCGCGTGAGGTCGTAGGGGCGCGAGAAGATGGAGTTGCACGGCTTGCCCGTCGACGGGTTGATGCGCTCGCACTTGTGCGGGCCGGCCTGCGACCCGCGCAGCATCACCGTCGCCGTCGTCGTGCCGCCGCTGCCGTCGCGCGCCAGCCCGTGCGTGCCCGGCGTCGTCTGCCGGTGCGCCTCGCGCTTGTGCTTCTGCAGCTTGGCCGGCGTCTCGAAGCGGTGCGCGCACCCGTGGTACGTGCAGCTGTACGTGCCCGAGTCGGATGACGGGTCGCGCGGCCGCTTGACGGGCGAGTGTGGTGGGGGACGCAGGATGCCGGGCGTGCGTTCACTGTTCGTCGCCTCCATGGACGGCGGGAAGTCGGGGGTGTGATGCACCGGCGGCGGCGGCGGGGGCGCTTGCGTGACGCGCATGGGCTGGTGCTGCTGCTGCTGCTGCTGTTGGGGCGGCGGCGGCGGCGGCTGTGGCTGCGGTGGCGGCTGCGGCATGTAGTACTGCGAGCCGTCGGGCGGCGCGGGGTGGAAGCGTGGCGGGAACGGCGGCAGCGGCGGGAAATTCGACAGGCGGAAGGGCTGCTGGGGCGTGAACTGGGCGGGCTCGGGCGGCGGCGGGAACAAGGGCAGGCTGGCGTCGTCGTCGTGGTAGTCGAGCAGCGCGTCCTTGGGCGAGATGGTCTTGGGCTCGTCGGCGTCGGGCGCGCCGCCAGACTCGATCAGGGCCATGCCGCGCAGCGCCGAGGCGGCGTGCGGCGGCTGCGCGAGGGGCGCGGCCGAGGAGTAGGCGTAGGGGGAGCCATGGCGGAACGGCGAGCGCTGGCGGGCGGCGGCGGCGGCGGCGGCAGCCATGTGGGCGCCGGGCGAGTGGGCGCGCGCCGTCATGTGGCTCTGCTGCGCGGCCTGCAGGCAGTTGGCCATGACGCTGCCGCGGTACGGCGCGTAACCGGCGGGCTCGAGGCGCGGCTGCGACGGCACACGGTCGGGCGGCGCGCCAGCCAGGGCCGGGCTGTACAGCTCGTCGGCGTATGCGTCGGCCGGGAGCCGCGGGGCAGCGGCACTGCTGAGGTCTGGCGGCGCGGTGGGCTGCGAGTACGGCGGATGCGACCAGCGGTCCAGCAGGTCCGGGCCGGACAGGGGCGGTGGTGGCTCGCCGTGCGAGAGCGACTTGGACAGCTCGTCGAGGTCGTCGGCAAAGCTGGCCTGCGGCGTGGCGGGCGAGTTATGGCTGGCCGAGGAGGCGGAGGGCGGGAGCAGGGAGTAGAAGCCAGCCGGCTCGTCCGTGGCGGCGGTGGCGGCGGCGGGCGAGCGGGCGGGCGGCGGCTGTGGGCGCTGGTGGTGGGCGTCGGACGGCGGGCGGCTGTAGTTATTGGTATTATTATTATTATTATGGTGATGGTCCAGCACGGATTTCCTCATGTTCCCATCGCCGGCGCCGGCGTCCAACGCAAGGCGGGCCGGCGGCCGCGCAGGACTGGCGAAGGGCGCGTACGGCGTGAGCGCGGGCGACGAGCGGGCGGAAGCCGACGCGGCGGAGGTCGCTATCGACGGCGGCGAGAGGACAGACGAGCCGGACGCGGCGCGGCGGTGGCTGATGCCGGGGAACAGCAGCGGCGGCGGCGGCGGCGGGCGCTTGGCGGGCGCGAGCAGGTGTGCGAAGGCGTCGTCGGAGTCGTCGAACGGCAGGCCGGCGGCGTCGTGGTGCAGCAGGAAGGGCGCGGGGGCGTCGCAGGCGGGATCGAACGAGGCGTCGTCGTAGAAGTGGTCAAGCTTGACGGGCGGCGGGCGCAGGCCGGGCAGCGACGCGGCGAACGACGACGAGGCGACGGGGAGCATCGACTCCTCGGGCCAGAACGAGAAGTCGAAGGCGGCGGCGGGCGGCGACGCGAGCGCGGAGAACACAGGCGACGACGACGGGCCGGCGAGGTACGGCAGCAGCGACGGGTGCGGGTGCGGGTGAGGGTGGCGCGCAAAGGGCGACGAGGCGGCGGAGGAGGCGGGCGAGGATGAAGAGGCGGGAGATGGCGGACAGGCAGCGGGACGGGCAGCAGCAGCAGCAGCAGCGGCAGCGGCGGTGGTGGTGAGCATGGCGGGCGCTGGGGATGATGGCAAATCGCAGTATAGTTATACGCGGCGCGGATGGCCCGTGAGCAGCGCGGGTGGCGAAGTGGGAGCTGCGCAACCAAGGAAACGCCCGGAGGCAAAGCGCATGTGGGCACGGGCAGCAGCAGGCAGGCAGGCAGGCAGGCCAGGCAACGGGGAGGGTGGTGGAGGGCGAGGGGATATGTATGATGCGGATGACGGTGGCTATTCTTCTTCGTCTTGTTCTTCTCGGAGCTGCTGCGCGCCGTGGTTATATATAACCACCCGGCCGCCGACCGCCAGGCCCCTGCGCTGCGCTGCTGCGTTACGCTGCCTGCCCTGCGCGCCCGTGGCTGGCCCGGCAGAGTTTTCCGTATGCGCTAGTACCGCGCTACGCCGCCGTCATGACCGCTAGTAATCTTACCGCCCCGGCGTTGGCGCTGCTGCTGCTGCTGCTGCTGCTCCCGGCGCCGGCGAAACCCCGGCTGCGACTGGCTGCCTGCCTGCCTGCCTGCCTGCCTGTCTGCCGGCTGCGAACAACGGCACGCACGCTCGCCGGCCCTGCGTGCAGTGCGTCATCGCCCACGGCCTCAGCCAGCCAGCCAGCACCCACGCTCGCTCGCACGCTGGCACGCGGACGGGCGAGTGCGCGCGCCGGTGCGGAGGAACCGCGATGACGTCACGCCGTCGTGGCGCTTGGCACGGTCCTGCGTCGCCCGACACCCCCGTGCGCTCCGCGGCCAGCTCCGACTCGCCGTGCACGCTATCACCACCACACAGCCCTTGCGCGCACGCCCGCGGGGCCCAGCCCGCCGGCCCTACGAACGGGCCCGGATCGACGCGCTCTATCAATAGCGCTCGCTTAGCCCTCAGGCACGCCCACGCACCGAGTAAGTAGTAATCAACAATTCCTCAGAGCACCCAGTCGTACACCCCGACTCGCTCGCTCTAATCGATGACGCCAATCTAGACTCCTATCCTTTTTGTCTTTTTGTTTTTTTTCGTTACCCCGGAGTCTGTCTCGCGCGAACCATGGGCACGCCGTATCATGCTACCGAACCAAGGCACCCACGAGAAAAACCAAAACCGGGCGATCCAGAAGCACGCCCTGTGGCTGGTGCAGCGGCCGCGCGCGTGTGGCTGGCCCTGCTCTATACCACGACCCAAAACGACGCCCGCTTGGCGTCGGGATCCCCGACCTCTGGGAGCACCGCCACGCGCCGCGCCTGTGGCTAGTTTAGTGCCGCCGCCCTGCAGAGATTTCTCGCCTGCTCAGCCACGATGTGGCCCTGCTCTGCTCTGATCTTCGCAGAAATCAACCCCCCGACATACATAATTCCGATTACTGAGCGACTCCAGCGCGGCAGCAGAAAAATTAAAAAACCGGTTTTGCCCGTGCTGCGAGTAATGCAACGCATGCCTCCGTGCAGTACGATTTGTTCGGTTTCGTAGCCGCCAAGTTTGGTCTCCCCCCTCCCCTCCGTCATATCGCTTTCGAAGCGTCTGGTTCGCTGACGCGCGGCTCCCCCCCCTAAAAGTCAAGATTTTTGCCTCGAGAGCTTAAGTGCTTTCCTGGGACCAGTTCTTTGCCGTCTTTTTTTTTCCCAGAGTACTCCTCCATACACAATGTGCACGGCCGATGACGCCTTGCTTTTTCCTGTGTCCACCCCCTAACGCCGGTGCGGGAACGGCGTTAACTAACTGTTCTGAATCAGTAGGATCGTGACACCTCCGTGATAGGAGTGCATGCTGCGCCGGTCATGTGCCCGCCTGCCCGTCCAGCCTGCCAGAAACCTCGTACCCGGACTTACCGTACGCCGGCCCGTAACTTGCGAGGTAGCCACTTACCGTGCGGTTGCCTACCCGTCGTACGATCGTTATGACTGTGCTGCTCTGCGTTTGTTTCGACTCGATGCCGCCCGTAATTTTACCCTGTGCGGCCCCCCCCCCCTCGTCCGCTGGTACATAACTAAAACTCCCCCTACGGTAGCAGTAGCAGTGGGAAGTCTTCTTGTCCCGAGCTACCTAGCTAGCTCCCTCACCTAGAAGCTACCCAAGCTTGCCAGGGATGCGTTTTGAATTCCACTTTATCCCTTATATTTTATCCTTTCTTGCTACTCTCGGCGGGCCCGCCCTGCTGGGTCCCAGATGCAGCCACTCCAAGCGCGCTGTTGCTGCTGCTAATGCAACGCATCCATCCATCCAACAACTCTCCCCCCTCTCCCCTTTACGGCGTGGACTAGCCCAGCGCCGCCGCGCCCCCGATAAGTCCTTGCGATAATAAATGCCCGCGCGCCCATTGGCTCCAGACATTGCGCCCCAAAGAATCATCATGTCACCATCCGCTTCGAGGCCGGGAGCCGCGTCCGCTTTCGGACAATGGTCCTGGCAACGCCCAGGCCGAGGTCAAATCGGGTCAACTATACTCAGTCGTACGTCCCGAGTTAGTAGTGACTGGCTTGCGCGACTTTTGCCGTCCGAGCTGGACTACGCTACTGGTGGTTCGTAACAAATTATGGCGCCGTCGGCGGCAGGTCCCCACGTGAGCCCACTGTTTCTGCGGTAAGCGGATACGGACGGGGCCACAGTCATCGTCGCTAGTCGCGAGTGAATCATTTGTATTATTATTATTTATGTGCGATGAATGAGCAAGCGCCCCGGAACATTCTATTTCCAGCGCTCGCTTTGTGCCAGGGACCCTGCCTCCCCCCCCCTGCAAGGTCCCAAAAGCCTAGCCAGTGTAGTACTACCAGGCAGACATTTGTCGCGCGAAAAAAGGAAAACAAAAAATGATAATTATAGCGGCTGCTGCCTTTGGGCCACATGGCACACCACGTATATAGACCGTACACAGGTATGTATGTATGTATGTAACCGTACTCGAGGGGGCACGAGACTTTGTGACACACAGCCAGTGCATGATCAATGCAAAAAAAAAAAAAAGTGCAAGTTTCGACGACAATCCTCGAATCCTCCAGAAACAACCCTGAACCACAAAACTACGTGCTTGTCTTCCCCCCCAAGAACAATCAACAATCACAAGCAAACCGGCGTTCCTGTTGCGCCGTTGGCCCATGACAAACACAGCTCCGGTCCGGTCGAGCTGGGAACAGCAACAGGCAGCACAAATAACAGCAACAAATTGCAACACCCGCGCTCTTCCCCACCGCGTGTTCCACCAGTGCAGCCGCATCATCACCAGCCAGCCAGCCAGCCAGCCCTACCGGGGGGGGGGGGGGGGGGGGGGGGGGGGGGGGGGGGGGGGGGGGGGGGGGGGGGGGGGGCCCTCCCCATGTGGGGACGCAGCAAAACCCAAAAACCCAAAACCTTGCGCGGGGCTTGGCGGGGCCGCTCACAAAAACTCGTGGCCGTGACGTCACCCCGCGAGATCCGTGCATGCAACAGCAAAAAGACAAAGAAAAAAAAAAAAATTTTTTTTATGTCCCAAGCATGCCTGCTGGATGCCGCTGCATTTGCCGACCTTGGGAGCCCACTGCGACCAACGCAACGACGGCTATCAAGATTCTTGGGAGCGCAGATGTATAGCCGACGTCGCGGGCTTTGCCTTCCTGCGAGAGCGTTTTTTTTATTATTGTTGTTGTTGTTAACGGCGCTCCTTGACCAATGTGACGTCAGGGTTTCAGATCGGGGTGGTAATGGTGGGGGAGGAAGAAATATGCAAATCAAACAACCTGTCCATGCTTTGATTCGGACGAATGAGTTTTTTTTTTTTTTCTTCGCAGGAAGGATTGACGCTCCCAAAAAGCGTCGTGAGCGTGAGGCTCCGGTCGCGCGGGTCGGATTGTTTCAGAAGCATCAAACCCGTTGACGTATGCAGCAGGTGGTTAGCATTAGCAGCAGTAGCCCCTAGATAGCTAACTACTCCGTACTCCGTTGAAGGTCCTGGATCTAAGCATGTAAATTATCTACGGCGAAACAGGCAAACCCGATCGCAATTCCCACTCCCTCCACCAACCAACCAACCAACCAACCCCCTTTCCCTAGGGCTGGAACCCAAAATCCACCCATTTCCCGCCGCAAGTTTCAACCAACCGCGGCAAGGAGCAAGCGAAAAGGCAACTACTCCGTACAATAATAAGAATAATAATCCAAAAAATCCCTCTGGGAATGGGTGTGGATCTACGCCGAAACCTCCCGCATGGCGATCACCCCCCCCCCCCCACCTCCCTCTCCCCACCAGGAGTCGTCGTCGTCGTCACAAATAATGACAGTCGGAAGGAGAGCAAAGCGAAAGCAACAAAGCGCAAGAGGAAAATGGCCCGCAAGCCAATAATGCTGCTGCAACGCAAAGGATGCGACCGCCGGTGATCTGCGAAAAAAAAAAAAAAAAAAAACAAGGCTTGGGGTCAAAGCCCGACTGGACATCTGCCCAAGACGGTGTACAGAAGTAGCATGCTTTGCGAAAGCACGGGTGCATATCGAAAGACGATCAAGAGTGTGTCTCATGCACGACGACGTGTGTGTGTGAACGTGACATTGAATGGACAAGGCAGGTGCTGCGCGGTGCCAACATGACAAATCGCTCGTGCCATGTCGGCCGTGCCGTTGCAGAAATGACGACTGTTGCGATCATCGTCTCTTCTTGTCCGTCGTCAACATCACCAACCAGATGGAGACAGAAAAAAAAATTCAAATCCCAGTAGCAGATCGGAAGCCACAGATAGACAGAGCACAGCCACAGCCCTGCCAGAATAAGCTTGTACGCAGGGCCCACTGGTACCGTAATTTATCAATACCGCTGTGTTTCCACCAATCAGCGCAGCCCCCGATCCACAGGGTCTCGGATCTGCTAAGCGATAGGGCAGGCGCTAAGCTGCTTGCGGCAACATTTGGCGTCGGGTGGAGGCTGGTTCCTGGCCAATCACGCCTGGTCGGGCGCCGGTATGTCGATCGTCCCGATCGGCACTTTTTCTTCGCTGACAAAAGGAGGGGGGGGGGAAGAGAGTGGGTGAGAGAAAAAAAAAACGCTGGTCGGAGGATTGGCATCCGCCGAACCCAGCACGACGAGCCCTGCGCTTTGCTTGCAGTTTTCGTTTTCGTGCTGCACGCAAAGCCTTCCTCCACCCCCTTTCCGATGGATTGTTGTTGTTCTTCAATGCGACATCAGCATGGCCCCGTCGCGGCGCCGACTCGGTCCTGCGCGCAGCTCTCGCGCGCGACACAAAAGAGCCCGGCGGTTTCGGCAAAATACTTGGCTGGAAGCCGCTGGAACGTCCACGGTGCTTCTAGCCACCTTCCCAGAGCGTGCTGGCGGCCGATCCGTTTCCTGCAGCTCTAGTGCGGGCTGGCACCGACTAACTAGAAGTTACTTAGCTAGTTCGCTGTGCTCCGGCGTCTGAGAGAGTATACTCCGTACTCGCGTCGGAGAGTCATGTTGTGCCTGGGACAAATTTTTTTTCAATTTTTTCTTTTTTATCTCCGTGGGATTTCTGGGCTATCGCATCTCGGCCCCAGGCGACCAGCAGCCCACTTACTGAATGGGTGGCCTGCAGCACATGCATGGACGGCCAGGATCTCGGTCAACCTTAACGCGAGGAACAGTGGGGCTGCAGGGAAAACTTTTTCGCGCGCTATTCTTAGCAGCCCGCACGTCAAGCCTCGCCCGCAACTCCGAACGACGCTGCCGCCGGCCATGGTGGTGATGATGATGATGATGACGGCTTGCTCTCATCATGCCAATTCCACGTTGCAGGGTTACCATGCAGCGATGCATAACAGAGCACCATGTTATCCATCACTTGCTTGCTTGTCGGCCTTCCGCGGTCATCTCCTCGTCTAAGCCCCAGAGCTTGTTCCTTGAGAAGTGAGCTGTCGCTCTGCCCACCCCCCCCTCCACTCTCTGCCAAGTTAATAATTATTATGTTTTTTTTATCTCTGCTCCCCCGGGCCCCGTTCATATCGATTTGAAACCTGTCTGCTGACCGACCGGCCTGTGCAGCATAGCGGTGAAATAAGCCCCGGAGATCCCGTCAGCTACCAAGCGAGCTGCCTTCGCCCCGACGAGCTTGTCGCAATCCCCCTCGCTGTGCGGTGCGAGTGGTTTGCCCCCTTCTCCCAGGCAAGAACAGACAAGGTTGGTGGTCAGGTCCCGTCGTCTTGAGAAGCTCCATTCTCGCCACCAGGGCGGGTCCTTCTATACATCCAAAGCTGGCGACCGGAGCCCGAGTGCTTGGGGTATTATTCGCCTCCCGTGGTGCGGGGAGCTGAACAAGACAGTCGACAGCACGCACTCCTGTTGGTCGGCATGCACGAAGCCATCGGCTGTGGCGAAGGCGCAACCAGATGGGCGGTTCCTCGTTAACGCCCGCCTGCCTGCCTGCCTGAGGGCCCAGGCCCACTGCAAACGTCCGGCCGTGGGCGTCCAAGAGAAACAACGCACCCGCTCCAACGCCCCAAGGCCAGCGCTGGCCTGCTGTGGCGTCGAGCACTTCAGCTGAACTGAGGACCCGCAGATTATTAATCTCAGGGAAAGATTGGTATTGGGCGTCCAGCTTGGTTGGTTATCTCCGTCAATCGGAGTGGAAAACGCCATACATTATTATTACGCCGAGGAGAGATAACAGAGCCCCAGCTTCCCAATGCGGGAATGGGGGCAGATCGGGTCTCGATCCGTGGGGGAAGGGCGTTGATTGCCCTGGCACGCTGTCGACGACAGCCACCCAAGCCCATGTCGAAGCAGAGCGCACGCCCTTGTCCACCTTGGCCAACTAACGTGACTGTACCAAGGCACAGCGGATGAAACGTCTCCACCATATATTACTCTGCAATTATAAATATAAGGCCGCTGGGACCCCCCGCCCGCACCGCGAGAGTCGTGAAATTACCTGACCATGGGTAGTAGTGGTCAACTTCGCCCTTCCAATCACCTACGAGAGTCTGGCTGCTGCCTGCCTGCCAACCCTGAATCGATAATCTCCCATGCATCAACACATGCTCATTTCCCGCAGACCCGGTTCAAGAGATGAATCAGAACACGAGTCGACATCGGGCCTGCAGCTAGCCCAATCAATCGAATCATGGTCCGTGATCCAGAACGAGATGCATGCAGCTCTGCCAAGTTCTAATATCACCTTCTTTTTCCGCGCACTGCCCAATGTCGTGTCCGTACACTCACACTCTCTCTTGCGGTCGTGCATGGAGAGGATACGTGTTCATTGGCCAACGGCCTCTCAGCACACGAGTCTTTGACGAGAATATGTGACATATACCCCGTATCGGGCGTGGGAAAAGAAGATGTTTTCCGCCAAAGATGTCTACCTGTTTCCCGTTTGCCCAACACCTCTTTGCCCAGAACCAAGCTCCGTTTTAGACCTTGAATCTAGGTTCTGTGATTGAGCTTGTCCGGCTTCTAGGTCCTCTCAGCTGGAAGATTTACGGTTGAACACCGGCCAACCGTTTCTATCCTTGTGAGGATCCTGGTTTAATGATGGACATACCAAGTTACAGGGCACCGCGCGCAACATGAGCTGCTGCTCCTGGACTGGAGCAAGACATCATTTTTTTTTTCATGTCAGGTACATACCAGAGCGGAGCGTATTCTAACCATCCACATCGTGGTAAAAACATGTTTTGTCGCGCGCGCCGTTCTGAGACAGGTGGGCTATTCGTTCCAGCCTCCTCAAAGAGAGAGCCTCTGTAGTCCTTAGTATTATCATTTTTCTTATTCGTAATCACCATCCCATCAATGGTACCAGAAAGACGAACAAGACTCAACCCCCTCCCAATTCCATAGTTCACTACTCTCTTCCCGGTCGGGGCTGGCCCGGGCGTACACGCCCTGGTCATCTAAATATACACAAAACGCCATGAGTGCGCAAACCCGACTCATCGCCGAGACCGGCATCAGCCCGGCTGTAAGTAAACTAACTAAAAAACCACCCACTCGGGAGGTGACCGCTCGGTTTTCGGACGGTTTCCAGGTTGAGAAGGCAGCGGTTCCGTTAATTGTTATTTATTATTATTATTCACGCTCATGTAACTACACCCGAAGAACATGCAAGGAAGCAAAACCAGTCAAACCTGTCAGGCATGATTGTTGCTTACACAGTTTGCGAGAACAGTGCGGAGCGGAAAGCTAATCTTGCCTTCCGATTCTATCGAGATTGTGCATAGTGCATATCTACCCAGTATTTAGTGACGCGCTGATAGCAGTCGCTGAGCAAGCATCATACTCTCTCGCAGCTTTCTCAGCGGGGAGCTCTCGGAACCAACGTCTCTTCTCTTCCGGGCCGACTACCGGTTAACTAACTACAATCTCTGGGCACAAACGTAAAAAAAAAAAAAAAAAAAACAGGTCGAGATCGCCGACTGCATGTTGCTGTTCCCCGACGCTCCCGCTCCGCTCCCCGGGCGGGGGGACAGAGTCTCGTCACATAATCACATTATTAAAAATCGCAGGGCCGTTGTTTTTTTTTTCATACAATAAAAAACCGCAAAGAAAAAAAAAACAACGGCCCTGCGATTTTTAATAGTGTCAGCTGGTCTCGTAGCTCGCCAGCCACAGACCACGCGCAATTCCAGGCCCGGAAAAGCGGGAGGTTTACGTGTTACGCGATGCACAGGGCAGCCCGGCGGGTACAGGCATATTGCGATGGCTGTTGTTATGGAGTACGCGGCGGTGGTTGCGCGCGCGAGTGGGCTGACTCGTCTTAGATCGAGCCAGGGCGTCATGTGATGGCTTTGCTCATGTGATCCCTGGCGCCGGGCATGGGTTTCTATTCCGGTGGTGTGATTGCTTCGTGATGACGATGGTATGATATGATGAGGCCAATTGAGAAGGAGGAGGAGGATGATGATGATGATGATGATGATGATACTGGCGGGATGGCTGGCCCATTGCTAATTGTTTCGGAATTCACCACTGTATCAACTCAAAACGCCCTGGCGTATTACCCACATAACGTGTTAGAACCGGTCAGATCTCCCTCCCTCCATATTAAACGGGATGCAAAAAACTGTCTCGAGGGACATGGTATATAGCCGTGCAACTCTTGAAAGCGACAAGTGCAAAATACGCTTCAAATGCTATGCTTTCCTCCCCCTTCCCTTTCCTCTCTCTTTCTCTCTCCCCCAAACATCACACTGGCTGATCAGCCTAGGATTCCGCGGAATACTGCTCTGCATCCTTCCGTGCCTTGAACATATTTGTCAACCCCCTCACTAACATGGTTGGATTCCGTTTTATACTTGGTGCCGGCACTGCCGCCGTGCGTAAGTCTGTGCGCCGTCGCACTAGTTTCTTGCGTCCAAACGGCCCCTGGTAGTAGCTATCCGAAGTCATCGTCTGGGTCCGCGTCGGCGACGGTTGTGCACTCGGAAAGTATTGCGATGAGCGATCTGAAAAGGGTGTCGCTACGCCGCTGCTTTGGGCGGTAGGTAGGAGGTCGGTCATGGACCGCGACGTCATGTAGAGGGAGCCCCGGGGAGGGGAACTCTGGGGAAGTTCAGGAGGCTCTAAGAGCTGGGGGAGAGTGGCGTAGTACCTCGACTGCCTCAGTTGGGGCCGCATTGGGTATGAATTCTGCGGAGGCGGCGGCGGTAGTGGTGGTGGTGCAAATGCAGGGGGTGGATGCTCTAGGGGCACCAAGGCGGGTTGGGGAAGAGTTTTTCTTCGAATTGAGGCGGATGGTATGCTGGGTATGCTGGGGGGAGTGGGCGGGGTGCGAGTAGGCGGACTGGGGGAGGGTGGAGTGGGAGCAGGCTGGCTAAACGTCTCGCCGTTACTGCTATTATGGAAGCCACAGCGTTGGCAGATGTACGGGTTCTTCTGAGCCGCAACGGGCGGTTCGCCATCGCTCTGTATCTCCTCAGGAGGACTGGGCGGTACTGTGGACTGTGACCACGAAAACTTCCTCTCAAGCGATGGAAATACTGGCGCCTGACGGCGAAGAAAGTCAGGGGTGGTGCCGTTTCTCTTATCCAGCAGCTGCAGGCTGTCGAGAAAAAGGCTTTGATTCTGCTCAAGTCGGGCCATAATTATCGCGACCCGAAAGGAATGGTACGACAGAATGACCTATTTATTCAGCGATCAAAAAAAAGAACGTATCATGAACGAGCGTATCCCAGTTGGCCAGGGGGGGCTGTGAAGAGCGAGCAGGCTCCAGGAGCTTTAACAGAGCACAGAAACGGGGGGTTTCAGGCCATTTTATTATAGGAAGAGAGCAGGAAGAAGAAAAACAGGCAAAAAAGCAACGTGCTTCCAGTCGCAGATCCGCCTGCCGCGCACACACGCACCTGGAGACTGACGAATCTCTGCGGGCACTTCGCAGCCCATTTAAACCCGCCGCCATGGGCCCTCGCTTTTTGGACCGCTCGCAGGACGAAACACGCCCGAAACAGACGAAAGCCAAGGGCCGCCGGGCAACCTAGAACAAGGCCAATCCCATGAGCCTAGCGGCGAGAGAGTTGGGGACCACTCTTTGCGTGCGAGAGAGACGCACAGTGGCTTGCGCAAAAAAAAGAGTTGGAAAGTCGGGTGGGCGTATGCCCCTCTTTGTGCTCGCCAGGCGAATAGAGATGTGGTTCCGAGATGCAAGCTTCGTGCAACTCGGATCCGCACTTGATCCCACAAGCGATGGTGCTGTTTCACTTCCGCCCATACAATCATGCATGAAGATTGGCCGGCGACGAACCATCCCACTGCGCGTCCACGGCACGGCGGCCGTCAAGCATATAACGAGGCTTCCTGGGCTTTTTTTAGTCCAACCAGGTTGAGATGATCGAAGCGACAGCTGACGTAAGGCGCTGGTCACGTGGAAGGGGTGTTCAGACGAAAGAAAGGGGGATTGAGAAAAAGACTCAGACAGCAAGTGCTCGGCTGGCAGCCGATAAATTGCGCAAATGGCTATGTTTCAGTGCGGGAGAGAACAAAGTTGGAGCTGAAGCAAAGCATATCGCATTTTCTTTGACTGTGCTTTGACAGAAATCATCTGACACCAGAGCTAGCTAGGTGTGCTCCGAGTGGTAATCACCAGCTGCATGAACGGAAGACACATTATGATACACATGACTCCACGACCTTCCGACCTCCCAAGAGTAAAACAGAAACCCAGATAATATGCCCGTTAAGTTAAAGAGAAGAACACCGTGGAAACCCAAGTCATTGTCGTAAAGAGAGCAATTTAACCACCGAAACCGTAGAGAGTGCCTGGGTAATCTGGTCAGTGGCAAGTTGGGGCAAAGTAGAAGCTGGAATGACTCACGTCCTTGACGCTTGAGGGCGTAGACAACATCCAAAGATGTGACGGTCTTTCTCTTAGCGTGCTCAGTGTATGTGACAGCATCGCGGATTACACCTTCAAGGAAGGTCTTCAAGACACTGCGGGTTTCTTCGTAGATCACTGTTTGAAGTGAATTAGTCTGGGTTAGGTGATGGTGCATGGAATGCAGGCAACATACTGGCAGAGATACGCTTGACACCACCACGGCGGGCAAGACGACGAATAGCAGGCTTGGTAATACCCTGGATGTTGTCACGAAGAATCTTTCGGTGACGTTTGGCACCACCCTTTCCAAGGCCCTTGCCACCCTTTCCACCTGTAGAGGAAGACGCGTTAGTTATGCCGCCGACGCGGTCTAGAGCCAGAGGCACTTACGGCCAGTCATGTTGATAGAAGTGAGGGGTTGTTTGAAGTTTGTTAGAGATTAGTGTCTCGTGGAAGTGAGTCGATTGGAGAGTTGAGAAACGCGTGTACAAGCGGCTGTAGCAGAGAAGGAGAGAAAGTTGGAGAGCAGTTGGGCGGCGCGATATTTCAAGTCGCTGTCGCCGGATTGGTGATGCGGGCGATCGGCCAATCAGCGCGCAGCGATTCGGGCCAGGGCGCGCTAGCCGTCTTGGGCGCCACCAGCCAATCAGCGGGCGGGATCACGACTAGTACATCGAGACTGATCTCGACGAAACCACCCGTTTGCAGCGCAAATTGGGAGAATCAGTTGATCTGAAGCGGTGGAGGTGGCAGAGATCACTGCGTGCAGCAGTTTGATCCGCGTTGTGCTGGTGGTGGGCGAGCGGATCAGATAGGCGCCAGGCGGGATGTGGTGTGGTGTTGCGGGCGGGTGTTGTGGTTTTTGGTGTTCTGCCCGCCAAACAGGCCGCGCGCAACCCGCCCGTTAGACCGCCCGCTTTCCAGCACTTTTTTCTGATCTGAACAATCCGCGCTAAGCCTGGCTCTGCGCGCCCACGCACGCCTGCCCAGATCACGCCCCCCGCTGGCCGCCTGCTACAAATACCGGCCCCCCACCCAATTCCCTCGCTTCTTTTGCAACCTTTTCTCTCCACCACCATCGCCATCCGCCTTCGTGTGCTTCTTTTGGCATCTTCCAACCATCCTTCCATCAACTTTTTATCGCTCAAAATCTTCGCTTAACTGCCTAAAACCTTTTACAATGGCCAGAACAAAGCAGACAGCTCGTACGTCATCACCACCTCACTGTCGCTGCGCTGCTGCCTCACTAGGCTGCCGGTGGTGACGCGACTTCATCTCACCCACCCTTTACTGACTTCGTGTTCTTAGGTAAATCTACCGGTGGCAAGGCCCCGCGTAAGCAGATTGCCGCTAAGGCTGCCCGCAAAGCTGCTCCCTCTACTGGTGGTGTCAAGAAGCCTCACCGCTACAAGCCTGGTGAGTCACCTTTTACCTTGGCGCCTTCACTTGCCATCCTGGTCTTAGCTAACAACACCCTTCAATAGGTACCGTCGCTCTCCGTGAAATCCGTCGCTACCAGAAATCCACCGAGCTCTTGATCCGCAAACTTCCCTTCCAGCGCTTGGTCCGTGAAATTGCTCAGGACTTCAAATCCGACCTCCGCTTCCAGTCTTCCGCCATCGGTGCCCTTCAGGAGTCCGTCGAGGCCTACCTCGTCTCTCTCTTCGAAGATACCAACTTGTGCGCTATCCACGCCAAGCGTGTTACCATCCGTATGTTTTATCTAACTACCTTGATGACTCGACAACTAACAACACTTTACAGAGTCCAAGGATATCCAGCTGGCTCGTCGTCTCCGTGGTGAACGTTCATAAACGTTTCTAGTGTTTATGGATTGTGTTTTCTTGTGCTTGTTCATAACTGTTAACGACCGGCGACAAATGATGGCTTTTTAACTGGGATTTTCAATTTGGGTTTTGTTTTTAATCATCAACAATCGTGGACATGGGGGCTGGGTTGGTCTGAGGCGTCTTTGCTGTAACATTATCTCGATTGCAAAATTGCACCAGCTCGAGTCCTTTTCATCGGGCCCGTACTTAGATGTTAACATTCAATATTACTTCTAAGTGTCTTACTATTATTACTCTCCAAATATACCTTTAGTATTATTCTCCCTGCCCTTGATTGTTGGTGTCGTGTATATATATTGAGTGAGCCGAACCTTCCTTTCAACATAAATCTGCTCGCTGGGTTATATTCCACAATACGATTCCTAATCACAAAACCGAAGCTGTTTGAGCCTGTTGTGCGACGGCGCCGACGAGCGTCAGATTTGGCTCGCGAGAATCACCGAGACGGGAGTCGGCAAACAACGCCGAACACCCGAACACCAACTTCACCGACACACCCTACAACTTCTCCTCTCCCTCTTGTTACTGTCGACAAGGCCGTTTTGAAGATATGACATTAAAACCATCGCTCTCGTTTTCCCGTGATCGTCGCCCACGGCCGTGACGCCTTTCTCGTACTGTTTGGCTGTTCGGCTGCCCCACCTCGACTTCTCCGCTTGACTCACATCTCCCCTGCTCCCTCGGGCTTATTCTTACGTTCCAAGTCAGAATTTATAAGGAAAAATGATCCGGTGATTCGCCTACTACGGCGTATCTGTGACCTTGAGCTTCGTTTTTTGAAAAATACGGGGAGTTGCGTGTCTCACGCCGGCTGTAGCCTTCCCCCCCACCACCAACCGTACAGAACACAAACTATTTACAATCTCGAGCATGGGCATGGAACGTATCGTACGAGGGGCCCTGTCCGTCTCACTTGCGATCAGACGACAAACCTCGGTCCCTCATCGTTGGACGCAGCTGCGGCGAATCCAATCCAGTACCACAAACCACAGCCCATCCGCGCCGCCATCACCGGCAACAGCGGCTGAAAATGCGAACACCCAGACCCCTCCCCACGGCTCTGCGACGGCTTCAGCTGGAGCCCCCGTGCCCTCGATCCCCGAGCGACCCTCGCGCTCGCTGCGTCAGATAATGAAGGCTAGTCCGCTGGGGAAGGCCGTGGGCTGGTATAGCCGGCAGCAGCATGGCCGCCCGTATTGGACGCAGGTGTGGAGTACGCTTATCATATACTTATGTGCAGACCTGTGTGCGCAGCTGCTGGTATCCAGTGATGAAGCATCGGAGGCGGGGGAGCTGCAAGGTGAAGTTGCTGCTGCCCAGCAGGACGAAGATCAGGAGAGCACGTCGAGTGTGTGGGCGAATTACGATGGGATGCGGACTGCGAGACATTTGACGGTGGGAGTTGTTGCCGCGATTCCGGTGTATAGATGGTATGCTCAGGATTCTTCAGATATCAATTCTCAGACTAATATTCTCGTCATAGGTTTATGTTCCTTCACCATCATTTTAATTATGCCTCGAAAGCCCGTTCTATCCTCACTAAAGTTGCCGTATCACAATCCATATTCACTCCTATTTTCAATACCTACTTCTTTGCCATGCAGTCTCTGCTCGCCGGAGCGTCACTGTATGATACGTGGGAGAGATTGAAAAAGGCCGTGCCGAATAGCATCATGAACAGCGCCAAACTGTGGCCCGGTGTCACCGCTTTCTTATTTTTATACGTGGAGCCGCAGTTCCGCAGCATCGTTTCAGGCATTGTGGCTGTGGGCTGGCAGGCATATTTAAGTTGGCTCAATCAAAAGGCAGCTAGGGAAGTTAGGGAGGCTGCTATTATAGAAGCCGCTGAGCTTCTGCAAGACACAGGTTCTCACAAAGGCGCGCTGCTGCATACCCCGTGATATGTGGGTGGGGGAGCTTCTGGAACTTTTAATTTTCAATTGCATATATATTTTGGGTGACTTTTTTTGTCGTGCAAATCAAAAAATGGTTCAAGGCAACTTTGACAGCACAGACTTGTGTCTGACAGAAGGCTTGAAAATAATGCTGATACCCAGGGCTATAATTTCTTTAAAGGTGTTGGGTGTCATTAGATAGATAGATCTGTTTTATTTAGACCAAGTTAGAGATAGCGAGCCATCGTCTAATATAAACTGATTGTTTTCGATGCCTCGTGGGTCCATATACCCATAGAGTGGCCTGGCGTTATTAAGCCTCATTGCCACCCAAAGTTAAGCTCGCCAGTACATAAAGCCAAACTTCTCACAGAACAACACAGCTTCTTGTCAATGCAGAATCACCACTCCATGAGGTGAACACGGCGGCACCTCGAGCGAACAGGCCGCAGGCATGTCCTGCTGTTCGCGACTCAGAATCAATGACGCTCTCAGCGGCGGACGCGTCGGACTCTAGTGACTACGGACCCGATTTTTCACCAGAAGAAGAGGAACTTTTAATCGGGTTACTGGACAATCTCGCTGCAGATAGAGGAGACATCGCCATTGAGGGCACCCCTGCACGTGCTGGCGATAGCATCGCAGTGACGCGCGACGTTGGAATTGGTGTTTTGGAGTCGGTGCCTAAAACGGTTGCGGATATCGAGGATGTCCCTGTGTCTGCTTTCCAGGCCAGCGGCGGGCAGCCACTCAGCCCGACTACCCAGAAGCTATTGGAAATATGGGACTCTCTGTCTGACTTCGAGATCGACGACGTCGCTGAAGAGAAGGGTGGTGAGTCTCCTCTCCGGATCGGGTCTATAGATCTCAAGCGGAGGTCCCAGCATTGTTATGAATTTCGGAAGGCGGGCTGACATCTGACTATAAGCGTCTAGTAGAGCATCCTAATTCCATAGAAGGCCGGGAAACTCCGCGCCGTCGCGATGAGGAAGACAGCCAGCAGCAGGCTGTCGACGCGATGACAGTTGGAAACCGCACGCCATCTAAGGCTTTGTACGGCCTGAAGCCCAAGTCCCCCTTGGAACGATTTCGCAAAGCACCTAAAAAGAACCTCTCCGTTACGGATTTGATCTCTCCTGCCTGGTGCGAGCTACAATACTGGTACAGTCTAACAAAGCACGGGCGCAAGCGGCCAACACCTGCAATGAGGAAAGGGAGCGCGGTCCATAAGACTCTCGAAGAGCAAGTACATACCACTGTTCCAGTGGAAATATTGACGAGAGAGGACGGGTGGGCTTTGAGAATATGGAACGTGATACAGGGGCTACATACTCTAAGAACCACTGGAATGACAAGAGAGCTGGAGGTATGGGGTGTTATTGACGGCGAGATGGTGACGGGCATCATCGACGAGCTCTCTTATGATTGCCCTGATGCTGCGCTCGAGGCGGCATTGATTCCAAAGCCTGCAAGGGTGAAACCGGTCAAGTCTTTGACTCCCGGGGACCAGATGTCGTTCACTGATTATATGCTGTCTGCAGCTGGTGGCGGTAAAACGCTTCAAAGCTTTGCAGCAGACAGCCCTGGGGGCACTGATTCACAATTAATAACGGATAAAAAGATCTACATAACAGATGTCAAGACCCGTAGATCCGCTGCAAACTTGCCCACTGTGTCGAGCGTTGGATTTCGTCCGACGCTCTTGCAGCTTCATCTATATTTCCACATGCTTACTCGACTTGCCACCAGTGATGATATCACAATGGAGTCTATAGGCCTACGATACCGGTTGGACATCGACCAACCGTTTTCTGACAGTTTTATCGCTCAAGTGAATGGATTTGACAATCATTTTTTGGATTTCAACTCGTCGCCAGAGAGCCTGGCCGAGTCCTTTGGCGATGAAGATCTTCTCGACATACTCGTCGATCATAATTCTCTGTCTAGCCTTTGGTCACTTATGAAGGAGCACCTCCGGCTTACTCTCCTCCCTACGACGCAAGTCCACGGAGATTCGCCTTCTGATCCATCCGTCGTCGCCCCCACTGCTAAGCCTGACAATGACCACAGCCCTGACATCGTCGAATCTTCACCTTCTACCATTCTCTCACCCCTCCTTACAGCTTCATACGTCTATGCCCCAACCGGCTCCACCGATGCCGTAACGTTTTTAGGCAGCAGATCATTTTTCTTTGATGAAAATGATTTATACCCCTATCTCGCTGATGGAATGCGCTTTTGGCGTGGAGACAGGAACGCACAAGGCGTTGCCCTCGAGGAAGCATGGAAATGCAGAATTTGCGAGTTTCGAGACGAGTGTGAGTGGAGAGGCGCGAAAGAGAATGAGGTTTTGAAACGAGGAAGAAGAAATGATACTTGAAGACTTAGGAAACTTTGGACACAGAATACGCCCCATACAGGAATTAAATATACCATTGCGCCTATCGTGGGTTATCATACTCTGAATTCGTTAACGTCGCAATTTGGATATAAAAAATCCTCATCTTAGCTCTTGGTATAGGACTAGTCATCTACGTCATCCACAGCCAGTGATACACAGGAGCATTGAAGAAGGCGTTTTGACCCTTCTTTCTAATAATACTCTTCCTCAACGGATTCGCCGCGCTGTGGTAGCAATTAGCCATAGCTTCTTATGACTCCGGGATCAAGTTACCCACCACTGCTGCTGCTGCCTTCGCTTCAATGGCCTGCTTCTCCATCTTCCTGATACGTACCATCAACTCTTCGAATGTTTTGATTTCTTCTCCCGAGCTGCCCTCGCGCTTGGCGCTCTCTGCCTCGAGTTCGGCTCTTAGCTCTTCGGCTCTCTTTCTGGCTTCTGCTTCTGCAACTCTTTTCTTGCGGGCTTCTATGGCTTCCAATGCGATCTCCATGAGGCGATTATGCCAATTTTGTTGGTTTGTTAGAACCTGGCAATGTATCTCCAACCATTTTTCGAGATCGGCGTGGTCAACTGGTGGGGGAGTAGAATCTTTCGGCCCTTTAGACGCTGGATTTGGTATCTTGAGGCACACTGATGGAACTTACATTTCTTTTGTTTGGGATTCTTTTTGTGATTGCTCTTCTTGACACGGGTGGCCGCCGAATTTTCTTTCTGTATAGATCCAGCATTGGGTTTACCTGGGGAAGCCATGTTAAAGAAGTCGGAAATGCAGCCTGCAACTGCAGCCAGCGGTGATGACTGAAAAGCCTGAGGAAGGACCCTTGTGTAAACTAATAGTAACAGGAACGAAGCATTGCATTTAGTAAAAAGACTGTTTAATGATATGAATATAGAATTTCTATATATATATCCACTTTTGGTATGGTTTGCTAGGTGGAATTCGCCTTTTTATTCAAATGCAATGATCACCAATTGATCCGAAAATTTTTGTTTTTTAATAAGCCCAAGGGGCATTCCGAAAGATGCTACAAGCTACTCTTGTCTAACGCTGCTGAGCCCATTACTGCGGCCTATGGGAAAAAGAAAACGTCAGCTTTCAGATCAAAAATAAACCAACACGGCGGAAAAAACCGACAAGGAATGAGGTGAGTCAGAACGAACTTACTCTAGCGTCTCCATAAACGGGCGTTATCCCGGTCCAAAGTTCGAACTAAACAGCAGGTCAGGGACTAATCTTCAGAAAATGTATATCATTCAACTTACTTGATAAACACCCTGAGCAACTAACGCTTCCAGACCGGGAATGGTAACCCAACACCTGTCGTTAGCTAGTTGTCTCAGTGGTGTCATAGAAGGCTTATAGGCCATTTCCAATAGTGTTCTCTGAATCGGTGTCTCCCCCTTTGCCAAGGTTTCCTCGTCAACAGAGGAAACAGCATCGAAAAGCTCGCACAAAAGTTCTCTCATGCCAGAATCAATCGGGCGGTCTCCTGGGATCGTGCCGATTGCCACGCTCGGAAGTAGTTTTACCTTTTTTATATCATTAATAGTTTGGATGTTGTACTCCGGCGGGAAGGATGATGCTATGTCGGCGAGCTTGGACTCTGAGCGACCGATAAAATAAAGTGGTGAATATCCCATGCTGTAAAGAGCATGTATAGCTGCACGAGCAGTACCACCGCTGCCGATTACAACACCGGAGGCGGGGAAATCTGTACCCGAAGGAGAGATAGCTCCGGCATCAAGAAGGCACCGGACCATACCCTGCCAATCAGTGTTGTAGCCGACAAGTCTTGCTTGTTCATTTTCATCACCTGGCTCTCGTGGAATAGGAACGATCGTATTGACCGCCCCAATGATTCGAGCTTCGGGTGCAATCCCATCAAGTAAAGGCATGATATCAAGCTTGAGAGGTATCGTGACTGAAGCACCTCCAAAATCAGGTGCGTAAATGAAGTCTTTGACAGCGTTCACATTTTCAGTTTCTAGGCGCCCATAGACATGAGGTAGACCAACCCCCGAGAATAACGCATTGTGCATTGCGGGGGACCTGGACGCAGAGACCGGTGACCCGAAAACAGCAAACTGTTTTGACTCGATTTCACCCATCAAAGACAACCCCTCTCTTATTTCTTTGGCGGAGAGTTGACCAGGTGCAGCCTTGAATGGGAGTTTCGGATGAGATACAGGGGTCATAAAGCCATTTAAGATACGACTGAGGCGACCCTTGTCGCCCATATTGATTGCGATGACAGGGATATCGTGTGACGCCTGGGCCCATGTCTTGAACTGCCTAAGTGCCATATTATCGTCAAGTGTTTTAGCAATTCCAACCAGCTTGATTATATCTCCATATTGTAAGGCTTTGTTGTAGAAGCGAATCCAAGAGCCATTTGCCCAAGATAGGTTACAGCCAACGTCATGGTGAGATGCAATAATCTTGGAAAATCCTTTAATCTCCGTTACGGATTGAAGAATATGCTCTGGAAGTGTAATCTCAAGATCGATAAACTCAGAACCCATTCGCACAGCAAGGCGATATAACTCTAGAGCGACGTCGTATGCATCATCTGGGAAGCGCCCGCCTTGACTCTTGGTCCTGATTGTAAACACAATAGGTACAGCTACGCGACCTCGGAGGATAGATATTTGCTCGGCAACGAAGTCCACAGATGGGATCTCATTACTACTTGATGGATCCACAAGCAAGTCCACTCGCAACTCGACAGCGTCCGATCCAAGACTAACATCGCATAATATATCCGCCGAAGGTCGCAAATCAGGCATCGTTAATGAAACAAAAAACGATTGTTTCCTGTGCTTCATGAGGGCCAGGTGGTCGATCTCTCCAGTCACGAGCTTTAAGAAGCGCGAAAAGCCATCTCGAGCGAAGCCAACCCTATCTGGCCCAGCATGCTGGCTGTGATATTGATAGTTGCTACATTGTTGGTACCAGGGTTTTCGACGAAGCCACACTCCCATCATATCTTCAGCGTAAGCTGGCCGTGTCTGATCTATTTCAAGATAATTCATGACCTCTTGAATGTTGCGCATCACCAAAACAACGCATCCCTTATTTTTATGGTACTGGACCAGAAGCTCTCGGGCTGCTTCTGTTTCAACAATTCCGCCACCGCAAGCAAAGACGTATCCCGTCGGTTTATCATGCATCACACGCCGTAGAAGAGCAAGTTCAGCCTCCCGAAATCCATCCCAGCCTCGCTCTTTAATGATATCCGGAATTTCCTTGCCTTCCGTGCTCTCAAGTTCTGCATCAAGATCCATGAACGTCCTTTTTAAAACTCGAGAAGCCCGGAGGCCACTTGTAGTTTTGCCAGCTCCTCGCATGCCAATAACAAAAATAGATGCTGCAGGCACTGCATCTTTTCTGGATTCAGGCTTTCGAAGCTCGATACCCTCTAGCTTCGTTTTGAACGTACCAGCCAAAGTATCCCACCATCCAGGCCAAGTTTTTCCTACGCATTCTTTCTCGAGCAAGATTGTAGGCTGAGGTGCTACTAGCGAAAGAACACTAAAGCTCATTGCTACGCGATGGTCATCGTAACAATGTACGCCATGTGGAGGCTGTGACAAAGTAGAGCGATCAACCCCATCAATCTCAAGGCCGTCATCATGTTCTCGGCAGGTCACCCCAAATTTGGCTAGTTCATCTTTCATCGCTCTAATTCGGTTGCATTCTTTGACGCGTTGGTTTGCAATGCCAAAAATTCTGGTTGTGCGATTCGAACCGCCTGTAGCTACAGCAGCAAGAACAGATGCAGTTAAGAAAGCATCTGTCATTGGTTCCATATCTACATTATGCAGTGGTTTCAAGATACCACCTTTTGGCCCGGTAACGGTAGTCGAATAGTCGGATTGCTTAACCTCACATCCCATGGGTAGGAGTATATCCACTGCAAACCGCGCATCTCCTTGTAAGGATTTCGATCCGATGTTTGGAATTGTGCAAGTAGTACCTGTGATAGCGGCAGTTGCCAAAGGGTAGGTTGCGGAACTAGCATCGCTTTCGATTGTGTATTCTGCTGGATTGATATACTTGCCCTGAGGGATATGGTAGGTATGTTCTTCTGTAGTCGACCTTTTTACGTCGATACCAAACGATCGCATCATAGCAGTTGTCATATCAATGTATGGCTGTGATATTGGCTTTCCACCCACTAACTTCAGAGTCATTGGCTCTTTTGCATAGGGTGCACACATCAACAGGGAGGAGACATATTGAGAGGATATTTTAGCTGCTAGGCTGATTTGTCCTCCAGCGATCCCTCCAGATGCATCTATTTTCAGTGGGAGGCAGCCTTCAGTTTCCATGTACTCAATGCCAGCACCATTTTGCCTAAGTGAATCAACAAGGGGTCCAATTGGCCTTTGCTTCATTCGGGAATTTCCAGTAAGAACAGTAGAGTCAATACTGTTATTCTGTGCAAGAGTTGCGACAGTGGTGAGGAACCTGGATGCCGTACCGGCATTCCCTAGATAAAGATCTTTTGGACTTGCTTGCAGCTTGCCTCCTTTCCCATGAACGACAAGCACTTCACCTTCCTCCTCCCAAGCAAAGGTTGCAGCGCCGAGGCGTTCGAGCGCGTTCAGCATAACCTCCGTGTCGTCTGAATGTAGTAAGTTCTTAATGCGACATGTTCCTGAGCCAAGAGCAGCAAGAATAAGTGCCCGGTTAGAAATGCTTTTTGATCCTGGTGGGGTGCAAGTGACATTTAGGGAGCTTGGGATACCAGGGAAGACTTCTATGCTAGGCGCAAGTGCAATTCTAATATCTTCGTTCGACACTTCGCTTGCTTTTTGCTCATGAGTGCGGCCGATGCTGGATAAAAGAACTACTTTTTTAATCGGACCAGCATTCTTCTTATCCACGGCCATGAATGCAAGAAGTTCCTCGACACTGCAGTGTTTCCCAGCACTGAGCTTTCTGATTCGCGAATCCTTCAACGATGTTGGAAGTCCGTAATTTGCCAAACATTTTGTAAGACGCGCCACTGCAACGTTTTTTAATAGGCCAAGATGCCGGGCGAGCTCTACTTCTTTGACCATGCCCACAGCCACACATTCTCCATGAAGAATCTGTGGCGCGAGGATACCTTCAATAGCGTGGCCAATCGAATGGCCAAAGTTGAGTAAGTTTCGCAATCCGCCTTCCCTTTCGTCTTTTGACACGACGTCAGCCTTGAATCTTGCAGAAGCCAAAATTGTAGCTTTCAGAATCTCCTGAATACCGCCAAACCGTGGGCGATCAGAAGTGTTCTCTGATTTGACAGCCGAAAGAATGCAAGCTGCATTCTTTTCAAGGGCAGAAAATTCTTGTTCACTGGATATGGCGGCAGTCTGTTCGTGATACAGTTAACTTCATGAATCAAATAATTACGGTAGATAAGAAAATAGTAGCTTACCTTGATTACTTCAGCCATGCCGTTGATAAACTCCCTCTCAGGTAGGGTATTAAGAAATTCCATATCCAAGTAGATTTTGTGGGGTTGCCAGATAGCACCTATCAAATTCTTTCCATTTGGGGTATCAATAGCAGTCTTGCCGCCAATAGAGGAGTCAACCATAGCTAGCAACGTCGTGGGCACTTGTACAAAGCGAACACCACGCATGTAAGTGGCCGCAACGTATCCAATTAAATCTCCTATGACTCCTCCACCAAGAGCGATGATAACTGTGTCGCGACCGCATGGTGGCTTGCAGCACAGCATCCAGTCTTCAATTTCAGCTTTTGTCTGACGAGACTTCGAAGGCTCTCCAGGCGGGATGGCATAGGTAAGCAAGCGGGGTTTTGGCGTAATATTCGACGCTGCGGCATCGAATGCCTGCTGGAAGTCGGGGACATACAACGGGGTCAGAGTGGTGTCGGAGATAAGGATATAGGTAGAGGAGGGGCAGTCGGTAAGCAAATCGCGTGCAACATGGCGTTTCCAAATGCCAAAGTCAGCAACTATGCTATCGCGACCTAAAATTTTGATAGTCGTTGGTGTGGCCATTGTATATGCGGTGATCGTAAGCGTACGGGCGCTGATGAGCTTAGGCTTCGGGTGAACTAGCCTCTGTACTTGCAGTTTGAAAAATTTAGTATATATTGGCGAGGTCAGCTAGAATGAGTAGTTACTTTGTTGCTTTGTTCAGCTATAATATCATATTTTCTTTCCAAGTCAAATATATATAGAGAAGATGGTGGGTGGAGTCGTTCTCAGGTGAAGTAAAGAGACGGTGGAAGCCGGTAAAAGCTCCGGGTGAAGGCACGTAATGACGGAGAAGCTCGAATACAGAGAGCCTTAACATTGAACCACCGGCGACCTATTGTGAAGGGTGAAAGCGGGTTGACTCACAGCTTCACAGCTGCTATTCTGCCTTCAATCACCGCCTCCGAGCTCGCTGAGGTTCCCCAGCGAAGGACAGGTAAGAAACCACTTGATTGCCGTGGGTGGGCAAAATTAAATGAATGCTGGCTCTATTAATGATACTTGCAACTTGTTCAGTTGCTGGGGTTTGACTTATTACGAGGGTTGTACGGAGTAATTGACTGCCTTCTGTCCGGTATCGGCCTCCTAACTACTCATTTACTTATATCTCAGCGGAAGAATAATTTTATTCAAGAAATGAGAACCTGAATGGGTTCGAGAATGATAAATATACAGTTTTAAGTCACGAAGCTAATGTATTCACATCAATACCGGCCATATCCATCGTTGCGCGCGCGGTGACCGGACTGCTGGCCACGGCCTCGGCCTCTATGATGACCACCACCGCCGCCGCTGCCGGGTCTCCCGCCTCCGCCAGATGAAGGATACTGTCTATCTTGGTACGAGTCTCTGCCGTAGGAAGGAGGCGGCTGATATGAATCCCGCGGGCCATACGAACCGCGCCCCCGACCACCACCATATCCTCCACGGCCTTGATATCTATCAAACTGAGGCGGCTGACCGCCGCCGCGGGTTGGAGGATTCCATCCTCGTTGTGAAGGGTTCATATTTGAGGGAGGCCTAAAATTCGGGTCGAGGTGGGCAGCAAATGGGTTTTGCCGATCACCAGTATATGACATGCAGCCTCTACCTCGGCCGTTCCCTGAATGCAACGGCGCGCCTCCAAATGATCTGCCTGACTGAGAAGCCTTTGCCTTGGTGGCTTCAATATCCGCCTTATCAAGTACAGGTGGGTTGAATTTCACACCAGAAAGAAGCATGGATTTATGAATATGCTTGGACTTGGGAATATCATATAGAACACTGGAATTTACAAAATTAGCACAGATCCTTTTGGGGAGGCGAGATATATCATAGGTCATACCTTATTGAGTGATCTTGATCAAGGCTGGGAAGTTCGGCTCCATCTATAGCTGGTATCAATGAGCTGTGAGGAACGTAAGCTTCGTTACGTTCAACTTTGCCGCCGAGGCCTTCGCTAACACGCATGTTGAGCTTGAATTTTGGAACTCCTTGCTTTTTCGAGTAGAAGTTGGACACCAAATCGTCGTAGAGTGGATGGCGGTCCGAGATAAATAGAATATCTCGTCCCATTTCATTACGAGCTCTTTCTTCCTCCGATAAATGGGGATAACGTTTGTTCATAGCTGCCAAAAGACGCTTCTCGTCAATGAATGGAAGAAGTGCTACTCCCTGCCATGCAAATTTCTTTCCATTAAGATCAATGGGGAACTCCTCTGGGTAGAAATCAATGATCTCGCTATCAGGATCGGACATCAGATCCCTGAATATTTCTGGAATTGCATGGTTTGATGCTGCAGGCAAAACACCCATCAGCTGCTCAAAAGGCCTGAAAGGTATGCCCTTGTTGAATTGTATGTCCATTTGATCAAGATCAACAAAGTCTGCTGCAAAAGGGGCATAATGATATGGATAGTACCACGTCCATGAAGGGCAGCCTTGAAAGTAGTATAAGAGAACCCAAGAAAGTCCTTCAACATAAGCCTGCGCCACTTTGTGGCGAAATTCAATGTCTTTTGGATCTACACGAAACTTTTGCTCGTAATACCGATCCGCATACCCTTGTTCCCAAAGGCGGACTGTGTCCACTGGTAGTTGATCTTCATCGTTGGGCTTTTCAGACCCTTCTTGCCCTGTACTATTTTCGGTATCAAGTGCATCGACCTTTCTTTTACCCAGAGTGGAATTTAAGTTTTGATCTGTCATAGAAACTTCAACAGTAGTTTCAGCAGTGATTTGAGTTGATTCACCGTCATTCGAAGAACCAGATAGCAACTGACTTTTCAAAGCAGCTGCTGCACTTTTATTTGCCATGTTTGCTTTGTAAATGGCGCCCCGATTGACGACCATGGAGTGAGTTAACTCTCGCTCTGCTCGAGGCAATTCTCCCTTACTTGGAATAAAAAGGGGCATATTTGCGGGAGCGCTTGAATCCCCATCCTTATTACGACGGGCGCCGGGTATTGGCGTATCGTTTTCCATAGAATTTCTAGGCCTTTTTCGGGAATTGTTCTCCCTTTGCCTCTCTTGCTCTTTACGTCTTCTAGCATTTGCATTTTTTCTTTCCTCTGTCTGCCTGCGTCGACGGAAAATCGCATCCTCTTGTTTAGCTAACCCTTGTAAGATCAACTGTGCACGCTTTAGATCAACGTGCCCGTCTTTTGTTAGATAACCCCCCATTAGTGGTATATTGTCACGCCATATGGCAATAAGAGTATCGATTCCATTCTCCCTTATATCCAATGACGGCAAATGAGGAAGAAAATCGTTTCCCACAAAAAAGCACATGAAGACCCAGTCGTCGAGAGCTCTTTCAAGGTCAAAGGCAAAAGGTTGATTAGGGACGTACATCTCGGCTGCCAGGTATTCTCGTAGGACGGAAACATGTAGCCAAATAAAAGGTTTAAGTGGGGATGCATTTTCTTTTTCGTCGAAATCTCCTGTCTTCTCTTTTGCTTTACCAGTGCAGGCTTCGGCAATATGCCCCTTTTGTCCACAAAGGTGACAAGTCCTGGCCTTCGATTCTTGGAAAAAAACATCCTCACGAAGGACTCGAAAATGAGGTTCATGTGTCGCAAGCCCAAGCATAATCAAGTCAGCATCCTACCAAAATGTTAGCAGAGGTGTTTTAGAAAGTTAAAGTAATTCAGCCATACAAGTCCATATATTACATGGCGAGTGTTCGCATTGTGTTCGGGACAGGATCTTTGGGATCGGATGAATTCCATGATTTTGTGTTCACCTTCTCCAGGAACTGTGGCATCTGATACTATGATTTTGAGCTGATGATGGTTTAGCGTGGCTCAAATTTCCAGACTTAGGGAGCTAACCTTGTCCCAGGCAGGATCAGTATTCAGCTTGTAGGCAATCCAGTATCTCAGGGCGGCTGAAAGAATGTCCATGAATGGGGTACCGGGCGTAATAACGTTGCTATCCCAGGTTTTCTGTATCACCTCTTCGCCTAATTCTGAATCACCTTTCCCCCGATTCTGCCTTTGAAGTAATTTTGCAAACTCAGCCTTTTTCTCGTCGGCTTCTTTAGCTTCCTGGGCAGAGCGGAATCGCCTTGAACGCTGTTGGTTCATTTTTGCACGAGGTGCTACGCCATCTATAAAAACAAAAACATTAGCATAGGTTGAAGGATGCTACATCGTAGAAAAGACCAGAATCAAAGAAGACAAGCTCTACCCCCCTTGGCGACTCTATATAACATCATAACATAAATGTAGCCGTCTTGGGGGAAGCAACCAAGCTCCCTAGCCCTTAACCTAACGTACCAACAGCGATCATCAACAGCTTTCTCGGTCTGACCATATTTACGACTCTATCGGTGTACTTGAAAATCTCGAGCATCATCTCCCCTTCATTGGCTGGCGGCGGTTTGCCTTCAGGATGCGTACATGGGTGTACAATGCCGTTCATGTCGAGGTATAAGTTATCCATTTCCTCGCCATTTGGGTTGGGCTTTGTTGTATCCACCGGAATTTCTTCGCCATTATATTCTTGCGGCAATTCCTCGACAACGGCTGAGATGATTTTCGGGTATTTGGTGGAGAGCCACCGGAAAAGTGCTGGGACACCCATCGCGCGAGCTTAAGAGTTCCGTTAAGGCGCAAGTTGAAGAGAATTGCAAGTAGCTTTCGAGTTAACAGCACAATCGCTCCATCGACAACTACCGCCTCTAACAGTCTTTAACCACAGAAGTCTTCTCTGTCGCGCAAATAGAGATGCGGGGATAGTAAAACGTCGAGTTTACAGCAGTTTTCAAGTTCGCGTGCAACCCTTACCAAAAACGGATACAGCCAGGCTTACGGATAATTATTCGTCCTAACCGAGAGCTTATAAGTCACATGACTATTTAGCCATACTAATGAAATATACAATGCCTATATTGTTCCTGCTTCTAATAGATCTAACAAGAGGCCACAATGGCTGCTTTGCACATTGCTTTCACGGACGCCATCCATTGCCTCAATGCATATATATAATACTGATATTTTCGGTCTTCGATGACCATGCTGGTGCACATAACAATACGCTGCCATGTTCCGAATCCTCGAGTCCCAGGCCCCTGCCCGACAGACGGCAACTGATACAATCAATACGTTGAGCAGCCGATTACAAAGTGCTACGCTTTTGGAGGACCGTAGAGCTGCTATTTTAGGTCTTCGAAGCTTTGCGAAAGAGTTCCCCGCGTCAGTTGCCTCTGGTGCTCTGAGGGCCTTGATTTCGTCACTTCGAAATGATGCGGAAGACGTCGATACTACGAAAGTGGTCCTTGAGACCTTGTTGATGTTATTTGCTCCGGAGCAGAGTAGTGTGCGTGGAATATCCTAAGCTTCCAATACTATAGCCTGATACTTATGATACCTATAGCCGGAAGCATCTGAAGAGCTAGCCCTGTGGCTTGCTGATGAATTTACCCAAGTATGTTCTAATATTCTCCAAGAAAACGAGCCGGTGTTTCTCATACTCCAATCAGCGGCAAGATAACATCACGATCCTCCTTGATCTCCTAGAATCAAGCGACTTTTACTCTAGACTATACTCCCTTCAATTGATCTCTCAGATCTCCTCTGCGAGGCCGGAGAGAACACAAGAGTGCATTTTCACCGCGCCCCTTGGAATTTCCAGGCTCGTTACTACACTCGGTGATCCACGGGAGCCCATTCGCAATGGTGGGCTTATTTTGAAGGATTCTCTTTTTGCAGATGTGGCTAACATAAGCATTGGGCTGTAGAATCACTACTTCTTCTAATAGCCCTAACTCCGTCCTCCGCCGAACTACAAAAGGTTGTCGCATTTGAAAATGCATTCGATCGTATATTTTTCCTGATCGAAAATGAAGGCTCCTTGTCCCATGGCTCAGGCACCGTGGAGGACTGCCTGTCGCTGTTAGGGAACCTTCTGTCCCTGAACGTGTCTAATCAATCCTATTTTCGCGAAACTGGATTTGTAAAGAAGTTTACATCTCTTTTGGCTGGTGCCGTTGAAGTTCAAGGAGCTGATGAAGAAATATCGGAATGGACGCTTGAACAGCGGGACAAGAATTTGTGGGGAACGCTGGCTATAATTCAATTGTTTCTGGTAAAAGGCAGTGTTAGCACACCTATCAACCAGATGGCATTTTGGCAAAGCGGAATGATGCAACAAGTCCTTCGAATCGCCTTTAATGATGGATTCAATGTCGCAATCAGAGCCAAGGTCTGTCTTTTGTACTTTTGACAATCTGTATTATTCTCTGATAATCAATAGGCTTTGTCGACTTGCGCCTGTTTAATTAGTGCAAACACTTCCCTGCAAGAGAACTTCGCAGACCTAGAAGTCGCTGTCATTCCAAATCGGCTCGAAAATCGAACCACAAATGGAACATCCATCAATGATGCTACAGAAAAGCTCAACGTTATCGAAGCTCTTCTACGGGTAACACTCTTAGAAGCCCCTATTCAGTTCTTGGATGTCAGGCTTGCTGCTTGCTCATGCATACAAGCGTTCACTGAGAACCACCCAGGTATTAGAGCGCATTTTTTACGCAGGGCGATAGATGGGCATTCGAGTGGGTCGGACCGGATCCCAAACATTCTCACGATCCTTGTAAACTCTCCAGAGAACCGACGGAATATGGATCCTTATCAAATCTGGCTTGCATCTGTGTTGCTATTCCACTTAATTCATAGTGACCCGGAGACAAAGAGTCTCGCAATGAAAGTTACGGAAGGCGATGAATCAAGTGGAGAGGAGGTTATTACTTGTGTACAAGCTATAACAGGAAACCTGCTTACTGGAATCCAACGAAATGAGGATAAACGGATATCGGTAGGATACTTAATGCTGCTCTGTGGATGGCTCTTTGAGGATCCGGATGTGGTCAATGACTTTCTCGGTGAAGGAAGTAGTATCCAGCGTCTCATTCAAGAAGCAAAAAATGGCATATCATCAAAAACGCTTATCCCGGGACTTTGCGCCATTTTACTTGGAATTGTCTACGAATTTTCATCCAAAGATTCTCCAATCCCACGCACCACCTTGCATCAACTTCTCCTCGGACTTGGCCGGGAGCTATACATTGACAAAATTACAAGACTTAGAGAGCACGCCTTGGTTCGTGATTTCGAGGTCTTACCTCAAACTTGTCATGGGCATCACGATAGTGGTCTACCATCCGTCTACTTTGATAAGATGTTCATCGACTTCTTGAAAGACAATTTTAGCCGCTTTGTTCGAGCAATCGACCGAGAGCCTGGAATCGAAGTTCCGGTCCTTGCAAATGGCGTCCCGAAAGGTATATCGCGTGATCTTGTAGACTCCCTTCGAGCCCAGGTTGAAGATAAGAGCAAAACAATTCAAACTATGGAGGAAGATATGCTATCTTTACGCAGAAAATTAGAGCAGGAGCAACTGGATCATCGCAAAACGAGAGAATCCCTTGAAGTTGATCTTACTCATATACGCCAGACCCACGAGACGCTAGGAAAAAGCCATGCTGAGGAAATCCGCCGATTGCAGGAACACTACGAGCGTTCTGGAGCTGAGTTGGTATCCGATCACAGCGAAAAATTACGTACTTTAGAGATGCGACAACAGCAAACCTGCACTGAATATGAGACACAGGCTTCAAAAATACGGGAGCAGAACGATTTGGCAGTAGCTGAATTGACGAAAAGTATTAAAAGGCTTGAGAAAGATCTTGAAAAGGCGAATAAAGACCATGCTCAGGATCTTAGGAATGCCCATGAAGAGTATTCTTCGACATTAGCTTACTTAGAAGCCCGAAACAAAGGAGCTGAAGAACGTGAGGAACAGAGTCGCCAGCGCGCGTCGCGCCTTGAAACCCAATTCAAAGATGTTAATCTTGAGATCATAAAATATAAAACAAAACTGGAAGACAGTGAAACTGCCCGAAAGACGGTTCAGAGTGAACTTGACGACTTGTTAATCGTGTTTGCGGATTTAGAAGCAAAACGGAACGAAGACAAAGTAAGTCGTCACTGGGAGAATATTATTGACTGGAGACTAATTTGTATGAAGAAACGATTGAAATCTCTGGGCCAGGAGGTCTCTGATATTGAAGATAGCGACTCTGATGGTGAAGTTAATGATGATGAGGATCCGGATGTAGAATGAACAGTCAACCCAGATTTAAGGGATGCTATCATATGCCCTTTATTTAGAACATAAAATCCAGGATACATATGAAATTTATTGTAGATTCCGTATATCAATTAAGCTTTCTGGCCCTTATCCGGATAAAAAATGTTGCGGCGGCGTGTGAGTCAACCTTATCTGACAACTCACCAGAGCCGCTTTTTTAACCCCTCGATAGCCCAAGTCACAACACACCACTCGCAATAGAGGCTCTCCGGAAAGTGTGCTAGCAATGTCTATTGATTTTCCGAGCGAGGAGGAGCTCGTTCTCAAACGATGGAAAGAAATTGGCGCGTTTGAGCGACAGGTTGAGCTGTCTCGTGGGCGAAAACCATATACATTTTACGATGGCCCTCCGTTCGCGACTGGCCTACCGCACTATGGCCACCTGCTGGCGTCGACAATCAAAGACATTATCCCTAGATATTGGTCTATGAAGGGCCATTATGTCGAAAGGAGGTTTGGCTGGGATACCCACGGCGTGCCAATTGAATATGAGATAGACAAAAAGCTTAAAATGTCCGGCTCTGAAGCTGTGGAGAAGCTGGGGCTTGCTCAATATAATGCTGAGTGCAAAGCGATTGTCATGACATATGCCCAAGAATGGAGGCAAACTATTGACAGACTTGGGAGGTGGATAGATTTTGATAATGATTATAAGGTGCGTATCTCTGATCTTATCATACAGATGAAATGCGACTGACTAGCAAAAGACCATGGATACTACTTTTATGGAAACCTTGTGGTGGGTTTTAAAACAGCTTTTTGACAAGGGAGCAGTGTATCGCGGCTATAGAGTCATGCCTTGCTCCACGGCCCTCAATACACCCCTGAGTAATTTTGAAGCATCGCAAAATTATAAAGACGTTCAAGACCCGGCCGTTGTTGTCTCCTTTCCTCTTATCGATGACCCAAAAACAAACCTCCTGGCGTGGACGACAACCCCTTGGACCCTCCCGTCACACTTGGCGCTCGCAGCACATCCCGACTTCGAGTATATTAAGCTACATGATGAACAGTCTGGGAAGGATTATATCTTACTGGAGTCGCTACTAGGGACACTTTATAAGAACCCCAAAAAGGCAAAATTCAAGATCCTGGATCGCTTCAAGGGATCTACGATGGAAGGCTGGAAATATACACCGCCATTTGATTATTTCTATGAGAAATTTAAAGATGTTGGATTTCGAGTTCTTATGGCAACTTACGTTACGTCAGATAGTGGCGTTGGAATTGTTCACCAGGCCCCCGCTTTTGGTGAGGAGGATTATAATGTTGCGATGAATGCTGGTGTGATCAGTGATCAAAGACTTCCGCCGAACCCGGTCGACAGCCGGGGTTGTTTCACATCTGAAGTTCGAGACTTCGCAGGTACTTATGTAAAGACAGCTGATAAAGCTATCATTAAATACTTGAAAGAAAATGATCGTTTGGTCGTGGACAGTCAGATCACCCATAACTACCCCTTTTGTTGGCGCTCTGATACACCGCTGATCTACCGAGCCGTCCCAGCGTGGTTTGTTAAAATTGAACCTATCATTCCTAAAATGCTTGCAGGAATCGAGGAGTCGTATTGGGTACCATCGTTTGTCAAGGATAAACGATTTGCCAGTTGGATTGCAAATGCCAGAGATTGGAATATCTCGAGAAATCGCTATTGGGGAACTCCTATCCCTCTTTGGGTCAGCGATGATTACGAAGAAGTTGTCGCTATTGGAAGTGTGGATGAATTGCGGAATCTGAGCGGTTATACAGGAGAATTAACTGATCTTCATCGGGATAAAATCGACCATATCACCATTCCAAGCCGCCAAGGAAAGGGAGTTCTACATCGGGTTGAGGAAGTGTTTGACTGTTGGTTTGAATCCGGTAGCATGCCCTACGCCTCGCAGCATTATCCCTTTGAAAATAAGGAGCAATTTGAAAAATCATTCCCTGGGGATTTCATTGCCGAGGGCTTAGATCAAACTCGTGGCTGGTTTTATACTCTCACTGTGTTGGGCACCCATCTCTTTGGAAAGCTACCTTTTAAAAATTGTGTTGTTAATGGAATTGTGCTTGCTGAGGATGGAAAAAAGATGTCTAAGAGGTTGAAGAATTACCCTGATCCTATGCTTATAATGGAGCGGTATGGATCCGACGCCCTTCGGTTGTACCTTATCAATTCGCCAGTGGTCCGCGCTGAACCTTTACGGTTCAAAGAAGCAGGCGTTAAAGAGGTGGTCGCAAAGGTGCTTCTGCCATTGTGGAATAGCTACAAATTCTTCGACGGCCAGGTTGTTCTCCTGAAAAAAGTTGAAAATCTTGACTATGTCTTCGATCCGTCTATGGAAGCGACCAACACAAACGTTATGGATCGATGGATCTTGGCAAGCTGTCAAAGTCTCCTAAAGTTTGTTAATGAAGAGATGGCTGGGTATCGGCTCTACACTGTTGTCCCTCGACTCTTGGAGCTTATTGACAACACAACGAACTGGTATATCCGATTCAATCGTAGACGTCTTAAGGGAGAGCTCGGGTTGGAAGATACCAAACACGCACTTAACACTTTATTCGAGGTCATATACACGTTGGTTCGTGGCCTTGCACCTTTCACACCATTCCTTACCGATAACATCTACCTTCGACTTCTTCCTCATATCCCTGAATCTCTCCGAGCGACTGACGACCGCTCTGTTCATTTCTTATCCTTTCCCGAGGTAAGGGAAGAACTTTTCGATGAAGTTGTAGAAAGACAGGTATCACGGATGCAGCGGGTTATTGAGCTTGCCCGTGTCTCGCGTGAACGGCGATCTATTGGTCTCAAGACGCCTTTAAAGACTTTGGTAGTTGTTCATAACGACCAGCAGTATCTGGATGATGTGCGCTCCCTTGAGCAATACATTGTCGAGGAACTCAACGTCCGTGATCTTGTTTTGTCGACTGATGAGGCGAAGTATAATGTGCAATATAGTGCTACAGCTGATTGGCCTGTATTGGGTAAAAAGTTAAAAAAGGACGTTCAAAAAGTTAAGAAGGCTTTGCCTCAGCTCTCAAGCGACGAAATTAAAGGGTTCATTCTTCACAAGAAAATACTGGTTGATGGAATTGAGCTTGTCCAGGGTGACTTAGTAGTCAAGCGTGGTATTAAGGAAGATGCGGCTTCAGCCAATTTGGAAACGAACACTGACGATGACGTCCTTGTCATTCTCGATGCTACTCTGTACCCTGAATTGGCCCATGAAGGCCTTACTCGGGAGATTGTTAACCGCATCCAGCGGCTGCGAAAGAAGGCCGGGCTAGTCCCTACTGACGATGTGAAGATGGAGTATCGTGTCATTTCCGATCCAGATAGTGTAGGGATCAGTGAGGTGTTCGAAACCCAGGCCTCGGCCATCGAAAAAGCACTACGACGACCGGTTGACAAGCATGTTACGACTGAAATTGATGGAGAGGTCCCTGATGCTGCCGAAGAGGGTATTATTCTGGAGGAAGTGCAAGAAGTACAGAAGGCAACATTCCTCCTTAGACTACTGACTTTGCAGCCAGACAGCAATGTGTCCTAGGTAGGGCTGTTTTTTTTCTAGATATGAATGAAGATCTGTATGAAACATTTCAAAGTTGAGCTGCTGGCTACAATCAAACCGATCCGTCTGGTCATCTCGTAGAAACTGCGGGGTTCCAATAGAGCGATCGTTAGTTACATAGTTATGTATTACTTCTTTTTCATGGCCGCCTACATGGCGTGCGTCAGTACTCTCTCTATGCCAGCTGGAGAGGGGGTCATATATACCAAACAGCAGTCCTTGAATCGAATGAACTCCTTCTTGCACATGTCCTTGGTCACAGAATTATAGTCGGCAAGAACGCATTTCCCATATGCAGCGGCCTAGAGCCCCGGGTTAGCAGCTGATCATCGGCGCTACAAACAGCTCACTCACGTACTTCGACTGAGCATTTCGCCGCCGCCTGGGCGAGCTTCTCGACAGGCCTCGTCTGCGCTGGCATGCTGCCGGTAAACAACGTCTTTTCGTCTGCTGTTGTTTGTGGTTTGTCGTCGCGCGACTCAAAACTCGAAGTTACATAATCGCGGCTCAATTGACGCGTGTGGAGATGATGGCGATGATTCTGCTAGTGAGATGAAACCCAAACACCAAAGCTGGACAGAGAACCGTTTCTGCATCGCACGGGCTACCTTTTCTACTTGCGGTGTTAGTGGGCGCTCCTCCGCTGTCGCGAGGCCGCTGATGGGATCGCTCCATTGTTTGCGGCGTTGTCTGTCTCGTTGCCTCTCGCAATGACTTCCTGTCGCATTCTACAGACAACGCGCCTCGTGTCGCGGAGCTTTCGATGCCTCCAGTCCCCATAAACAACGACCTTGAAGTAGCTGAGCAATTAGCTCTCAGCGATCAAGGTTGGCTCTTCTCAGCTTGGTTGTTGCGTCTGTGCTGATAATCCTGTCGCAGATGTTCAGCTTCTCTACCAAATCGTCACGCGCGCTGAGCTGTATCCCGATGTCGAAACGCATACCTTTCGAGCGCTCTTCCGAGAATATCATACCGTTTTATCCGAGAATAATATCGAACCAGAGACAGACCAGATATGCCTCCGTTTTCTCTTCCTGCTGGGCAAGCATCGGCGCGGGGATACGCTCTATACCCGGTTCGAATCGCTGCTCCTACAGATGGGTATCCAGCTCCTTACCGATCCAACGACGAATGCAAATGGATTATCATATATGGAATTAGAGAACAGAACGGAGGCGAATGATACTCGCGAACTACCCGTCAGACCAAATGGCACGGGAATCAATCGGAGAAGGCAGAGGAGAGCTTCTTTCAATTCGATTTACGATGCGCCTACAGACACGACGCACTGGAGTATTCCTAGGCCACCGTCTAGATCATCACTCTCGAGATTGGATATAGATAATAGCAATATAGCTGCTGTCCGGCCTAAAAGGAGGGCATCTTTTAGCGGAGTGGATGACAGAGGCTCTTTGTTACTGGAATTCGAACCGGAACTTCATAGACCTCGTGGCTCCAATGACAGGTATCCATCAGACTACAATAATGTATTTCCGCTTGAGCTAGACCTCAGACTTCCAGGCCTTCAACAGCAACAAATGGCGGCTTACGACGATGGGTTCGCAACTGATTCTGATCAATTTGAGTACCAATCCCCTCAGCTTAAAGTGCCACCAGAACTGTTCTACCAGCCATCTCTTTCAAACCTACTTATGGATGCCTCGATATTCAATTCTTACCGCGAAAGGAAGATAGCCCGCCATTTGCTTGTATCTTGGCATGAGCAAGCAAGGCGAAGACAACAAGCTGTTCAGGCCATGTATCGAGTCGCCATCAATCGAGATAGAGCCACTTTACTTCGCCAGGGATTAGAAGAGTGGCGACTTGCCTGTGAAGAGAAACAGCTTGAAGCTAGAACAGATCGATTTTTCAAACATCTCGAAGCGCGTGCTGTCCGGGCTCGAAATTTATATCTATTAACCAAGGCATTTACTCACTGGGCGCAGGTGGCTTCTGATGAAATTGAGAGAACCAACGCTGCGCGAAAACGTATCATTGGGATAAAGTACTTAAATGCATGGAAGGAAATCACGGCAGTGACAGAACTGAAGATCCAGCGCCTCACTCTGAAAATGCCTTTTGGCTTCTGGACTTCCAAGATCAAACAATTGCAATTGAATGAGACTCGAGCTTCCGAGTTCTATCGGGACCATTTAATCAGACGCATGTATTGGCATTGGTATTGGTCGTTTTGCTACAACAGGGCACCTCAACGGGCTGATCACCGTTTAAAACAACGATCACTAATCTCTTGGCTGCGTGCCTTCAGAACCCATGGAGAACAAGATGCTGAAATAGATTCAAAACGCAAGCAAATGCTGTTGCGTTCAGTGTTGGATAAATGGTCGCAGAGGACGCGCTCCATTACAACTTCTCAACAAACCGCACATAGCTGGCATTTGGAACGAGTGGTGAGGTTTAATTTCACAGAATGGCGTGTTCAGCACCGACTTGGGGCTGTAACTACTCGAGTCAGCCAAGTGATAAACAATAGACTCGTACGCTCTGCATTCTCTACTTGGTCGTATCAAGCCTATATGCAACGACTTGCACACGATATGAATTACCAGAGGCTCATACGGAATGCCTGGACGACTTGGAACGACAAATTGCGGTGTCGCGCTCTAAGTATGCGGGCTGACGCGCGTGTTGTTATGCAATCTTTGTATAAATGGGTTCTCATTGAACGATTGCACTTTATGGTGCGGATTAGAGAGCGACGGCTGAAGAGCACCGCGTTGACGACGCTACTCAATAATTCTAGTGTTCTATATACTCAGCTTTTGCGTAGTGAGGAAGAATTCCGCATTCACAGAAAGAAGGAGATTTCTTGCAACATACTTCATATCTGGCGGAAGAAACTATTTATACAGCGCCAAAGAGAGCACGTAGCGTTGACCTTTTATGCGCCTCGTGTTGAACAAGAAGCATTAGAGCATTGGAAGAATCGCAAGGACCACCATGCGAAGTTGGAAACTTGGGCGAAAAATGCTCGCTATTTCTTCCTAATGACTAAAACGCTCAAACAGTGGCGGGCGGTTGCGCAACAAGCTTCTAAGAAACGGAAGCAGGACGCTTATGTGACGGTTCGGCGGAAACTAAAGGTCAATTTGGTCTGTGACGCGCTGGCAACATGGCGATCTCGCCTTATTTCAGTCTCGGATATGGAACAGCGAGCAATGGAGACGTATCAACGAAAGCTTTTCGAAAAGGCAATCCATTTGTTCGACCAGTGGCGCTCATCGACTGTTAGCCGTTTGAAACAAGTAGAAGATGCGGATGTTTATTACAATCGTCAATTAACTTACAATAATCTGGGCAGCTGGGTAGGATCCTCCAGATTATACCAAACCCAGGAAGAAAAAGCAGCTCGATTTTTAGAGTTACATGTCTCCGCTGTAGCGCTTGTGCAGCTCAAAAAGCTCAGTCTGCGAGTATTCCAAGTCAAAACAGATTATGAGAAGGCTGACGCGGCGAATGACCGTATTCTGCGAAAACACCTACGAAACATGCTGTTTCACTGGACTCAGAGATCACGGACGTTGCGCACGACCAAAGAAGATGTAGAGCATATCACTACCCCTGGGTCACGCTACGATGCCCAATTCTTCGATGAAAACGAGCAATGGGAGAACCCCGAATCGACGCTTCGAATCAGCGATCTGGGCGTGGAACACGATCCTGTGTCGCACACACCAGTGCCAACGCCAGGATATCTAACCAGCCCATCAAAAAGAGCAGCGCGAGCGCGATCTCTATATCAGATATCCACCACACCAGCGACACCCGCTATAACGCCATTTGCTGTTAGATTGATGGCTGCCAGGGATCCTCCTCGCTCTCTACCAGGACGAAGAACTCTATACGCCAAAAGCCCGTTAGCAACGAGTGTTCGCTTTGCCATCGAAGAAGAGTCAGAGCCAGAATCACCAACAGATGGCCGGTCGACTAACCGCAACCTAGGTTGACGCATATTTATTTTGCCCCAGTCATTTTGATTTTAGTACAGGAGTTCTTCCAGCATTTTGCTCTGTTCATGCGCGGTGCTCGTTTGGATTTGCTCTTATAGCCGCATCTTTTGGTTTAGGCGCTCACTTGGACTGTATAACGTGATGAGTTTGTATGCCGGGCGTTCGGAATTTAAAAGTACCGCGTCAGCTTGGATATTACGGCGATTTTATGTAACTATTTGATGGACCTGATGACGGCGCCATGACTACGCAGTTGTTGCTTCCCCTACGCGTTTTACGCGTGCATGTTGAGAATAGGTAGAATTAAATATGTAGATTAAAGATAACTATATAACCCAGTCACCAGGGCAGTCAGTCACAAGGCCATAACTTGTGAAGACCACAAGCGTCCCGGTGCTGGGATTCTCCGCGTGTTGATCGTCAAGCACGAGAGTTTTGGCTGTCGGGCCACGAGGACGTCATCGCAACGTTTCACTTCTGGCATTCAACTACTATATCACGTCCATATTGCAACAACTACCGCTCTTCCACGCCTCATCACTCCCAGAGCTCTGCCAACTACAGATACAGCCTGACTTGGAAATGATTTAACGCCGGGAATATATCCCGGCGTTCCGCTGCCTTTCCCATGCGGGCCGTATTACCAGGCCGGCCTTCAGCGAAGCTCCAAGCTCTGAGCACCGCGCTGTGGGATGGCGTTCGCGTCGTTGTATGTCCCTGAATTTGACCTGATCTAAGGCCTGGCTTGAGAATTTATTTGAAAACAATGCTAACCCGTGTTGATCTGCGGAATAGACTTACGTTACCGGCCGTGCACTTGTGATTCTGAATGGGCCTCACACGCTTCTGCAGACCATCTACATTGATGATGTCGATTCTCTAGAAGCCGTTGTGATTGAGGAGATTTCTGGAAAGATTGCTGTTTGCAGTGGGTCGGACGTGTTCGTTTACCAGCCGTACAGTATCGGGAACGACCCGCCTAGGGTATGATTGTCGCGCGCATTGTTTGGAACAGCAATTGTGATGGAGATATTGGTTGCTGATGGAATATTTAGTGGAGTTTAGCTTGCAATTTCCAATGTAATGGTTATGAAGAGGGGCAGATCACGACCTTGTCCTGGGGGTCTCCCGACGAGCTCCTTGTCGGCAATGGACGCCTCATTCTGTGGCTGATTGCAGACTCCCCGCGTGCCATTTGGACGAAGGTGCTAGGCAATCCTGCCAAACTGGCATTGTTCTCCCCAGATGCAGGCCTAGTAGCTTCTACAGGTCGGTATGACCGACTCGTCAAGATATGGAGACGGCTTTCCTTCGTTGCAGACGAGGTTCGTTTCGATGTTTTCTACCTTTCTCACCCATCGACTGTAACTCATATGTACTGGAGACGACCACATCACCGGGAGCAAACGATGGACAATGTACTCTACACCATTTGCGCCGATAATAAAATACGAATATGGGCGCCCATGGACCGTCACTCTGCGTCTGTTCTACAGCTTTGGAATGAAATCGATATGGTAGCATCAATCCAACCGAGACTCCCTGTAAAAACTGAGCACGGAATGAGACGATATGGATTTATTATCGATAGTCGCGACTTTGCCCTTGCGACGGAGCGTGCCGTGCAACGTGGAGACCCCAAAGACGGCAACCATCATGCCCTAGAACACCTCATTGAAATTGCCGCAAAAAGCCCCGAAATCTGTGTCATTCTGGATGGTAGAGGTCACATGTGTGCTTGGGGCCTTGAGAACCTGGGTTGTAAACGCCAGTCGTCAGAATCCATTTTTAATATTGCTCATGTCGAAGGCATGCACTTGTCTCTTCCAAAGGGGGTTCTTGATCAGGAAGACTATGCTCAATTCTATCCATTTGCTGGGGGCGTCAGTGATGATTCCTTTACGATCTTGGCTCACTATTTTGATGGAAGAATTGAATGGTTGGACTCTAAAATTCATATCATGTTTGACCCAACTCCTAGAAAAAGCCGTATGCTCTCAAAGGCAACCTGGTCTGGCCATGCAGGGCCAATCAAGAAAATTGTTCGTACGCCAATTGGCAAAATGCTAATTTCTCGAACGGACGATAATAAAGCTATGGTGTGGCGGCAAAGATCTGGCGGCACTGGCTCCGTTCTTGTTCAACAGAGTTATCTCCTATCTGACCTACACATTCACCGGACATTTCTATTAGATGATGGGAAATATCTGGTGAATCTGCATCACAATGGGATTTCTCTCTGGGATGTCCGTTCATTTCACGGAAAACTGCTTGATAAATGTAACTTTGAGTCAAGTAGCAAACCATTGTGCGTTCTGCTCATACCAACCACTGATCCATCATCCTCCACTATCTATGTTGCAGCTATTGGTGCTGATATGGCCGGGATTGCGTGGGAAATCAACATCCCCGCAGAGCATGGCCATCCTAATGGCGTCAACGGAAACCAGAAATATCTGCGTCAATTCTGCACGTTTCACCTTGGCGTGAATGAAGATATTTCATATATCCTCCCGGTTGACCCTGCAGGGAGCAGGATGAAGACCACAGGATTTTTAGATCTTTTTGCTACAGACATTGCCCTGTCATATACCCATACCGGCACTGTTAGGACATGGACAGCTAAGGTCGATAGTCAAAATCAAAAGGTTGACTGGCTGCTCACATCCACAGTTGAGACTGGGATCCAGAGCCCTTCACTTGCGAGTGCTGCATCGATGCGCAAGGCAGCCCTTGTTAATCAGCATCGTGCCCATTTAAGCATATGGGATACAAACAATGCCCAGCTTGAATTCGAAGAGTATTTTTCTGAACAAGACATTATTCGAGATCTCGACTGGACATCTACCCCTGATGTCCAGTCTATACTTGCTGTTGGCTTTCCACGAAAGGTGATTCTTCTTTCCCAGCTACGGTATGATTACCTTGATGCTGGCCCTTCTTGGACCCAAATCAGAGAGATTCGAATGCAAGATTACACCCCTCATCCGATCGGTGACTCCTGCTGGCTAGGAAATGGAAGTCTAGTTGTCGGTGCTGGTAATCAATTATTTGTCTTTGACAAGTATATTGAAGCCAACCAGCCAATTGTCACTGGTCTCCGGATTCACCACGAACAATTCTCACATGCCGATCTATTTCAGGTAGTCAGCCGACTGAATGGTCCCCTGCCTGTATTCCACCCTCAGTTCCTTGCTCAGTGCATTCTTTCTGGGAAAACTAGCTTAGTGCATCTCATACTCACTAGCCTGCATCGAAAATTGAAGTTTTTTACTGACGGAGATGAGCTCGATGGGTTTTTGAACATCCCCCTCGAACATATATACGAAAATATGAAGGTGCGTAGGAATGACTGTGTTTTCTTTCGGAACTAGTACTGACGCAGATCGCAGACAGCACAACATATTTCATGGAAAGAAATGCACACTTCTAGTAATGATTACTCATTTGAAGAAGATTCAAATATTTTGGATGAAACTGTTGCTGCTTCGTTGAATGAGTATTTGGCGCGGATTGCTCTTCCTCAGCTTTCGAGTAAAGAACAATTTCGTTTGCTAAATATTGTTGAGTGTGTGGCAACGGTTGAGAAGCACCGACGTTCTATGGACGATAACGCATCGCGATATCTCCTCTTTTTCCGACAGCATATGCTTCGTAGGAGCCAGAAATTACCCGAAATTTCCGGTGTCACATGGCGAGAAATAATCTGGGCATTTCATAGTGACAGCCATGAGATTCTTGCAGATCTTGTTTCAAGGCAGTATAACGGAAGAATGCTTTGGGAGAACGCCCGAGAAAGTGGCGTCTTTATGTATATTACTGACGTAAATGCTTTGGTATGAGTCTACCCCTTTTCCAACCTCAGGGAAGTGCTAACCTATCTCAGCGGGCGCAACTTGAGATAATTGCACGAAATGAGTACGGAAAGACTGACGAAAAGAATCCTATTGATTGCAGCCTATTCTATTTAGCTCTTCGAAAGAAAAGCATCTTGCAAGGGCTCTGGCGGATGGCAAGCTGGCACCGGGAGCAAGCAGCAACATACCGGCTTCTTTCCAATAATTTTAATGACCCACGCTGGCAGTCTGCTGCCTTGAAGAATGCATACGCCCTACTTGGTAAAAGAAGATTCGGTGTGTACTTACTATCCATTGATGAGCTGGAGGGTGGTGCTAACGGTGTGTAGAATACGCGGCTGCGTTCTTCCTCCTAGCGGATCACTTACGAGACGCTGTGTATGTTTGTATAAATCAGCTGAAAGATATTCAGCTCGCGATAACAATTGCGCGGGCATACGAAGGCGACGGTGGCCCGGTTCTGAAAGAGGTCCTCGAAGAAAAAGTTCTTGTTGATGCGGCGAATGACGGCAATAGATGGATGGCAAGTTGGGCCTTTTGGATGCTTAATAGACGGGATATGGCTGTGAGATCATTGATTGTGAGTGTTGCAAAGGATAAGTACCAACGGACGATAGGCTAACGTGGTGAAGTCGCCGGTTGAAACACTCTTACCCCCGACGCCTGGCTCCCCAGGTAGTTCTACCGGAGTAACATTGCACGCGAAGTCTTACCTATCCAACGACCCGGCCCTCGTCATCCTCTACCAGCAGTTACGAGATAAAACACTCCAGACCTTGAAGGGCGCCTCGATGGTTGCGCCGCGAGACGAATGGGAATTTGTCATCCGCAATGCTCGTCTGTACGACAGAATGGGCTGTGACCTGCTTGCCCTAAATCTCGTTCGTGACTGGGATTTCCTGACCGCTCCCGCTGTTCAAAAGGCCCCGCTGCACCTATCGGCCGGACTGATAGAGAATCTACCAAATCCCAAAACGCTATTGAAAAGAAGAAGCAGCCTTGTAGTCGCGGATATGCCGCTTTCACCAGGCTTGCCGGAAGAGATCAGAAAAGCAACGGCGGATCCTGGAGGCAAGCAGGTGCCTGCAGGTAACCGCGGTGCCCATTCCTCACCTACTGTTTTTGAAGAGCCGGACACGAACTCGCTGCTTGATAATTTTGGTTTCTGAGGTGGGCGTAGGGCACTCTATGCATGTTCGTTTCTTGGAGCTATATCATGGGATTTTAGACGACGCATGGGATATTGAATAATCAGCTGTATATATAGAATCAGTAGGCCTCGTACGATTAAATAATTCGGATTAGAGATTGTTTTTGTCCATATCTGACGTGCTGCTGGTGATATGCTTGACAGCAACGGGTCGTCTTCCAGGGTCTCGATGGCGACGACGAAGAAAGACCATCGTTTGCCCTGACTGAGCGTGGTTGGGATTGAAGACGGGCTGTGGCACCTTGCACAAAACAACCCGCCTGATCCGATCGCGTCTTAAGATTCTCTTTTCTGTCGCTCTTCTTCTTTTCACCTGCCTGGCCGCCATTAGTCATCGCGACCGATTGATACGGCGATGGCGCGGACGTCCAGCCGCCGCCCGGCAGACTCGGATGAGACCTCCAGCACACGAATGGCGGCGCCTGATAACTGTCGACGGCGCCCGTCCATAGCAGCAGATCACCGGCCAGGCGCCTTATCACTACACAGACGCTTGCCGCGATGGCTTCAGCCCAGAGCTCCATAGGCCAAACGCAAGATGACCAGGGCGCTTTCGAGACGCCCGCTCCGCCAGACATCCCACCGAGCCCTCAAGCTCGCGAGTCTCTTGAGGACGACCGCTACGATCATGATTTCTCTCGAGACCTCGCCTTCCGGCCCAAGACGTCGGCGCAGAGCTTCACGCCGCGTTCTCTGCTCGTCGGCCTTGCTATCGGCGCTGTCATCACCTTCTCGAATACCTACTTTGGTCTTCAAACTGGCTGGATCAGTACGATGCCTATGCCCTCTTCCCTCATCGGTTTCGCAGCCTTCAAAATCATGGCACCATACCTCTCATTCCCGTTTAGCCCTATCGAGAATGTTCTTATTCAAACCGTTGCCGGGGCGGTAGGATCAATGCCACTTGGTTGTGGCTTTGTTGGAGTGATACCTGCGCTGGAGTTCTTACTCCGGGGTGGTCCAGATGGAGAGAAAGGTACCCCTGACGGCTCGGGTGAGGGAGGGCCGTTGAAGCTTGGGTTTTGGAAATTGGTCATTTGGAGCTTAGGCGTATGCCTCTTTGGAGTGGTATTTGCTGTACCGCTGCGAAAAGAGGTCATAGTCAGGGAGAAATTGAAGTTCCCTAGCGGAACCGCTACAGCACTGATGATTAAAGTCCTGCATGGTGGTGGGCAAGACGCCGAGAAGGTGAGAGGAGATGAAGATAGCTCAGAGAGAGAGAACCAGGAGACACAGAGACTACTTTCCCGCGAAGAGAATCAGGTTGCACCGCTATCGACCTTGCCTGTATCACACGAACATGACCACAGGCGGGACTGGAAGGGAAAGATGAGGCTGCTTATTCTAGCTTTTGGCGTATCTGCCCTTTATGTGAGAAACGGTATTCCCTTTTTGTTCAACGCGTCAATATTGACATTCTTAATAGACCCTCGTCTCATACTTCATCCCACTACTCCGAAACTTGCCAATTTTTGGCTTGACTCTAGCTAGCAAATGGCTCTGGACGTTAAACCCCTCACCTGCATACGTCGGACAAGGCATCATAATGGGCTCCGCAACGTCTCTTCATATGCTCGTCGGAGCAATCATTGGTTGGGGAATCTTATCACCTCTGGCAAAGAATAAAGGCTGGGCTCCAGGCCCAGTAGATAGCTGGGAGAATGGCAGCAAGGGCTGGATTGTTTGGATATCTCTAGCCATTATGCTTGCCGATTCGATCATCAACTTGGGATGGTTGATAGCAAGACCAGCAGTCCACTATGGGCCGACTATTTTGGATGCACTCCGACGTCGAGCTGGCCAGAAGAATTTCTGGAAAAGCCTCTTTACCAACCCTTTAAAATCACAACAGGGTTATGTTCTCCTCAACCCTGGAGACCACACGCAAGGCGACTCGTCTAAGATTTCAGAGCGAGATGATGCACCTCCGTCGGAGCTCATTTCGATGCGGACGGTCGCAATTTTACTTCCTTTGACCTTACTTCTGAATGTTATCTGCATGCATATCGCCTTTGGAAACATTATCACTCCTTTTCTATCGACTCTTGCTACCCTACTAGCCCTTGTTCTCTCCGTTATGGGTGTCCGCGCCCTCGGGGAGACAGATCTCAACCCCGTTTCCGGCATCAGCAAAGTGACCCAGCTAATCTTTGCCCTTGCCACACCTGCTTCCAGCCATAGTCGCCGCTCCGCCATCATCACCAACCTACTCGCTGGCGCTGTATCCGAATCAGGAGCTCTGCAGGCTGGAGACATGATGCAGGATCTTAAAACAGGGCATATTCTTGGTGCAAGCCCCAAGGCCCAGTTTTATGGCCAATTAATCGGCAGCATTTTTGGTGCCGTGACTTCCGTCGCGGTTTATCGTCTATACGTTAATGTCTATCAAATTCCAGGAGACATGTTCCAGATCCCCACCGCGTACGTGTGGATATTCACCGCCCGACTAGTGACAGGCGAGGGCCTTCCTACCATGGCCTGGCAAGCTGCAGGAATTGCAGGTGTTATTTTTACCATCACCACTATGATCCGGGTCTTCAGCGCTGCTGGTTTGCGCCACGGCGGCTCCGTCCCGGCATGGAGGGCGTGGATCCCTGGCGGTATTGCCGTGGCAGTGGGCATGTATAATGTGCCTTCATTCACGCTCGCAAGGGCGATTGGCGGCTTGATAGAATTGTGGTGGAGCTGGCGCCAAAATAGGAACCGAAAGAGTGCCAGGGCCCCTGTCACTAGTGACGAAGACGACGAATCTACTGAAGGTGACCGCAGCCTTTCAAAGCCTCTGGAGCTCAATCAAAACGAAGATACGCATTCCACGGTTGTTATTTTGGCTTCAGGACTTATTCTTGGCGAAGGCGTTGTTAGTATCATCAATTTGGCACTTGCAAGTGCCGGCGTGCCGCATATCTAATCCCATCAACCAATTTTGCATATCTCTCTTCCATTACTGCCGTTGTTGTTGAATTTTTGCGCATAGCATGTACTTTATATATGGCGAATCTTTGACTCTACACATAATTTTAGACATAGAACCGCTGGCATTCAAATACAGGCTGTGGCTTTTTGTGAATGGATTTTCCAGTTTAAGTTGATTGTATTAAAAACCTTTGTGTACATGTAGATATACATCAGGCCAATGGGGTCAAGAGCGTACAGCAGGTGATAAAACCCAGTGTCGCATTTGCTCCAAGCCAGAAAATCGGGGCAAATGGGGGGGGGGGGGGGGGGGGGGAAAAAAAAAAAAAAAAAAAAGGGGGTTGGGGGGGGGGGGTTTTTGGT